GGGAGGTGGAGGGGAGGGGAGTGGGGCGGGTGAAGGTGTTGATGGGGGCGGAATCGGATTGGGATTCGCGGAGTTCGAAGATCGGGCTGCATTTTAGGGCGTCGGTGTTGGTAGGGATTTCGCCGGGCTGGAGGAGTGGGTTAGTTTGGAATACAGATATGAACAAATGAGACGTACGACTGGGTTGGACCCATTGCGATTGACAGTCGGTCGCTGGATCGGGATATTCGCGCCCTCGAGATCCACGTTCAACTGGACCAAGAACGACTCGGTGAGCGGATTCCGCTTCTTCAGCGCGTGCATCGCCTCGAGCAAGAACTGCAGATTCGCCACCATGGGCTGGTCCTTGGGGCGGAACTTCAAATACTGCACGAACACACGGCTCGCGACGTAGATGCTGAAGGAGCTGAACGGGTTCGTCTTGTTGAGTGTCAGTTCCAGCGAACTTGGTCGAACGGACCGCACACCATTTTCAGGTCTTACAGTAGAAAGATCAAGATGGGTCAGCATGCGCATGATGCGGGCGATCTCCGCGGCGGCGGTGACGCAGCGCACGCGGCTCTCGGAGCTGATGTTAGAGGATAGGCGGTGCTTGTCCGCCTTGAAGATGGCGGCCTGGTGCAGGCAGATGACGCTGGTGTGGATGTTCATGTTCAGGAAGATGACATTCGGTTCGCCGAGGCCGGCAGGCAGGCGGAGGTGGTCGGGGAGGTTGAGGGCGGTGGTGGAGAGGAGGGATTCCATCTTGCGATGGCGGGTCCAGAACTCGCCGTTGAGGTCATCGGCGGCGTCGGCGGGGCTAGGGCGGTGGAGGTGGGTGAGATTGCGGCCGAGGAGGCAGGCCATCACGACGATGCCGCCGAACGAGGAGAGGTTGGATGCACCGCCGGGTTCGAAGACTTCTTCGAGTGAGCAGGTTAGTCCAGGTTTACTGCAGTGATACGCCTCGTCCGCCCCGGGAAGATTGCTCATGATCTACCATCTGTTAGCGGAGACACAATGGGACAGTTGGGCACGACTTACATCCGCCTCCTCGATCTGCATCGGCCACCCGGTCCCAATACTAGCATATCGGTCATTACAATATGCCATCCAGAATGTCCGTCTCCGCTCCTCCCGCTCCACCCAATCTTTCGGCGGCGAAATGCACTGCTTGACGTCCAGCCCCTGTCCATCCAACCGATGCAGCCCCATCATCTGCGCCAACCGCGTCGCACGTCCCACGCTCAGCCAGGCGCGCGGAAAATACATATGCCGGAACTCATACGCTGACACCAGGATCCACGCCTGGCAGTGCGCCACGGTGATGATGTTCTCCCCGTGGCCTTTCATCTCATCCAGCTGCAAGTATTTCCGCGCACGAAAGTAAAAGTGCTCGTGGAGCGACTCGAAGCGGTCGGTGATGGTGGCCGCGGAGCACCAGATCATATAGCGGAGGGCGATGGGCGGTCGCATATTCGGAGCGAGGTTCATGGCGGCGAAGTAGCGGGGACGATGGATCATTGGCATCGACGGGTGGACTTTCTCGAAGTACATCTGATGTCTAGACGACGTCAGTCATCCAAGCGCCCCTTCAGTTATGAAAGCAACCTACAATTCGTTAATGATCTCCTGACTCGGAAGCGGCTCTTCCAACCCCAGGCCGATCATCTCCCAGGACAGCGGTTCGTTGTCGTTCGTAGTATTAGGTGTCGTTGGGTTGAGACCGAAGCCATCTGGAGCGATGGCGCTCGTGCCGTTCAATATTGACTCCGTCCCTCCCATCGAGACGTTCAGTCCCTCCGAGCCGGTGGCCCCGAGACCGTAACTCGTATTCCGCGCATCGGGAACAATCCTCGTAGGTGGCTCAGCTTCTCTCGCCTTGACGATATTCTCCGCCTGTTCTATCCACCGATCTCAAGTCAGCGATCCTGGCCCTCATCCAACTTCCCCAACAAACCCACTGGGCACGGCACCACAACACAACGTATCACAACCATACATAGCCATGGCACCCAAACTAGAAGAACATCTTCACTCACCTAACCTCGCCAACCGCGCCTCCAAATGCTTCACATACCCTCTCTTCGGCCCACTCTTCTTCCGCACCTCATCATACGTGCACTCATGGTTCAGCCGCGTACACGTCGCGCACGCCGGCCTTGTCCCATCGCAGCGCAGCTTCCGCTTCCGACACAGCACGCACGCGATGCGCTTCGTCTTTGGGACATTCGAGGCGTCCGGGTGCGCGTCCACGTCGTTGGGGATCTCGCTGGGGAGGGGGCGCGAGGCGTCGTTGAAGAAGTCGTCGGAGGAGGGGGCAATAGGCGGCATGGTGTGGACGGGAAGCATGTCCTTGGTTTGGAGGTGGAAAGGGTCTGGGGGAGTGTTGGTGCCTGGTGTACCATGGGATACGGACCCAAGCAGCTGAATGGACAGGATGTGGGGATTTGGACCCTTTCCTGCGAGATGAACGGAATCGTGTATTTACATTCGCACCGCTGGATTATTTAACCACTATGAAATGACTCCCAGTGGTTGAAAGGCAGAATATTAAAATCAAGCGTGTCGTCACGACGCAGAAGTGGGCGTAGAGCGCAAGGTGGATGAAACTGCAGTACTGTACCGACGTTGGGCCAAAATGCTTAGAAAGCCGCGGAACAAGTTAGAAGAACGATGGGAGAACGGGAGGGTAACTTTAAACTTAGAGACAGGATTGGCGAGATTCCACCACTGAACTGGAAGAATACGAGATCTCCGGCCCAACGCAGCGATTAAGTCCAGGACTCCAGGCAAACACCAAGAGGCGTCGTCAACGGGTCGCAATTCGATATGAACGCGCAACGTCACACGCAAGCGCAATTTCACCTCCATTTCTAGGATTGCATTTTCATCCCTATCGAGTAGACCCCCTCTCAGATCCTCAATATCTTAAAACATCTCTGTGCATCCTTCTGTGACACACAGGCTCACTACCTGCATCCTCGCAGGCGGTACGGCCAGGAGGTCGGTGTTATGGTTGGACCACCGATAGCAGGGCTGAAGCCAAGCTGATGATCGCCGGCGTTGCCGAGCGCTATTATGACAAGGGCCGCATCTTAATAATCCAAATAATGAGAAATGCATCGATGAATTCCGCGCTGCCAATGGTCTCCATGCTGGCATTTGAGGCTCGGAGTTGTGTCTGTATTACCCGGTTGGAAAAGGGGTTGAAACGGTGCTGACTGTGTCCATGGTCGGTCCTCAATCTGAATTCCGAATTCCGAACTCCAAATATTATCACTCGAGCAGGAGCACATATTGAGTTTGCACATGCATTTGGAGTGCATTCTTTGTGGCGGAGCAACCGGACCAGGACATCCAACGTCCGCCGACACGCCGCGATGGCATCGTATTCGGTGTCCAGGTGCGTCCATCACAGGGGGCTGGGAGTCGTCACATTGCTGCTTTGTAAGAGACTTAAGAGTCCAGATGTTGGGTGGTGTGGCAGTACCATTAGTAAATCCTATTGGCTCGATCGGCATAGTTTTATATTCTGCTGAGTGGTTGATTGGGTCGTGATGTTGAAGCCACGTTTGTGTTATGCCATTGCAGTATCAGTGAATAAGTATACCGAGGGAGGCGGCAGCGATGACGTTGGTCCTTTGAATGCTTGTTACATGCCAAAGTTGTGCTGGTTTGATTGATATGCCAATTCCTCATTCTAATGTACACGCAGCATTCAACCGCAGGCTTGATGCCTTTGACTATTGTACAGCACGCTTCTAGTTCGACAAGATGCGAGGGTCGCTAAGTACAAGGTAGATATTCGACGCCCATGATACGAAAGCCAACACCAGGAAGTGCACGGAGATCCAATCCTTATGATGCGGACTTGGCCCGTCGCTTGCCTTGGTTCCGATGCCGAGCATGGACGACCCACTTGTTGACGTTTCGCTTCTTGCGAGTCTTGAATCCGGATTTGGCCTGTAGACGGTGAGAATGTGGATGGGAAAGTAGACGGGATTGACACGTACCTGTTGACCCCATGGACTCGTGGGAATCTTGTTACCCTTCGACTTGCCACGACCACCACCGTGAGGATGATCGGCTATGTAAACAATCAGTATACCTCAATCGAGACAAAGTGATCGGAAGGATCTGATGAGACGAAGAGACGATATGACATACCAGCGTTCATCGCAACACCTCTGACCGTCGGCCGAATTCCCAACCATCGCGCTCTCCCTGCCTTCCCCAACTGCCTGAAATGCCAATGCGGATTACTCGACACCCCGATGGTCGCGCATGCATTCCGACTCACCCTCCTCACCTCTCCCGACTGCAACCTCACCACCACCGTCCTCTCCTCCTTCGTCCCCTCCTCCCCCTTCGCAATCACCGTCGCATACGTCCCCGCGCTCCTACAAAACACCGCGCCCCGATCTGCCGCCGACCCTACGCAGTACACCTTCGTCCCCACCGGCACCAGGTGCATCGGCAGGCAGTTCCCGCGGATCGCTGTCTTCGCCGCCAGCATCCCCGGGTCCGCCACCCCGCCCATTTCGTCGATCAGCCGCTGCGGGATTCCCGCCCGGAAGCTCTCCACCACGTCGCCGGCGCGCATGCCCTCCGCCGCGATGACGTAGCTGAATGCCTTCTTCCCCTCGTCCGCCTCTTGGCTGAGCAGCGCAATGTGCGCACTACGGTTCGGGTCGTACTCGATGCGCTCGACGAGGCGCGGGCCGGCGTCCATGCGCTTGAAGTCGAGGAGGCGGATGCGGCGCTTGTGGCCGCCGCCGCGATGGCGCACGGTGACGTGGCCGGTGTTGTTGCGGCCGCCTTTGCCGTGGCCCTTCTTCGGGACGGTAAGGGGGTAGTAGGGGCGGCCTTTCCAGAGGTGGTCGTTGACGGGGCGGCGGAGATGGCGGATGCCGGGGGTGCGCGGTGTGTAGGTGCGGAGGATGGCGGCGGCGCCGCCTTTTTTGAGGGCGACGCGGCGGGCGGTCTCGGAGTTGGAGGCGGAGGCGGTGGGAGGGGTGGGAGGGTATTTGGGGGTGAGGGTGATGGTTGGGGGTTGGGAAGGGGATGTGACTTCGATGGTGACGGTGGAGTAGAGGCGTGGGTTACGGAGGGTGGTACGGCGTTGGCTGGATTGCCATATTGACCGTAAGAACGGCCTTGTTTGGATCATCGCCACTCCTGTATCACATCACAGATGCCGGCGTGGCTAATGGGAGGAATTGATGCTGTGATGTACGAAGCTGTATCCAACATGTTCAGTCTTCAATTGAGCTTCAAGAAAATGTCAAGGATGCCTGAGGCAGCAATTATTAATGTCTGAGGCGCTAAGGCTAATATGAGTACACTCGGCCGACCCACTCTATTGCGTCGCGTCCTGATTGGTTGCCATGACGAAAGCGTTGCCTGGTTGGCCGTCCACCAGAAGAACGCGATCCCGTGACTTGTTTTTCACGCGTTTTCTGGTTTTCTCGTCCAAAGAATGTTGATATCACAATTCTATCTCTTATACCTCTTCCACGACTATCTCCCAACAATTCCCAACATTTTCAGCGTCTCCAGCCCTTCAAACAGTCCTAATCGCGGTATATCACGGTCGTTGCGCGGGGCCTTGCGTGGTGGTCCAAGCGGGCGCGAAGACACGCCCAACTGACCGGGATCCTCTGCTTATGTAACCCGCTGGGGCAACAACAAACCCGTGAGTGAACGTCTCTGCTGCTTTCTACATCAACCATCGTGTATTTGCTCCTCACAACAGAGTTCCTTTTCGTCCCCCAAACACGCCTTCCTCTATTTTCCGTCTATCCTGTTTCTCTTCCTCCTGTACGCCGTCTCCATCTCACCCTCTCGCGTGTACAGAGTCTATTCCAGGTTCCGTCACGTTCTTTCTCCTGCCTTGATTCGGTCGGAATCTCGTCAATCAACATCGTGTATCGGGTACCAGTGCTGGGTATCTTTACCTGTCATCATACCCAAGCATCTACTTCACCTGCCCAGTGCAGTTGCCCAGTTATCCGTACGTTAAGATGGATCCATAAGACCTCGCTGGACAGCAATCTCTAACTTCATTCCCAGCTCACGCATCCATCAAAACATATACCACAACAACCTTGATATCGTGCATAAACCGCGATATACACGGTTCCAATTCCTCCGTGTCCACTCCTCTAGCATTCTAGAGGCTTGACGAACTCATCATGCCTCCTGCTGTAAGTTCCTCTTGCTTGATATCACCGTCAACGTCGTCTTCGACTATTCAACACGTCAACCCGTTCGATGAGATATCCCCTTGTGACGTGTAAATTGACCATCACCAGGGTCGAGCTGTTCGATCACGGGCTCAGGGCATTGAAAACGACGAGAATGCCGGCACTACACGTTTGACGCGTGCCAAGGCCGCCGCTCTGAACCACGAAAGTGCTGCATCCGATCTAGTCAAGAAGCCTCTCACCCGAACCAAGTCGACCACCACTTCCACCACCGCGGGTCAGTCCCGGAAACGTGCAGCCCTCGGAGATGTCAGCAATGTCGTGAAGCAAGGCACGGTCACGGAGAAGAATGGTAAAGCTGGGGCCAAGCCGGGTCTCGTCAAAGCCGCCGCACCTACCAAGGTTCAGAAGGTTTCTCGTTCCCAGTCGACGCGAAACGTTCTTGGGAACAAGGACAAGAATGCCTCGGACTTGAAGCGACCGGCGAGTGGGTCGGGGGTTCACGGCCCTGCCTCGAAGAAGCGAAACACGAACTCCACTTCGAAGTCCATTGAGGAAGAGGAGAGCGTTGAGACCCAGGAGAATGTTGCACCAGCGGAAAACACCAACGTCTATATGGAAGTCAAGACGAAGCATGAGGCGGTTGCTCCGAAGGAGGAGGCTCAGTTCCAACCTCGATCCACCACTCCCAAGCTGATTAACCCGGAAGTCGTCGACCTCGATCTCGAGGACATTGAAGATCCTCTGATGGTTGCCGAATACGTCAATGAGATCTTTGATTACCTGCTCGATATCGAGGGCAGGACTATGGCCAGCGAGGACTACATGGACCTCCAAACGGAACTCGAATGGAAGATGCGTGGCATTCTCGTTGACTGGCTGCTGGAGGTTCATGGTCGCTTCCGTCTCCTTCCTGAAACCCTCTTCCTAGCTGTGAACATCATCGACCGTTTCCTCTCCTGCAAGATCGTCCAGCTCGACCGCCTCCAACTCGTCGGCGTCACCGCCATGTTCATCGCCTCCAAGTACGAAGAGGTCCTATCACCTCACGTCCAAAATTTCCGCCACGTCGCCGATGACGGATTCACCGAGGAGGAGATCCTCAGTGCGGAGCGTTTCGTCCTAGCTGCCCTCAACTACGACCTCAGCTATCCCAACCCGATGAACTTCCTGCGTCGCATCTCCAAGGCCGATGCCTACGACATCCAGACCCGTACCCTCGGCAAGTACTTGCTCGAGATCAGCTGCTTGGACCACCACTTCATCGGCCACCCGCCCAGCCAGGTCGCCGCCGCAGCGATGTATTTCGCTCGTCTGGTCCTGGAGAAGGGCGAGTGGGACCCCACCCTCGCCCACTACTCCGGCTACACCGAGGAAGAACTGTGGCCGTGCTTCCAGCTCATGGTCGACTATCTGCATGGTCCGGTCCTTCATGAAGCGTTCTTCAAGAAGTACGCCAGCAAGAAGTTCTTGAAAGGTATTGCAATCTCCCCGTGCATCATAGAATCATCGCTGACTCTTCCAAGCTTCTATCGTCCTTCGCCAATGGACCAAGAAGTATTATCACGACTACTTTGGCATGGAGGCTCCCTCAACGTACGAGTCATCATCGGCGTTGAGGGCCGCTCCTAGGAAGCATAGCTCCCTGAGCTCATAACCACGCACACCTCACCGAGTGTCCTATCGAAAGCGTCGACCCCGCGGTTCCGACTCTTTAATTGGGCGGCTGTACATCATCGCTCAGCTCTCGAGATTTGCTTTTCCTCAGCGCAGCACAATCATCGTTTCCCCGAGCTTCCCTGTTTAGCGATGCGTCCTCCCTTCCTCCCACTCGCACTAATTCTTCTCTTCTCACGACTGAATGATGGATGGGTCCTCACCTTCCGAGCAACATCACACATTGGTTGCTTCCTTGATCATCGCGAATTTCTTCTCGGGCCCACGGCGTTAGATTCCAATGTTTGGGTATATTCTTATTAGGCTGTTTCATTCCCCCTCTGTCCCTCGCGCTGCGGTGCTCTTCACGGTTATCCTATCCGCCCCATCTCATCCTTTCCTCACTAGCATCCTGCATTACTAGCCCCGATCCGCTCGCATGTCTTTCCGTGCGCGATGGCGGAAGTCCCGTGGAGTGCGAAAAATAGCGTATGGATTCCGGATCGTCATCGGCATCATTTCTCTTGGCTACGTTGGACGCGCGAACTCATTCCAGCAGACATATGGGCAAAAGTACACAACGGCTGGGGCTAGTGAGGTGGCAATAAAAATGGTGCGATGTCTATTTCGTGGAGGAGGGTGATGAGGCATCATTTCAAAAACGGATGGGCGTCCATGTGTATGTAGTGTACACGGATGGATAGGAACAATGGCATACATGACTTGAATTCTTAGGTGTGATGTCTTCGTGATTCTGATGATTGATGGTGTAGGAATAGTGTATTTCATCCTGCCCGATGTTTTGAATCCCACTCCCTCCAACCTTCCAGCTGGCGAATCTCGCGATCCGCATCTATGCAATCCATACACATTGGTCCATCAATCCACCATCGGATCCCACTATCTTCATAAGCCACGCATCCCATCCGCTCATAAATCATCACGTCGTAACCCGCCGCCTTCCCCCTCCCCCCTCATCCGCCCCAATTCCATTTACTCAACCCCCCAACCTCAGTCCTTCCATCAATCCCACCTCCTCACAGTCGCCCCCGCATCCACCTCCTTCTGCCGCTGATTCTCCTCGCTCGCCTCCTTCAATATCTCCGTCCTCGTCCGATTCTGCTGTGTCTTGAGCTGCAGTGCGAGCTTGTTCGACGGCGTGGGTTTCTGCGCGCGGCTCTGTGATGCGGGGGTTAGATGGGTTCGGATACGCACTTCGGTGGGTTGGGCGGGAGAAAGGGTGGTGGTAGGGTGGGAGGTGGATCAGAGCCACACGGTCGTGGTCATGGGCCGATGAGCCTGGGCTCCGATTCAGCCAGCCATGCGACTGTACTGCACTGCACCGCACTATACACAACACATGACCCTCTCCCCAACCCAGCCTCACAAACCAACGCAAACGAAAAAACACCTACCTCTGCCGCTCTTGCCGCCGCGGCCTTCGGATCCTCCACGTCCCTCGTCCCGCCCCCCAACGTCCGTCCGGTCTCCGGCTTGATCGGCGGCGCTGCTTTCTGGGGGTTGGTGGCGGTGCTGCTGCCTTGGGCGGGGCGGGCGGGGGGGTTGGCGCTGCCGACGGTGCGAGCAGAGCCTTGGAAGGGGGAGGATTTGGTGGAGGGCTTGCCGAAGCAGTTGCCCATGGTTGTTATGGTGGTGAGAGGTATAGGGAGGTAGAGGTGGGGTTGGAGGGGGGATTCTGGGGGAGAGGGGTTTAGAGGCTGTTTATAGGGATTGTTTCTAGGGATTATTTCTAGGGATTGGGTATAGGGATTATGAACCTTGAGGCAATTGAAGCGGTAGAGAACATAGGTTGGTGGAAGATACGGATGAAGGACGCGCGGTGGTGGATTTGTCGTCGTCGCTCCGGATATCCAATCCAAGCTACGGCTCCTCTGATTGGCCAGAATCTGCGCCTCCTCTGCAGACGTCTTTCATCATCTGCCAGCGCCATTCCAACAATTGTCCCTCCAAGCCATGAGCATCGCAAGAATCCATCGGGGTCGGATTATAGTTGACAATGCGATCACGGCTGAAGAGGCTCAGGAGTAGATCAATTCATCACTGCTTCAAGGCATCAATCTCGGGGAGAGTCGTTGGTGGGCCTCTGGTGTCATCAGTACCTTGATGGGTAAGTGGGAGTCTCGTCTTCATCGCTACACCACTCCCGACAAGTCACAACTGTACCACTGACAACAGATAGATGGAATTGATGAAGACCGTCCTATCTAAAAGCCCAATATCGAATCTATGAGGCTCGAGCAATTCCAGTTCGACACGATGCAATCAAACATCGGACGAAAGCGGCGGCGCTCTCCCGATATTGCGACCAACGCCCTATCGTATCGTCCTACCATCTCCCCCACCTCGCACAGGTTTCAGCGACACAGTAATCCTCACCAACACCCGCCTTGTCAACATCAAGCACCTCATACCACCTTCCCAAGCCTCCCGTCCACCCCGTCGGCGTCCCGCGACGACCCAACGCCGTCACACAATCCCCAACCCCTCCCGTCCTCTCCCCCTCATCCGCCCAAAGGCCCACCATGCTTCGCCCTCCACGACTTCACCACCGCCTTCGACACATCCTTCCTCCGCCCTCCCTCCCCTTGCGAGGAGCCCTGCCCCATCGCCTGCACGTCCGAGGACGACGCCTGCGGAATCCCCGGCTACTGCGCGCTCCCCACCTGCGTCGACGCCGGCTGCGCAGACGGTCTGAACGACAGGTGCGGGGAGATCCCCTGCGATGGATGTGATTGCTCGCAGCCGTGTACGGACAGCAACTGCTTCGACGGGGGGCTCTATCAGTCGCCCTGCTTCGAGGAGGGGTGTCTCCATTCGTATCCCGGAGACGTGGGGCCGATGTACCCGCCCGACGAACCGGAGATGGATGGCGATGTCACGGAGTGTGACGACTGGCAGTGCCTGTTGGCAGGGCAGTTGCAAAATGGGCAGCAGTGGTGGAGCGGGAGTGGGTTGGAGCTGTGCCAGGAGGCGCACGATGGGCATCCGTCCTGGCCTCACTTCCACACGCTGGCCCAGACGTCCATTGCGAATCAGATATCCTCGCAATTTCCTGGCACATTGATGGGCGACGATGGCCGGACACGGCATGGCCACCATACCTGCTTCAACTCGCCGGTATCAAGACCGCATACTGAACAGGGGTCTCTGCCGTTTCAAGAACAAGAGTATTCGGTTCTACGGTCCGATCCATTCGGGCTGGATTTGTCTCGTCTGCAACAAGGAACCAATCTCCAACCGCCGTTAACGAGCCTGCGAGAACAAAGGACCGAAATTCCAGGGACCAGTCCAATCAAGTCCCAACCAAACACAACCATCGAGGCATCGCCCCATGTGATATCAACCTCAAACCTCCCCACACCCCCCCTCACCACCTCCACCTCCGCAACCGACCCCATCCCTCCCACCGAACTCTACCAATGCAACTGGGTCACCGACCCCACCGACCCCACCACCTGCTGCCCCCTCACCTTCCCCACCGCCTCCGCCCTCCAACACCACTTCGAACGCGCCCACACCGCCCTCCTCTCCGGCACCTACCACTGCCAACGCCTGCACTGCGACCGCTTCTGCGGCCGCGACTTCCGCCAGCGCGGCAAGCTCAACCGCCACCTGCTCGTGCACTCCGGCTTCTGCGAGCACGTCTGCGACCTGTGCGGCAAGGCGCACGGCACCAAGGAGCAGTTGAAGAACCACTATACGACGCACACGAAGGAGAAGCCGTATGTGTGCGGCTGGTGCGGGCAGCGGAGCGCGACGGCGACGCAGCAGAAGAATCATGAGCGGACGCATACGAAGGAGAAGCCGTTTGTGTGTCGGGTGTGTGGGCATCGGAGTGGGGATGTAAGTTTTTCGGAGGGATCAAATCAACGGAAGAATGATGGCTAACTTGATGGCAGTCATCGAATCTATCGAAACATATGAAGAGTAAACATCCGGGGTATGATCGGAAGGGGAACGATAAGTCGTCGCCAGTGCTGGGAGATATGAAGGAGGAGGGGGTGTCATGAGTCAGGACCGATCTAGGGGATGTCATTGGATTTTGGGAGATGGACTTTTGCGTCGCTGTCGGCACCCTGTTGTCGATTTATCGTCTATCTTCGTGGCATGGGTGTGAACCGCTCCTTGTTTACATAAAACTGTATTACGATGTAGCATGCGTCCATAAACCCGACGAAGTTTCCAAGTTCCGTGAACTCCCCTGTGCATGACCTTGCCGGTTCCCCGGGGAAACAGTGCTTCAGTCGAAGAATTTTGTATGAAATTCACGAGTTTCCAATGGATTTCCTTGGTAGGACCCATGCGCGATGTGGGTAGAGGTGTGACGGTGGATATTCCCACTGTCTCGAGAGCGAACGACACGAGTTTCAAGCGTGATGTTATGGGTGACGGGGAATCACTGTAGTCATAACCATGTGAATGAGACCTGTTATTCTGTCCGAGTAGTATCAATTCGAATATTTCGGACCTATTCCACTCTCGCGGATCCACGCCGCCAGTCCCAAGCACCAAAGGCTCGCCTCCTCACTTACGTTGATCATACGTCGGGAGGCAGGATACGATCACAGCCGCAGAGTAGTAGGCATCGATTCCCGGCTCGTTTCCATACTACGTATCGTCAGGATAAGTTGTTCGTTTAAGAGGAGTGTCGACTTACCGTCATAAAGGCAACAGCCAGCTCTTTAAACGACCTCGGGTCGCCATTCAACCACGTCACCCGCTCTTTCGGAAACACCCTCTCCCGGTGCCATGTCGTCTCGTTATCCCGCGTCACAGAATGCGTGACCGACTCCGGATCCAGACTAGTTTCCTCCGTGTATCTCTCCCAGACGATCGGGGCGCATAAGAAGTCAGACAGATAGACGTTCGTCGCATGGGGGTCGGCGGTGCCATTGTCAGATGGGGTGGAGTCATCGGAGTCGGTCATCTCGTGGTCATCGCGCCATTGCTCGTAGTGACTGCCGTCGAGGACGGCGAGGACGCCGGTGTGGTGGAGGAGACGTTTGAGGGCTTGGTAAACGATCATGTCGAGGCCTTTTAGCATGGGGTTTAGATGGGGGATAGCGGCTGGCGAGGAATGGGGATAGCCGTGGGTGCATGTGAAGCCGATGTGACCACCTATCGAGCAGTGATTAGCTCAGCCTGGTGAATGCGACAAGTCTTTGGAGTTCGAGCCTCACCATTAGGAAGGAATGAAGGGCTTTTCACGAGCTTCTCCAGCGCGGCATAGAAGTGGAACGAGGACTGGTTCAGAGCGCTCAGATGGGTCGCCATGAGCGACGGCCCGTAACTGGTCCAGTACAAATTGTACGTAAGCGTCACTCGATGACCGTCGGTGACCTCGAAGACTTCGTGCTCGCAGTCGGAGAAGAATGCGGCCCATTGGATCGAGTCGGAGTCCTTGGACGACCAGTCGAAGAGGACTTCTTGGCCGCCATGGCGTACGGCCAAGGCACCCCCTGGGAAGCATGTTAGATGGCTGATCGACTACGGATCTGGTCTGCGAACCTTGGTGGGGAGAGGGCAGACAGACGACAAGGGAGCCCATCTGATTCTCCGATCGAGGGGTGTCAACATGAGACTTGAATTTCCCCGACGGTCCCGAATAAATCTATCATATTGTTAGCAATTTTCCTTGATCCCCTCTGCGAACTCACGTTGAGTTTATATAACTCCGCTCTCACACCATTGCGCTCTACTTCCTCTTCAAACGCACTGTGGACCAATGCTTGGGTCACCGTGTCGACAATCCCATGCCTAGCAAGGTTGAAGTTGGTGCAAAACTCCGTGACATCCATCTTACCCGCCTTACGATACTCCTCGTCCAAGACTTCCGCGTTCCCCTTACCGAACGTGGCGGGCTGGCAGTCCATTAGCAGCTGCTGAAAGTCACGGCTCGACATCTCGTCACCCGGCACTGGCAGCGAGACCTTGCGTCCTTGTCCACCCTTGCGGGAATCCCAGCGGATGACAATTGGGCCTTGATTGACCGAGCTCGTAGTTTGGAGAGTCTCGACATCGATCTTGCCGCCGATCGCGAAGACATCTTTCGAGGCATGGCGACGAAGCGCCGTGGAGACTACTTGGAGAAGATCAAATGCGTCGGGTTGATTGTTGTCCATATCGTCACTCCGGCTCGCATCAACAACACAGTGCAAACAGTGGTTCAAGTTGGCAATGGTAGGGATTCTTTAGAGATGTCTTTCTGATGTTGAGAAATGTTAAACCATAGAAGCAGAACTGATGTGACTAAAGGGAGAAAAACAGAAATTCATATATTAGTTGAGCTACGCAGTAACCAAACCAGCAGCTTTCACATTGCCTGTTACACCAATCAGGCAGCTGGCTGTCAGTAACCAATCGACCTATCCGCTTTGGAAGTGCTACTAAGACGGCTGATGACTCACGAGGCATTAAGTCCAGTCATAAAGAGTTACACAACAGTAGAGACAATGGGATGGTTGAGAACAGAAAGGGTTGAGATGGAAGAGATCGTGTTCAAAGAACGCGTCACGTCACGTCAACCGAACCTCGGTACCTAATAAAACGCGTCTCCACGTGACCAATCCCCAGGATCCTCTAAAATCTCAACCCTGCAGTGAACCCGCCGCCTTCACACAAATTGGACCCCCAATCCATCCATCCAATCCGCACCCAGATCTTGAACGCGTGCTCAATTGCAGACGCACCAATGGGACCGGCCAATGCTGTCGCGTGCCTCCTGCGCATGGACGGAACGGACGACACTGTGTCGTCGACGCAATCCTGGAAACGTATGGCACAGTTGTATTTGCAAGAGGAGGGGGGTTCGGAGACAGGAATCCTTGGGATGGCTTCGCTGGCTGCTGTTGAGGCTGTTGAGGAATTGGAGACGCAAATCGGACAGGCTGTACTGCGTTCGATCGGTGAGGCATTTGAGGTTTAGATGATCGCGGGGTGGATATACTTGCCTACCATCGCAGAACAGAGTAAAAGAGCTGGCCTAGTCCTTTTCATTCTGTACCTCTACTTGTTCTCTTGTCTGATTTAGTTGGAGTCAAGTTGGTGCTATTGTGTGCACTACGGTCGTGTTCGCAGACTTCGCTCCCTGGCACCTCCACAGTCCACTCGACCAAATCCCACAGCACCTTGAGTGCATCTTTTATCCATTCAAGTCCATTGTTCATTGAATAGGAAGCTGCGGTGCTATCCGTATACCATCTACACTTGCTACTTGTCTCTCGATCTACATCGAAACCAGATGATCCGAATTGAATTTGGTGCATGAGACTGAGATCCTTCTACTCATTATAACGACCTCGACACGCCGATCAGGGCGCCAGCCGAGTCCAATCTCTACCCCATTCTTCGAACATCCACCTCATCGCGAGACAAACTCCCCTCCTTCCACGACTTCCCAACCCACGCTGAACATCGCACATCCTCGTCTATATAGATTTCCAAGATCTATCCTGTCTCCCACCATGTCCCCTCCCACCTCCCTCCCCACCCCCCAGCCTTCCACCGACATCCCCGCCTCCAAGCGCGGCTCCCTCACCTCCCTCGACCCCTTCGCCCTTCCTCCTGCCGCCCTCCCCCCCTCTACCACCAGCACATCCAGCGCATGTCGACCACTCAGCCTCACGTTGCCGATCCACGCGACCACCCTCCACGAACAAGAACCCTTCCCCATATCAACAGAGCCGCAACCACCGATACCACCGAGCGGTACCAGCACATCACCCAGCAATGGCAAGAAACGCCCAAGCACCGCGACCAGCGGACGCGCCACGAAGGGGGGCCACAACCAGCGGGGTCGCACGAACGAAGCGACGAAAGTGGACGACGATGATGCCGAGGACGCGGGACGGGCGGACAAAGCCTACCGGCTCCCGCCACCACCGACGAGGGCACGGAGGATCATCCAAATGGAGCCAAAGGAGACGGGGAGTGCTGGCGGGGATGTCGGTGTCGGGAGCGGAGCCACGAGTGGTGGAGCACCAGCTTCTGTGCCGACGGGACCGAGCAGGGTGGATGGGGGCGGGAAAGGGCGGAAGAGTGCGGGTGGGGCGAGTACGGCGGCGGGGCGGAAGACGGCGCGGAAGACAGCGCATAGTTTGATTGAGCGGCGGCGGCGGAGTAAGATCAATGAGGAGTTCGGAGTGTTGAAGGGGATGATTCCGGCATGCGCGGGGCAGGAGATGCATAAGTTGGCGATTTTGCAGGTGAGTTTGGCGAGAGATCTTACCGTTTTGCGATCAGATGGGGGAGGGGGGGTTGACTGGCTTATCTAGGCTGCGATTGAGTATATGCGGTACCTGGAGAAATGCGTCGGCGATCTGAACGGCGTCAACGAACGCTCCAGACGATCCAGCGCCTCGAATTTTGTCGCATCGCGACCTGCTACCGTCCATCGCCAGTCTGGATCAGTTGCTGGATCCGCTCATCCGTCCGCGAGCAACACTCCGATCATCTTCCCGCAAGTGCAAAACCACGCGGATGCAACACCCGAGGACCTCTCACCGTACGGACCGCACAGCGACCTAGACGGCGACCTAGCCATGTCCGATGTATCTCCACCCACGCCGACCAATCTCGCCGATCTACGAGAATACACTCTCCAGCAACCCAGCAGCACAGAGGCTTCCTCGATCGCTTCTGTCTCCCCGAACTTCCCCCCTCTAATCTCCCCACGCGCCCTCCAACCCACGTCGTCTACCCTCTCATCCCCTCACATCCCCCCATCCACCGCCACCTCCCCATCCCTGCACCCCTCTCTCCGCCACGACTCTATCCTCTCCTACTCGTTCAACCCCACCATCACGGCCCCTGATTTCTCGCTTGGGCGGTCGGCGATGGCGGGGAGAGATGATGGGGGTGGAGGAGGGAGTGAGGGGAGCACGAGGGAGGATGTGGAGGTGATGACGGCGTTGATGATGTTGAATGTGGATCGAAGGGGGTGGGGGGAGGAGAGGGGAGGGAGGGAGGGGGAAGAGAAGACGGGGCGGCGTGAGGTAGTTGGGAGGAGGAATCGGGTAGGGATGAGCGTGATGGATTTGTTAAGTCGGGATTGAGACGTGGAATTCATATATTGATCTACCAAAAGTTATAATAAAGATGCCTACTCTAGTTATCTATAAATTCAATCTCAAAAAAAAACTCATTCTTTGATAAAATGATCCCGAATTGACGGGACTGGGATATTGATTGATAAGGCAAACAAGAGTTAAAAGAGTAAAAAAGAGTAAAAAAGAGTTGTTACAACTCCCACCGCCGCCAACCCTTCCCAGAGTGAGTGTAATCGGGCAACGCCGTCCAACGGAGAGAGTCCTCTGCCCAATTGCTTGACTCAAGAATATCTCTCTGCTTAAGACTTCCACAGCGATCATGAGTTACCTGCATGAGTGGGAAGCCACCGTCGGGCTCGAACTCGGCACCCTCTGCTGGCAATTTTTGGTTGGGGTTGGAGAAGCAGTGGATCCATTGCATCTTCTCTACCTTTCGACCATGACAGCCAAATAAATATTCAACGATTAAAATTATATACCACTTTTAATTTTACTCAAAGTAATCATCTTCAATGTTCGTGATATCAATGGGAAATTTTCGAATTATGCATACAACAAAGCACCGAACATATAATGTCGCTCGGGGATGTAGACCTCCCAGCAAGAACCTCCGCTCCGCCCCTCTCGCTTATTGAACTCTCCACCCGAATCCCCATCACCGCTCTCAATCACTTCCACCCCTACGTCTTCTCCGCCGAAGGTCCGTTTCTCAAAGTCTACCACCGCCCCTCATCCACCCTCTACACCAAAGGAAAAGTATTCGCGACCCAGTCGATCCATGACATCCTCGTTCGGGATGTTGGAGATACGCGATGTCTGCTGGTGGTTCGTGGGGGAAGATGTGTAAAAGCTGTGGTTTTTGAATTTACGGAAGCGGAAAATGGGGGGTGCAAATTGCATCTTGGGAAACTTCATATTCTGGACGACTGGGTTCTGTCCGCGCAATTGCGGCCTCAAGAGCATGGATCGCCTACTGGAGTCATTAATGGCAATCATGTCAAGTCATTGGTGAGCGTGATCGGTGCGGCCGTCTCAGCGCATAATGGAGTCACGCTTTTCGAAGTTGCAGTCTACGAAGACACAAAGAATCAAAAGAATCAAACGCAGCTCCACATCAAGAGTCATGTCCAAGAGCTAAAGCCTAATTCACGAACGCTGCTCTTCTCAGCTTGCATCAAATGGACCACCCCCTCCGACCTCCTCATCGCCTCCGGATCCTGTTACGGTGAGATCTGTGTCTGGTCCTGCCGCACCACCGCATCGCAGAACGCCTTCCCGATCCTCCACATCCTCCCGGGCCACGAGGGCTCCATCTTCGACCTCGACATCTCCGACGCCATCGCCGCGCCCAATCTGCGCGCGCCGAGGCGGCTACTCGCGAGTTGCAGCGACGATCGCACGATTCGGGTGTGGGATGTCTCCGACGCGGACGGTCGGACTCGGGACTTGTCGATTCAGGACGCGGAGCTGCATCTGGGATCACAGTATAGCGGGTTCGGGTTCCAGGATAGCTTGGAGCAGGACATCTCCAGCACGCGACCACTAGCGTCCGTGTGGGCGCATCAGTCGCGCATCTGGGACGTTCGGTTTTCGAACCTCCTTTCCGCCGACAAGAGTTTGCCGGCCGTATTGTCGGCAGGAGAGGACGCATCGTTACAGGTGAGGGATCTGCAGTGGTGTGAAGGGGGACTGCAGGTCACGCATCGGTCGACGTTCGTGGGGCATGCCGGGAAGCATGCGTGGGCGGTGTGCGTTGCGAGGAATCTGGATGGGTCCGTGGACGTTTTTAGTGGTGGCGCAGATGGTCGCATTCTCTGCCATGCGGCGGATGGGCACGGCGACGGTCGTGTGATTGAACAAGAAGACTGGACTGCGGCAGACTTCTTGGACGTGCAGAGTTTAGGTTGCACGCCATTTCGCCTGGACAGCGATGAGATGGAAGGGACCGAGAGCACGATGGACGCGATGGTCGTCCTGAAGAACGATTTCGCTCGGTCATTCTGCTTCGTGGCTGACGACACGATTCTCGTGTCCATGAATTCTGGCAACTTGCTACGAATAGATCGAAACAGCGGCGATGCTGGGTGCGTGAGCAAATGGCACATAGAGGGCATCGGATCTATTGGATCATTATCGGGCTTGGCTATGATGGCCAGCATTCCTGAATTGGGGGTCGCGTTCCTCGTAGGCAAGCAACCGATCGGATATCTAATCGAACCAACACGACAATCACTCACTCCCATCACACTTGATCCGCGGCGTGTGACTGGTTTGCTGTTCGGACAAGTCGCATCATCGTCGCGAACGCCGGTGTTGATGGCTTGCTTGAACTACCATGCTGGAGATCCGCAGCTGTACATGATGAAGATGGCGGACGGTGAGCTTGCCTCTAGCTATGTCCTCATGTCCATGACGCTTTTCTCGGCGAGCGGGTTGCCTCTCGTTCCGACTAGCTTGGCGGGAGTATATGATTCAACTGGGATCAATGCGATTGCGGTGGTTGGGTCGCGGCACGGACATATCTGTTTCTATACTAGAAGTCTGAACGGACACCTTGCTGCAGGTTCTCACGGAGGCGACTCAGTGGAGCCGAGTATGTTCATCAAACATGCGCATGGAGAAGAAGCTGTCACAGCCATCAAGATCCTCGATACCCCTAGCTCCGGGGTCTGGCTTGCGTCGACTGGCCGAGACGGCTTCCTCAAAATCCACCATGTCGACCTCGCCCGATCTCGCGCCGATTTAATCCACGAACTGCGACCTCCCTTCGGCCTCGACATAGAAGGAATGACCTTCGACAAGACCCAAGGCACCCTGATCATCTACGGCTTCCAACAGCGGCAGTTCGTCGCCTACGACGCGATCACGGAAACTCGGCTGCTCAGCATCGATTGCGGCGGCGCGCACCGCTCGTGGTGCTTCCATCTCGTCCCTAACGATGGCGGGATGCCAGCGTGTACGTTGGTGTGGACGCAGGCGCGGAAACTTCGACTGCATCGGCAGGAAAGGCCGGTTGCGAAGACGGTCAAGGTGGGGTTACATGGGCGGGAGATCAAGGCTTGTGATGTCACGCGACGGCGGATGGCAGAGTCGGAGGATGAGGTGGCGTTGATAGCCACAGGTGCGGAGGATACAGACATTCGGATTATCAAGTATCAATCGGCGGATCGAGAGACGAAGGCGGCCGGGGAGCCAGAACTGGTCCAGGTAGCGACGATCCGGCAGCATACGACGGGGATTCAACACCTGCAGTGGTCTGAAACGGGTGATCGACTGTTCAGCAGCGGGGGGTTCGAGGAGTTCTATGTGTGGAGGGTTCAAGCAGTGCCGATATTGGGACTGGGGGTCACGCGCGAGTCGACGTATCCGATCTCGCGCCCGGAGACGGACTTGCGGATCACTTGCTTCCAGGCGGTCGGGGAAGGTGGCTCGACGAGCGAGTCGGGAGGACCCGAGCGCTCGTATAAGATCGCGATGGCGTTCTCGAATTCGAAACTCAAGGTACAAGGGCTCCACAATTGAGGATACTCGTAATATTGACATTGAACAGCTCTGGCGATACGAAACCGGCCCCGACAAACCAACATGGACACACCTCATGACTTTCACATACACCACTAACTGCCTCACCCAGTGCGCCATGCTGAACTTCGCCGCAACCAACTACGCCGTCATCGGGAGCACAAACGGATTCCTTGCATTCGTGAAGCACAATGAAGATCAACCCCCGTCGTCAGGCGTCAAGATCGGCCCGTTCTCCCGCCTCCTCGTCCACCAAACGGCTGCCCATCAGAACGCCGTGATGACCTCCTCTATCGTCCACCTCAAAGACCGCGCTCTCATCCTCTCCGGCGGGGACGATGACGCCATATCCGTCGTGCTCGCCGAACAGACTCCCGAAAAGCTGATTGTTTCTTCGGTGGTTGTCCAAAGTGCCCATACCGCTGCAGTGACCGGCTCAGCGATCATCAGTGCTGCAGCTAGAGGGGATGTTTGGAGGATTCTTGCCGTCACGGCGGGTAATGACCAGAAAATCCGCCTGTGGAGGGTTTCGGTGGGACTGCCCTGCCGTGGTCCAGACTCCATCATAGTCAACAGTCTGGGGAGCAGACCGTGTGCCGTCGCTGATATATCGGGTCTGAACATCATCCGCTACAACGGCGTGGTTGAGATCGTGGTCTCCGGCATTGGATTCCAAATTTTTAGAATTCCAGTCGAAGGATGGGCACCTGGCAACGAGAAAAGCCCAACCATCAACGGTCGCTGCCCATGAACAAAACCCTCCTCAATTCCCCTCCTCCCGCTCCAAAAATCCGGGATCCTGCTCAATCCGCCGCTCAAACTTCCCCCACCAATCCTGCACGCTCTTCAACGGCACCACCTCCTGCCCCCCGGCCCCTCCGCTCGTGAAGCTTGCCAGAAAATTAAACAAGTTCGTCACGATCCGCTGCGCCAGCACCTTCGTCGCCACCCGCGCTGGCGGCGGCCGATACACCGCCATCTGCTGTCCCGCGGACCCGCCTGCCGTCCCCGCCTTCTGCGCCGCCAACGCCGCCGCTACCTGCGCGGCCGGCTCGACGGAGATGCCGAGCATCACGACATCGTTGGCACCGGGGGTCGGGGTGGGTCCGCTTGCGTCGTCGACCATGGCGTCGACGTCGGCGGAGGCGCCAGCGCCGCCGCCGGTGGGGCTCGAGTCGTTGCCGTTGATTTTGAAGACGGCAGACGGCTTGTCAGCGGCGATGGCGCCGAGGAGGCGGAAGTCGGAGGTGGGGGTGAGGCGGATGTAGACGGCGGCGGCGGCGTCCGGGGGGAAGGCGGCGCCGGGGTGGAGGAAGACGACGAGATGGTTGAAGCGGGGGGTGGCAGGGAGGGAGAAGGCGGATTGGGTGGGGGAGATGGTTTGGCCTTCGGTGAGGACGGGGCGGCCAGATACGATGACGCCGAACATGATGGCGGGGATTATGGATTGGAAATCAAGGAAGAAAAGACGAGCTGAGACTACCCATGGGTTACAATATGTTGTTCTCTTAGGTAGGCAGAGGAGGTATATTTAGAGATCGGATGACGGGGCTGTTTGGGTTTTCCAAATCCGTCTCTGTGATATCAATATATACATGCAATTGATTCAACCTCCTCTTAAAGAAAATGAAAAGATGATAATAGAATCAGCCGTGAAATAGAATCCAAGTCCAATACGAGGGAAATGGCCGTGAAAGCAGGCGAGATGATGGTGTGACGTCGAAAGATGTGGTTGCCTTAGAGTGTTTTGTTGTTGTCTGAGGCATCAATAACTTGCTCGCGATGTCGCGTTGAGATGATTTCCTGAGATATTTCTTGAGATGATTTCCATGCTCTATCTCATCAGATTTACTACGTACTCTCCACCCTCCCATAATCCCTATAGGACGTCAAGTTCTCCACAATGTCTCTCGAAGTCCATGTATGGGGTTCAGCATTCGACCTGCCCTCCATTGATCCGGAATGCCTCGCGACCGTTTGCCTGCTCAACTCCTTCATGAGAAGCGAAGTCCAGTGGAAGTTAATCCCCAACTTCGACCTCTCATTCAGTCCGAACCGTATGTTGACGACTATTGGTTCCACGCTCAATCGCACTCTGACAGCAATTTAGGTACGTTTCCGGTTTTGGTGGACGGAGACCAGAAGATAGCTGGATATGACCGTGTCCTCCGTCACCTAAGGAATCGTGATATGCTTTTGGAGCCTGCGGGCCCAGCGCCGGAGCTCGATCCATCGGTGTGCGTATAATAACACTTGAGTTGTAAGAGACAGACGCTTACTTAGGATGCTAGGGTTTCTGCGTTCCTTCGGTCCCAAGGCCAGCAACTCCTTGACCTCTCCCTATACGTCTCGTCCGAGAACTACTACGAGTCGACCCGATCCGCGTATACGAAACTGCTTCCTCTGCACATCAATTACTTCTTACCCCTAAGCCTCCGGGCCAGCGCCAAAGCTAGAACACAACACCTCGGTCTCTCATCGCTGGACCTGGATGCCGAAGAGCCCAGCGATTCACGGAAACCTGCCACAAACACAGCAATCCCTCCTCCGACCCAAACAGCTGCTCAGGCTGGCAAGGTGCAGAAGAGCATCACATCATTCTTACGAAAGTCCCCGCATGTCGATCACATCCGACTCGATTCTCTCGCAACGTCATTCTTCGACGTCCTCGAGGAACTGCTCGCCAAAGATTATTTTGGAATGACCAACGAAGGGACAAGACCAGTGGACTGTCTCCTATTTGGATACTTGGCCCTGATGTTGTATCCGGACGTACCGCACAAGTGGCTTGGGGACGCCATACGTAGGCGTTATCCAAGAATAAAAGAACACGTCGAACACCTACGGCGGTACTTCCTTAGCGATCTACCGACACCGCCATGGTCACCGGCCCCAAGCAGAGGCCTTACTGCTCCATTGTATGACCTGGGACATATTGTCAAGAGCTCAATTCAAATCTCGAAGCCATCCTCTCAAGCCTGGGTTGGGATGGCTTTGTTGGTTGGCTGTTTGGCATTTCGGTCTGGGGCCGGCCGATCGCCAGCTGTAAATTATATCTTCCCTGCGCGTTGAGGCGATGGCTATTCCCTACCGCACTAAAACCAACGCCTCCATACGGTGGCTCTTTTCGGGTCACATTATGGCTAAGCCTGGGTCTAGTAGAACCGATTCTGGACATCCGGAGATCAAGACTCAATGTACCTTGATGACAGGGCTAGGTAATGAAGCTGCTCTACAGATTTGTCCTCGCAGTTTTGAGACACTCCAGGACTGATCTACAGACTGACGGCGCCCGAGGAAGAAGAATCTACCACTGGTACAAATATTCCCGGAGCCGAGGCCAAAAATGGCTTCCATCCATAATGTAGAATTAAGGAACACTTCAAGAGCATCATGCACGTCAGGTGAGGTCTTTCTAGATGGGGAAGATGCGCTTTCCACGATCAAGATTTCAAGCAACAAGTACTTCTCTCCGTACCGCCATTTTCACGCAATCATCTCATCTGTCTTCTATTGTGTTCTGGCTTCACCCCATCTAAATAGCCATGCTCGCTATTTTAGACCTTTTGTGGCCCACCAACCCCCTTGTCTATGGGCCCATTGTGGTCTGGTTCTGTATCCGTCCGTTGTTCACCTTCTACTCCGGGAAAAGAACTCACGGCCCCCCTCGCGGCTTTCTGATCTGGATTCCACGCGTTTTCTTGATCGATTCCCGCACAATCTTGACCACCAACAGTCTGGAGGCTTACCTGCTCCTTCGCTTTCAGAAGTTTTGTTTGGCGTTATGTGTCCTAGCGATTGTTGTCTATGGTGTGCCGCTCGGCTGGGTTTATCAAAGGGTACCGATACCCCTTAGAGTGTACAGATATGGGAGGATTAGCTTTTACAATGTTCCGAAGGGTTGGAATCTCCTGCTGCCAACGTTGCTCTGCATCCTCTATACTGGTACGCTTCTCACCCCGGTCTTCATATTTGTGTTTTAACAGCTCTCGTTATAGTGATTTCTCTCTATGCCATCGTCCATGAAACGTACTTCTACCACAGAGCAAGAGACGCCGTGATGCTGCGCAGCGGAATGCTAGAGCGAGTGTCGACAAGAACCGTTTTGTTCAAGACCCTCACGAGAAACATCTACGAGGATGACATCCGCGACGAACTAGGAGCCGCGGATATTGAAGATGTCCTCATCCAATGCGATACCACGCGACTTGAAGATATTTTCTACCAAGTTCCTCATTTCCGGGGTGCAGTCGAGAGGGGCCTACTCCGGTCTATGAGACATCGACTTAGAACTGGAACGGACAGTTCCGACCCCGGCCCGGCTCAATGCCTCCAGTGGCTCGATTTCATGTGGAACGCCGTCATCCTCGAAAGAATGAAATTGGAGAAGGACGAGGCCTTGGAAACTGGCTTCGTGTTTGTCCTTTTTCGCGACTTCCGAACGGCTATGAAAGCCTACCTCTGCAACGATTATACCCTGGAACCGATCGCTATCGGCGTGAAACCGAGGGATCTATTGTATGACAATTTCCACGATCTTCTCCCAAAGGACCGGCTCAGTAACGATGGATGGCGGAACCACTTGCTCGCGCTTCTCGTGCCTGTGGCTTTCTACGTCCCTTTCTCGAGCTGGCTCGTGTATCTCGCCAAGGATATACTAAGCCGTGTCACCAGAGACGTCACGCTGGTCTTCCTCGCCCTCTGTATGCGTTGGCTTGCAATGCAAGGCCTCCAACTTCGCCGACTTCAGAGGTCGGTTGTCGACCGCCTCTCCATGAATATGCTCCTCGAGATGGACTTGTACACGATCTTCCTTGTATGTGGAGGGTTTTTTGATCCGAAGATGCCAGTTGTGCTCCATGATATTACCAATGCTATTTACATCGTCGCTATTCAAGCGGATCTCCTGATCTTCGTGTCTCTGACATTTGCCCTCCTTGCCAAAGCGGGGGCGATCACACCGCGAGAGATATGGGAGAGTCGCCAGCTTCCCAAGAATAACCTGACTGTTCGATACAAAACTTTCATTTTGGCCCTTATCCTCAGTAAGTGATAGTGCAATTATTTCGAGGTGTCGGGTACTAAGCGCCAACAGTCATGACTGCTTCCCCTATCGTGCCACTAATAGGTATCGGCTGCTTTCTGTTCCTTGTCATCAATTATTTCTACTGGAAATACAACCTGCTCTACGTATTTGCCGACGTCGACGACTCTTTCGGGTTCTACCACGGCGAATCGCTGCTCTGGCTCTGCCGTTGTGCCGTCTGGGGCGGTCCGATGCAGCTACTCTCAACCGTCTGGGTGAAGCACAACTTCGCCGAAATCATCCACAAATTCATGTGGCGCCGCTCCCTCGACAGGGGTCTCCGAGCCGACTTCGTCGTCTGCATCGTCGCGTTGGCGATCTTCGTCCTTCTATCGATGTGCACCCAACACTACTATGACTTCATCGAGCCGCTGATGAACCTCCACCCGTGCATCATCTCCGATGATACCCATCGACTGGAGCGCGATATCCGCGACGGATTCTACTCCCCCCGCCCCCCGAAACACGTCTTCGCACGCCTCTACCGCTTCATCTGGCCCGACTACGCCACCATCCGCGAATTCGTGAACCCCCGCACCTGTCCGCCCGCGCCCAATCTCGACGCCTATCTGCGGCCGTGGGAGGAAATGGACCCGTTCCCGATTTGGCTGCCGGAAGACCCGGATGGGATCGCAGAGGAGATGGCGGAGACGATCCGGGACACGTTCGATTCGGATGATAGCTGCGTGGTTGGGTGCGGAGCGTATATGGATCGGAAGGGGAAGATCCATCTAGATGAGATGGAGGCGAGTCAGAATGATTGGTTGAGGGGGATTGGAATGAGGGATGCGTAACGGACCTGCCCGTATACATCAGTTTGTAACAATCTAATCCAATTTCCTTTACAGGTCTCGTACGCGGATTGCCAACTGCCGCTTGCTAGGCCCCCTGAGCGGAGACGGTACTAATACTCGACTGTCGCGCTCAGTGTGAATTCACGTTTCGTGTGAAGATCCGATCTTTGAAACACTGAACGTCAGAGTGATCTCGATAGAGTTGTATTTGTGTGGAACTAATCTACAGAAAAGAAGAAAAGGAAAGGAAAGGGCAATCTACATGGTGGGATAGAGAGAGACCTGCAGGTCTAACACAAACGCATAGAATCTCTTAGCCACACTTGTTCAACCACATAGAACAAGTAATGTGAATGCATAACCAGCATCGCGCCAAGCCGTGTCAATCTTAGATGAAATATAGTTATCAGCTTCCTCAAACACACAGTCCTGATATCGATGGAGAGGCTGTGTCGTCTCACCATCAATTTTACCACTGCCAGTCACTTCGGGCAGCCCTTTCGTGCGCGTACAGTTTGCCCCAGTCTTCTCCATCATCGCTTCCAGAGTGGCTAACGGATCGTTGTGTCCCTCACTCGACATCCTCTCTCGATTTCTCCAGACTAACTAAAGAATACCTATTGCAAACGGCCGCCAAAGATTCAGGTACCATACCGTCCGTCCGCGCCGTAGCTACCGACGATGCCCACTGCTGGATCTCACTGTAGCGATGATGCCCTAAAAGATCCTGTGATTGGGTCTAGGTCGTGGCAAGTGAGGAGGGGCTTGGTCGTGGGAAGCGGGGGGGACTTGGTCATGGCAAGGGGGGGGGACTTGGTCGTGGAAATCGGTTCCTTCCGTCGCAATCGCCGTAGGTCCGTTTTCAAAGCCTTCGCATGTTTTTCGATATCTGCGCTTGTGAACTCATCGCGGATCATATCTCGCCGGAACGCGTTCCACACTTGCTTCTCATCGTCGTCGTAATCGGTCAACGCTGATACAGCGGTTCCATGGACCTTGCCGACCTGCGCCGAAATCGTTTGCAGCACTTGAGGTAGTCGGGGTAACAGGTCATTCTCCACACATCTTGTCTGCAAGGCGACCCAATCTTTCAGATCGTCTAGGTTATTGGTGACGATCGAGGCTTCCGCTTCAGCCTCCGTCTGCATCTTTCGGATGATCGTCCGGAAGGTGACGAGGTTGTCGGTTATGTTGGAGTGGTTGCTGCAAGCGTTCTTCCACCCCTCGTAGGTCTTTGCCGTCGGTTGTGTGAGGACGACTATGCCTTCGACCAAGAACCGGAAAATATGCTAACGTACGATAATGTGTAGTTTAGTAAACCAAGAAAATGAGATAAAAACAAGACTTGGAGTTAGAAGGCGAGAGATAAAAACTAGATATATATATCCTCCGCTTTAATGCAGGATATATGACGTGCGACTGGTCAGTTCTACTGCCTCCACGAGCATGACTTTCAGGCGGCGAGGTTCAATTAGTTGACCAGATCATGAAGTGCTTCGAAATCCCTTACTGAGGCGGAACGTACTAGCTCGAGTCTACCTAACAAAGGGCGAGCGGGTCGGAATACTCATATGCAGCGACAGGCGCTTGCAGGTCTACCGATAATTATTGTGATGCCTGGGAAAATCAATGAGTACGTCGCGTCGATGGACAAAAGCATCGGAGACTTCGGAAAGGAAAGGTTGGGATCATGCCGGTATCGCTGTGCCGTAATCGAGGGCGGAGTCGTGCAGGCTGCTTGAATGATCTATCAGGCGCTCACCCTCGCCGAATCCAGTGCCTCCCACCAGGAACCGAAGGCAGCAACAGAACCGAAGCAGACCAGCTGGATCGGAGCTGACGGGGAAATGATGAGGAATTGCAGCATGATATCAAGAATACAACATCGCGGAAGCGAAAACGAGCGCAGAATCAGGGCGAAGCGCTCACGTGCTGGAATATCGACGAGGAACCAAGATCACAGGAGAAACTGCACGACACGATGAACATATCAAAACTTTCGAATTCGCCGACGTCTATCAAGCAACGCTTAGCCGCTTTCATCCACGCATCGCCCGGTTTTCCAAACCGCGTGCAGAAACCCTTTCCCTCCCCTTTAACACGTTGAGTGGACCGAACCCCTTCATATCCCTCGTCGTCAATACGACACCGCATGTCCCATCCAAGCATCCACGCACATGCACGCATGTTTCCATCCCATGATTCATCCCAAACTTCCCCGACGTAAGTAAGAATATGGTATAACGAACAACCCAGTCCCCTTCACAAAAATTTATCCAAATGCCGCCTTCCTCGACCCCCCAAACCCCATCCCCATCCGCGCAAAAAAAACAACAAAAACCAAAAAAAAACGCCCGACGCTGATGTCGAAACAATGGTGATGATCGTGGTGTGCAAGAAAACGCCGCGTAGTGATGGATGGATGGAACGCCCCCAACCCCGAACAGCACAAAGGAAAGGGAAAATCGCGCGAGGAAGAAACGCCAGGATCGCCGAGCAGATGCAGGTCCGTAAAACGTGAACAGGGCGTGAGACATGGGTGACCGAGGCGCCGTCGGCCGGGTCATGCGGATGGATGAGTGGGAAAACGCTGGTGATGGACGGAACATAGGAGATGGTTGATGGTGGTGTGGTGGGTGGGTCAAGTAGGTAGATGGGTTCATCCAGGCGGAAAGAAATGGAACACCCCAACCATCTGTTGGTTTTGGTAGAGGGGGAGCAGATCACTCCATTCCTTCCACCTCGGATGGTCGACGTCGAAAGATGATGAATGCCGAAGGTGGTGAATGGCGAGCGGGTGAGGGATGGTGGGAGGTCCTAGTCGATGGACGGGACGTCGGCTAATGGTGAAGTATGATGCAACGTGACCGGTCGAGGGTGCCAACCGAAGCATGTCGAGGACTCGGGATGCCTCGAAGCGTGAGGAAAATGTGAATCGTAGGCCTTCGTGGTGTGATTCGTAAACACATACACCTCACCGCGGCCGCTCGTCCCGCTCCCCCGAACCCCGTGCGCGTCCCCCCCTCACCCTCTCCCTCTCCTCAACCGCCTGCCTCGCCTCCAACACCTTCTGCCCCTCCACCTCCTGCGCGCCCCTCTCATCCACCGCCCCGGGCACGATCTTACACACCTCTGCCGCGATGCTCGTGACGACGTATTGCCGCAGCTCGCGGCCTTCCTTCATGTCCTCGCCCTCCAGGCGGAACTTCTCGTCCTTGCTGAGGTTCTGGCGACGGAGACGCCGGATCTCGTCCATGATGTGCAGGAGGACCGCTTCGGGGCAGCGGGTGCGGTCGACGCCGAATTTCGCGGGGTTGCGCACGTAGCGCCGGGTGACGTCGGTGGCGCCGTCGGCGGAGAAGGCGATGCAGTAGGCGAGTTTGCGGCCCCAGCCTGGTTATGGGGGTTAGCTAGGTTGACGGATTGACAGCGCGAGACGGCATACCTTCGGTATAGAGCTTCGGTTTATCCCACGCCTCCTCACACGGATCAACGTGCACCCATCGTTTCCGATGCACGCTGAACACCTCGACCCATACATGGTCCTCACTATTCCACACCCACCGCACCCGACTCCCCATGGCCCGACACAACATCCCAAAGCAATTCGCCCACTCTCCAACCCTCCCCCGGCGCGTCTGCAACAGCACGAACGCATCGCTATACCGCGGAAACCGCTCGTACGCCCCGCACTCCCGCTGCTGTGAGCACTGATACAGCTCGACCTGGCTGGCGCCGCGGGCCTGCTCGTCCGGCGTGGGCGCCGCCATGCCGACGCCGACGGTAGGGCATCCGCAGCGGCCGCACGGCGGGTTGTTGACCCAGGAGAAGAAGCTGCGTTTGAACCAGCGGAGGAGGGCGCGGATGACGCAGTCCGGGTAGCCCCAGGCAGGTTTCTTGCCGTGGCCGAGCGACTCGGCTTCCGCACGGAGGACCTGGGACTCTTCCTCGGCTTCGTTATAGATCTGCTCGAGGGGGACGACACGGAGGGCTTCGTCGAGGAGGCCGGGGTTTTCCCATTTGGTGGGGAGGGAGGAGAGGGAGATGAGCATATGTTTGAAGCGGATGGAACGGGTGTCGTTGGCGGTGGGGGCGGTGGGGATGAGAGGGATGTTGCTGAGGGACTTGTAAGATGGAGGGGGCGCGTTGTAGGCGTGGGAGATCGGGGAGGGCGCGACGCCGAATTCGCGCGGGAGGGCGTGCGGTTGGTGGTGGTGATGGTGGAAGTGCGGGGTTTGGGACGGCGGAGCTGGTGAGGCGCTTCGTGAGGAGACGGCACGGGTGGAGAGCTCATTCATGCGCTTGGTGCTGAGGACGCGACGGAAGCGGGTGGTGAGGTCGCTGGCCATGCGCTCGTCGAGGGCGGTCGAGGGAATGTCGTTGCTGAAGTACCCAGATCCCGACCCAATTCCGGCGCCGCCTCCAACTCCTCCAGGAGGGCCTCCTGCTCCTCGGCGGAAGCGGAAGCCGTCCATGGCGCCAGTCTCGCTGGAATTGTGGCCTCTCTTCGGCGGTGCTCGACACGGTTCACGGTAGAGGCGATGGTGGCGTCGAGTTATCGCAGAGGATGGCCAATGGTGATTTTTGGGATCGGAAAAAAGGAAAGGGAAAAGAAATCGGAAGAGTCGAGGAAGATTCGGAGGCAGAAGCGGATAATGAGTCGGACGGCGTGGACCGCAGTCGTCACGCTCTTGGAATCGTCGTCGTATGCACAGCCCGGTCTTTTCGAGACGAAATGCCGCCACAGGCAGACGGGAGTTTTGGAGCGAGGCGATGCAGCTGATGCTGGTCGTACCTAGTCAGAGCCGGGAAGTCGCAGACGATTATTGCCGTTCTCGGTTGAGTCAATGTAAAGAACGTCCAGATGTCCAGATGTCCAGATGTCCAGATAGTTAGTCGGTAGGCGAGATGAATAGAAGAAAGAGGAGTAGGAAGGAAGACGAGACGGAATTAGACGAGCTGGTGGGATGGGGAGGGTAATGGGGATAGGGTACGCGTAAGTATGGAGAGGTGGCGGCTACGCCGGGGGGTTGCAGGCCCTCTACTAGGACTACTGGTGATTAGGTGGTGGATGGGGGGGAGAATCGGGGCGGAAGGGAAGAAAGGAAGAGAGTTCGAAAAGGGAGACGGGGGAGACTCAGGCGATGTGAGAACCCCGAGTATGGCGAGCGCTGATTGGCGGAACAGGGAGCTGACGCGGCGGCTAGACCAGTTGTGGCTAATCACGTGGTCGGACGTCACGCTGTGACCAATCACGACGTGACGGGCGATGACGACGTCTCCTTCAGTGGTTGGTTTCTCCGTCCATCCTTCGACCAGATAATATTGAGATGGAGATGAGAGGGAGATGTCCTCTGTCCTCTTGGCAGCATTAGGAACACTCAATACAGGTAATCCAGATTCGAGTTTCGGAAACGGATACCTACTCATGAGTGGGGGCTGTTACAGTCCATGGGAGCATATATCTAACCTAAATTCCCCGAGGACACTGATGTGATGATCCAACTGACTGACCGGACCCTGATGAGGCTCTGTTCGGACTACGGGCGTACGGTAGCTTCAATCAATCACAGCCACCCTGTCTCCCCCTTCACCATGAACAGACAATTCTTCGGCGAGATTTCCAATTGCTTCCGAGTATCTGGCCGTCGTCTTACTTACTTTCCCGCATCTCGACCTACCCTCGTCGGAAATTTGCACGAGCGGCGAATTGTCTCTCGGTAAGAGGATGGTAAGACAACTACCCTCCAGCACGCGGACCCTTTCTGATCACGAACCTTCCCACGACACGCGTCACTCATCTGGACATCCAAATTTCCCCCAGGCCCTAGCTTGCGTGGCTGCATCAGCTCTCCAGCTCTCCTCCTGGCTCCTCCCTAGTCCCCATAGGCACGCAACCCCGTTCGCCGAAGATACGCGTCCCAAATAGGAGGATTTATCGGCCCGTAGTCGCAGAAGGAATATCGGGTATGAATCCTGTATCGATGGCTCGAGGTTTAGAATTTGGATCATCCCAATCATCTCCACATTTTGTTGGATATTACTCCGCTGTTGGAACATGTGGATTTAGATAATGAGAAAGGTATGTATCACGAACACCTCGACTCATACTTCAAGGTTGGTAACATCCGATCTCTCGGTTTCCGCCTCATCCACTAAATCCGATGGCCCGCATGCTTAGTAGTTGCGATGTGCAAGCAGCTCTCGTGGCGGATAAAACAAGATTCAGAGGTTCTGGGCCTCCATGCATGCTTAATGCTGATGAACCACTGACTGCATGTATTGGCCTGAGTTTCTGACAGATTTAATTGATAATATTGTAGCCTTCATCCGGTTAGCATCACATCCTTCATTGTTTGAAGAGAAGACCTAGTTCCTTGGCATGCCTGGGACTGTCCACTTGAAATATCGCGATTTGTAACCTGGGATAATCAATCCCGAGTTCTTGACATTCATCTTCGAATCTCCGACAAACCTCCCCTCATCGTGAGCCATCGCGGAAAACCATAGGCGGACGACTCCATCGGCGTGTTTAATCCACCCGTGCATTCTTGGATTATCAACGATGATTTCTAATACGTGAGTTAAGATCGAGCTTGTTACAAGATTGGTGAGACCATCTGTCATCGGACTGTTTCTACCCGTTGGACAAGGCTTGCCAAGACACCATGAAAATCCTCAGCCTCTTCATAAACGGTCATCATTGCGGAGGTCGATTCGATATTCACTAGTACGTATACCCAAGGCACGGCCGTTTCCAAAATCATCGTGACTTGCGAGCCGCGAGGTATACGTGCGTACTACTTCCACATCACTTGCCTGACTCCTCGGTACAATCTCCTACCTTGACCTTCTCTGACACCGCGAATTCGCCACTTCACAACGCTTTGTGCCCGCTCCGATGAACCTCAAGAGCAATAAATAAATGCAATCCACTTTGACCCACCCCTCGCCTAGGAATCTCAACTAAAAGATCTCCGCCATCTCGAAGCGCGGCAGCATCTAGAGCGCTTGCGTGCGCGGTCGGGAGATCCGCATCGCACAGATATCCGAACCTGGTAGGTGGTATGTACGCCGTACAAATTATCAATCATGGCATTGCGCGTCTCGGGACAGAAAATTTTCACTCAAGAGCCTGCATATGACCTTGATTTTTCCCTTCCACCGAGGTTTCAGTTGCGTTTGCCACGCGATCGGCCGCGTGCCGATCAGCCACGGGGACGTTGGATCAAGGGCTCGAGAAGAATATGATTAAGGGTGGGGCCTAGGGAGAGTAGAGGAGGTGATGAAGAGTAGAAACAAGGTGATACTAGCCGTGCTTCATGGATAGAAAAATCAAATTCTAGATCGCCTGATGAGGGATGGGTCGTTCAGTCAGATCAGTGCCACCCACCAGAATGCAGGGGAATGACCACCAACATGCCTATCCACACAGTAATTACAACACCTTCGCCCCTCCCATCCATCCGGATGCTCGAATCTCCCACAAAAAACTCCAAGTATGCAAGATCCCCTCGTCCTTCCCTCACTTCCCATACGGTCCCTCCATCCTCCCCGGCATCTCCACCTCCCACTCCGGCCGTTCCACCACGGCCACCTCCAACACCCGCTCATCATCGCCCGCCATCCGCGCGAGCGCACCCTCTCCATCGCCGTTCACAAGTTGCTGATCGTCCTCCACCGCATGGCCCCCTTCGAGCCGCGCGATCCCGACAATCGGCCGGTACTTAAACGTGAACCACCGCGTCACTTCCTGCCCCCCCTTCCCTTTTCTCCCCTCGTCGGCGCCCTTGCCCGATGAAGCGACACCGCTCTTAGCGACCGCGTCCATCCGCGCGTCCTCGCCGTCCGCTCCCGCCCGCGCTTTCGCGCCCAGTTGCAGTCCGCGAATGTCGATCGCCTCGTCGTTCTCGTCTCCATCCCCGTCGTCGTGGGCGTAGGGTTTCTTCCCACCGCTCAGGTCGACCTCCCGCGTATTCCCGGTGCCGCCCACGGTGACCGTCATCGTCTGCTGCAGCCCCATCAACTTATCCGGCCGGATCGCGTCGCCGGCGCCGGTGGCGTGCGATTTCCGCCGCTTGTGCGCCGATCCAGGCGTCGGCGGCGCGTCGTCCGCGCGGTCTGCGACGTGGCTACCCTTCCGCTTCTTCCGCGGCGTGGCTTCGACGGCCTTCCCTCCTGCGGGGAAGTCGCGGCCCATGTCGAGCATGCCGACCCAGGAATGACCCCAAAGCCACAGGCGCTGGGTTACGGACGCGCCGGCGTGGAAGACGTGCCATTGGGAGCCGATGGCGCGGTGTTTGATGCGGGTGAAATCATCGGGGAGGTGGGTGGGGGGGTTGCGGCGGCTCCAGGCGGTGAGGTGGCCGGTGAGGAGGTCGAATTCGTAGAATTGGTGGGTACTGGTGAGGAGCATGAGGTGGTAGGGTTGGGAGTGGGGAGAGGCATCGTTTTGGGTGGAGGGGGTTGGAAAGGGGCGGAAGGAGATGAGGATTGCGGGCGAGGGGAGTTGGGGGAGAGACGGGGTGGACGGGTTGGATTTCCATTTTTGGATGGTCGCAGTGCCGTTGGTTAGGGATTGTCCATTCGGTCCCGGGATGGCTTCATCTTCGCTAGTGGATTCTTCACCGCTGCTTGACTCGCTTTCAGATTCGGACGATGACGACGATGTGCGCTTCTTGGCTACCCCGTTCGTGTGGGCCAGTGTGCCAGGTGTCGCCTCGGATAGAGCCCAGCTGTCCACTCGACCGTTCAGATCGCTGGCTGCCAGCATTTGACTGTCCGGAGAAAAGCATACTCGCGCAATCGAGTCCAGATAAGCACCCCACGTAATGTGCGACGCTGACGCGTTCTCCTCGTTCCCTTTTGACTTCGACCGCGATGCTCGTCGGAGTTTGAACACCTTCGAATGGCACTTGATCTTCGAAACTCGCCCCGCTTCTCGGTCCTCATCGGATAGGCCTTCCAGAATGAAATGCGCGGCAATGACGGAGCTATCAGCACGGACAACCGCAAGCCATTTTCCGTCAGGCGAGAATTTGACAAGGCGTACCCCGGTGTTGCGTAAGCCTATTGGGATGTCAAGCTTCCGTATCCGGAGGACATCGATTTCTAAGTAATCTTCCTCGGGGTCTGGCTTTTTTAGGAGGCGGAGTTGGAAGATCCGAACTTCTGCAGCTGATGATACGGCAAGTAGCGAACCGTCGTAGGAAATGTCGACACTGGAGATGTTCTCCTCGCCCTTCAAAGCTATTCGCGAGAGTAGCTCATGTGGAGGCTCCGTGCTGTCGACCACACCACCTGATGGTTTCAGCCTCCAGATATTGACCTCCTGATCCCACCAGCTACACAGCAAGCGCTTTTGAGGGCTTGATACAAGCGCTTGAGAGTGCGGTAAGCCAGGAAGTGTAAGGTGTTCCTGCCTGAGTCGCTCTCGTAGAGGAATGGCTACTAGCTTGCTGTCTAGACCACCCGACACTGCAATGCTGATGCCCTTGCTTTCGTATGCGGCGATTGATTTCACATCGTTGTCGTGATAGCGGTTGTGTCCCTTCTTTACGAATCGCTTCAGACCATGGCCGCCGGGGATCTCTTCGAGTTCGTATAAGCAATGTTTTCGGTCAATGCCAACGGAATATAAGGCCGACCCATCGGCGCTCGAAACAATGTCCAGGATGTCCGCATCGTGAGCTTGGATCTTTTGTAACTGGGAATAACGTTTGCCATCCCACACATAGAGACAGCCGGTCGAGTCGCCAGTAACGATGTCACCGTTCGGAAGGCATTTGACTGCCCATACCAGCACCTCTTTCGGACCTGGTTGCGCTCCTATACCGACGGCAATTGTCTGCAAGATGTGACCGGTTCGCGTGTCGAAAATTCGTATCCTCGAATCCGCAAACCCCACGACAAGTATGTTCCGGTCCTTGAAAGCCATCCCTAATGCTCTTCCTTTGGATTTTGTGTTTTGCCAGATGAACCGGGAAAACTGGAGGTCGTCGTTGTCAGTTGAGAGAAGCGCGATTCGGCCGTCCGCACACCCAATTGCAATGTTTTGCCCTTTGAATTCTCCCTCTCTTGCAATCAGCTTGCCGTCTTTGTCGAATGTCGGCTTCCATGCGGGTTGAACTGCCATGCACCAGACATCGCTGTGGTTACCGGTGGATTCCCGCAGTGGCAGTCCTGCCGCGAGGTCCCATTCTGTCACCGAGCTTGAGTATCCAAAGCTGAACAGCCTCATCCGCCTTGGTCTCTGCCTCCATTCTTGTTGTGAGACGGTGGTATCCTCCTCTTCGTCATCGTCTGTGGCAACCCAAGCTAACCCCTCTATGCTTCTGTCCTTCCCGCCGCGGAACACGGTCTCTTGCACCCAGCTTCCGCGATTCGGATTCCAGATTTCGATATCGCCATTCGCTCGACCCACCGCAAGTCTCACCGCCGGATTGTATGAATCGGAAGGAAGGGAATCGGTATGCGAGAAAGCCAGACAATTGATTGCGGAGGGCGGGAAATCGACGAAGCGGCAACGATGGATGTCCATTGTGAGCGTCGGTTTATATATCGACACGCGACTTCCAAAATATATGCTCTCCGGGTACCTTAGCAAGGCACTAGAGGCAATTCATTTTGTACAGTATATCGCTAGTTTGGTATTTGGGGTATTGACGGAAGTCGAAATGTTTGCCGATCTGAAATTTTGGGGTTGATAATTTTCGACACGGAGCAGGGGTCCTTGAGGAGCCTCACGTCGGCACGTGACGTCACCCCAGGCACCAACTTTTCGTGATCGTCGACTTCACCCAAGACTCAGATTGTCATTCTTACTGTTGTTATCATTATCATCATGTTCATCAATCGGGAATATTGTTGCTTTTGTTTATCATCATATGCTCGATGGCATCCATTAATTGCGTACGTTAATCGCACGTGTTGGTCATGATGTTCCAGTAAATGTCATCCGAACAGGAGCCGAAAGCAGCCCGTCACCCCCAATTCCAACTTTGAAGAGTCATTTGGAGTGAATGGGGTTTTTGATTCATTAACTAGGTACATATACAGTATCTAGAGCTCATCTCGTGTTGTCGTCGTCTCGGAACCCTTTGTCAGTTTCTTGGAACCTTTCTTAACCGTAACTGTAGTTTTCGAGTCTTCTTTGGCGGACTCCTCTTCATCTTCATCCGCCACAATAGGCACTTGATGCTGTGGGATTGAGTCCGCAGCCTCTGAGTCAGTTGGCGTATGTTCCGTCTCATCTTCACCAGATGGAATATCCTCCACGGTCTGCGAGTCCGTGCCGATCTGCCACTCGACTGTTTCATTCTTTGCTGCCATCTCCGCTTGCTTCTCCTTGATCTTCTGGACGATATCCGCTATCTGATCCTCTGCGTCGTTTTCTTCCTTCTTCGCCATGAGTTTCTTAAGTGCCTCCTCCTGTCGCTTTACTTCGTCAATGTACCACTGGGCCATCCTTTCTGACGACTCGGCCATTTCGTCCCCTTCGGGTAAGCGATGGCCGCGGAACCAGTCGAGCACCACAGCAGTGGTGTCAAATTCAGGCTCCCCCTCTGTGAACACTTCCTTCTTATTAATCAGTACAGATTCCTCCACCGGTAGTTTGACATTCAGCCAGCCGTGCTCTTGCTTCTTCAGGAGGTAGTGTAGAGCGGTAATAGGGGCATCAGCCTCCGCCTGCAGGATTTGTTCTGCAGCTTCCAGGTCTCCCTGTTCATGGTTGATGTTGGCATTGCATCTATAAGCAGCTCGAACAGCACCTCCTTTATGGACGACACCCTCGCTGATCGTCCCATGCGTTAGCTTCGTAACAAACGTTGCATTAATCGACGCGTGCGGTTGCGGCCTTGCTCTTGGCATGCCGCATCCTTGCCGCATCGCCCATTCGATTAACCATTGGGACACCGCAGGTCTCTCGCCCGTATTATACCCTGCCTCTCCGTAATAATCGAACTCCATGTCCTTTTCACCGTGGATCTCGAGCACCGGAAGAGGTTGCCAGTGTGGTTTGCACTCTGGCCATGGCCCGTTTTCTGACTCGGGTTTGTAAAGACCTGCGGAAACAGCACCAATCCCGGCGAGGGTCTGAGAAATCTCGGGGTCGCATGCCATCATCGCGGCCATGCCGCCACCGGTCCCGAGACCGGTCGCGTATATCCGGCTGGTGTCAATGCATAGCTTGGACGAGTAGTACTGTACCAAGCCATAGATGAAGCTCATTTCGTCCTCGAACTGCGGGAATCCGACCTCTGACATATTCGGCCGCATTGGATCCGAGAGCCATTTCCCCTGGGTTGGATTAGCGATGATCATTGAACAACCAAGAGATCGCGACTTACATCTATAGCTGCTGGATATATGACCACATGATCGGGATTCCTCTCTCCATCGCTAAGGCCCGTCGTTACCTCCATTCCCCTCGAAGACATATCTCGGCCATGAAAGGCAAGAATGAGAGGATTAGGCTCGTCTTTCTGGTAGTTTGGAGGCAAGAAAGTGCGCACAGAGCGATCACCAATCGTGTGTTTATGGCTTGGGTATCCGTTGTCCGGTTTGAAATCCTTCAGGAAATCCTTGTAGCATCCATCGCTTTTCGCACCCGATACCACCTGCGTTACCCCAAGCAATGAAACCGTCAGCAGCGTGCGAAGGCTGGGCGTTCCGAAAACCATAGTGTCCAGCGAAGAAACGAAGAAGCTCTTCGTATAATGGTGGGAGAATGTTTGAGTTCCCCGACGGCATTTTAAGAGCCACCATCGTCGAATTGACCACGTTGGCCAGAAGTCTTGCCATGCATATCGTGCTACAAGAAAATAGATTAATTGTGGCCGAGCGCAATATAAATCCTAGGCTCATGTGCCCAACCATGAAACTGACGCCGACCCCACGATGACCAGGATGGTCGGCAGCCAGGGGTGTTCACATGATCTGCAAGCCATCTTGCCGTCCTCGATGGAGCCCTTAACTTCGCTGAAGAATAGCTAAACACCAGTTTTCATATCAAGGTACTAGAGCGATAAAATATGAGGAAGAGGTCACGAATCCACAAGCGACTTCGATCTGGATTATCTACCTTCAAGCTGCAATTTGGATCCCGAAACTCCGCAGGTGAAACGTCTTGACAAGGGCGTAAATATCCGCCTCGATCTGCTGTTTATATACTACTACTATTGGTGTGACAGCTGTCCTTGAAGTCGGCTCAATACAGAGGGATATGCTCTTCGATTCTCGGTGAGCTATTAGAGGCTTGACTCGCCTAATCCGAAGGAGTTCACCGCTTTTGTTGGCGATAACGGACATATGATATGATTGTGTGGACGCACAGAAGGAGTTTGAAATGGATTGACAGAAAGGGATCCCCTGATTGCCATAATCGTAACATTGTGCTTAATATACGTAACATGAACGGGATTGGTACAGTACAAACCATTCAGGAACGATTAATGAGCATCGGAAAAGTAAAAATACGTTAGTCCGGCCACTCCAACAATAATTGCGCCGCATAAATCATGAATCGCTTTTGTCATCCTCTACTCCTTCTTTTCAATCCTCATCCCCATCCCCATCCCCATCCCTATCCCTATCCCCATCCCTATCCCTATCCCCATACCTTTTTTCCATATCACTCCCCTTCTCAGCCTCCTTCTTTCCGCCCTCCGCCATAGGCTCTCCCCCCATCTTCCCCTACCTCCTCTTCGCCTCATCCATGCGCCGGAAAACATCCGAGCTGATGAGCTTCCCGGTCTCCGTGAAGTATTGCGAAGCCATGCGTTCGTACTTGCCGCCGTCATCGAGCAACGCCTCCATCCTCGCAATCTACACGAGATGTCAGTGGGTGATCGAACGAAGCCAGAGCTGGGTGGTATGAGGATTGGGAAGTGAGTCGGGGAGACATACAGTCCCTGGATCGGGTCGGCGGCCGTCGAAGACGCCCTTGTACGGGTCAACTGTAGCCCAATGGTTCTTCTGGCCTTGTTCTTCTCCTCCACTCTGCTTTCCGTTCCTGCCGTTCTTGCCGTTCTCATCGTTCTCGCTCCTGTCATCATCGTCGTCATCCTTCTTCATCCCACCGTTCCCACCATCCCCTCCCTTCTTCTTCTTCTTCTTCCCACCATTTCCGCCGTTCTGGCTCTTGTTTCCACCTTGATTGGGCACCTTGACTCCCTGCTTCATAAGTTCATGATGGCGTTGACGGACGACATCTTTCGCGGTTTCAGGGAGACCAATGCCTAGTGCGATCTGCTTCCAGGACCTGTTGCCTTGTGACTTGAGGATGAGGATCACGTCGTCTTGCTCTTTGGTAAATGTTATCTCCTCAGGGGGATCTTCAGCAGCAGGAGCTTCGGCCGTTGGTGGCGGTGGCGAGGCTTCGGGCGTTTTAGCACGCTCAACAGGCGGGACGGGATAGCCCGGATATCCTGGATACCCTGGATATCCCGGGTAAGGCGGGGTTTGCGACTGTGGATCGGGCTGCAGAGCACTGTGTCGATTGTTCTGCTGACCGTACCCGGGAGCGTGGACCCAATTGCCGGTGGCGTCCTGGTAGCGGTCGTCAGGATGTACCTGAGTCCAACCGCGGTCAGCGATGTAGAAGGCACGAGGGGCGCGCCAGGGAGGAGTTAAAAAACGTCGAGGCATTGTGTTAAGGAAATGAGATCAGGGATTTGAAAAGCCTGGGTGATTGAAGGATTGTAGTTGAGAGCATATTCTTGGAATTGGTTGTATTGACCAACGTTTTGAATGCGTGTTGAAGGGGAAAGTGAGTAGAGTAGAGCATGGCTGAGTGATGTTCATAGTCGATGAGATTGTTTTAGGGTTTGCGTTTAAACTGAAGTGTTAAGAAAAGTAAATTCACCCACCCATGGGCTGGACCCGATCTGGGGCATAGAACACACAGAAGCAGGTGCCGGTGGTCGTTTGCCATCATCGCAATATCTGCAATGTGGCCGAGGTTTCGAACTGGACCGATTCACTCCAACACACTTAAATACCACCCCGTGCGGGCAAATGTAGCGAAGAATCTCGCATTGCTTGTCACAAGTGCTATTCGGAAGTAAGCCTGGCTTCTGGCCATACTGGCTGTGGTTGCTGTGGCCAACCCATGAAGGTGTAGGCCCTGCAACCGATTCCGAGTAGGTTGGCGGCTGCTCTCGGCGATGAGCCTGCTGAACACCGTGACGGGTGTGGCCAGTCTTGCACAACGATGAGTATTTCTTCACAGATGCTTCTAGAGAATGCAACCAACTTACTGGGCGCACTCCAGTGGACTTTCGGACAACGCAACGGTCCTTTGGATAGATATGGTAAGTGCCAAAGATACCCATGATAATTCGATGGCGGTTCAGTGTTGACACAGGTTGATCTCCGGTACTTTGATAAAAGAGCTTGGAATAGAAGAGAGATTGACTGCGTCTTTACCGACAGTGCGACATGCTCGAAATAGGAAAATGTAAATGAAGAAATTCGCATTGGCTGAGCTGGAGATGTGGATATCGTGAAAAGAGAAGCAAAACACCGAGAAGAGGCCGATAGAAACGAAACACGCATTCACCATATGCTCCTTCCAGACCACGTGCGCTACATTCGCCAGGAAGGAACGCCCGATAAGATAGTCTTTCATCGGATACTTCATCGGATACTTCACCGAGTTCAAGCAACCTTCTGTGGATGTGAAGGTCCGTGTCCATCTTGAATCGGGTGAATATCACACTCCAATATCGACGGTTTCGCTCCCACCAAGGGACTACACTGAATCTTCTTCTGAACAAAGGCTAGCTCAGACTACACTAGGAATGCCATTTCCCATTCTCCTACAGCTGATGCCGCCCATGGTGTACAGATGATGCCGTCCATGGCGCTCTTGACGATGTGCTTCATTCATAACTGGAAGCCCTGAAGCAGATCCGATAGAACTCGGGTGCATTTTATATCCCTGGCCCATGCATCTAAGGTGCCTATGTGAAAACCTGTAGCTCCATCCGTCAATTCTGAACACAAATAGGCCAGAAAATGAGAGATAAAGGTTGTGATGTTAGAATCAGTTATCCCACTCTTGACCTTTCGGCACTTGTTGCATGGAAGCGCACCCAATTTCTGGTAGACTCATCGTCCTGAAATGTGATGACATTTTGGCATCCATTCGAAAACACCACAGGTCCCGGCTGTGGTAGTTTGCCTGCTGTAAACGTCAATACTACAGTGCAAGATATTTGCGTGACGTTAAGATCGAAGTCATCCAACACGCTTTTGTCTGTCGGGTTGGACCAACGTCAGAGGTTCTGCCGGAGATAACCCGGAGTTCCGCCGATTCACATTCCAACGAGCTGTCATGACCCGTGAACTGGACAACTATCAGAAAGTCCACAGCAACACCACGACTCTCCAGCTCCCACCCCCGCCCATTTTCCCACGATGAAACTATTTGCAGGTGGCCTCCTGGCCATACTTTTCAGCGTTTTTCAAATATCCGTCGCGCACAACATCCAACTCAAAGCGCATTCGCGAGAATGCTTCCACGAGGAGCTGCACGCGGAGGACAAGATGACGGTTACGTACCAAGTGGGCGATCGGGAATTCGGGGGGAGCGGGAATCTGGAAATTGACTTTTGGGTACGGAAACGTTTTCACAGAGTTCTAAGCATGGTTGGATTCTCACACGCCAATAGATCCAAACCCCATCCGGCGCCAACCAAATCCACGAACGAGCCACGTCCATGGGCGACCACTCCTTCATTGCACACGCGGACGGCCGGTATATGTACTGCTTCAGCAACGAGGCCTGGTCGGCGAACACGAAGGAGGTGTCGTTCAATGTGCACGGCATCGTCTACGTGCCGGAGTCGGAGGCACCGCAGGACCCCCTGGAAAAAGAGGGTAAGGACCGGACGTAATGATGGGTTTGTGAGTCTTGCTGATGGAAGGAATAGTTCGCCAGCTGTCGGAGCTGGTCTCACAAGTCAAGGATGAGCAGAGCTATATCATTGTGAGGGAACGGGTGCATCGTAATACGGCGGAGAGCACGAACTCGAGAGTCAAGTGGTGGAGTACCATCCAGATGGCCATCTTCATTGGGCAGAGTATTTTCCAAGTGTGGTGGCTGAAGCGATTCTTCGAGGTACGTTTGTTTCCGGATGGGTTGGGAGCCGCGTCGCTAATGATATCCACTATAGGTCAAGCGCGTCGTTTGATTTGGTTCTATTAATTTCGTTGAGTCGTCTTTTGTACAAACCAGGAATCCGCAGATCGAGCAGATCAAACGGAATGAGTCAGCATTCGGAGGCGCATCGGGTCTCTGCCGGCGTTGCAGGCTATCGGTGTATGTTTATGATGCAATGAGATGTGCATCTCGGTTCCCTCGAGTGGAATGAAGGAATGTACCTCGATCCTAATTTGAGTCGCACTCCAGTGCTCATATATCCGCGACTCCAAGTGATCCATCTTCCCCTTAGCTCATCTCCACATCCTCGTCCCCTTTCCCCTCCGCCGTCTTCTTGACCCCTTCCACAAACGCCTCCACGGCATCCCCGCCTCCCATCGGCATCGTCCCCCCTCTGACATAACCCCCATTATCCACCTTCAACTTCAGCGCATCGCTGATCATCGGTAAGCCGCCGTCCCTCAGTGCGGCCGTCAGGACCCCTAAACTCTGCACCAACTGCGGCGACCGCAACACGCGCCGCAAAATCTCCCGTTTCTGATCCGTGTCGATCGATTCCACAATGGCGTCCGCGACGTCCGAGTCGGGGTCGATGTCCGCCATTTCTTCGCCGCCAACCTCTAGAAGAAGGATAGTACGGGGGAGGTGGGATGATAAACGGTCGATGAAGTCGGGGGACGCGGTCTCGATGAGTGGGATCGTGGTGGATGGGGGAAGGAGGTCGTTCAGCGTGGTGTAGAGTTTCCCGCCTTGTTGCTGGGGAGGGGCTTGGCCACCGTTCAGGGATTTGAGGAAGTTCTGGACTGCTTGGGAGGCGTCGGACGGAGCGGCCTGGGACTGGGCAGTGGTTGCACCTCGACTATCGGAATAAAGGGTCAGCCGGGTGACATTGAATATAATAGATGACAGCGTTGCGTCTATTCTAATACATCATGCAGCAACACTGCGGGTAATGCTTGATTTTTCGGTAGACTCTTCAAAACGCCTTGGAGCGCCATCGACAAACGCCAAATAACTTCGAGATTTCTAGGCTCACAAAGAACGCCAACCGCGATGCACAACCGAATGGAATCACCTACGCTCGAGCGCCATCTGCTCCACCCTCCCTGGCATCTTCTCCCTCGTCTCGGACATCCCCGCCCGTCGCGTCTGGCCCCGCTCCACCGGTGCTGTTCCGTCTGTCATGCTGCGGTTCCGGCTGTTCAGCATCCTCCATATTCTCATCCTCGTCCCCATGCGGCGGATTCCCGCCGGACTTGTATTCCCGATACATCTCCTGGGTATCCACATCCGGCCCCTCTACCAGTAGCGTGTTCACTACGTGCCCGAAGAACAGATCCTGCTTGGTGAAGACGCTGGGCTGGTCCCGGAGGCCGCCGGATTGCATCCAGAACATGTGGCGTTGTGACGACGAGGAGAACTTGAGGACGAAGATGCGGCCGTTGGTCGGGGACTTGACGTTTCCCGCGGTCAGGTTTTCGTAGGGGTTCTTGATGACGGGGTCCATGTACGGCCAGAAGGTGCCGTCACTCGGGATCATCATGAGTTCGAGCTCGGGTTGGTCGATCGGAGCGGAGGTCGGCCGCCAGCAGAAGTTGATGAGATCTGGAGAAGAGTGAGTGGAAATCATAGGGGGATATATTGCGCATCATACCATCACTGGCATACAGGTATACGAAACCTGGAGTCGGGATCGCCTTGAATTTCTGGGTGCCCTCCTGTAAACAATCAGTACTCTGTAGGCGGAAGGGTCGCAATGGCCACTGACGTCGTACTCGCATTTGCCGGCTCTGAAGGTTATGAGAGGGGTGATTGACGCCATTATGGGAGGATTGTAGAAGCCGGAGCTATGTCTGGTTCCGGTGCTAATAGGTACAGTATGAAAAGAGCAAAAGTGAAGCTGAACGAAGCTCAAGTCTGGATGGCATGAAGCTGTACAGTAATAGCTGGGGATTGGATTGGGACTGGATTTCAAGATGGGAACGGCGCACGTGATATGTGGGAATGTTCTGGGATCTCAGTGCACGTGATCTAAAGCAAAGCACACGTGATAAGATCCACAAAATCACGTGACATTATCTACGCCACACTGCTGAGGCATCAGGCGTGGCGTGGGTGGCCACCGGCAGATTCGCGGAAAAACCCGAGAAGCGAGCCCACCCACAGTCCACACACTTGGCATCACAGGATTTGGCGCACGAAGCGAGACCTCCTTCACCTCCCCAACTCCCGCCCAACATCAACCTTCCCACTCTCCGCACACTTCACCCACCACCACAACATTCCCATTTCGACCCGGATACCTCCCGTTCGCCGAGGTTTCTTTTCGAGGAATTCCCTGGAGCAGGAAGTCCCTTCGCCATAATGTCGGCCACCCAGGAGCAGCCGACAACGAAGAAGTTCGGGAAGGGGGAGAGGACCATCCCGGCCGCGAGCCAGAAGGCCTCCAAGTATTATCCTACGGATGATGACCCGAAGCCGAAGCAGGTGAGAAACATTCGCTGTCCGGTTCTGAGATGTCGATGGGCGTCGTGGTCGCTGGATTTGCGTGCCGAGCACACTGTGCGCGATATCAAATTCGAGGACCACCTCCTCCATCACAAACCATCGAAATTGCATTGTGTGAAACAAGACTGACTGTATGCCTTCATGGTCGCAGGTCCGCAAAACCATCCGCCCGACCAAACTCCGCCAATCCCTCCAACCCGGCACCGTCCTCATCCTCTTGGCTGGCCGCTTCCGGGGCAAGCGCGTGGTCCTCCTCAAGCACCTCGGCCAGGGTGTGCTGCTCGTGACCGGTCCCTTCAAAGTCAACGGCGTTCCTCTGCGCAGAGTGAATGCCCGGTACGTCATTGCGACCCAGACGAGAGTGGACTTGAAGGGCGTGGTGGACGAGAAGGTTCTGGAGAAGGTCAGCGTTGAGGGATACTTCACCGCCGATAAGGAATCGAACAAGGCCGGCGAGGATGCCTTCTTCAAGCAGGGAGAGAAGCCAGCGGTACGTTGTCTCGCTCCGATCCTGTGGATAAAATTACATCGACGCAAGGGACACATCTAACATATTGTCATAGCCCAAGCAGGTCAGCAGCGGCCGCGCGGAAGACCAGAAAGCCGTCGACCAGAAACTGCTAGCAGCCCTGAAGAAGACCCCGATGCTCATCGACCTTCTCGGATCGACATTCAGCCTCCGCAAGGGTGACCGACCGCACGAGATGGTGTTCTAAGCGAGCGGACCTTGTCCACGTCAAGTTGGAGGAAACGGGATGGAGCCACGAAGGGCCAAAGGAGTGAGGAGGACACTGGGGAGGGCTAACGCTCCCGACCTGCACTGTCAAAATAAAATCCAACATTCTGCAGGGCTTACACAGGGAAAGTGGAGTTTACTGCACGGTTCGTTGCATGCACATCGTCATGTTATTCTACGCGGAACGGGTTCAAGGGCCGCATTCGAGCAAAATCCAAGCATTTAGATTACCCGCCGACGGAGGATTGACTGACTGCATATGAGCGCTCGCTCCCGGATCGTTATTGATTGTCCTATCCACGCCTGCTGCCCAAGGGTATCAATTCGAAAGCCACGAACCCAGTCCCATCCAAGATAAAGCAGTGGAAAATCCCCCATCCACCCCGCGATTGCCCAGTATGCCAACTACGCATTCCTTTTCTTCCTTCCCTTCCTTCCCATCTTCGGCGGCTCTTCCATCTCCCCGTTCTCCCCGTTACCCCCACTACCACCCTCACCAGGAAGCGTAGCCTCGACCACCTTCCCCTCCTCATCCACCTCCCCCACCAAAGTCCCATTAACCCAATCCAACAGCCCCCACGGCGCATAGTTCCCCTTCCCGCCGCTCAGGAAATGCGCCTCTGTCCGCCCCGCCACCCCCGTGACCCTGACCGTCCACGGTAGCATCGTGTACCCCGAGTACGTGAACATCTCTTCGAGGGAGATGATCGCGGTCCATACGAGGTAGGTGACGATGTGCATGCGTAGAGCGTAGGGCGGGAGAGTGGTTGGAAGCCATATGCCGAGGAAGTAGGGAAGCGGGTGATCGTAGTGCGCGAGGAGGCAGAACGGATGGGTGAAGTAGTGTTGGTATGATAGGTGATATTGAGATGGGTAGCCTAAGGGAGTGCGGACCCGGGTGTGGAGGATATATCTGTGGATCACATATCGTAGAAGCTGTGCGGATCAGTTAGAATGGTCAGATTAAACGTGCGAGAGGCGAAACACATGAACGGCAAAAATCAATGCGCTTGGTAAAAATCCCACTTACCCCTCGCACTGCGAAACACGTCGCCAGCTCCGTCGCCATGGTATACGGCATCGGCAACCACACCGAGACTCTCAACGCGCTCTTCCTCCTCAGCACTCCCACCAACACCCACTCCAGCCCTCCCTGCAACGCAATCCCCCCGAGCAGATTCCCCGCCGCCACCGCCCCCACCATCGCGATGCCCACCGCCCCCCCAATCCCTTGCGCCGCCGGCAACGCCTCCTTCCCCCCCCTCTTCACCGCGCTCGCCACCCCCGGCAACAACACATCCACTGCCATCGCCGCGCACGCGGGCAGCACGAAGCACGCGCAGCGCACGAGCAGGGTGCCGGCCAGCTCGATGGCGAGGGGCTGGTGGACGAGGGCAATACCCCACCAGTTGGCGGAGAGGAGGAGGAGGTTGAATTGGGTGGACCAGGAGGAGAGGAAGGGGAGGAGGAGGAGGGAGAGGGAGGGGAGGAGGAGGTGGTGGGTGAGGAGGAGGGTGGAGAAGAGGAGGGAGAGGGTGGTGAGGGTGCCGGTGAGGGTGGTGGAGAGGAGGGCGAGGGGGGAGGGGCTGCTGGGGCGGAGGGAGAGCGGCATGGTTTGGTTCGGGGTCGGCGGTGGTGTGGAGGGCGATACCTGTCGAGGTTGGTCGCGAGCGGGTTAAGGTCGTGGATGGAGGATGCGCCGCGGTCGCGAGTGGGTGTACGACGCTAGGGTTGCTCTGAGCTAGATCATGGAATTAAAGCCCATCAAGGTATATACAAGAAGGGTGAAGATGCAGGTGATTCATTGCCTAAGCTGGTCGTGAGAAAGGATGAATGCAAGCTTTCAGATCAACTACTCAAGGCTTCGGTTAGTGGTGCCTGACATAGCATGCATGCACCATGACGTTTTTCGCGGCCTTGCCACTGGGAGCGAGTGAGAGTCGATCCCAGCCTCGATGCCAGGACTGGCGACAAGCATCAAACATCACCCGGCGACGTTGCTATTCACTGTGGCATCGGATCGTCGTTAGTATGAAGGATGTCCATCTGAGATGTCCTTCATGCGAGTCGCCAGACTACGATTCAAGAGAACGGAGTCCGAGACTGGTTCATAGGAAATTGTAAATTACCGCTTTCCTTGCCAACGATGACAGATGAGCTGGCGGGTCATTGTACAGGACCACCTTGTCTGGTTGAATATCATGAATTATGAAGCATTTCGGCAGGAAATAGCCTTCAACCTTCGTGTGAAGTCGAATGAGGCCTTCTGCGGCTGTTTTTGACGCATCTGGCAGTCTCGGTCTTCGTTGAAGGCCGAAGCTCCGTCCTGAACTCCTGATAGGACCTGGAGTTAAGCGCAGGCGTAGGTATCACTAACGCCAAGGCGGGGAAATGGTTAAACCGCGGGCGGCCGCCTGATTACCAGTATCTAATATCAGGGCTTTGTCTTTCGACCTTCACACTTCAGTAATCAGTAATCAGTAAGCAGTTCTTTAGTTACAGACGGCCACAATTCACACAAGTCTAACAGGATAATCAGATCGACCCGCGTCCACATACGCGGGGATATCCATTCAGCGCTACTGTAGCTCCATGGTGGGGATGGGCCGATACGGCTCTGCGCAGGGGTCCGCGACTGGATCGTGAACGATAACAATTGAGTATTGACAGGTTGGGGAAATAGTCGAGCATGACGTCGCACGCAATGATGCAAACTCGGCCGGAGTGCTCGTTTTGCCGTGGCCGTCTTACTGTTCTTCCACACCTGCATGCGTAAAAGGTGTGAGTACTCGCGGAGGAATTCAGGGCACCATTCTTGATTGCCTATCCCGAGCAGGTGGTAACGCGGCGTGATGATCACGGGAGCGGAATCATATGCTGTGTTGAACGTTAAACAACAAGTTCAAGCATTCTTAGGCTAACCCTGTCACTGAGATAGATTACTAACTGCCGAATAAACATTGCGGGCCATGAATGTATCTCGGGGCGCGGGTTGGTCTCGCATCGGCGCAAGCGGAGATATTTCCCTATCGCCGTCCGGTCCATGTGTCTATACCATTCGGGCATTGAGATGTGCTATATATACGTGCTATGCAAGAGATTGAATATTGAAATTTGGGGTAGAAATAATTCATTTAGCTTCTTTCAACGCGACGAACAAGCTGTACTCCTCATATTCTTCAAGATGACGATTCTTCTTATTGGCGGCACCGGCAAAACGACCACGCGCGTTGCAAAGCTGCTCAGCGCTGCAAACCAGCCCTTCCACCTGACCTCTCGCCGAGGACCGGACGCTGCGCCGCATGGATATCCGGCCATCAAGTTCGACTGGACCGATGAGACGACGTGGGCGAAACCCTTCGAGAAAGGAGACATCGACGCCGTGTACATGATGGAGCCGGGTGTCTCGCAGCCTTGGGTGCCGATGATCAAATTCGTCGACTTTGCCAGAGACAAGGGCGTCAAGCGCTTCGTTTTGTGTACTGGCAGCTCAGCTCAATTTGGCCAGGACGGAATGGGCAGGGTCTGGGAGCACTATGTTAATACGGGTGTCGACTACTGCGTGCTTCGCCCGTCTTGGTTCATGGGTGCGTGTCGTACTCCCAAATGATCTCACGTTTCGGCCACTGACACAACACCCATTTCGCAGAGAACTTAGTGGAGCCGGGCCTTTTGTACACCATCGGCCAGCTGAATACGATCTTTACCGCCTGTCAGGATGGGCAGATTCCTTTCATCAGCGCTGACGACATTGCGGAAGTCGCGTTCCACGCGCTAACTGATGAGAAGTCACACAACTGCGACCATCGTATTCTCGGACCCGAGCTCCTAACATACGATGACGTATGGTCATCTTCTCCATAGTAGACTTGTAACTTAATACTAACACGATATCGACAGATTGCCGCAACGCTTTCCAAGGTCCTTGGTCGCAAGATCGAGCACGTCAAGCAAGACAAAGCCAGCCGGTGCCAGGGCATGATCCAGGCCGGTGTGTCGGAATACGTCGCACGTTTATTGACCAACCTTGAGGTCATTGCATCGACGAACTTTGAAAAAAGGTTGGGAGACGCGGTTGAAACAGTTACGGGTCATCCTCCAAAGAGTTTTGATACCTTTGCCGAAGAGAACAAGACTGTCTGGTCGCAGTAATAGTTTTATATATAGGTCTAAATTAATGTCATCCTCTCCGTTTCACTACTCGTTGGGGACTTTGCCCACCTTCTGCCTAGAATATCTGTAGCAAATCCTCTGTCTATGAAGTTTTAGCCACAGTCCTTCCGATCCCCTCCAAATAAAATAAAAATTATGACAGGAAGCCCAAAAACAAAAACACATAGTAATGGGAGTTCCCATGTAGTTACCCATCGTAATGTATTGATGGCTTTGGTGGGATAAAATGGATCTCGCTGCTCGCTTGAAGGGGTTCTACTCGGCTCCTTCCTCTATCAGTATTGTCGTCGCTGCCTGGGTCTACCCGATCTTTTCTGGACAAGGAGGCTAGATTTGCCTAGTTTGCGAGCATAATAAATCAAATGGATTCATTTATAGAAATTCATGAAATGTCCTAAGGTTCATAGCATCCTTTGGCACGGATTGGGTCATGCGTATATGCAAATTGGTCTGCAAAATTGGAATTGCCGTTGTAAATCGTTTCCTGTCCCATATTCAATCCTCCCATTCGGAGACCCTGGCCTAATTCTCTTGCTTATATGCCGTGTATTCGATGTCGTCGAACAAAGCGACGAGAAAAGGGTTATTATTGTTGACAGAGATGTCCAGTTGCGTTAGGCCAGAGAACTCCTTGCGGAAAGTGACCTTGTTGTACTTGGCGCCGAAGGACTGCGCTGCGTAGTCTACCTGCTCGAAAACGGTATCACCGTCTTTCCTCCGGCCAAGAAACTTGATTGTACAGGATGCCGGCACATTGACGGGAACGAAAGTATTGATTATGCAAGCGTAGTAGAGGCTTTTAAGGTCAAATGTCTGGAACTTGTCCGTCGGACAAAGCTGCGGAAATACACGGCCGACAGCGCTGAAGCCGATGAAGTTCTTGGGCGAAGGCGGAGCGAAAAAAAGAGAGAGTGTGTCATCCGAATAGACAAAGTCCCGGTAAAACAGCGCCCCATACTGATTCACGCGTTGGGTGCGGGGCAGCACAGTACCGACACCCGAAACTTCAAGGTCATCGAACTGGAAGGGTTAGTACTAGGCATTTGAGAAAGCAAGGTTAACGATCTGTAGTCCTTACATTGTCGGTAAAATCCGTCGCGACTCCAGGCGATGGCAGATATGGTAGATCTGGGACAGGTTCCGGGGCAGGAGCGGGAGCGGCAAGAATACTCGCCAGAAGAGCGAGGACGGTAAGGACCTTCATGTTGATAATGGAGTAGAAGGAGGAGGCAGAAGGGGTGTCTGGTGTACAAGCTAGGTGAGCTCTGTTGATGATTCTACTGGGTAAAGATGAGGCTGAAGTTAGAAATGGGGATGGAGATGGAGATGGGGATAGGGTAGGTTCCAAATTATATACTGCCGATCTCTCTGCAATACTAACCACATATCAAAAGCACATGCCCGGGTCTCGGAAATGAGTATAATGGATCTGCATAGCACCCTGCAATGTTATGTGCTCTATCTCTCTTCTCGAGGATTATTGAGACCCAGTACAACATTGTGCCGTGGTAGCAGAGATTCAGTGCTAGATGCGACACTTTGAGATGCATGCATCGAGAGTACGAGTCTAGCTCCGGTCCGATGCTATAGATCTTGCTCCTATAGTCCGTATCTGGATCCGAGGAGGGGGAAGGCGCCGCGGAGAGGCGCTCCATTGTGGAATATTCCCAAGATCGGACTTCGGGGTGGAAGTGTCTTAAAATATCCCAAGATCAGGCGCATTTAAGGACCATCGGCGACATGGACCTTGACTATTTTAGAAGTTAAAGGAGCGACATAGAGCAAAAATATGACAGCAACGACTGGCGGGTTGTGAGTACCCAAAGAGAATGCGTCCACGGGATTTGAATCAGTTGAACGGGTAAGGGTCAAACGAGAACTCTGTAGGGATAGTTACCTTGTCCTGATCGTACGAGTAGAACATCGGAGTAGGGATCACGAAGCCTAACTGGAAGATTGTAGTTGCTTGACCTACCCAAACAAGTAAATTTGAAGGCGCCTGAAAGTTATACAAATGCTGTTGATCTTGGAATCGGACGTGCACATGCTCGATCGATCGGCTGTTACACTGCATTAGCTTCGAGTTAAGGCTTGAGATGGAGTCGATTAGCGCTATCTTGGAGAACTATTAGACTACCAGGAAAACGCATATGGGTTGTGGCATACCTACCTATGCATGACTGTCCTACAATCCTGTTCTAGAAGGTAGTAAATTTTTCTTTGTTGTGATGCCATCGCAGGCTATATCCTCAGTCGATATGGCTGATGGCATAGTACAGGACCAAGCGATCAGTCGCCCTCGGTGTTGTGGGCCCAACCCACAAAGGATTCGGTAAGCTAGTAACTCCGCCAGTAACATTGTTGAATTGCTAAAGAAGAAGAAAAGATCTCTTCTCAGAACTGCTAATTACATTCTTGTGTTGTGGGCGGCCCATGCACATATCCCGTGCAGTTCCAGTTGGTGTTCCGTGTTCTTCCTTCTCAGGCCGCAAGGCTACAAATACAGTCTAGGCGAAGCCCAAGACTTTCACAGACGTCGCAAGATGCCCGTTGGTTTCTACTGTCCAAACATTCTTTTCACTGCCCATTGCCCCTAGGCTAAGCCTATTTCGGACCGCTTAGTCTTTTCCCATGTATTCAGTTATGTATCTTCAACTGATTTTCTAGCTAGATCTCCTTTTGGGGGAGACAATGGGAATCATCAATATCAATTTGCGTTGTGACTCTTCAGTAACTGAGCTGAAGCAGTGACCGTGCTTAATCATCACCCACGTACAATGCGACAACAGAGCCCTAGCTGAGATAAATAATGTCAAATCAAGCGTCGCACAGCTTCAACCTCATCGACCAACTCCTTGGTATCTACATGCGGGACATGCCATGTCTGTGAACCGCACCCCTCGCGCTTCACGAAAGGGAGAGATCCCCCCGCGGTTTCGTACTGAAATGGCAGAGTTTGGGTGCTCGTGGGGCGAAACCGCTGATCCGGCGACCCGTGACGGCGTGTCAGAACTGTCGTACAGCCAAAGTGAAATGTGATGGCCAGAAAGAGTGCGACCGCTGTGCCAGCCGGGGCATTGTCTGCACGTACACGAATCCCGAGGCGGCGAACGGCGACCATCGGTTGCCAGCACATGGAGTGTCACCGCAAACAGGGGTAAAGACGATTCCCGGGGAAATGATGCATTTGAACATGGTCGATGCCACGCATCGCTTCTCTATGGACGGCGCGGCATATGACCACACGATGGACAACATGGGGTGGCCGAATGAAACGACCCATCAGCGTCTTGACGACTTTGACTGGGAGAACATAGATCCACTGGACGTTGGCTTCTACGACAGAAGCCATGACTCCTTATCAAGTGGCCTGATGGGATTGACACCTACGTCCAAGGAGCAGACCTTTGACCACCAAACCCCTCAACTCAACTTAGACATCTTCCAACCTGCAACACAAACCGCGCCACCGTTTCCAGCAAACTTCACAAGCACCTTAGCCCCGTCTCCTATCAGTCGCCTCTCGTCCTCGAGCACGCTATTCTCATCGTCCAAATGCCGGTGCCGGGAAGATCTGGCTGTTCTCCTTCCCGAAGTCAGTGATGCCATGCAGGGGAAGCAACCCCAACTCGACAAAATATACAAGATGACGCAGAAGGTGATACAGGGTTGTCAGGACATCGTCGATTGCACGGGCTGCCAGATTGGCTGCACCGACCTGATTTGCATGGTCGCCATCTTCCAACGTACAGACGCTTGCTTCGAGTACATTGCCAACGCCGACCAGGATAGCTCGATCCCCATGAGCTTCGGTGGCTTGGACGTCCCGATCAACGACCCGAAGCTAAGAGCCATGCTCGTCATGAATCTCATCCAACAGGCCACCATGGTTTTGGACGCAGTCAGTATCAAGGGACAGGATATGTTACGAGCGCTGGGCGCTCCATCCGCCTTGGCACAAACGAACATCGACTATTTGGAGACGGTGATTCGAGATTTTAGAGAAGTTCTTCGCAAGGCTGCTGAGTTCGCCAACTAGTGGAGATTCATTCCTTCATGGGCCTAGGACGAGTTTCCTCGAATTAAAGAGCCAGCTATTGGACATCTTGGCGGACCTTGGTGGTGGACGCTCTACAGGTACTAGTTTACTTAAGTGTTCTATTCACAATGATCTTTTTTGATGTACCTACTATTCTATTACGCTTGATGCTCGACTAATACAATCTTGAAACTGGCTACTCTAACGACAAGAAATACTCCAATAGTCTCCCTTTCACCTGGATGCAGGGCACCCATTCTCACTTGACCAGATTATTTCTCCGCTCTGGCCTCTAGTCTTCTCCAGATGTCGTTGAGCTAGACATTCTCGATTATCTTTCTAAGCTGCAGACACACCACTGCTCGCAAACAACCTTTCCTTCTTCATGAGCAAGCTCAGGAGGGCGATTAAGGAGCCAGCCGCAATGACAAGCACGTATGTCTCACCAATAGCGTCCGTAATTGCACCTAAGACTTGATGTTTAACTTCTGGGGTGAGGCGCTCCAGGAGTCCACCTGCGGCACCTTCAATTGCCCCCTGGATTTCCGACGCCGACATATTCGGTAGGATCTTTGAAATGCCTTCCTCACTCAAGTTAAGGAAAACTGAGTTACCGATGGCAAGTGCCATGGTAATGCCAAGGAACTGAGCGAGGGTGATGAAGCCTACAGCAGGTGGGATGTCCTCCGCCTTGACAACAGCCTGCGCGACTGAGAACGAGGCCTGAAGGAACATTCCCACGCCGATACCAACGAGAACGGTGTAACCATATATACGACTCTCGCTGGTGTCTTGGTCAACCGTATACATCAGGGCACTGCCCGCGACAGTGAACAAACCGCCGACAAGATACCAGGGCATGTAGTAGCCCAATTTGGCCATGAGGGCTCCGTTAGCGAGGATGGTAACAACCATGACGACAATCAGAGGCAGCAGTCGTACACCCGCCTGCAGTGCACCATCGCTGCGCGTGAACTGGAAGAAGAGGGGAACAAAGTAGATGGGAATGAATGCAGAAGCTCCGGATGCCGCCGTAACGCTGAAGAGAATCAGAACGATCTTGGAGCGGAAGAACTGAACTGGGATGATGCGTCGTGCGACCGTCGTGAAGATTGTCCACACCTGCTGGATTCCAAGCAGTATGAACAGGACACCCGACGTGACGAAGAGACCGATAATACGACCGGAATCCCAGGGATAGGTAACACCGGCCCAATTGATCGCCAAGATGAAGCTGGTCAAGCCACCCATAAGCAGGACCGTTCCAACATAGTCCGTTTCAGCGGCACGCTGTTTGTAGGGAACTCCAGGGCGCGGGTCCTTGCTGGGAAGTAGGAAAAGCCAGGCCGGGGCGCAGACGGCACCGATGAACAGATTGATATAGAATGCCCATCTCCAGCCGACCTTGGACTCGCCAAAACCTCCACCGATCACGGGACCTAGGACGATGATCGGCTAGACGGCTGCAACGATGGTGTTGTCTAGAGCGTAGAGGAAGATGGAGAATAGCACAGCTATCATGGCTGCTGCCCACTTCCAGCCAACGATGTCGCGAGGTGGCACCTCGACAACTGGCTCTTGCTTCTCGTTATCTGCAACAGGGGCATCAGAACCTATTGAAGTCTCAGTGCCATAGTTCCGGAAGTGAGTTTCGACTTGGAGTTTTGGTGAGGCCGACATGGCGGAGGTTAATGTTATATTATTGTCCTATTTAATCAGTCAGCTTCGAAAGGAGCCTCGAAGATTGCGGGATATAAACTCACAAGTTGGATTGCGCTAGTGATAGAAGAGAGATTGTCGCGACTGGAGTTGATGAAGGCTTGCAGCTTTTCTGTACTGTACAGGGAAAACATTGTAGCAAGTCTTGCAGGCTGATGCTTTTATATGTTTGTTCACTGTCGATTTATAATATCGATGTTAGAAATCAAACTTCAATTTTTTTGAAGGAAAAACATTACCGATCATGATGTTTGCCGTGTCCCCCTTTGGTTCATCCAGCCCGATATAGGCAATTATCATACGGAGTACGGAGCCTCACGTTGTCCATCGCGCCCCATAATTAGCCGCACAAGGGCTTCAAAAGTGGGTCCCGAGCTCCAGTGAGGATTACCAAGCGTACCAGAGGGCAGAGATATCCTATTCTGGTAGTGAATATTCCGAATGACCTCAATCTTCCCAAAAGGGAAAGCAATTGCCCGCACAACCCATTTTCCAGGTGATAATATTTAGAACAATATTGGGCGTGTGGCACGGGTAATCAGGAACCATCCGTTTGGCAAGCCGCGATTCCTGAGTGTGGCTTTGGCGAAACTGGGCATCGGGAAACGTGAGACATTTCGTGGATGGTGGTGGGGCAGATGGCGTGGTTGATCGCGAAGAGTTGTCTAAGTCCCGCTGTCCTAGCTCGACCGGTGCAGTCTCTTCGGTGTCTTCTGTTTTCCCGCCAAGGGCAGAGCGGACCCATTTAAGCAGATCGCCGAACTCGATCAGAGACATCGTGGATTCGTGGCAGACATATCCTGCGCGCACTTGAACACTAATTCAAGCTTGAGGGCAACATCCATGTCCATGAGAGCGGTATGAGTGAGGCGACGCCCATAGCGACAAGGTTTGTGCTGTCGGTAATCTTGCCCGGCTCTACGCCGACCATATCGGAAAGGATGAGAACTATGTTCGCTCTGACCTCTGAACCGACAGATTGAGAACCGTTTGGTGGTTTCAATCGCACTGAAGGAGCTTTGGCTGAGACGGATGCCATGGCCTCGTCCCTGTCAACCGTCATAGCAACCGTCGGACATAGTTGATCTAGGCCGGAAGTGGATGCCCAGAATGATACCGAGAAGTTGCGAAGTGCGGCTGTCGAAGATGAAGACGTTGCTTGAGAAGGGTCGGTCAGTAGGACGATGGTGCATTGCAAGCACATCGAACACCTCAGGATTTTCCTCTAAATCGCAGATGAGTGGTGGTAGGACGCCCGCTCAACTCCATTTGAGATAAAGGCTTCACCGTCTGGTCTCTGGGTCATACAGTTCACGAATACGCCCGGCAAACTCGCTGCTTCTGCCGACAGCTTCGTGAACTCCACGGAAAACTTCGGAACAGTGGACGACGTCGGCAAATAGCTTGTAGATAGCACTGCCTTGTAAGATGTCGTCCGCATCGCCGCTTCCGAGGACTTCCAGGCAGCGTTTATGGGCGACGAGTCGCTCATATCTGCAGAACTCACACAATAACTCGGCATCGTCTCGAGAATGGAAAATGAGTCTTCCAGACGCGTAGAGAGCCGCCAACGTCACTTCCAGCAGGGTTGCTGACGATCTTCCACGACCCCGTGCGACGAGGTTGATCGACCCTGTTGCAACAAATCAGGCCACTCGGGTGGAATTTCTGCAGATGGGAGCTTGATTCCGAGATCACGAAAATCCACTTGAAGATCCGATATCTGAAATTCTGGACGCAAGCTCCACATTGCCTCGGTCGCAATGTCGAGCTGAAGGGTAGAGCCAGCGAGTGTGAAGCTTCACGGGTCGTTGAAATAGGCAATGCTAGCCGGACGGTTACACGGCGAGCTCTCGTTAGCACTCGCCACGAGGTTTTCCACTACCTCGAGGTCTGCTTCAATGCCCATCACGGATCCTCTGTCAGACTCCCAGGAGGCCCTAATGAGGCGTGAACGTCTGGAAATGACATTTAGTCAGTCGGAACGCGTCAAGGCACTCGCCACGGTCTGTGCAACGATCTCACCAAAGCTGTGGCTCCTGGAAGGCTCATCGACTTGCACACAAGGTTATATTGGTCCAGGTACATACTCAGCATGCTGGTTCGTTCGACGACCTGTCGGTCCAGTCCAACAAAGGTCGAGACCTCGCCTCCAAAGCAGAGAATGACGGCAGGAGAAGACTTCATAGTGTCAAGCGCGGCATGCTCGCCTTGGCGGGTCGCTTCCAGTACGCCTTCAAGGTTCTGGATAGAGTCGGTGTGGAAGATCAAGGCATATCTGAGCGATCTGCTCGACTGGCGCGCGGTGTTGTATGAAAGATCGGGCAGCGAGGCATTTCTGGCAGAAATAGTCTTTGGTCGCAGGAAAGGAAAGTAACTGGAAATTTAGGAGTGGAGGTTCTTGTTATCAGCTCCACAAACTAAATCGCCGTCCGCAATGGCCGTGGACAACCTATTCTGGAACATAGCACCAACTGCTTCGCCTCGACAATAACCATCTCCTTTCGCATCGAAGGGTTTGAGCTGCCTGAGCGCTGCGCGGTCGATATGTTTGCAGTCCTGGATGCTGAGCAGGCGACCAACGTGGCGGAGCAACATTCAACGTCTAAGCTGCTTGAGGTGCACCTCGTGCGCGAACTGGCGCCACGTATTGCAAAGACGGGCGTGGTCATCACTATGGTGAATCCGGGACTGTGCCATTCGCAACTGGCGCGCGACTACGGTGGGGTTTCTGGGTGTGCAAGGTCGTTTTCGCGCGCTCGACTGAGGTCGGCACCCACACACTGCTCGCTGGCGCGTCCGCGGATGCTAGCAGTCATGGCGTGTACATGTCGGATGGTATCGTTGCTGATGGTAGCTTTCATCCTTTGTCACGAGCAATGAGGGTGTTGCTGCATAGCTCAAGCTATGGGGCTAGCTAGATGTGCTGTTGGAGGACATTGCCCTAGGTTGCACTGTTGTTGTGCCGAGGGGTGGGATGTAACTTGTAAGGTGATAGTCTGGATTCTGATAGATGAGTTTACATTAGTTGGCGAATTCATACAAACCATATCGTGTCTCTGATAGTCTATGTCAAGTCTGCAAAGAAGCAGACACTATACACTTTCTGACGCAATCTCTTTGAGATATTCGATGATTTTTCATGTAACCATGTTGTATCAACTACCGCCGGTATGCGGGATAATCACCACCATCATGTTTTGGTTACATCTCGGAGCGAGCATTGCGGCCGAATTGCAGATGGGGTTTGTCCGGTAGTGTAAGTATGGCTCCTTGGTTGTGCCTAGAGGCAGGTACGAGAAGGATTCTGCCACGACTATGGATTGTTAATTCGTGTACACCCTGAAATGTTATTCCGTGCTATATTATATGGTAGCAGCAGAGAGATTTGCAGGGAGATGTCCCCAGACAGTCGAAGGCCGAGGAAACACGCTAAATAGTAATGGTGCCAAGATTGAGAGCGCTTACATGGATAGGTACGAGTTGTGCCCCTCCAGGTAGTTATTTGAACAGGCTATTAATTTGATGTTGTACAGAACGGTACAATTCTGACCCATTCAGCAGATCTTAAAATATTTGAGAGAGGTACTGTTGTCCGGCTGCTGAGACTGCGTTGTTGAGTAAGGTACGTCGATGCGCGTTCTAACTATCGTTACTCTAAAGGTACTAACTGGAAGGCAAGTCGCTGACACTGCCCTTTGTCCGATATCGCGAGATGATGGCTGGTTACACATGGGAACAATATCTCGAATTCATCAACGGTGTCCCTCCAGATCAACAGGAGATCGATTTCTTCTCCTCAGTCGGCTGGGTGCGGCCATATCTTCAAGTGTCCAGCCCGTTCACGCCTATTCCATTCTTCTCCCGCTTCGAAAAGGGAAACAGTAACGACCGGTTCTTCAACAAAATCATCAATACCCCTGGTACAATATCAAATGCACTTGGGTTGGTTAGGAAGGAAAATGATTGGGCGACGCGATTTGCAGTGGCCACGAACAACGGAAATGCAGGGACATCTCAAAAACAAAAGGAACCAGACTTCATTCTCCTCGCTCATTTGGGCACGGATTTGAGTGGTTTCACCGACACTGCGCATGGCGGCGTTCTGGGTGCCCTGTTTGACGAAGCGATGAGCTGCTGCGCGGAATTGTTCCGACAGGCGTCCGATAGGAAAAGTCAATTGTTCACGGCTAATTTGAGTGTGTCGTATCGTGCACCGGTGGATGTCCCCGCCGTGGTGATGATCCGGATATGGTTGGAACGCCGCGATGGAAGAAAATGGTTCCTGCGCGGCAAGTTGACGGGCGAGGACGGCGCCGTGAAAGCAGAAGCCGAGGCCCTGTGGATCAGTGCAAAGACCAAAGAAAATCTATAACATCATCGGCGCTACGAAGCAAGCGTATCATTGTGAGTATGTATAACCAGGACTTCATGATGATTACGGAGACTGATATGGTACTTAGCCAAACAAAAAGTTTTGGCTGAATTTGAACATCCCCCTTAAGCCATCCACTCTAACGATCTCATCTGGAGAATTCCGGATCCGTTGAAGACACTTGATTGCCCTGACTCCAAGTGGTAACCATCGAGGGATAAAATTGAGAAATACTCCTTGCTGCCCTTCGATAGATGCGTAGGTGGCAATGATAATTAGTGGCTAGAAGAGTGAATATCCACGGTGTTCTGAATAGTATGACGACATGATCAAGAGCCTGCTCAATCAGGGGTTGGAACATTCTCCTAAGATAATCAATATCTTTGTAGAATGCCGAACGGAGGAATAAAGCTCCCTGTAGGCATATTGCTCGGGTAGGAGGCCTGTGAAGATCAAATCGTCGTCATTGTCATTACATGGCACAGGAGAGTCTCAGCAAAGTGACGGCTGCCGGGGAGATGCTAAAAGCATGTGCCACTTTAATTGCCTCGAATAGACGAAATCAGCATTAACACAGTTTCGTCCATGACGAGATCTCTAATTGCTTGACTTTTCGACAGGGAGCAGAACCGGCAGACCACACCACTCACTTCATGGAGACCTAGCAGTACGGTAGAAAGGAGAGAGAACGCATCCTGTGAAGGCCCCGACGACGCCCAATCAGTCAAAGCCAGTTTAGATTCTTTGATAGTTGGTAACAGAATCCGAGATAGGCAGCGGTGTTGGAAGCGGAGCTGAGCTGGCAAGATAGGAGACAATGCCGGCGGATATGTTGCCAGTGATGATGCCGTTCTGATGGAATCCTGCGAGTCCGGTGAGTACGGAGATGTTTCAAGGCAGAGCCCTTCGACCCACAAGGAGACTGTCGCAGTAGCCATACTCACTTATCCAACCACGATTATACCGTAATGATTGAGTAGGCAACGCCAGATATGTCGTCGACCAGGGCTAGCCACCCCTTTGTCACAATCAGGAAGGAAAATGACCACGTAGGACTGTCTTCCTGATACCTAGCCTCTTGCCATGTCCTCCATCGGTTAGGTATCCAGCAGTTCTACGGATTTTACGGCAATGGATGCATCACCTGACACCTGTGATGGTATGGATGGTCTTGCTTCAAGTCTTGTCAATCATCTTGAATTCTTGATTGATCTGAATCAAATGGACGAATTGATGAATGATAGGCTCAACCGCTCAAGTCCTGATGCCTTACACTCTGAGTTTATGCCTCAGATATACATATCACGTGGCTCCTTAATTCCCGCTTAGTCACTCGCTTTGCTACTCCACCATCTTCATCTTCAATATTCCTAATTATACGGATACAAACTGTGGCCTTGCTTCAAGGCGCGACAGTTCATAGTATCACAATTCCAATCAGGCAGTTCCGCAGCTGGAAGGCGAGCTTTGACTGGTCCAGTTATGCGGCTCAGCTCCGGGACAAGGAGATTGGATCCGGAGCTTAGCGCCGCCTAGCCAACCTTATTGCCCGTAGGGAATAGGGACGGCACCTTTAATCTTGTCTTGGGATGAATATTCCATTTCATTGCATCTCCAAGTTCGAGGAGGAGGATTGAAGGGTTACACCGTCATTATGCAGTACAACATTGGACGCGCAATATTCGCGGAGCGTCTGCGATGATCCGTCAGTTCTCCATTATCGTATCTCGCACTTATACCTGAAGCGTGTGCATTGCATAGAGGCTCGTGCATGCTAAACCCGACTGGACATCCCCCTCACGGCCTTACCCCCTTGTTGCGCGTTTTAGACTTTCACCGCAGCCTCCTCGAAGTCGTCTCGTCTGTTTTCCGATATCTATTCTTGATATGCACTGAACCACGCGACCGAACCGCGAATGACTATCTGAACGTCTTCGGGTCCCTCGCGCCGCCATCAACGAACCGAACTCCTCGCTATGGCGCGATTATGGCTGGACGCGACCACCGACGATCCGGAAGAGGTCGCAAACCTCCCGATACCTCCAATCCCGGAAGGGCTTGTCAAAGATGTTACGACACCGCGCCCAATGTCCTTACCCCCTTCAAGGCAAATCAGAAGGGCAAAGCGGTCGTCAAAACATGATTCATCGCAACCCGCCGCTCCAGAGGTCATCTCCACATTGATCGATTCGCTCTCGATGTTGCAGGTACCAACTCCTGACCAATTCCATCATTGGGCATCGCCTTCTGGGGCAAGCGTCTCCACGCCATCAAGTCCTAGTGCATTTCAAACGAGATATGAAGAGGTCGATACCGATGCGGGAAGTATATATGGAGGCGGTTACGGTTCGGGGAACACGGCCCGAAACTCGATTGCTACCAATTGCTCGATGCATAATCATTCGGTTCACGATGGTGACTTCTCGTCGATTGATGACGCGGCCGAACCGCCCGTTGTGCGCACCTCAAAACCTCCTTCAGGCCGCTCCCCCATCACAGCTCCGAAATCGCCGAGGAAAGAGCACGGAATGCGCATGTATTTGAAATCTGGCTCTCGGAGCGCGACATCGCTCGCCTCGTTTCGCGATCGGGATGACGATGCCCGGAGTATCGGCAATATTAGCATCGAGGCCACCACTCCAACATTACCAACACACGGCGGGCGGCAGTCAAGCGAGCGCAGGGGAAGTGGTACTATAAATGGAGGCCGTGCAAGAAGTCTGATATATATGGGTTCTAGAGAACGGTTGCGAGGAAAGGAAAGGGATGCGGAACGGAGACAATCGACTCAATCGAGAGACTCTATACTGTCTATCTCTGATGAAGCTGTGAAGCAGATGCTAGCCACGCCATCAATACAAGAAGAAAGGGAGGAAAGGGAGGGCCCGAATGTGGTCGAGAATCAAGAAGGGAAGAAGAAAAAGAGGTCTAGCCTAAGACTCGATATCAGGAGGACGCCATCGTCATCGCGCTCTGGACAGGCGAAGCTCGAATATGGCGACTCTGGAAGCCCAACCGTTCCACTCCGCCGATCTTCCCTAAGACATTCCGACAGCCCATCGCAGCGCAAATTGCAAATCCAAGTCCGACGGTCCAGCCGGCAAATTCCATCTAAAACCGAAACGGTTTTTGAAGAACCTTCGAACGCCGACGATGATCTTGAAAACTACACCAGCCCGCCCTCGACAGCAGAGGCTGCTGCGGAAGAAGGGGCGACCACGAATGCCGATTTCGAAGATGTGGATACGCAAGTGACAAAGCGGATTAAACAATTAAAGGCGCAGAAAGTCATCCGGGACCGGGAGGCAAGGCTATCGGCAGACACCTCAGCCTCTATGCGATTATCGGCAGAAGAGCAGCTAGGAAATCGAACATCAGGGGATGTCTCAAACCTGGGGTCTGATCATTCGCACAGCTCAAGTGTCGATAGCTGGACGCAAGAAGATGCGCAAGCAGTCTCGGACAAGGCACATCGGGTGCTCGGACGTATACACCAAGCTGGCGACCCAGCCGAACATAACCTAGCAGAGCCTTTGGCCCTAGGAACGACGCTTCCGGCCGACGTGGTTCCGAATCATACTTATCTCACCGTTTCTCGCCCTCATACTCACACCATAACCCAGTATGCTGTTCGAGATACCCACCCTGACCCAGTTTCCACCGACGACAGACGCCCTACCACCCCTCAGACTCCCTTCGAGGTTCCCATCAACTACAACTTTGTCGTCCAATCCCTCGACAAGGTCTCTACTCACAGCTCCAAGTCCTCCGCCCGAGGCTCCTTCGGCGCTTCCTCATCCTCCCGACCTCTATCTTTCGGAGCTGGTGGGCGGTCCGCACTGGGACGTCAGCGGCCGAGCCAGTCCAAAATTCCCGAACTCCCATACCATCCCAAGGTTCCCGACAGGAAAACATCGCAAGGTGCTCCGGAGGATGTGAGCAGCTCAAGCACCAGCGCAAAGAAAACAAGCACCGAAACTTCCTCGACGGTGACCACCAAACTTTCGAAACCTATCGCTCTCCAACCGCCGCCTGTGCGTCGTCCGCCACCCAAGACACAGCGTTGGTCACATCCCGATCTTCCTCTACGCGTAGACAACACGTATACGCAGCGACAAAAGTCAACCGATCCCTCCAAAACAGCCAACAAAAACACAACCTCCAGCCACTCTACCCCCAAACCCCCGAAGCCTCAATCTCACAAACCGAAACCGAAACCCGAGCCCCTCCCCGAACTCCCTCCCCCGGCATCGCCCGTCGATCCCGTCGACCTGGCCGTCGACCGGTTCCTAGCCGCGCCACGGCTTTCACGTCGGGTGCGGCATCCCCAAACGGGACGGGTGATCTGCTTCTCGGATGTGGGTGATCCGAGGGGCCATGCGGTGTTCTGCTGCGTCGGGATGGGGTTGACGAGGTACGTGGCGGCGTTCTATGACGAGTTGGCTCGGACGTTGAAGTTGCGGTTGATCACGCCGGATCGGCCGGGAGTGGGCGGGAGTGAGGGAGATGGGAATTCGACGCCGTTGAACTGGCCTGGTAAGTCGGTTTACGTTCATCAACAGGTCGTCCCTGTTTTCTTTCGCGAATTACCGTTTCTTTTCGGGATCGGACTATTCCTTTGAAGAAAGCATGCTGACGGATACATGTATAGACGACGTCACCGCCATTTGCGCTTCCCTCCAGATCACCAAGTTCTCCATGCTTGCCCACTCCGCCGGCGCCATCTACGCCCTCGCCACCGCCCTCCGTATGCCCCAACACATCCGCGGCCGCGTCCACCTCCTCGCCCCCTGGATCCCTCCCTCCCAGATGTCCCCGTCTGCCGGAATATCTCCCGGCTCCGAATCCCGCGGCCAGCTCCCCAAAGCGCAACGCTTCCTCCGCGTCCTCCCCACCCCCCTCCTCAAAGTCGCCAACAGCTCCCTCATGTCCGCCACCAGCGCCAGCGTCACCCGCAACACCCCCAAGTCTTCCAAGAGCAGCTCCAAGCGCCGTAACACCAGTAGCCAGGCCAACTCCCGCAGCGCGTCGTCCGCCGGCGCCGAGAACGACCAGGTCCCTCGCCCGAACACCCGCCGCGAGAGCATCATGCTCATGGACCAGCAAGTCATCCCGAACGCCTCCACTCTGTCCCTCGGGCACCCGCCACGGAACACGAACGGATCTCCGAACAACCACTCCTCGCCGCACCTCCCGCCCGTCCCCGCGCCGGACCGCGCCGCGTACGACGAGCGGCTCACCACGTCGATCTGGGCGCTCGCGACGCAGAACGCGCAGCCGGTGCTGGATCTGCTGGTGTGTTTGGAGCGGAATCAGCCGATTGGGTTCCGGTATGTGGATATCAACAAGCCTGTGGTGATTCACCATGGGAGCAAGGACTCACGGGTGCCGGTGGAGAATGTGCGGTGGTTGGGGCGGACGATGAGGAGGTGTGAGGTGAGGATTTTGGAGGGAGAGGCGCATGGGTTGATGGGGAGTGCGGGGGTGATGAGTCGGGTGTTGACGGAGATGGCGGGGGAGTGGGAGGATTGGACTCGGCTGGTGAGGGAGGGGGGGATTGGTGAGGGGGTGTAATGTATGTGGAGGAAAATGATTTGTGAGACATTTTGCGGGTTTGGCGCAGTTGCTTCCGATACCCCAATCTCTTTAATGTTTATACCCCTTTACTTCGTCAATACACCTTTACACGATCATGATGTAACCATGTCTTTCTATTTCTGTAATTCAGCATGACATTTGCATCTTCCATGTCGCAGATAGCTTAGTTTCATTAATACATAACTAAGTTAACTAATCCTAGAATGAATCTTATCATACAATCATCATTCATCGTCGCCATTGAACATATATCGAGCCATCAGTCTTCTTCCACTAACTCGGACTTTTTCGGCATGTGATACAGACTCATCTGACCCGCGAAGAACACCACAACAACCGTAACTGTTACCGTCGTAAACGTTATGGCCACTTTGCCATTCCCCTTGAGGGAGCCATCCACGTTACTAAAACCCTGCTCCCCTACGGACGCCCACACCAGCGCACACATCCCAACGATCATACAAACCACCGACGCCGTCAAAAACATCACAGGCATCTGCCACGTATACACCGCAAACGTCCCCGGCGTCCTCAACTCCTCCTCCCCGCCCACACGCCCCCACGGAGGCCGCCGCGCCATCAAGCACCGAATCAGCGGCAACGCATCACGATGGCTCGACAACCGATGCAAGCGGATCGTCAAGTTCGCCGCGCTCAAGATCGATGCCAGTGCCAGCAGCAGGCCCGTCAAGAATGACGTGCGGATCGGCCACGGCGACGTGGTGTCGGCCGGCAGTAGGCTCGGCCAGGAGCCCGTGGACGTCAGACACCCGGCTAGCAGGGCGGCGACGATGCCGACGAAGTTCATCTCGGCGAGCTTGTGGTCGCGCCAGCGCTCTGTGAGGGTGTCACGGTCGGAGCGGGTGGAGGCGTTGAGCATGAGGAGGATGGGATCGTAGGTGGTGGAGTCGAGGGCGAAGACCCCGGTGAAGAGGAAGTGGAGGGCTTGGGTGAGGTGGTTGGTCAGGTTGGAGGCGAAGCTGGATGTCTACGTGTGGTAAGGATGATTTGCTTCATTATATGAGGGTGAAGTGGTATGGTATATACATCATTGGGTGCTTTGTTGCCTGTTTCCCGGGGTTCCACTGTCGAGAAGCGTGCGAGGAGAGGGCGTGCCTCTGCCCCTGTGTGCATGGCCATGCTGAAGACTGTTGCGATCTGAAGAGACTATATGAACGGCATTAAGGAGACTTCATCCCGTGAACAATAATCCAAATTTTGAGATGCGTCGACAGGGAAATAGCGCCTTCTAATACCTTAGCCATTCTGAAGAGTGCGCAAATACACGGTTACACGACGCTAGACAAGAAGCAATGATCCATCAACCATTCTAATACCTGTATTATCAAAATGCAGGTTATCTGTTGCCCAGACATTGCACAAGGCATGGAGACCACGACGGTCATGGTGACGCACGATGACACGAGGTTGCTACAATTCCCGACTCCGACGGCATGGAGATGTCAGACGTCAGTGGCTTGATGCTTAGCGCTCGGGATCAGGCCAGAGATTGGAGGACAATGAAGCTCATATTGCCAGGGATTCATTGACCAAAGATCTTCCAGGAACGTGGAAGTGTTGCTGACCTGGAAGTTATAGGCTTATAGCTCTATCCGTGGCTTCGACTATGTCGCGTTGTGATATGCGGGGTCCGGATAGATGCATGTCACAGATCTCACAGCGTCGTCATGCTAACTTTCTTCTCCATTGTATGGAGTAACGTTATGCACTAGTTACTGAAATCGCTTCCAAAAGAGTAAGCACCCTCTCTGAAAGGGTGTCAACGGAGTACGTAGTATACCATAGCCGCGTGTCAATCGAGCGCCACCCTGACGACTCCCAATCTACCCTGTGTTCTCACAGCTGGACTTGTTCATAACTTTCAATCAATTCTCCTGCAGTGAATCTAAAAATTGAGCGAAACCTTTGCTCAACCCCCATGCCGTCAAGCCTAAAAGGGAACCGCTCGCTACTCTGAGTGCTCTCTGGCCTGTCTCCGGGAGACTGATGTTACCAACGCCGGTTAGGAGGCCCCCTACCGCTGCGTTGGGATGTCCATCAATCCATGCTTCGATATCTCTTGTATCCCATGTCTTGTCCAGCTCACACGTATATTGGTACGTGCGTACATTTATGTCCGCCTTTTGAGAAGGCGGTTTCATATGGCTGTATAGCCAGATTGTCAAGGTTGATGCAAGTAACGCGATGGGCTCTTGAGAGCTCAAACACGAGCAATCTCGGACTAACGCAAACAGCCTGCAAGCGTATAATACGGCACGTCGAGCGGTACGGCCATAGTCGTCGGAGAACCATCTATGGAGTCTATGCTCCGCTTCGCACTTCTCGGAGGTAGAGCCCGGGTTGATGAAGACAAGGATATCGCTAATCGGAATATAAGTACAAAGAGCCGCGTGCTGTATCACTGTTAGAATATGATGCGGCACTCGTGAGTGGGGGTCCGTTGTTGATCGGGTTTCTGATTCTTCCCGCGTTGGCTGAAGACTTTCAAGGAAGGTGCATAGATTTTCTTTCCAGTCAAAATGCTTTGTTCCTTGTATAATTGACCCATGAAGACCGAGCCAGTGGTGAAGAGGATTTTCAAACGACGTCCGCCATTCAAATGCTGTCTCGTATACTGCATAAACTAATGCAAGTCTGCCAAAGTTCCCCACACCGTCTGGAAATTCGCTGTTGCCGATGAGACGATGAAGACAGTTAGCCGCCGTGATTGGAGAAAGTGCTTCCTTTTGGTAGCATAAGTAATGTGCCTTCCACTTGGTGGCCGTTGATGCTTCCCACAAATCATCCGGGCAGGGCAGCGCGGCCTTCATCTCCGGGAGCCTCATAGATCCAGGAAGGTTGAATTGAAGCGAGAGTTGGCACTGAAGTATCTATAGCAAATTCAGTACGTTCCTCTCATCGTCGTGCTTATATGCTATACATACCCAGCATCCAAAGCCATTCCGCCGGCGGCTTTCCTCGCCCACCCATTTGGTCCACATATCTTCGAGGGTAGCGCCGTCGGTGGTTTTGTCGACCATTACTGTAGATTTTCCTTGCTCTAAGTAATTATTTCGACGACACGCGGTTGTCGCGGCATTCCCCAAAGCTAAACTGGCTTCCAGTAATATTCTGCTTCCGCTGTACGTCAGAGAAAATTGGTTAAGGAGAATCGTGGTCGTGAAAGATAGGGTGCGAACGATCCAGCCCTCAAATTCAATCTGACAGTATTAGCAGCGGTAATGTCGCGTTGTGGGAGCCTGAAGGCATACCAAATGTGATATCGACATGTGAAGTAGAGCCGACATTGCCTTCCCAATTTCTGAAGAAGCCTGAAGCTTGGAGAAGCGGCATCCAATAGTGGCGACGGCAAGCACTTCAACCCAATGCGCCTGTGCCAGAGGAAACGTTGGCTGATGAATGATGGGAAATAAATGGTGAAAGTGCTGGAAATAGAGCTGGATGAAGCAGTTGACCAGCGGTCGCGGTGGAAACGAGTGTTCTAGCTCAGTCTCTGCAGGACGTAGAACGCGGACCATCCAAACTTGTTCACGTATAACATTGTACGTATGCTCCGAGATGTATTCGACTGGATCAGCTTTATGTAGCAAAGCCTCGAGCTCTGCGCTGTCGACCCTCGGAAATAATGACGAAATACCAGGCCTACCACCCTTAGCACTCTGCGTGTCTTGAGAGCTTCGAGCAAGGTCATTGAATTCCACCGTCTTGTGGAAGAAATCTTGGGGCCTATCATTATCGACACAGGGAGCTTGGCTTTGACCGGGTGCCACGGTGGCAGCATTGGAATTATCTGCCTGCTGCATCACGTCCCTTGATATTGATGGAGTCTTAGCTAGCTGCGACTCAGAGCCTGCTGGAAAGGCAGTAGTAGTAGCAGTATACCATGGAATTGAAGTACTTGCGGATGCAGAGGCATTGTCAAAGACTGGAAGCGAAAGGTCCGAGAAATCCAGTGGCAACCAATTAGTAATGTCAAGATCGCCGGTAAACAGGAACCGCGGCTGATTTAAACAAGTAAATTGGTTCTCGTTCACACGTTGGGTCCGCGGAAGAACTTTTTCCGGCATGTCCTTGTCGTCGCTTTGCTCACTGCTTTCCACATTGTTGTATGTTGTTTTTTGGTCGCAGTCGGTGCCATTCAGAATCGGAGATCGCAGCATGTTTACCAGATTTCTCTGATTAGCGTTGGTTGTAGAGTCAGCTGCCTCTTTGTTTAAGGCGGCCATGTTCTCACTCTGTCGATCCTGAACATTGGCTGAGGTCGCGTCATGACTGACGAATATGGATTCTGCTTGCTGGGAAAGGTTGGCCACATCGGTCGCGATTCGGCATCCTGGCAACGCTTCCAAGGTGGATGAGTCGCTCGAGTCGCCCTGAAGAGACGGAAACTTACGACGGGGTGGCACTCGAACACACCGACGTTTGTATACGGAGCAGCGTCGGCATGGTTGGGCGGTATCGCAGCGTACTTTCGACTTCGCGCAACTGATACATGCGTGGGAAATCCTCTCAAGGGGTGATTTTGATCCATGCTCTTTTGATCGCCTTATTCGGCGATCTGCCTCATGGCTCCGGTGATGACGCGATAAAGAGTCCCTGGAAAACATTTCTCAACCACCATTGCAACGCCTGGCAAAATTGAAGACTGCGAGACCACATACCTCCTGGAAAACGCCTTGCCACAGAGCTGGCATGGAAATGACTTCCCACGCTCATGGGACGAGCGGATATGACGAGTTAGGTGATCCAAACGACTAAATGTGAGGCCGCATGCATGACATAATAGGAGATCAGGATTATTAGATGAAGTGGTGGGTGCCGAATCCATCACGTCTTTCTTTCATCAAATTCTTCCTTCTGTTGCCGGTGGTATTTGGTATTCCGGTGGGGGATCGGCCCCTTTTCAACCGTTGATGCATCCTGAGTCATGAGTGACAATAATGCCGCGCAGAAGAGCTGAAGCTCCACTTGTAATTACTAACTTTATTAAGACCTGGGTTAGATCAGTACTTAATAGGTACTGTGTATGTAGTGTATTGTACCATGTATTAGTATAGGTTCAGTAGCTGGTAAACGGTCCCCAAGGGCAGGGATCATCACAACAAAACTTCCATTCGACCAGCCTGACCAGGTCATCCAATCAACTCCGTACAGTGATCATCTATCTGCCTATAATCACCACGGAAGTAGCTAACGCACCGATGTACTTCATATATTGGTCATCCAATGGGGCTATAGTATCGAGAGCTACAGATATATTCAAATAGCTTATTTAAATACCTTATCATACGACATCTGATTCAGTTGCTTGCAAAAGATGCCGTGCCCAACACGGCCCCACCCATATCGCTACCCGTATTATGGACTGTAGCAAGAATTCTCGGCCCCGCGCATTTGATTTTACGAATGCTGCGATTGAAGATGATCTCCGGCGGGGGCGACGGAGTTCGTCTTGAAGTCATTGACAAGCTGCGATATCTAATGCCTAGCTTTATATAAATCATGATCATATATAAGAGTCGTAGATAGGTAAGAAGTACCTTGAACGGCTGAATCTGGTTTCTTTATATCGGAAAGGCCTCGAACACTTGCTCTTTCATTGATATTGGAGATTCGAGTCTAAAATGAGAATATTCTTTTTATATCCGTTCTTCTTCACTGCTTGCACATCAGCTCATGGCTATGTGAAGTATGTGACACTCGATAACACCATGTATGTTTCATACTTTCTGGGTTCTCTGTGAAGCAACTGGAAATGGCCTCTAACTTCTGCACAGTTATCCTGGATTCGACCCGTATGGTCACCTCATCAGTGGGATTAGTTGGTTTGGATCCAGTGCTTACTGAAATAGCCACCAAGACACGGCGCTGAATGCAACGCGCATCGTCTATTCCTGGGACAAAGGCGAGGCGGATGGCGTTGGCCCTATCGTTAATGTAACAACTCCGGACATTGCTTGCAACTTGAACTCTCGGCCGCCAGCCTTGGTTGGCAAAGCACGAGCAGGCAGCACGGCTACATTCGAATGGACACCAGTGCGTTGTTAGCTTGAGAAAGAAATAGGAGTCTTGGGTGCTAATAAGACTCAGTGGGTTATTAACCATAAGGGACCACTGACAGCGGTAAAATCCCTTCGACAGAGCCGAGTGTCTTGCCCTCGATGCTAATTGATTATAGTACATGGCTCCCTACGAGGGAAGCCTGGCAAATAACAATGTCAGCAAGCTTGAATTCTTCAAAATTGCTGAGCAAGCCGTGACAGACGGCAAATGGGCTACGGATCATATGATGTCTGTTCTTCCATACACCGCCAATGTCCATTACTCGGACACTTATATTAACGTTTCATAGGGCGGACGGTAGCAAATGGAATGTTACCATTCCATGGGATATCAAACCTGGCACATACGTCCTCCGCCACGAGCTTCTGGCGCTTCACTTTGCCAATGGTGGTATTGCTATCGGCCCACCGGGGCCACAGGTATGTTGTGTAGCCATGATGGGATTGGTTTTTATATGCCTAACCGCGTGAAGTTCTATATCATGTGCGCCGCTGTTGAGATTGTTGGCTGCGGCTCTGCACAGCCAGAAGGCAATACTTTCCCTGGAACGTACAAGCAGGATGATCCTGGGTTGACTTATCGTTTGTACGGCGAGGACATAGAGAAGGCTCAGACGGGGGGATATGTGGGTCTTTCAATATTATCTATCCTCCCTATTCTTTATCGATCCAGCGGATACGAAGCATAGAATGTTCACTAACAGCACGTTACTACAGACCATTGCTGGACCCAACGTGTACGTCCCGTCTGGTCCGCGTCCACAGTTGCAGCCGAATCCGGTGACAAGAGTTTCACCGATGGGCGATCCAGAGCTCGACAAAGTTTACTACGAAGCCTTAGATGCCGAGGCGGAAAAGTTTGGTGAAATCACCAAGATGGTCAACAATTTGCCTATGGGAAAAGGCTATGCGGATGACAACAGCACTCAGACCATTGGCAACGGAACGCAGACCATCGATCTCGAGGTGTGCCCATAGAGTTTCGATTCTATCTAGTAAGAAGTATCATTTGCACGCTTCTAGCACAAAACCTTGGAACTCGCTTCACTCCCCACCATTTCGGCCGCTTTTCAGTGTCAATACAACGCGGCTGGAGTAGGGCTTCTTCGTGAAGACAACATGACTTCTGCCAGCTCACCCAGTCATTTGATTATCAGGTCGCACACTGTGCAGTAGAGCCATCGAATGTCGGCCGTCAATGTTCCCACGACCAGCAACCGCTACCCATTGTGACTCTATCCGGCGTCGAATACGGCCAACAACCCGTAAACAGCGCAATCTGGTCTCAACTGATCGAAATGGGAGTGGCTGATGAATAAACAGTCGCATTCAGTGAACTGCCGATTGCAGCCAACAACCCGTCAATGAGGCAATCTGGTCCCATACTGATCGAAATGGGCGCGGCTGATGATTAAATAGTCGCATTCAGTGACCGATCGACAGTGAACGGAATCGGTCTTTCGACCCCGGCATCCAGGAATTAAGTCCAGCTCTTCTGAGTCGAAATGGTGTGGCACCGAGTATAGCGCAGGATCATTTTCCTTAGAGAGAGTTCGATATATTGTGCATGTTCACGCCACTGAGAACTGCTTTGAAAGCCTGCCCATGTCGGCCAACAAGGCTTCACTCTTCAGGATCGCCGATTCGACCCATCACCCGGACCAGCGGAGGTGTCAATGCCTGCAGTGCTGCAACGTAATAGCCAATTTATTGAGCGATATTAATACCTACCTAATAAGGTCATCCGGGGAGGGAAAGAAATTCATAGATCCCCATCAGCCCATCACCATTGATGGTAGACATGGGCGATGTATTGATAGGGATCTATCCATTCTTCCCCTGCGGTGGGGTATGAGCAACCTTTCGTCACGATGCTCACTCGTGAGGATGCGAGCATGTCCCGTGGCATGTGTAACCCATATATGGTTCACTTAATATCCCGGCTCTTCCTTGTGTCATGTATAGCTGGTGCGGAGTCGTAACATTCGTGTTGTAGACGCCAATAACCTGAAATAGATAGGGAGGTTGCAAAACCCCTTGAGTGCCGCCAGGCGCCACCTGGAGAACCAAGCCGACTCCTGTTGGGCACGTGAAGATGACAGGTACGACTCGCAAGTCGTAGGGCTCCATATTCCGCTCAACTTCGCTGCTCGTGCTTCATCTTCGGCGGCAAAATGAGGAAATTATTATTGCCGGACACTGACTCGCGACTTCGCATGTGCATCCAACATTCAGGACATGATCACCACGACGTTCTCAGTTAAGCACCCGGAAGAATAACAGTGACAGAAGATGGTCTTATATCATCCGACTTGGTTTGTAGCTGGTAGGGCCTCATGTCAGTGCTGGGCCCCTCCCTTAGTGGCCAGCAAGCCCAACTTCCTCATGTACTTCTCACCAACGCTTTTCAAAGTCGGCATACATGTCGTCGTAATTCCCAAAAGCAGCTCCACCATGCTCCATGTAAGGAGTTCTGCTGAAAACCATGTAAAGTCCAAGCTCATGCCGTAATGTTGAAGGGTAATCAGCTTGGGGACAATCGCAGCGGAGCAGAGGAGGCCCAGTGCCATCAAGAGGCAAATCACCGCTCTCTCGCCTCGTGAACGTTGGATCTTTCCAATGACGAATATGGGAAGAAGCGACAATAGAATGTCCGAGACCATGAACGTGCCTGGATCTCGCCAGTACTAGTATTAAGTGGCTGTAGAATGACATACTTGATATTGCATAGATCCATCCTTGGAATACCTTTTTGTTGATGCAGGCGTCCCGCGATATGGACAGGTCCCATAATGCTTTCAGCGGCCGGCATTGGAGGTAGTTCCACAGTGAGGATGCTACAGCCAGCACAACCATAATGGCTATTGAGATGACGATACCTTGTTTCCACCGTTTGTGTTCGCCGACGAGACGAAAGAGCATGATAAGCAAAGAGATCTTTGCCATTGTTACGCCCCAGACGTAGAATTCGGTGACAAAAATTGAAGTGCGCGCGTTGAAAACAATTTCGTCAGGTGTAAGGTAGTGGATATGCCTCCCAAGGCCATTCGCAATTCCGACCATGGCAATAATGTACAGACCGGTTGCGCAGGCCTAGGGTGAGGTTAGCACTCAAATCATGCCCAACCTCCGGAATGGTCGATTCTTACCATTGCGGCTAAGATAAACCAGTCATCCAGGCCGAATCGCACCATACGGAATCGAATCCATAATCGGGAAAGAACGGCAATCAAGGCGATGGCATAGAATACAGAGAACAAGGAGATAAGCTTGGGGCCTTGTGAGATATTCGACGGAAGATCCTCCAGCAGGAATCGTGGTATGGCCATTGCATTGTTGAGTGGCTCGACGAGTAACTGTCAAGAGTTTATGAGTTAAGAAATAACAATTCAGGAGCTTTTGCAGTAAATATTCAATGCGGCTAGCCACCCAGGAGGCAGGATGGCATCCAGCGAAATATAATGGCTGGACTGCTACATAGTACTTCGCCAGAGGGGTGAGCTCGGCCTTATCTACCTTTATCTACCTTGTCGCGGTCTGCCAGGATTTTCATTGTTCTGAACCGATGGTGTCGACTGCGGAGGCTCGAGAGCGTGTACGGAGAACTCTACCGAAAGTCTTTGTATCTTGGCGCCAAGACCTGTAGCCGTGAGAGAGCCCGTTGCTTCAGTAGTGATAGGCTTCTTCACCCCCCAACTTAGGCCCTGCCCACTATATCCGCCCAAAATTAGGCACTAGAAGTCGCTATTAATGGGCCCTGTTCTCCCGTGTCTAGGCACTAATTACGTGAAACTGAACTGGAGAGAGGTAATCCTTGGCAAAACGCCACCACGAAGACTTTTGGTAGAGTTCTCTGTACATACCGTCTGGACTCTGGGCATCCCCTGATGCTAGCGGCACGAGTCAGTGATACGTATACGGCCTCAGAAGCCTGCCACTTCTACATAACTGATGGCATAAAGTTTAAACCTGACGAGTCCCAGCTAGGAATCAGGAGACTGGAGACTGGAGAGGAATAACGGGGCATTCGGGCATCGGACTGGCTATACTACTACTCGATTACTAGAGACTCCGTGCGACACAATGCGGGGGCACTAACCCGAACTTAACGTAGCTTGGAACTTGGTACATGATCGCAGTCCCCTCTTCTGCTCAGAAAGTCAGAGCGGATCAATTGTAGGATGTCCTTCAGACCTTCACCCTCATAATGAATGCCCGTCAGACCCTTAGGAGTCAAGACTAATAACTAGCTACTGAATACAGTTAGTCCCATTCGGTACCAAGAGCTTGGTACCCCATATTCCGTGCGTGGTAGGCAGCAAGCGGGAGATGATCGGGTCCACCCCCAGTAGTGACTCCACCCAAGATCGCAGATCCTGCGTTCTGATTGGTCCGCTCAACAAAATGTCTTGATCATGAAGAGAGTCGAGGCTGTTTCTTTACGTAGTAGGTATCCTGTATTCCGTAGACCCATAGAGATCTGGTCAAAAACACCGGCGTCTACCGTCCCTCCCTGGGGCACCGTCTGCCCGGACGGTAGACGCTCCGCCGGCGAGGGGGGGAGGGGGGATTGCGCATTTTTGGGGGATGGAGCGATCACCGCCCCGGACTTCCCCAGCTTGATGCTGGTTTGATGGGCCTCGACTCCTCGAGAGCCGTGCAGCGCAATGCAGGAGCACCGAGCAATACTATGTAAGCCTCACCGACGGAGCCACAATTAGGGATGGTCTGGCCGAGACTCAAGAGTTCAAGACCGGAAAGTCTTGGATGAAATGGAGGATTCGACCTTGAGAGTCGTGGGTGAGGGCTAAACCAGATGCTATGATTGATGCGGTTTCCGGCTTCCCGTCTGCCTGCGCCCTGCACGCCATCATTCACTAGTCACATTTCACCAAATAATAATGCTTGCGCGGTACACCTGTCAAAGATCAGGAGATTCCCGTTTTTCATCGTTTCCATAAATGCCATCATTTACCATGCTGTCAGATATCAAGTTGTCTGTTTTTCAGGGTCCTCTGTTTCCTACCCCTGACCCAGTATTCACAACTATGACAGCACATCATGCATCCCACGATGTTACCGGCCTCTCATTCTTTGCCTTTTCGCTCGTCTTGAGCAAATCAAGGTCTCTACGGCCACGAATGTATACAGAACTTAAATATGGGCGTATTCCCGTAGTTTTTACGCTCATTAAGGATCAAGGACAATCTATCTACTCTCTTTTGGAATCTAATGATGTTTTCCCACTGTGTCGCTGCATTAATCACCTGATTGAGCGAAACCGCTATTTTTCCCACACGTGCGACCTTTCCGTGGCCCCTATCTGTGGCCCCATGTGTGGCTTAATTACATAGTATTTTGGGTGGTTCAACCAACAAAGACCCTGTATACCCTTCATTTTGGGTATATCTCGATAGAACGCGTTATGAACGCTCCCCAGAGGCAGTGAGGCACTTAGTTAGGTATCTTGGAAGCCACTCGCGTCCATACACAGTAGAGATTTCGAAGAAATGATAAGGGTGAGATTCGGAGATCCTAAAGTTTCTTTGAGGCCCAATTCGAAGCCTCGCAGTGTCCGGGTATCCATCGCTTTTCGCTTTAGATCCCTCCCCACCGCTACCTAGTGTTTCCACTTTCGAGGCCTTTTAAACTTTGGGAGTCTGGGGAAGCTGTGCGTGTGCCGATCTTGGTCACGATCGGCTGGCTGTTCAGTTCAGAGCAGAGCTACAGTAGTAGTAGTAACTAACTGGAGTTGGAGAAATCGGGTTCCAGCACTTTTAAAAATACAATAACTAATATATGATCCGAGAGGGACTGATAGAAACCACCTCCGTGAGAACGACCCACATCCTGCATTTACATGGGCCCCTCATGAGGCGAGATCCAAGACACCATCTCCTAAAATTCCCACCACGGGACCTATCCATGCATACCAGCTCGTCGTCCACCTGCTAGGAGTTGCCTCGGTGTTCCAAGCTTAACCTCGTGGCCCGCTGGAACCTGACAACTGCGCATTCAGGGGAATTGTTCGCCAGGAGGAAAATGGGAGAACCAACCGCCGTGGATAAAACACGCGAACTTGGGATGGCAAGTCGCTCGACATCACCGAATTGCCAAGCGACGGACGATCGATCAAGCACCGGCACTGCACACCACGAAAACCAAATCATCCCAGCGATGGAATCTACATTCTGTCCTGCACTTTTCCCATGACCGTGGCCGGCTCTTGCTCACGCCAGCCACGCCACGCGACGCGACTAAGCGAGCGAGCGACCGAAAAGCAACAAGACTAACGATAGAGCTGTACAGTATACACGTCAATCCCCTCACTCCCGTCCATCCCACACACTCCATCCATCGCGGCCTCTTGCCATCAAATAGATCGCCCGCGCGCGTCATGGATTGCGGCGGCCCAGGGGCAGGGTAGAAAGCAGCGCCGCGCATCGAACGAAAGAAGGGAGCAAAAGTAAACGCAAGCCGAAACACCCCCCCCGGATGAGTTGTGCGAAAAAAAAACACCGACGCCGATCATCTATCCTGGCGCCGCGGACGTATGAAGAAAGAAAAATATGCTCATGGAAAGCGTGTCGTGAAGGAGGCCGTTGCATGCTTCCGGATGGCTGCAGCTGCACGTCGTACGTTCCTCGTCTTTCTCTTCTTCCGGCTCGAGCTTCCACACCCATCTCCCCTTCCACCTCTTCACGACTTTTAGTCCCCCAAGCCAGATCACCCATCTAATGCCTCCCATCCCCCTCATGCAACAACGTCACGCTATTGAACTCCTCAAACGGATCGGGGATCTCGTTCCCCGGCGTCTCCAGCCCCGAGTCCAACGGCACCCCCTTAATCCTCGCCGCCCCGATGTCCACGCTCTCGCTCTCCTTCACGTTGCGGAAGTTGACCGTCTCGATTCCACGCGCCGGGTTGGGGATGATCGGCGGCTTCATGTGCCGGAGCAGCGCCCATTGTGTGCTGCGGAAGAAGGGGTGCGCTTTGACGTCGGAGGCGCCGGCGCGGGAGCCGAGGCGGCGGAGTTCGTCTTTGATGAGGAGTTTGCGTATGAGGGATTTGCAGAGGCTGGGAGGGGGGTTAGTCGGGTTGATAGAATAGACATGGGTAGGGTCGAAACTTACGTGGATACTGACGGCGCGCCGGATCCTTCAGAGAAAGGCACCTCATCGCGTAGGATGTTCGCGAACGTCGCGTTGCGGTTCTTCCCCTTGAACGGGGTGGTTCCGTACAGCATCTCGTAGATCAGGATACCGAGGGTCCACCAATCGACCGCACTGGTATGTCCGCACCCCTTGATGACCTCGGGCGCAATATACTCCTCGGTCCCGACGAACGAATTGGTGCGGAAATCCGCGATGCACGCCTTCGTGTCGACGGCGGGGAGCCCGTTGCTCGAGCTGCCGTTGCGGCCGAGCACCATGCCGGGCTTGCCGCCGGCGTCGGATTGTTTGGAGAGGTCGAAGTCCGATAACATGATGTGGCCGGACTGGTGGAGGAGGATGTTCTCGGGTTTGAGGTCGCGATAGATGAAGCCCATAAGGTGGAGATATTCGAGAGCAGCGGTAACTTCGGCAGCGTAGAAGCGAGCGGCGTCTTCGTCGACGGATTTGTTGGGACGGGTTTGAAGGGCTGGAGCGGATTAGCCTTGGAATAGGAATTGCGGCACATGTATTGGCTTACCTCGGAAGAACTCGCCGCCGCTGCAGTATTCCATGCACAGATAGAGGTGGTCCTCGGACTGGAAGGAATGGTATAGCGTGACGATGAAAGGATGATTGCTCGTCGCGAGAATTTCCTGCTCCGCAAGCGCCCGCTTGATTTTATTCCGCTTGATCATCTCCTTCTTGCTGAGAACTGCTCTGCACGTTAGCCACGCTCCCTCCAACCCATTTACACCGAAACATACCCTTCATGGCGTACAGTCGCGAGGACTTCTTCTCTCGCACCAAATACACCTTCCCCACATCCCCCTTCCCAATCATCTTAATCTTATCAAAACTCCCCGGCCCCACCTCCACGTTTCGCACCTTAATCGAATTCGAACTATACGTCCTCCGAAACGCCACGCTATTCCGAATCTGCCCCGGCGTCGGCAACCCCGTGATACTCGGCACCGGCAGATGCTCCGCACTCCCTGTCAACACCCCCCCCGTCGCCGCCGGCGTCGTCTCCACCATGCTCAGCGCCGACGCGTTGGCGTGGTGGTACTGCACCAGCGGCTCCTTCCCCAGCTCCGCGGTCTGCGGCCGCTCCGCGCCTTTCGAGCCGGCGAACAGCCCCTGCGCGTTCGGCGCGGACGCTACCCGTCGCAGCTTGCGGGCCAGCTCCTCCTTCCCGGCGGTGATGGCCTGGTCGTTGGCGCCGCTGACGGCGTCGGCTTTAGCTTGGGCCATCTGCGGGGTGTCCGGGGGGGAGGGAGGCACGCTGCCGTCGTTGTGATGGCGGAGGGCGGGGGGGCCTTGGTGGATGAAGTAGGGATTGGCATTGGCGGTGGGGGACATGGTTTCGTCGAGGGGGTGGCCTTCGGAGGCGACGGTGGTGCTGCGGTTGCGGCCGATGTGGGGGAGGAAGCGAGATTGGCGGAAGCCGGGTTTGGAGTCGGGTTTGGAGGGGGCGGAGAGGTGGGAGGAGGGATCGTGGGCGCCATGGTGCTTGGGGTCGGCGTGGTTGCTTCCGAGGCTGTTGATGCGGAAGAAGGACTTGATTTTTTGGGAGACTTGGCTGTTGGAGCTGGTAACGGACTTGTTGGAGGAAAGGGGGAGGCCGGAAAAGGTGCGCTTCTCGGAGGAGAGGGAGGATGGGTTGGAGGAGAAGAACTGGGTCATGATGGAGGAGGTGGACGGGATGGACGGGTGGTTATGGATAGGGTGAGATGAATTGAGAGTGATGGGAAGGGAAACGAAAGGACTTGATGCTATCTTCTAACACAGGGAGCCATTGCTCGACCGGGTGAGGCACGTTGGGGAGTGGAGTGCGGTGAACCCACGATGATTGCGAATCCTGATGAATAAGAGCGGCAAGTGAAAGGATGATGAACCGTACTTATGGTCGAGGACAAACAAGAGTCAAACAAGAGGAAGAAGAAGATGGGCGGATAGCAATCAATGTAGCGATGGGGGAAGAGAGGAATGTGGTGGATCTGGGGGTATCCTGACCGTATGGGGCTTTGCTTAACAATGCGGTTGTAACGTCGGGGGAAGGGAAGGAGGAGAGGAATCAGTATGAGAGAGGAGAGAGGAGGAGTGGCGGGGCGAGGCAAGAACTGTGGCTCAGCAGTGGATTCTAACAGTAGAGCACAGTGCAGCACCGGCTGCGGTAACTAGTAAGGCATATTAGGCATATGAGGCATATATCGCGGACTCCTCGATGTTTGACGGGATGTCAGCCATCTTATCCCTCCAATTTATCAGCGATATCCACCACACAATAATGACCAATTCCCATTCCATTTTGTAAGACATCTCCATGTCATTTTGCCTTCAAGAATTTTAATATTCTATTCCTGGCATCATGACCCGAATCGAAGTAACGTCTGGTCCTGCAGCTCAAAGGCTCTGGCTGAAACCGTGAGGCCACAATCATTTCTGCCTCATTGCCTTGCGACCTCTTCCAGTTCCAGTTCCTGTTCCGTTCCAAATTCTAGTTCTGCTTCACTTCAATTACCTCATTCCATCATCTATCCACGGTTACCTTTCTCGGGTCCATCTGCTCTCCGCACCACACATCAATTCAGCCTCATCATCCAGTAGTCAAGGACATGGAATATTACTCGTGCCGATAGAGCTACCGACTGCACTAGTCACCAGCAAACCGACGATCCCCCGCCTGCCTCGATTAGTCGAGATCGCCAGCAAGCACGTCAATGATCAATCAGCCTGAATAATGTGCAAAAGCGGAAATGTGATGATCCATGATTTTGCATTTGCTAGCTACTGCTATTATTGCTATCTCATCTGTGTTCGCTCGTGCGCTATCCATACATTGCTGCTACTTTCGGTATTCGTTTGGAGTGTGATGCTGTGCGTGGTGTGGTGTTGTGGGGAAAAAAGGTGTCGATGGGATCCATCTCATGCGTGCCGTGGGTGTGCGGATTGTCCTTGCTGCTGTCGTGAACCGCAATGAGACAGTGTGTGGTGCAGCCTGTTCAATCTCTGCTGCATGAATGTCAAAGGCGGGCAAAGGGAAAAAGTGATGACTGAAACGAAAGGGGAATAAACATGTGTAATGGTGCTGATGGTATACAATGGTGCTTTTGGATCCTTGTGCATCGTATGAAGAGTGCTCAACCTGCCGTCTGGTGTTTGCCGAAGGTGAGAAATGTATCCTGAGAAACAGCAATTGATGATATGAAAAGAAGTCGCCTCTGAACGTAGAGAAGCCCGGGTAAGACGTCGAGTGTCCGGACTCGGACAGTCAACTCCTTTCATCCATTCGAATTCCTCTGCCCATTGTGATACTTCCGAATCTCCTCCGACTGCTCCTTCCGCACCCGATCGAACCGCTTCCGCCACGCCTTCCGATGCTTCTCCTTCTGCTCCGGATCCATCGTCGCCGGATCCGGCTTCTCCTTGTCCCCTTTCTCTTTGCGCTTGTCGAAGTTCTTCACCTTGTTCGCGATCTGCTCCAACTTCGCCCGCGCCGGGGACGACGATCCTTTCTCCTTCTTGCTGGGCGACGGCGTCGCGCTGCCCTTGTCTTTCTTCGGGGATTTGAACGCCGTGTCTTGGTTGATGGTGCCGTTGAGCGTGGTGGCGGGCGCGGTGGATGGCCCGGAGGCGGTCATGGTGGTGTGCGAGAGTTCGCGGGCGAGATCGTCGACAGCCCCGTCGCATTGGGAAGGCCAGCCGTTGCTGATTTTGGGACTGGTGGGCGACTTGCATCGGAGCGGGTCGTTGTACGCCATGTTGCCAGGATACGGGCGGATGGCTGCAGAGACAGCGCGGGAGGCATTGCGAGTGCGGCCGGAAGTCGTGCTGGAGCGGTAGCAATGCTTGCTTTTGGTCGGCTTGCACATGTTGGCTTGCACGTTGATGGGTTGAATGGCCGAGATGCCGTTTGTGGTCACGTTGGAGGCATTCTGGGCTTCGGATGCTGTCTGTGCGTGAAGTGGTTGTGTTGGGCCGGCATATGTTCGCTTTGGGGGCTCGGAGGCCGTGATAGTATTGCCTTGCACGTTGCTTGGAAGCCCAGAGAGAGTTTCGATGTTGGAGTCGGGCTCTGTAAGCGCGAAGCGACGCGGTGAAAGATGTGGCGCGTTCGGAAGCGGTGGGATGGGGTTCTCCGTGTTCTCCACTATGCGCTGGTGCCGCGCGTGATTGCCCTCTTCGAAAGCGGTCCAATATTCCTCGGACTTCAAGAGCCGTTCGGGACGGCTGCCCGATTTGATGAGTTCGGCATCAGAGAGCTCATCCTTTCGTTTGCCCTGCTCTGTCTCACGAAGACGGCGTCGTGCTTCAAGTGCGCGTCCGAATTGCTCGCGATATTTGCTGGATCGGAGGACTTCGGTCGGGCGATAGTCGGTTTGCCATCCATCGAGATAGCCCAAGTCAAGCGACTTGATAGACGCCTCCGAAGCGTCGCTGCGGCCGGAGCTTAACTGTACGGTGAAGAATCGATCGGGGGACTCAGAAGCCGGACCGTCGAGAACGGGGGCTCTCAGATCATGATTACCATTATTGAGAGCAAGATCCATGACTTGTCCGCTTTCTCGTGTCCACGACGACAGACGATGATCTTGCGCGGACGCATGAGATCCGTCCTTGCTGTGGGCTGCCTCGACTCCGGGAGCGGGCGTGTTCGTCGGAACCCCAGGGGCACTTCTCTCCCCGTTTGGGGACGACATAAATGGTATGTTCTCCTCGTTGGCTCCAGATCGCGCCCCATACAAGGTCTTCGTGGAGTACTCGTGGGTGTTCACGGGGAAGAAGGCACTCGTGCTGACACTGGATTGACTGGACTTCTTGTTGACCCGTTCCGCAGAGGAGGGAATCTCTGGAGAGCCATGATGGTTGTCGCCATCGTCTCCGACGAGGTACTTGGCAAGGTCGGCGCGAGGGAGGCCATCATTCGGAGAGCCAACAGGAGTGGGCGTGCCAGGGTCGCAGTGTTTGAGAGACGACTCCTTGCGAGTGCCGGCGAGGTTCTTCGGAACATAGCTGGGACTGGTTGGATCCAGGTGAGAGTCTTGTTTGGGGCGTTCGAGAGGGTCTTTGATCTCCACGGCATTGTTGCCACGACTGAAAGGCTGATCGGCATCGAAAGGCTGCTCAGGATTCAAAGGCTTAGCTTGGGCTATTCCGTTTGGTTCTGCAGGGTTCGGACCGAAGTTGTGGACCGGCATGCCTCCATTGACTGGGAAGAAACCACCGGGACCGGGCTGCATGCCAGGCTGCATTCCATTGGGAAGGTAGAATCCATGTGGAGGCATGTCATAGCGGACCGGGCCGTATTGAGGGACCTCAAAGTGCATGACAGGGCCTTGGCGAAACATCGGGTGAGCCTGCGGAGCGGCGAGTTGCTGAGGCATTCCCTGGAACATAAAACCAGGAGCATGTTGCTGAGGCGGTGCAGGCGCTGGGGCGGAGTGATTCGCTTCCAGGCCAAAGGTTGCAGGTACAGTGACAGCACCTGTCGCCTTCATCTCTTTGACCTGCTTGGCAGCACGGCGAATGCGGTCAAGTTCCGTGATGTACCAACGCTTCTTCTCGATCAACTGCCTCTGCATGTGAACGGGAGCACGTTCCTTCTCAATCACTTCAAAGCGTTCGAACTGCTGGCGTTCCTTGTCCAGCAACTTGTAGTGATTCTCCAAGTGAGTGATATGCTCATCAATATTGACGGAGGCTGGTTCAGCGGGCAACGATCCATTCCCGAACTGGTTCGCAAATTGCTGCCCCGTCGGTGGAGCAGTGGGAGCTGACATCGCTGGGATTGCGGGAAAGTTGTTGACCGGCGGCAAGTGAAAGTGGGGAAGCCCGTTGATCATTTGCACAGGAAGAAGATTGTCGCCAACTTTCTGGCAAAGCTGACCCTTGATGTCGTAACCGATGAAGCCTTGCGGAATGGAGTGATGGCTTGGAGCCTGATGGGCGCTGTCAGGTTTTCCTGCACGCATATCGAACATGTGACCCCTCGCCGCAGGATGGAATGGTGGAACTGGAGCAACGAAAGAAGTGAAATCCGTGGGAACGACTCGTCCACCCGCTGTCACACGCATCCCCGGAGGAGACGCGTGCTCCTTGAGAAGGCGTTCTGCTTTGCCACGCTTGATAGAGGGCGTCGGAGAGGGTTTCTTGACAGCCAGATGGCCAAAGACTTGCTCCTTCACAGGCTGTGAGGCGCACCGAGGAGGACCACTCACTGCACGGGTTGCCTTCGAATTCCCGTCGAGAGGAATATTCTCACTCTTTAGTGACATGCAATTGACAGAGGAGGAAGGTCGGAGAACGTGCTCTTCAAGGAATTTGTCAGTAAACCTTCGACTGTGTTGTGGTATCAAGCGGATGTGACTGGAGGTGAGGCTAGGGATTCGTCGAACAGGAGACCCTTTCCCTGTGATATATAGCGGCATGATATCGCTGTTGGACCGAGACAGAGAAGGAGAGACAAATCTCGTGATAATTTGGTCAAGGGAAGTTTTTTTGGAGTGAGTTTGAAGTGGGGAAGATATGAGAAGTGAGAGGGAAGCGGGAAGCGAGAGTGAGAAGTGGGAGGTGGAAGCAGGAAACGGGGAATCAAAACGAGCCTGATGGTGCTCGTGAAGTTCGTCCAAATCAGATGCGGGCATACCCTCATCTCGAGACAATTGAGCGCAGTAGAATAAGCATCGCCGTGTTATGTTGGAAATGGCTGTGTTGCCTTGAGATGCATGGGGACAGTTGGCTGGAATCATGCCGAAGGGAGACTGACCTTTCACAGATTCATCGACATCGAGCTTTTCGATGGACACTGCGGATTCAGAGACCGAGTCTCGGAGTGCCAGAAGCTCTTCGACTTTGTATTGGGTCATGATAACCGGGTTCCAATGTCCACGAGACCCAAACGATCGGAGCTGCGGATAGGCAACGATGGGGCTCGAGACACTTGGTATGTGACTGTGAATGAAAGGCGTTCGACACTGATATGATCAGCTTCGGCTGCAAGTTATCACGATATGGCAGGGGATCTAATAGCTTTGACACTCTTAGGAAATGGTCGGAAATGAGAGTTACCTGTAGCGTTCAGACCTGACAAAAACGATGGTATGAAACGATCCGCTGAGAAACCACAGGTGATCGTATCCAAAAGCACAACAATGGCTGAAGAGAATGAACGAAATGCGAGAGTGATGGAGCCGTGGAATGAGTGAATGGATGGTATGAAGAAGATGAAACGACAGAAGCACGGCGGACGCATGTTTATCACTGGTAGTAAACGAAGTATAGTTCTTTCCTGTTGTTGGAGCGGCATGAGAACGGCAATGCTGTGAGGGTGATGATGGTAGAGGTAGGAGCTCGCTGGGATACGTTGCAAGAAACATGGACAGCATTGAAGTGCGATTGCAATGAATGGAGATCGAGCGATGCGCCTGGTTGATCGAGAAAAGGATGGCATCAAGTTGGATCTCTTTTAGTACTAGCGCCATCCAATATAGGGGTGGCTTCTCGATATGGAAGTCATGGAGTGCGCTTTCCTGTTATTCGGCAGCGACGGAGCGTAACATTGTAAAAGTTTCAAGCACGCTCTAGTGAATTGAACAGTTGAAAGGCGTGTGGCACATCTGCACAGGTTTAGTTGATTTGGACTGATAATTAGTGAATCGGAATGTTTGTTATATATCCGCCTATAGACAGGGGAAGGATGGGTATCTGCAGAAAGTATGCATCGACAGCATACAAAGAAAGTGCTCCGTGACGCCTCGCGCTAAGCTGGCAATGTACTGTTAGCAACCTATTCCTTTCATCATTGGAATGAGAGTACCTGAAGGGAGCTTTATCCGACTGCCCTCGCTCTTCCCTCATCTCTACATCGTGCTGGATCGAAAACTCCACATCGCCAACACCCTCTCAAATCTCGGCTCTAACGCCGAGCCCTTGTTCTTGCCATCGGAGGATCAAAGTCATCTGAATCGTCCGAAATCTCATCGTCACTCTGTAAGTTGAAACGTTAGTCCATACGAACCGGAATGATTCAATGGGCACACATACAACTTCAATCGCTTTCCTTCCCCTCGTATTCGCTGGTGCAGGTTTCTGCGACGCTCCTCGTTGCGAGAAACTCAATGTCGACTGCCTCGTCGTCGTCGCCGTCTTCTTCGCTCCTCTCGCGGCCGCCGGTGCCGGTTTCCTTGCCGTTGACTTTCTAGTAGGATTCTCTGGCGCGGTCTTGGAGCGCCGAACGAAGAGACCCTCTTCTTCGGACTCCTCATCCTCCTCATCATCGTCGAGCATGACCACGTCTTCGTCTTCGTCGTCTTCTTTTTCCTCAATAGCGGGACGGCGGGTGGAGCGGGAAGACTTGGCAGGAACCTTTTTGGCAGGAGCCTTCTTGGCCGCGGCGGTGGAGCGGCTGCTGGCCGCCATTCCGCCACGACCACGACCGCGGCCTCGACCACGCGCAGAGGTGGATTGTCGTGGTGGAGCAGAGGCAAGGTCATCGTCATCTTCCTCCTGTTCATCTTCGGACCGCATGATTGCTGCCGGTTGATCTTCCCATTCTCCATCCATATCTGAGTCCCAGCCCGTTGGCTTCGGTCGATATCTGATCCTCGACTGTTTCTTCGGTTAGGATATATTAGGATACGGATTTGATAAACCACATACCCGTTTCTTCAAGTGCCCCTTCGAAAATAGCTCCTCAAGCTTTGCCCGATACACATCCATCGCCTCTGTCAAATCATCTTCTTCCACGTTCTCGGCCGAGGTAAGCAAATGCTTCAACTGATTCGCAAGGCTTTCGTTGACGAAAGTCTCCATTGCATGCTTGTCGTCCTTATCAACGAATTGACTGACTGCATCTCCAAATGAGTTTTGTGGGAGGATGGTCAAAGACTGCGCCGTAAGGAATTCCTTGACGAGTTTCTCGACTTTCACCGAATCAAGTGATAGAGCCGAGAGAACGGACGCTTCCGGTAGCTCAACGCCATCTTTGTTTCTTCGTGCCGTAGCCTTCTTCCGGTGAAACTGTACGACGTCGTTCACATTGGCCACCTTCCCTACAAATCGATTGGAGAATCGCTGCGGGTTCTCAACATCGAAACGGCCTCCTTCCGGAGCGGTATATTCCACGCGAAGACGGATCAGTGGCAAGGGCTGAGGCTGGTCCTCCTCATCATAATCTTCATCCTGCGCAGCTAACCACTCGGAGTTCGCTTGATCGATGAGCGTCTCGACAATGGTAGAGAGATACCGGGTAATTTCCTGCCGGTTATCGTCTTTCTTCCAGACATTCTTCATGGCCCTCTCATCGGCCAGGATAACTTCTTTCATGACGAATGGCCGGACGGATTTGAGCCTGATTGGCTCCGACTGAAACTGTTTGCCTGTAACGGACAGGATGGTAACTTGCTTCGTCACGGCTTCTCCTGGGACTAAGGAGGTCGCAACGGACGAGCCGGGTTGCATGACATGAAAGTTCTGTTCGGGGTTGTAGTTTGGGTCGATGAGACATTCGTGCTCATGTCCCCAGATGACCAGGTCAAGGAAGTCAGGGAGGAAGGACTCAGGGAGATAGCCAGTATCCGTATAGGCATGGTGGTTCTGATGCACACTCATCAGGTTGAACCACTCATTCTTCTGGGTGCTTGGCTGAAAGAACTTGACTTTGCCGTCTCGAAAAGTACGGAACAGCCGTTCATCGCGGACATTGCTCATTCCATAGAGGGCAAGTTTCGTGCGCCCTTTTTGTAGCAGGACAGGCTTGATGGTGATATTGTCCGCCTCGGGGGTCCTGCCGTAGTAGTTGACTAGACCCGCAACTTGAAGCAGATCAAGGGCAGACATATGCCCGTGCTTCACAAATTATCAATTGAATCATCCATAGAAAGGGTTATACGTACTCCTGATGGATCGTCGTGGTTCCCGTGTATGGAAAACACTGGGATGCCAACATTGATATCCGGGTCCTCATAGTTGACATGATTGAACGCTCTACATACGAGTTAGCAGCTCCCCTCCTCTACCTAAATTGTTTTGAGTGATATAGGTACTCACCCATGGAAATTCTCACTCGCATCGCTCAGCATCTCCAACTCACATGGCTTGTCACCCAGACACGCCATCCTTAACGATCGCATGACCTGATACATCGCCTTCCGCGACGGGTTATTGTCATGGAACAAGTCCCCCGCCAGCAGAATCATATCCACGTCATGGTCCTTCGCGAGACACATGACCTCGTGGAACGACTTCCAGCTGTCGTCGCCGCGGATCGAGTCGCGCTCGTTGTAGCCGACATGGTTGTCGGTGGAGATGAGGATGCGGATGGTGTCCGCCTCTGGATATATGGTATTAGACTTGGGGGATCATACATGGGACTCGGAGTCAAAGACAGAAACGTTATGGAAAATTGAAAGGCTATATTACCGGAGGCTTCCTGTTGTACTGCCCTGGCTGGCATAGTTGTCGCGGTTCCGCTGAGACGAATTGAGGCGTCTCGTCCAATTCGACACCAACTTCCCTCTTGTTCGAATAAATCTCAGAATTCTATCAACAGTGTCCGTTCAATGTTCATATCGACTTCGATCCCGTCAATTCCCCTGCTCTTAAACTACAAACGCGACATTCAACACCAGCGCGTCACGCATCGCATTCGTCTCTTTAACACGAAGTTGACTGATCCCTGCAAGCTGTCGTGGTTGTCCAGGCATCAGCACGTCAAAGGTCCTTTTAGTCCGCCGGAGCTCATCCTCGAATATCAATTCCAACCTCAACCTAAATCTTCATCTCCAGAATACGAATCAAACGATGCAATGTTCCCAACACGAGCGCTGCTGAAGCGCTCGGTGTGGAAAGGTAATCCCCTACTCTGATGCTCCCATTTATCGCGCTCTACTAACACACTTGCAGGACCACATATCGTCCCGTATGTCCATCACCTTACTCGACCCAACAGATCGAATCCATAGATTTGGCGAACCTAACGATGTTTTCATAGTCTTCCGCTCACGCACATGAAACCCGGCGACCGAGTCATCCCGATCAAGACGCAAGCGCGCTCCGCGACCATATTACCCAATTTCGTAGGACGAAAGTTCCAGGTGCACAACGGGAAGATCTACCATGAGTTTATGGTGACGGAGGACATGGTGGGCCATAAGCTGGGAGAGTTTTCACCGTACGTGCTCTGTGATATAATGATCGTGTCATTGCAACCAGACGATGCGTCGATGATAGATGTGCGGGCTGACCGTAACTAGGACGCGGAAACGGTTCTACTACAAGCAGTCGAAGAACAAGTAAACGGAGTGCATGCAGATTTGCGCTGACATCGCATTGGCCGGAGTTCCAGGGCGATGGAATATAGTCATGATACCATATGTATACTAGAATCCTCAGAGTTTGAACCCTCGATGCCAACGGGGTATCCACCCGTGTCCGTCCCATGTCCCAAACTCCACGACGAAATGCAATCCATAATTAATGCCACCCATCCATCCCCCTTCCTTCATCGATAAAACTCCCCCCGCTTCACATTCACCCCATACTCCCCCACCGCCATACCCAAATCCTCCATCGTCAACACCGTCCGCCCACTCGCGCCTCCCTGCCCACCCCCTCCATACCCCGGCCGCTGCACCCCCAAATTTGCCGCCTTCGCCACCGGCGCGTCCTTCCCGCCGCCCTGTCCCTGCGCCGCACCCGGCCCGCTCGGTCCGCCCGCCGTCGTGCCGAAGGTCGCGACGCCGCCGAGACCTTGCATCGGGTTGTTGGAGGTGGTGTTGGAGGAGCGAATGCGGGAGTATTGGTAGGAGTCGGCCGCGATGTCGGCGATGAATTTCTGGGTGGCGAGGCCGAGGAGGCGGGCGAGGTGGGGGGGGGTTTGGGGGGGGGGGGGGAGGCCGGCAAGGGTGAGGTAGTAGTTGATGACGGCGTCGGGGATCTAGATAAGATAGAAGTCAGCGATGGTTGCTTTCGACAGCATGGATCTTGCGTAGATAGCCTCGAATATAAAGCAATAGTGAAGGGGGTTCGTCTCTATATCCAGCTAGAGCGGCGATGAGACGGCTATATCAGAGATAACTCACAATCGGCGCATAGTCATCCATCTTCCCCAGAAAGTCCCGCAACGTCACATCCTTCTTCTGCGCAATCCTCGGTCCTGACGGCCCCGCCGGCGCCGCAGACAGTGGTGCCGCTCCATTTCGCTCGTCCGTACCGTTCATCTGCACGTCGTTCCCGCCGTCCAGATTCATCGGGTCCGGCTGCGTTGCGTCGAGGGATGGTTCCGCGTCCGCATCATCAGCCGGGGCGACGAGCGTATTGTCGGATTCTGATTGTTGCGTGGGTTCGGTCTTGATCTCTGGTTCGGGGGCGGGGTTGGTAGTGTTGGGGGTCGGGTCGGAGATGGGTTCGCTGGGGCCGGCGGATGACATGGTGATGGTTAGGGAAGGATATGTTGGGTTCGTAATGATTAGGAGAAATTCGAAGGAAGTGACGATCCGAAAATTCACATCCAGGAATCGAGAAACCTGGTGCTGTAGTGTTGTCGTGGGGAAGTGTTCTGTATCGGGAAGTAATACCCTGGGCGGGTTTGGTACGGATTTGGGATAGGGACGATTTGGGAGTTCGGAATGATGGCGATATAATTGCCTTCGACTATGAGCGTTGAGAAATGCCTCAATCCTATTGCTTGAATCAATAGGCTCCGTTCGTTGACACACAGTTGCCGCGATATCTTGCGTTGCTTCCAATTGTTGGGAGTGAGGTTGAATCTCACGTGCTTGATCCCGAGCGGAATCTCCCGCTCCGCCGCCTCAACACGTGGAGCGCAACTTGAGAATGCCAGGGGCGGAATTTCTGCCTGGTAGCCTCATAGCCTTGTATCCGATCGGCATTGACAACATTTGACATCAGCTCAAACTTCAGTTCCCAAGCTCATCCCTCCACCCCAGCTGCACCACACATATTACCAATTTACCATCCAAAAAGCGCGGGGAAGCCCGGCCAGTTCTCCTCCCATCGGGCATCGGGCTCCCAACCATCCCCCCATCCCCATCCAGGGGCGCCAGAAATTATCTCTGACACGTGTGATCGCCCCCTTCCGACGCGCCCTCCTGCGCCAAGCCCAAGATATTACCTCGATGAAGTAACCCCAAACCCAACCATCGGAGAGATAGCGGGCCTCAATCTCGTTGGATATATCCATGCATCGGCCCGGTTGCCTATTGGAGGTAGGACGGCGGGATGGATAGGCTGCCTACAGAGGCGGGGCGGTTGGAAGGCGCGGGCTGGGGGAGGCGATGGCCCTGGTTGAGGTAGTGCGGCAGGTTGATTAAGATAGATGTGAGGGGAGGACGGGTAAGATTACAAGGAGAGTGCGGTGAGTATGGTGCATGTACTGCCGCTTGCCGTGTAGACGAGCGCCGGGATATTTGTTATACGCCAGCCTATGGGGTTGGGGGTGTGGGGAAGGACGCGAGGGGGAGGCGCCAGAGGAGAACAATGTAAATGCGACTGCAGAGGGAGGACATCACTGGGACACGAGGAATTCCGTCTGCTCCATCCAATGATCTCCGGCGCAGGAATGACTTCACTCGGCCTCTTATCCCGATTCAACGTCCAAGAAATAATTTTGTATCAATTGCGGCGTGATTGGCTATCGTGTCTCATTGTTCCCACCTCCCATCGCTATCGAGGTAAATCATTGCTAATGTATCCCAAAGTACCTCCCTCCCCTCTGCTCCCAACGCAGCAGGACGCCGAACCCGCTAACACCGAAGCGGCGGGCAGCTCCGTGGAACTCGAGCCATTCTGTTCATCATTCATATACGAGTCAAGCCACGCAAACCCGATGCGGCGTCGCTTTCTCAAAACACGCGTGCTTGGACGCCGTGGTCGAGGAGTGCCTCAGAGGAAACGCAGACGAGAGGGGCAAGCAGGTGATATTTTGAAAGAAGCCGAAAGAAATCGTCAATGCGTTTCGTTGGAACGTAAGAAGAACCCCGATGCCCTATCAAGCCCCTAGGTCCGAGATCTAGGTCCGTCGAGGCCGTAGGGGGATGCAAACCAAACCACCAGTGCCAAAGAAAGGAGACGCCCCGGTTAGATGCAGCGGGTATCTCAACGTGAAGTAAGTAAGCAAGTGGGCAGAAGAAAGAGGGGGGACGCGAAAGAGTGTAAGAAAGTCGTTGAAAATCATCAACATGACTGACATGAGCGTCCCCAACGTGGTCCGGACCAGTGTTGAGAACGCTCACTATTATCGTGATAGAGAAAGCAGAATATTATGCTCGTAAAAACCCCTGAAATCAGAAAGATAAGAAAAGTGGCCCGCAAATCTCGCATTGCCCGTCCCACGGCCGCCATGAAGGAGATCCCCCCCCTAGATTCCCAACCAATAGTCTTCCCCCGTCCCCCTTTTCCCGTTTCCCCTTCCCCTACATTCACCCCCCATCCTCCCCGCCCTCCTTCTCCCGTCTCTCCCGCTCCTCCCTCCGCCGCGCCTGATTTGGTGCCCTTGTCTTCAACTCCCCCGTCACCCCCTGTAAATACACTGGCACCTCGATCCCGCTCTTTAGGAAAAACAACTTTAGGTTCCGCGCCTTGTCCTTTAGCTGCACCTGGTTCCGCTCCTTCAGCACCTCGCTGATGCTGCCGCCTGCCCCGTACAGTGCGAGGATCTGACTCCAGTGCGGCCCCTTAACGCGGTCCAGCCCGTCCATCAGCGCGTGCTCTTCTTCGAGCGCCCAGGGGCGGCGTTGGGAGGGGAGGCCTGGGCGAGAGGAGCGCGGGGGGGCTTTCGTAGTGGTTTGGCTGCGCGCGCGGGTGTAGAGGAGGGAGGTGGGCATGGCGGGCGGCTGAGAGGGCGTCGTGTCCGATGGAAGCCCCAGCGCGTGTGCATGGGAGAAGGTCGGTGGGAAGGACGAGCTGTTGAGCGTGGAGGGGAGCGAGCCGCCGCTGGCGCTGGAGGAGGGAAGGTCGGCGTAGTTGCGATAGAGGTGGGAGGGGTAGAGGGAGGAGGAGGCGACGCCTTCGGAGGGGTGGCGTTGGCCGTGGATGGCGGCGTGGGCGGCCAGGGTGGCGCGGGTGACGTGGTTGGGAGCGGAAGGAGAGTCCTCGTCGACGACATCGGAGTCGTCGTCGAGATCGGGGGTCTTGGGTCGCTGGCTCCAGTCGGTGGCATCGCTGAAGGCGAGGAACTTCGCGACGGTGCGCGCGGCGAGCTTGAGGAACGCGGTCCAGTCGTGGTTGTGGGAGAGCATGTTGATCCCGTCCACGCCGTCTTGGACTTCGAGTACCTTCTGTCGCCGTTGGTTGAGCCGGCGGATCAGGTCTTCTTCGGTAGGCGCGAGTCGTTTGCTAGTTGTCGTATTTGATGCGCTTGCCGCGATGCCGCTTCGATTCCGCCGGGATAAGATGATCCCCTGCATAGTTCGCGGGAAATACTCTTCCAGCGTCTCTTCGTCCCGCTCCGGGGCTAGGGCGCCGTGGCTCAGCGCTGTGGCAATATATCCCTGAGTTTTTAGTTCTAGGAGCAATGTAGACTGCCATCGCCGCAGGTACTGGCCGGGCGGCACGACGATTTCCAGGAAGGACTCGTTCAGTTGGGAGAACGGGATGTCATGCCGGCCGAAGATGCTGAGGATGAAGGAGGCGAAATTGGCCTTCCTGATCGTCTTGTCGGCATCAGGTTGCTGGTCAAGATGCAGCGCTCGCGCGTCGAGGAAGGGCTGGTCCCGCGTGTACAGCTTGCGATTCTGGTCGAATAGAGCGCACAGCGTCGTGTAAGCTTGCCCGCGGCCGGACTCTGGCTCGGAGATGAGCGAGATGACTTCGGGAAACGTGCTGTTGGCAAAAGTTCCCAGGATTTGCGTAGCCTAACATTTAATGTTAACTCTTGTTTCTTACTCATCCAATACGATATCTCAATAGCCTCCCAGCCACGAATCATGACAGGGTCACTCACCAGGTTGTCCAGAATTGGCAAGCTCTGCAGTTTCAGGTGGATACTCGCGTCCAGAGAGTAATAGTCCCATGAACTCTGGCTATCTTCACTCACCGCACTCGCGTCGACCAGCGGCTGCGAATACACATCCGACACACTCAAGTCCGTCCCTGCACTCTGCGGCAGGTAACCCCCAAAGGTGGCCGCATTTACATCGACGTTTACATTTGGCAGGGCGCTATAGAGGTGCGCATTGGACGAATACGCGATCCCATGTGCCATGCGTGCCTGGGCATCCAAGGTCGTCGAATCCGGGGTTTGCGGCACTTGGAAGTAGGGTTGTTGCGGTTGCGGGGTCGGGTGCTGCGCTGGATGCGCCGGCGGGGCAGCACCGTGAGGGCCGTTCGCGTGGTGCGCCGATCCGGACGACTGGCCGTGGTACCGCGATTCAACGTGGAAGTCGGACGCGGAGGGGAACTTGAGGTCGTGCGAGGGATCCCCGTAGGGGTAGGCGGAGGGGGCGGCGGAGGCGTAGGTGGGACCGGATTCGTAACGGACGTGGTGGGTGAGGGGGGAAGCGGAGATGGGGGAAGTGGAGAGCGGGAGAGGGCGTTGGCGCTGGGGGTTGGTGGGTTGCAGGACCGGGTTGTGGTGGAGGGAGGAGGGGTCCAACTTTAGGCGTTGCGAGTCGGGACCTGGGCCATACTCTGCGTCTTCCAGCGGGCGTTTCTTGCGCATCGCGGAGGGAGCATTTTGAGAGGACAAGGAGGGGGAGAAGGAGGATGAAGGGGTAGTGGGATAGATGTTTCGATGGAGTAGAGAAGAATGCCGTCTCTCTTGAGAAGCCAGTGCATGTGCTCCTGGTTGTGCTGCTCCTTGATTGGGAGCTGGAGCTAAAGCTTGACTTTGAGTTTGACCTTGGCCATGGGCGGCGGATTGAGCCGAAGTAGAGGGTGTGGACTGATGAGGAACATGTGCATGTGGAAGTGATGGGTGTGAGCATGAGTGTGAGTGCGCAAGACGGTTGGTAGGCGTTGCTGGCGGGGCGCTGCATGCGTTGATTGAAGCCGAGGCCAGCAAGTTGCCGTTGATATTGAGGCTGCCTGTGCCCGTGGTGGTGTTAGAGTTGGCAGCACGGGCGTTGGGGATGTTGGCAGCGGCGGGGGGGTTGGGCGAGTTGGAGGAGCTGCTGCTACCGGAGAGACTGGGCGATGACACCCTCGAAAGACGCTCGAGAAAGGACTCTCCACGGGCGGCCCCCCTGCCATCCATGGGCTCTACACCGCCGCCCAACCGGTGATCGACGGCCCCCAGGGCCATGGCGTTTAGGCTGTTTAGGCTGCTCAGCGCACTCAGCCCCAGAACATTCGGCAACGGATTGCTCATGCTCAAGCCACCACCAACGCCTACGCCACTCGCAGCGGCATCCATTCCCGTAGAATGTGGTGGGTGTTCACGGAATCCATGGTGGTGTCCATGACCTTCGTGCATCAATCCGCCTCTCATACTTCCTCCTCGAACTCCAACCTGTAATGACATCGCCTGCGTCTGGAGTTGTGCTGCTGTCGCTGGTCTCGCGATTCGTCGTCCAGTTCCTGCCTGTGACTGCTCTGCGTGACCGTACTCTTCGTATATCGGTTCGGGTTGGTATTGCGGTTGTCCTTGCGTTCCCGCATCAAATCTCAGCAATGCTGGTGGTGAGGCATATACGTCCGTGGATAGGTTCGTAGGACTCGACTGCCAGCGCAGAAGTTGCGGATGACTGTCAGCCCGACGCCGCATGCTCTGATGGTTCCTTGTCGCCAGACATTGGGGTGAGAGTGTCGTCTCACTCGAAGATCATCAAAGGGCGTTCGATTTGGTCTGTCTCTGATGCAGGGAAGATGAAGAAGGAAACCGAGCAGGTCCACAGACAGCAACGCTCAAGTGCAGATGTCCGCAAGAAAACCTTCTTGGATCGGAAAAGCTTCCTTATGGATGTGGACTACGGACATCCCAGCATCGGCTGATTGTTTTAAGAAACCAGCATTGGGGTCTTGGACTTATTCTCTGGCTTTCTACAGACGTAAACCGGATGACAGTCCAATTCCCGATCTCCTCGGCGTGACGAGGGGCCCCTTCTGGGCATCTCTATCGTGAATGGTCACAGGTTCCATGAATTGCAGCTAGAATTTGGTTTCTTTCCCACTATCCAGGGGCAGGAACGTATGAGATCGTTGTATCAATCTACTGAAACCGCAACAGCCGTGTAAACGAGGGTGCATGTGTGCCTACTGTGTGGAGGTGGCTCCCGCCAGAGCAACGGGTTGATCAGGGACATGGGACGGTCGATCATGGAATAGACATGGATGGGGGTGCTTTGGGGGGGAATGCAATCATGCATGTGCTTCACGAGGTCTGGTTTAAAGTGATCTTCGGCTCATCAGGGATTCCCATTCATTCCGGGATTCCAGAGAGATTGATCGTGGATATTCATTGTCCATTTGGGACTTGGGACCTTTCAATCACCATCACCTATTAAAGGCTAAAGACTTCGGGACTTTCGCCCGTCACACGTCCTGCGCCGTGCTCTACATAGGCGAACTGTGGTATCAGGCCGTGGGATCCTGGATGACACCACTAACCAAATCCTACAATGCGTCATGGAAACACTCTCGGACAAGAAACGCTTCTTTGCAAGTCTCCATGCGCTGGACGAGCCTCCCGATGCCCCCGATACTAAAGCAAAGCACCGTAGCAATGAACCTGAAGCTAGTGATTCCGATGACTGGGATCCAGGCATTGAAGCCTCGATGGACTTTCTGACTTCTGGTTCACCTTCGTCTGTAAATCCTACTCACTTTCAAATATCCATCCACCAGAATGTCCTGTCGACGAAAACTTTACTTTCAGAGGATGTTCAGATACGGGCTAACCTGAAGCATTCCAACGCTCATGCGCCCGGAAGGGACCTTTACCGGTCTCACTCCGACCCAAATGCTTCGAAACGTACCAAACAGCTCAGCTGCCTTACCACCCACACAACTCCAACTTTGAGGCATACGGAGTCGGAGAGAATCGCACCTTCAGCCACGATGGCTTCCAAAGGAACATGTGCAAAGACTAAAGCTTCCAAGCGGAGACGTAGCAGCCTCCCAAACCTGGTCCCTGATGCGCAACGGATCTTCGCCAACTTAAACTTCTGTACGTTCTATATGGTTCCTCCAAAACGCTTCCCCCAGTATGCTTCCCGATCCCTCCGATCACATCCCAATCTCCGCACCATCGCGCAGCCAGCCTTCCCCATACCCCAAAAATCAAAATGCCTGGAGAATCCTCCAGGATGTGATGTGTCATTGCATTCGGGTCCTTCTCCCTGTTCTGTTGTTCAGTCTTGGAAGAAATAAGGATCATATCTTTATACCCCTCCATCCCGGCATCCTGGCCGCTGATTGGCTCCATGGCAATATACTTCGACACGCCTTTCAAACAAGCCAGCTCAGGAACTAAAGTGCTCACTGTACGCTAGACTTCTTCCCGAATAACGACATCCATGCCGGCCGAAAGGCGAGGATACGGGTTAGTGAGCGGTATGGCGCGACATGGGTGCGCGATTGGGATGCGACCGCTGGTATCACGCACATCATCGTGGACCACCGTCTCACGTATCAAGATATACCGGTGTATCTGAAGCTACCAGAGGGCATTCCAGTAAGCAACAATGCCCTGGGCCCACACGAGTAGTTAGCGGTTGGCTCACTTTGCAGCCGGAAGTGATCGTCGTGAACGAGGAATATCCTTCCGACTGCATCAGGTCTCAGATGATTTTAGATGCTGCGCAGAGCCATTATCAGGTTCCTGGGACGCCGAATGCAGCTAAGGCCACTTCGAACACCGGGCCCGTTGCCTCTACCCGTATCCCTTCTCAGGTTGATGTGGAACCGAAAACAAAGGTCAGCCTGACTATCTAGGACAAACAGACAGTCATAAATAGGTACTAACCACTGTTGACAGCAGAATAACCAGGTCGCCCGTCGATCTAGATCGCCGTTGCCGGAGCACGACCTGAAGGGCAGTACCGCTACTCACGGGGATCCGTCAGAATCAGATAGAGTCGAATACGGCAAGTCATCGTCCCACGACACTGGCTGTGAGACGGGCCAAGCCGACGGTGAAACAGATGAAACGAAACTTCCCCAGACTGCGCCCGCCGCACCAGACAAGTACGGCTATGAGCTTATTGAAGCCATCCAAGAAGTGGCAGCGCTTCGCGACATCGTAAGGGATCCTTTCCTCGGCACTTTTCTCATCGAGTGTCTGATATTAGGGAACCAACGCTCACCACCTATCTGCAGCCCCTTGAACTAGACGATGTCGAGGAAAGCGACTCTCCGCCACAAGACGAGCCACCAAGCGATTCCGACTCCGAGGACCACCGCCCAGCTCACAAGAAGTCCAAATCTAACCACTCCAAATTTTCCAACTTCCAATGCATGCACTCCCACCCCGCTCCCGCCAACTACTCCACCGCCACCGCCACCCCCTCCTCCTCCACCATCATTCCCCCTTCCCACCCCAACGCCCAAATCATCACCCTCCTCTCCCTCCAATGCGACTACTACACCCGCATCCAAGACCCCTGGCGTTCCCTCGCCTACCGCAAAGCCCTCACCACCCTCAAGAACCAACCCCACCCCATCACCACCGCCGCCCAAGCCCGCCAACTCCGCCACATCGGCGACCGCCTCGCCCGCAAAATCGAGGAAATCGCCACCACCTCCCGCCTCTGCCGCTTCGAATCCACCCTCACCGACCCCCGCGACCGCCTCCTCCAGCTCTTCCTCGGCGTCTACGATGTCGGTTTGGCGCAGGCGAGCAAGTGGGTCGATTTCGGCTGCCGCTCGCTCGCCGACGTGCAGACGTGCCCGCAGATCGCCCTGACGGATAATCAGCGCGTCGGCATCGCGCACTACGACGACTTCCAAGCGCGCATCCCGCGCGACGAGGTGCGCCAGCTCGGCGCCATCGTGACGAACGCGCTACGCGCGATCGACCCCGCGTTCGAGGTGACGATCGGCGGATCATATCGGCGCGGTGCACGGGATTCAGGTGATGTGGATCTGCTGATCACGAAGCCAGGGGCGAGCACCCGATACATTCGATCGACGGTCCTCGAGCAGCTGGTACCCGAGCTGACGGCGCGGGCGTTCCTGCGCGCGAGACTGGCTGGGGGGAAAGACAGCGTGCACGCCGTGGAGACGACGAAGTGCCACGGAGCCTGCTCGCTCACCCCGACGGCACCGTGGCGGCGGATCGATCTACTACTAGTGCCGGAGGAGGAGATGGGTGCGGCGCTGATTTATTTCACGGGGAACGACATCTTCAATCGGAGCCTGCGGTTGCTGGCGAGCCGGAAGGGGATGCGGTTGAATCAGCGGGGGCTGTTTGAGGATGCGATGCGGGGGAGGGGACGGATGAAGGTGACGGAGGGGAGGTTGGTGGAGGGGGGGAGTGAGAGAGGGATTTTTGAGCGGTTGGGGGTGCCGTGGCGGGAGCCGACGGAGAGGGTTTGTTAGAGTTGGATATAAGTGTAGAAGGTTTGTACTTTGGATAGGGGTTCATTGACTGGTATTGGTGGGATATTGAATAGACAGCATTGCTTCACAGCACGCATCGGTATTGGTTTACGAAGATTATGAATTAATTGAATAATCGTTATGAAGTTAAGCTGCAGCATGAGTGCCTACACTAAATATATTTCCAGGATGGTCGAGTTATACTTAAATACGTCTCCAGCCCGCCAATAAGCAGTAAATGGAGGCAGTAGTGGTGGTCGTGTTGCCGTGGTGGACGTATGTCCCTAACCCATGACGCCGCGAGGACATCTTTTATCTGGTTGTGGAAATAGTCATATATTCTGCTACTTTTGGTGTAGATATCTCGCTCCAGAACCCTTCACGAATGCCACTGTCAGTCTCTGTGTATACCCTCACATTCCATTCCCTTTCCCTGGAATATTACCTACCCGCTCCACCCCACACTCCCAAATCACAGCCCTAACTCCACTCCTACCCCCTCCATCCACCCCACCAACTCCCCCCTCACATCCCCCTCCCCATTCCTCACCCCCAATGCCCTACCCACCAACGGATATAACCGCAACAAATGCCTCCGCCCGTGACTCCTTACCCGCTCCACCTCCGCCCCCGCCTCCTCCAAACACTCCGTCTCTCGCAACCGCCGCAACACCCACACCAATTCCGCCCGCTGCGTCTCCGGCATCGGCATCTGCCCGCGCAGCGGCTGGTCGGCGATGTACGCTTTGAGCGGCAACGCGGCGCGGAGGAGGAGATAGGGGAAGGCGGATTGTGCGAGGGCGATGCGGTCGCGGCGGGGCTGGGGGTTCTCTGGCGATTCGGGACCGTTGCTGATGAGCGAGATGAGTTGTTCGAGACAGAGATAGGCCATCTTCAGCCGCGTGCGCGCGGGGGGTTCGTACGTGCGTCCGAAGCGGATGACGTGGAGATCGGTAAGCGAGGAAGATTGCGGGTCGGTAACGTCGCGGAGGTCGAGGGGGTGGATGAGGGAGGTGAGGAAGAGGTTGTAGGCGAATTCGTGGCGGATGGGTTCGGGGATGGTGGGGGGTGAGAGGGCTGGTGTGAGGAGAGGGAAGAGGGTTAGGAGGGTGGAGATGTCGAAGGATTCGTCGGTCGAGAGGGCTGCGTGGCTGGATGTGGGAGAGGGGAAGGGGTCGGGTGTCATGATGCCGGTGGTGAGGTGCACGGTGGCCTGCAAGAGGCTATGGAGGGTGGTCGAATTGCCGGGGAGAACGGAACCGTTGGAAAGGAGTTTCTGGAGAATGGTGACGGACACGGTCGTGGCTTTGCGCCAAATGGGGATGGTTTTGGAGTCAGTTCTGCGCTGGTATTTGGAGTGGATAGCACGGGAAAGGCATTCGAGAGCTGAAGTGACGGCACCGCTTTCGATCAGGTCCGCGTCGTGGTCGAGACGGTTGATGACCGTGTGCTGGATCCCGTCCATGCATGCTTTGGAGACGGCAACAAACGTGAGGGCTTTGGCTTTGGGGTCCGTCCTGTCATTGCCGATTGGGAGGACACCAATTCCGGCTAAGGATTTGACGATTATCGACGAAACTCCATCCTTATCCGTCTCAATGCCGGAGAGCGCTCCGAGTACTTGGCTTTGGACAACGGTGAGGCTTTCCACGTCGTTTGAGTATGCGAAATCTTCCGATTGAATACATGTCTCTAAGTGCTCCGCGGCGGCTGAGATTAGTGAGGGGTTAAACTTCGTCTTCGCCAGTCGATATAACTCTTTGAAAGCGCGAACGTATTTCGCGTAAGCATCCTGATTATTCTCTTTCGTCGAGCCACTTTTCTCCTGCTCGGGGAAATTGCTCACCCATAGTTCGGCGACCTGGGCAATGAGCGCGAGGTCGACGGATTCTGGCGATGGGATGGCAGCAAGGATGGTTTCAAGCGCAGAATACACCGCCGCACTTGTGCCGTACCGTTTCAGTTTCAGATACTTCTCGAAGCTTGCGAGGACGTTGGCCCAGATATCTGGGAACCTACTTGCTTTCGAAATGACCGATAGATTCGCTGAGAAGAGCCCGCTGAAACCTGTTAACATCAGCCTTGATGTTTCCGTCCACTCTGCCACGGCAGTATCGGTGTCAGCATCGGATGTTCCATCTTTCGCCGGCTGTTTAATGGCAGAAAGCTGCTTCTCCGCGTCTTGATCAAGCATGTGCAAAAGAATGCATCGGAGGCATAGCGTCCATGTGCTTGGCGACAGCTCCCCTCCAACGTTTTGAATGATTCGAAGGATTATTTGAAGGGCTCCGTTCCGAACCTCCGGCTGTTCGTCATGAGCCACTGTCGTTAGACGCAACAGGAGCATCAGCCAGATTGCAGCGCTTGACGACTTGTCTGACGTTTGATGAAGTGTTCTGATCAGTTCTTCGCCGGTTTCAGTGCTGGTGTACGTCTCCAGTTCCTCGTCATGCACGTGCTCGTGGATGAAGTCCGAGACGTTCCAGAAGAATGATATTGCCTGGGTACAGTCAGTCGGCCAGTCGAGAAACCATTTCTATGATCGGATAACCTACTGTCAAGGACATATTTAGGTCTTGATTCTGCCTGGAAAATTGATACAATGTCTCCACTAGAGTTGGAAGGGCGTCGATAGGCAAAGAGTGAATAAAGTCGGAACAAATCAGCTCCACCGTGCTGAATGCTGTTCGCGCAATCCTCACCGACACGATAGCGCCATCGACAGAGACCTTGCCTATCGTCTCACCACTCTCTATCACAGATCTCTCCCTCTCAAAGGCAGAGATGACAAGCTGCAGTACAGGATGCCATACCGATCTCAAGGAGTCGCCACAAGTTTCCACCATCATCTGTAATGACCGCAGAACGAGCATGTGCACCTCCAAACTCACATCGTCCGGTTTCTGGCCAGTCTCCACAGAAGCCTGTCGATACTGATCCATGAGAGTATCGAGGGCGCGTTGATAGATAACATCGTTGTCGTCAGCATCATCCAAGTCCTTGACCATCTCCAGGGCGAGATGCATCAGGATATCAGCTGCGAATAGACGAGCTTGGCGTGAGATGGATTGGTTCTTCACAATCGTGGTTAACTCGGTCGTGAGGGACTTCCATCCGCTTTCTTCTTCGTCATACGCCAAGAAGCGGCCAAGATTCATCGTTGCGATGTCTTTCGTCTTGTTCAAAGCAAACATGTTGTCTTGGAGATTACCGTCTGTGGTGACAGACATGGTCGAGAAGTTGCTGACGCGCCTCTGGTGCTGAAATGGCGTCCTAGGTACCTGAGGAGTTCTCACGACTGGTGTTCGCCCACCCTTCCCATGTAGCAGCTCACCAACAGATTTTAGTACGGCATGGAAGGCATCGTTTGGGTAATCAGCCGTGCTTTCGAAGAGCCGTGTTGCGGCAGCTTGGCAAGCCGCGATCTCCGTGTTCAGATTTTGGGAAAGTGATTCGGAGTTATCTAAAACAGTGTCCGAAGATGAGCTCGGTCGATCCCGTATAGAGCCCCGCGAAGATGGGTGAGCGAGAATAAGGTCAGCTTGTTGCAGTGTTTCAATCACGATTGACCAGGCCGGGCCTAAGGTTGGCCCCAGGGCAATGGCGAGATTCAGTAACGCCCGCAAGCAGAGCAGATTCCGGGTATTCAGAGAAGGGGTTGGGTTCTCTGCAGACACCCGTCTTCCGCCTTGATTGACTAACCCTTCTACACTGAGCAGCCCCAAGCCTTTAACGCTGCCGGTGGTACTGGGGCTCTCAGCAGTTGCGCTTGTAGGTGAAGAAAATGTTGCAGCGACCACATTTGAAGGTACTGCTGCTTTGCCGAGTGTTGTAAGGAATGCATCTCGAGGAGTCGTCATCCGTAGAAGCCCGCTCACCTGAGCAAACTTCTGTATTGACCGTACTAATGACCGGTAGTAGTCATTGTCCAGCGCGGAGTAGAGGAACGTAGAATACGCAGCGAGAACTGCAGGCCAACAGTCATCCAGGATATTGGCAACTGCCTGGATGTCCTTGAATGAGTTGTGTTCCTTGAGTTCCAGTGGATTTATCGGGACCGTGCGTTTTCGAAAAGACGTTGACCTGGATACACCACCTCCCCTCGTGCTTCTGTGGCTGTCGATGTAAGGATCTGCAACCTCCGTGACCTCAACATCGGAGTGCGCTTTTGGTTTCTTCCTTCCACGACTGTCAGAGTGGACCGATAGTGGAAGGATGATCTTCGCAAGGCCATCAGCGAGCGACCCAATGCATCCCAACGCTAGTGTGTAAACATAGGTTTCGGGGATTGTATGCGGCTCATTCTTGTCCAATTGCTCGATGCAAGGCGTTCGTATGATGCTGAATTCGTTGCTTATCCCCACATAGTTGCTTCCGCTGAATCCAACCGCACCTCCAATAACCCCAGCAACAGCATCTGATTCCACTGCAACTTGATCTGCTGGGCCATCGCGAGCATTGGTTGACTTGCCAGGTACTGTGGATTGGTGGCTCAGTCCAATCAAGGACGGCTTTTCCGATGCAAGCCTGACAAAGGAATTGAGATTATCCTGCAAAATCTTCCTACCCTTGCTACGGCTGTCATAAAGATCATACAGCTGAAGAATTAAATCTGGGTCGGCATAAAGATTTTGAAACACCTCGAGAGAGAGGATACGTTTCCACGGCGGACCAGCTTCTGGGTCCATGAAATGATTGAGCAGGGCAAGCGCCGACTCGCATTGCGAAGGAACGGATGGAAGATGATGTTGGAGGATCAAGTTGAGCACTCTCATACACCGTACATTGGCTGAGAATACGTGCTTCTCCCCCAGGATCCTCACAATGCTTGGCAGCAATGTGTCTTTCAGGCATTGTAATTGCTCGTCATGGTCGGATATTGTGCTGGAATAGTTGCCCAAAATCGATTCAATGAGTTCCAGCACACCCAATGGCGAGATCGAAGAGAACCGGATGTAGTGCGGCTTCTTGCCGTCCAGAAGATAACAGAGGTCATGGAAAACATGGAATGCGTCGAAAGCGACGGGTCTTACCATCACACTGCGACTTTCAAGCTTGATCTCATGGGTAGCTGGGACTTCGAGTTGTCTGTCATCTTCCGCCCGCAATCGATCGTAGAGTGTAATGATTAATTGTTGAAGGGTCGCGGCAGCTGTCGACGCCACCGCTTGTGTCTTCGTCCCTTGCAAAAGAGAGCATACTTGGAGAACGTTCGACAGAAGATCTCCTCTGATTTCGTCCGAGTAATTCTGTGCGAGGGAGGGCAGCGTCTGGAGCACTTTCAATTGAATGTCTAAGCCGGATGAACTGCAACTGCGTAGAGCTTCGACGACATCTTCTAGGCTCTGTCTTGGAATTGCTTTGGATACCGCTAGCCGCTGGAGGCAGACAGCGGCCGGCGCTATGAGTTTTGTGTTCTTTGAGTCGCATGCCAGCAACAACGGTGAGAGAATGTTTGGTCTTTTGGAGACATCGTGGGCGAATTGAGCCTCCGAAGTGGACGGCAAAGATTTTATATCGTTCAGTGCCTTTTCGGCAGCGCTCTTAAGTTCGCTATTTTTCCTCTTGGATTCTTGGATGATCGTGGACAACTCCTGAATCAGGACCTGGGACGTCATCCTCCGTGCTCCTCTTCCCAGCTCTTCTGCGATCTCCCTCGTTCACTTCGTCGGCATTGGAATATGGGTCTAACCAGACCCAAAGTATCGAACAGTATTCATCGGGGTTTCAGATACCCAGATGTTGCAGCATTTCAATCAAAAAACAAGGACACATCACTGCCCCTTGGCCGCATGCAAGACATGTAGTTGATGGAAAGCTTAGTCAGCCAGGGAATTCACGTGCCGGGGTATCTTCGGTTATTATTGTAGTCAGGTGACCCGGATCTATCTTGAATTCAACAGACGGGACGGAACGGAGGACTTAAATCACCTAACCTCATTCAACCGCTAATACCTCCACGCCATCCTCCAATTGCTCCCTCATGATATCTCGCCTCTCTCGCATCTCCTACAATCCTTTTTGGTCTCCTCCCATTCTCAGGTTCCCACGGCAGATCCTCGTTGCCGCGCCGATTCATACGATCGCAGGACCCTGTGGATGCGCGTCTAAGGTAGGAATTCAAGGATGAAGTATGGTATTGTTGCTTGCATGCTCAACAGCACTAGGAATATCCACCCAAACGACGCATTGATCTTGAAAATATCGGACAAAAGACGGCATCCTATCACTCTCCGTCAAAAATGGATAGTCCTACCATTCAACCCATTCCGCGATATCTTCAGCAATCTCATGAGCGGATTTTCGAGAACAATCGAAAATGGGTTGCCTCGAAACGAGAAGCCGATCCGGCATTCTTTGAAAAGTTGTCTGCCGGGCAGACCCCGGAGTATCTGTAAGAAGCTGTTCGTGATTATAGTGACGCTCATCTAATGACCAGTAGATATATTGGCTGTAGTGACAGCCGTGTCCCCGCCAACGAGATCATGGGCCTCGACGCAGGGGAAGTCTTTGTTCATCGCAACATTGCCAACCTGGTGCCCAATACTGATTTGAACGTCATGTCCGTCATTAACTATGCCGTGCGACATTTACATGTCAAGCACATCGTTGTGTGCGGTCACTATAACTGTGGCGGCGTAAAAGCAGCATTGACGCCTGCTGACATGGGCATCCTCAATCCGTGGCTTCGAAACATCCGGGACGTCTATCGCTTGCATGAAAAAGAACTCGATGGCATTGAAGACAAGGATGCAAAATACAACCGACTGATTGAGCTTAACACCATTGAGTCTTGTAGAAACATTATGAAGACGGCAGCTGTCCAGCAAAGCTACCAGAAAAACCAATATCCCATTGTTCATGGGTGGGTTTTTGACTTACATGATGGGTTGCTTAAGGATCTGAAGTTTGATTTCGAGGAGACGCTGGAAGGGATCATGAAGATCTATCAACTTGAATGAAACTAGAAAAACATTACTTGGATACCATACATGGAAATGCATTCCGTCCTGCTGGCTGAAGCGTTGTAGCATCCGAGTAGGGAATTTAAATAGTGCCGATATGCGAGGCTCTAGTACGACAACCATGTACTCTATTTGATGTCGAAGTTCCAATGACGCCAGAGCCGTGAGACTGTCACAGATGGAAAGATAAGCGGGCACAAGAACCATGAAGCAATGATTACTTAGCTAGTAGTCAACTGGAGACATTCCTTCTTCGCGTCATCGTAAATGAAGGCATGAACCTTGATACCCTGATTATCCATAGCATCCATCACGATTTTCCTATTCAGCACATCTCGAGACTGCGACCAAGTATAAAGTTCCGCAAACAAACGTTGGCGTTCGGAAACATCCTCGATTTTCTCTAGCTCATCGCTCCAAGATTCGTACAGTTTGCGAACGTCCCTAAATCAGATATCAGTGTGTTTGGCATCCCGATTTGGCTGGGATAACTGACTTCAACCAGGAGTCGACACCGTCGCTCTTCTTCGAATCTGGAGTCAAGAAACTGCATCCATAATGACCGCAGATCACGATATGGTTCACCTATTAGCACATCAGCGTTAGGAAATCCAGAATGAAAGGTGGTGGAACCAACAGGGACGTACCTGTTCCGCGGTCAGCGCATATTCCACCGTGCTAGACGTGCTTAGATCCTGATTTGAGAGCAGATTGCCCAGATTTCTATGCTCAATAATCTCCCCTGGCATTAGTTCGAGCTCTCGAGCCTCCTGAAATCCACTGCTAGAACAACCAAACCATAAGACATTTGGTTTTGCTACCCCAAGCGACGGAATCAATCCGCGACGGACTGGGAGGCGTAAGAGTTTCGGTACAACTGCCATGACTCAAACGAAGTAAACATGAGCGATTGGGATTGGAAGCTGTGCAAGCTTGCTGATAAATGACGATATCACGATAGTTTCGGGAATTGCACGCCTTGTGAAGTGCTTCATTTGGTAGTTTACTGGGGAATTCCTGGTACATGTAAGACTTTCATGAGCAGTCTTTAAAGTTTCCTATTGCTCGCACGAGGGCAGTAACAGTACTATGTTATGTAGCACATGCACGTCGGCAGCCTCACTGCATGGGGTTCTCGGAGATCTTTCGGATGTGGATGTAATTAAATCTTAACAGTAAGCATGCAGGGGCATGTTCTAGTAAACAAAAACGCTCCCGTACGAGTAGATACTTATGGTAGGGGTAGTACGCCACATCAGACCACTATTCAGTTCTTCCTCCAGTAACTATCTTCAAACTCCACCTACCCACTGGAGGTGAATCAGATTAATCATCGCCTGTCCTCACTCATTTCTTTCCTATAAGGAAACATCATTGCATGATAGTAAGTTCAATATATTCGGCTGATGATCATCCACAGAATACTTACTTGCTATTAGGATTGTATCGGTCGTTGCAGCAGTTCCAATCACATACAAGTCCGCGAATTCGTTTGTCTTCACAATGGTCATCGCACGTCGATTCTCCATCACTAATTTCGCAATTGCAACCACAGCCTTAGGCTTTCAAGTGTTTGTACTCTACCCTTGGCATCAGAAGTTGGACGATGATTTCGAGAAAGTGAAGCAAGAAATCCATGCGGATAGGCAAGCTCGAGATCGGGAGCTGCAGTCCATAAAAGATCTCCTTGGATCCTTGCCGAAGCCATCGGATGGGCTGCAAACCACGCAGTCTCCAAGGGGTGGGAAATAGACAGTTTGATTCGGGGCCAGTAGAGGTTGATAGTGTCAACCGAAGCCAATAGACGATTGTTAGACAATACGGTTGCCGAACCGAAAGCAAGAGGAGTCCCTCCAAAAGGAAGGCTGGTGAAACGCCTACTCTTCAACATCAAGCAAATCCTTTGGCCTAGGCGTGCTAGGGACCGGACGTTCTTTAGGAAACAAGTGCTACAAGGATTGGGAAATACTGAGATAAATCTTTCCAGTATGTCTAATGAGACTGAAGATACCTATTCCCATTATCCAGCCAGTCGAAGAAACCTATATAAACTAGAAGTTCTTCTAGAAGACGGTAGTCCACGTAACCCACATTCATGTGCTGATAGTATTTATGTAATATTATCAGTCCCCAGTCGTGTCCAGCTCACGGACGAAGGCCATGCTTGTACTAGCATCTCTCAACCACAGCCATCATTTTCTGGGGGTCTGGCTTGTAATCCGGCGGTATACATCCGAGGTTCCTATAATGTTCCAATCTGGGAAGGGTTTCCAAGCTCTTTCTAGTTCTTGAGAACATCTGAATCTTTCGGACAGCAGAGCATACAGGTATCTGGGCATATCGTCTTGGAGTCGTGATCGGTGCGTGTGTCGAGCTGTAAGGGTGACAGACGCAAGGGAAAAATCAAACCGCCCATTATAGGGTAGGTTGCGCCTTGAGAGGGGTGGCCATCATTCCTACTCGTAAGAATGCCTAAATAGGATCGATGGTGAGGGAGCAGACATGGAGGTCGGAGAGTTCAGGTTGTTGGCAACAGAACGGGCTGGGGGGTTCTGGACCCGGAATTTGGAGGGCTTCGCGCACCAACACGTGACAACAATTGACAAGGCTGGTTGTCTATCATGATTCATGGCAACATTCACATCAGTATCATAGACTCTCCAACTTTACCCGTCCACTTGTAGATTCCTTACCCAAATCAGCTTTCTAAGGCACTTATCGGAACCGAAATAGAAGGCGTTCTTCTTCGCAAAACCCCTCCCGACATTAGCTGACAACTCCGCAAGCATGAGTGCAAAGATCCCTAGAAACTTTAGGCTCCTAGAGGAGCTGGAGAAAGGCGAGAAAGGCTTGGGTGCAGGTTCGTAATCCTATTTGCCAGTGTGTTCGTGTGGAGTACTAACCTGACCAGAGGCGTGCTCGTATGGACTTGAGGATGGCGAGGACCTTCTCATGACCAACTGGAACGGAACCATCCTGGGCCCTCCCCATGTACGCTGCAGCCTGTTGTGATACTACGCGAATACTAACACGGTCCAGAGCGTTCACGAGAACCGCATCTACAGCCTCAAGATCCACTGCGGTGGACAATACCCCGACGTTCCCCCCGAAGTTACCTTCGTCTCCAAGATCAACCTGCCCTGCGTAGGACCGACCGGAAAGGTTTGACATCTCACTATATACGATTAGTCAAGGCTGAGCGTCTGTTAGGTCGACCCGTCGAAGCTCCCGTGTTTGGTTCAGTGGAGGAGAGAGTTCACAATGGAGACTATTCTAATCGAGCTGCGGAGGTGCGCTCACTCTCAAGAGGAGTCTCTGGCAAATCACTGATCATGGACAGGTATATGGCGCTTCCTGCCCATAAGAAATTACCCCAGCCCGCTGAGGGATCCAACTACTAAGGAATCATCCTGGTGCAAACAATGCACACGCTTCCGTATTCGGTATACTGGGGATCAAGTTGTATAACGACGGGGATGTGGACTTTCAACACGAGTGACGCAGCGGCTTGAACTCTCGACGTTAATTATTTGTATGCATACAGCGGTGTACAGGATGTTAACGTCTTTGTACCGGAGGGTTTGATATCATAGCATATGTTAGGGCGAGTTAGGCTTTCCACGACCAACTTTGAATGAATGGCAATGATTACCTTAACTCCCTATCTTTCCAATGAGACGTATAAATACAAGCCTAAATAAATGAACTGCAGATAGACAATTAAATGTGTGCGAAGTCAAAGCACTCTGCTCAGGTATTTGAGCGTGATCAGTGCCAAGCCTGAGAATCTCGAAGTCCATCTTGAGCTCTTGACCTCTGAACCTCTAGTCAACTTCGGGCACCTCCACCAGTTCAATATACCAAACCCATAGGGTGCACTTGGATACAAGGCGCCTCGTTGCACTAAAAATATGGGATGAAACTTCCCCTCCTCCCCTCCTCGATATTAACGCGCTCATGTCATCGCGTAGCAGGTATGCCTCCCCAATGCTTCCTATTGATCTAGGCTTATCCATACATTTCCAGCTCTCGCGCTCTACCGCGCTCTGCTCTCCCAAGTCGATCGAATATGGCTTGACGATGCAAAGCGCAATGCCCTCCGCGAGACCATTCAATTCCGATTCTGGAGAAACCGCGTGCTGAGGAAGGACTTCCGACACATCAATCTGCAATTCGTTGGTGGATATGCGGTAAGCTTTCCCGCTGGTTGTGACTGAATATTGCGTGTAGCTAACGATGGTGATGATCAATCTATAGGCACTTGACGTGCTCGATGCTGCCGCTGAGGGCGACAAAACTTCTCTCTCTCGAATACAAAGCTTCCTAAAGTCACATCCCCCGCCAGCGGACTGGCCTAAGAAAGACAGACGAGCCAAACAACTCCGAAAAGTCGCCCGTCGAGAAAACCTTCCACCGAAAGCGCCAAGCATTTTCGACCGATTCCCTCGACCGACTGTGAAGGGGATTAGAAAGGTTCCACAGATTGTCAATGCTGGTAACATTCCGTTTCTACGCTATAAAAAGCCACAACCTGAGAGTGTCAGCCGTGTCATCCGGACAATGATATTTGGACAGACGTATCAAATGTATCGCCAGAGGACACTGGAGGAGTTTTACATACCTCTGGCAGAGCACGAAGATATCTGGGATAGGATCGTTGAGAAGACGAGGGGATGTTCAAGAAGCGAAGGGGGCGGGGAGAAGTGGCAATCGGTGTATCGAACTCAGAACGCCGAGGTAGGGGCATGGTTTAAAGAACGGAATAAAAACCTGCGCGAGACGGCCAGGAAGCTCTCTGACATCGTCGAGGCTGAACAGGCGTTAGCTGAGAAAGAGGCAGAAGAGCGGAGGAGACAGGCGCTGCAGGTTTAACTTACCGTTCGCTACTGGGAAATTTTCACAATAATCTTGTCAGATTTTTCCGACGACTTGTCCGTAGCTTGCGACATCTGTTCTGACAACGCCGACAATTTCTGGGTGGCTTGCGACACCTGTTCGGACAACGTCGAGAAGCCCTCCGCTTGAGTTTTCTCCAGCCTATTTGTCAAGCTTTTGATTCAAGCTCTTCACTGTAGGAACGTCTCCATTCAAATTCGCTTCAACACGAACGATTTCTTCCGCAGGAGCTGCCATCCATTGTCTAGTCAATCTCTCAGCCCAATAAGCTCGGTGTACGTTTTACGAATTGTTCCTCTCGTATCGAGAGAGGACCCCGACGAATCGGACATGGCGGAAATTTAATGGCCGTATCGATGTGCTCGGGAGTGAAGTTATTGATATGATTCTCAGTGGTGATCAGCATAGTATGATGTGGAATCTAGAAGGACGTTAGCTTCTGCGTAGTGTTTATCTCCATCGTACCTACTTCCTCTTCCCAGTAAGGAATTTATGACTCTGATAGGAAGGAAAGGTTAGGTGCAACTGATAGTCCTTACCATGAAGAGAACCAACAATCACGCATCTAGACACGTTTCTCCTCGAACATGCTCGTGATATGTGCAGATTCTCCGTCCCCAAGGATACTGGATTTTCTGGTCGGACATAGACGCCCGGGGGTCGGTCGAGGCAGAACTGGATTCGGACGTCAAACTGAGAGTCTGTTTACGCCTCATTACACTACCCCTAGTGAATGCGGATAGACGTGCAACGCGCTTCAGTGTGTCCCTGGATTCGGTCAGTGGTATATGAACCGGGCTAGCATAAATGTGGACTTACGGGTTCCTCGATCGTGTGGCAACCACCATGGCCACGCTCGCTTCATGTATAGTTTAATCTAGCCGCGGAAGAGGTGACTCAAGACAGAACTGTTCAGTGCTCAAAAGCGAATGGCGCAGGGGTGTCAACGAGTGTGACATGCGGGGAGCGAGCCTGGTCAATCATGATAGAAGGAGGTCACTCAATGGGTGAAGAGAGTGAGGAGACTAGGATGAGTGTGGGGATGGGTGTGATACCAACGAATGTCCAATCACTCGATGTATGAAAGTGAGTCGAGGAGGGAAAGAAGGGGGTGGGTCATAGAAGAAGGTAGAAGTGAGTCGTGTCGTGCAGGAAAGGTAGACGGAACGATGGAGTATGAGGGCAGAAGTGAGATATGCCAAATGCACAATATCGCTCCAAGTGAAAAGTCCACCAAGTAATAGGCGCCGGACATGAAGAGTGAACGTGAAAAGTGAACGTGAAATTCAATCCCAACACTCCCAGCATAGCACATCCTCCCCCCCAATACTCAACACTGTATAATCCCTCCCATCAAACATTCCCGCCCCAACCGCACACCACGACCCCATCGTCCTCCTCCTCGCGGCCACATACATCCCCGTAATGAACTCCGCGGACGCCAACCCCTTCCACTCCAGCTTCACTAGGTCCGCCGTCCTCGTGGCGGCCGATTCCCCTAGATCTACCTCGCGGCCGAGAGTCGGCACGTCGTACCGGCTGAGATACCGGTCCATGTCGTCGTCGGCGCTCACGCGCGGTGACTCCAGCGCGACGAGGCCGAGCCACTCGAGGAGCTCGGTGGCGTGGAGGGGGTTGGTGAGGTCCATGGCTGGTTCGATGACGGGGGTTCGCGTGCGGGGGAGGTGGGTGATGGTGGGTGTGACCTGGCGTAAGATGGGGGCGTGTTTGGAGATGGGGCCCGCAAGTTGGTCGTGGGGTTTCTGGAGGTCGAGGAAGAGGAAGGTGATGGAGGAATTTAGGACATTTTCGAGGGCGTGGAGGAGGCGTTGGAACCCTTTTTTGCCGTGGAGCATGGAGGGGGCGCGGAGGTCGAGTTCGATGGCTGGAGAGTGTGAGCGGAAGAGGATGCCGGAAGGATAGAAGAGGATGTCATACCGAATCGAACTTTCTTATGTTTCCGGCCCTTGTCGTCAATGGGCTTGCCCACCAACCCGCAGCGTTCGTAGGTCGCCTTGTCCAATTCGATCCGTAGCTGTCCTGAGACGAGGAGTTAGAGTCACATTTCAGGGATCATCTAGGTGATTCAAAACGGATACCTTCCGTAACCGTTATCAACGTATCCATTCCCTCCCGTCCCTCAGACCTCATTAAGACAGACCCCTTCTTCATATACTCATTGAAGAACTCCTCCTCCAGCAACTCCGCCGGGCGAAGATACACCTTGCAGTACGACAACGTCAGGAAGTCTCCTTGCTCTTGCTTGCTCTGTATCCCTTCGTATGCATCTTCCGGAAGTATGAGGCTGATCTGCCGTCGCCATTAGCCTCGCACGGAATAAAAGCTCATCGATATCAATTTCAAATACCGTATGGGGAAACGTGTAGTTTCGAAACGTCGAAAACGGCTTCCGTTTCAACGGCAGCTGTTTTTCGTCCACGTACGCCGGGAGGAGATTATAACTGAAGAACGCCTTCGAGTCGGGGACGCTGTGCGTCGCTAAATCCAACATTGTTTTATTGACCCTTTTTATATCAGGTTTGGCGGGAGAACTGCTTGGACAAGGGCAGAATCAGGACGTTTCGATCCTTAGAATTTTGTGAGTTCAACGGAGGAGCGAATGGATCGGTTGTGTTTCCAGTTGCGATGTGAGAAAGCTCTCTCTTAGACTTCTACAAATTATTCCATGAGAACTAATTAAACATTGGGTGATTAAAATCTCAATCGAAGTTGTCGTTTTATGATGCAAGTCGCTGGGGAGCCAACTGAAAGAGGTTGAACCCACATCAGCCCGTCGTTGACCCTTAACATTTCATTGACGAAGCACCACCTCACCCATCCGCATCAGAGGAATAGGGGAGTTTCGATGTATATGTTCTGGGAAACGAGGCTTGTATGAGGGTGGAAATGCTAGATAGTGATTTTCGGTGGAGCAGTGTTTTGAGAATTGAAGTAGCCAAATTCTGGGTGTGAGAATCCCTCGTAGAGAGGTGCTACAGCTACAATTGTTCAAGCCATATCGATCAACTCAGCCCAATATATAACCGTATGAGATCAATCACGCCCTCCATCTACTACACGAACTACGAGTCACATTCCCCAGCCATGATTCATTGAACGTTCAATTCTACCTGCCCACATAACCATGGCACCGGCCGACACGTCCGCCCCGCCCCCATCTCAGCATCCCATCCATTTTTCGTTTTCGAGATCCCAAGGAGCGAGTTGTCAATAAAACCAAACCCATGACGCCGCAAGCCGCCATGTCATCATGCAGTCCCCCGGACGCGAAAATCTCCCATCCGCTCCGCCCGTCTGTCAATCAATCGCCGAAAAACACGCGACGCTTCGTGAACTGCGCTGGCACATTTCGATCCGGTTCATCGCTCCGCTAATGTTATCCCAGGAGCTCCGCAATCAACCACCCGCTCACGACCCCCGGAACGCATCAAACCGCTTATACGTATACCCGATAAACGGCAAATTCATCTCCGCCGCGACATCCTCTCCAGCAGCTGCCGTCTGCGCGCGCATGTGGGCGCTCGTATCCGTCTGGTCGATCTCGTCGATGGGGAAGTACTGGGTGTCGACGCTGGAGGTGAGGCGGGGTTCGAAGGGGGCGCGGATGCGGCGCAGAGTGTCCCATTGCACGCCGCGGAAGAAGGGGTGGGTCTTGACTTCGTGGGCACCAGAGATGCGGCCGAGGCGGTTTTCGGGGTCGCAGATGAGACTATGGGTGGTTAGTGGGTGGGATGGAAGAGGGGGGGGGGAATGTAGGGATATGATGAAAGGGGGAAACGTACCCTCGAACCATGTTCTCGGCTTCCGGGCCGAGGTGGGAGTCCGGCGGGAAGTGCAGATGGCGAGGCCAGTCGACGATCTTCCGATAGGTGTCGTGCGGCTCCTCAGCGCAGAAGGGCGGCCAGCCGATCAGGCACTCGAACATGATGGTGCCGACGCTCCACCAATCACAGCCGAAGTCGTAGCCCTTCCCGCTGAAGATCTCCGGGGCGATGTAATCCGGGGTGCCGACGGTGGAGTAGGCGAGCTGGCGACGGGATTTGCGCCAGGTGTTGATCTGCGCGCGGTTGGAGACGGTGAGGTGGATTTGGTCGAAGTTGATGGATTGGCGGTTGTCGCGGGAGGAGCGGTGCTTGCCGCCGGAGAGGAGTTGTTGGTAGTAGGAGGCTTCGTGCTCTTTGTGGAAGCCGGTGGAGAGGCCAAAGTCGGTGAGCTTGATGTGGCCGTTGCGGTCGAGGAGGATGTTGTCGGGTTTGATATCGCTATAAGGGTTAGCTTGATGAGGATAGGTGTGAGAGGTAAACCAACCGATGGATGAAGCCTAACTTATGTACGGCTTCGATAGCAAGCGTAAGTTCGGCCATGTAGAACCGAGTGATGTCCTCGGTGAATATCTCGTATTTGATCAACATGGTCATGAGATCTCCACCAGGAAGGAACTCCATGAGCATGTACAAGAAAGTGTTGTCCTGGAATGTCGTGTGCAGTTTCACCACCCAAGGACTATCGGACTCCGCGAGAATATCTCGCTCAGATCGAACGTGTGCCAACTGGTCTTTTTTGAACTACAAGCTGTTAGAGACCGGAATTTTATCCCAGTGAGGGGACTTACCATCTCGGTCTTAACCAACGACTTCAATGCGTAGATTTTGCCGTCATTCCTGCGCTGCACCAACTTCACCTCCCCAAAAGCCCCCTTTCCAATGATCTTGATGGTCTTGAAGTTCTCCGGCTTCTCCTTGGTGCGGAGGAATCGCAGATATTGAGCCTCCGCCCGGACCATGTTGTTCCGTTTCTGTTCCTTTCGGGATTCCGGCATGGAGTGGTCATTCACGATCTGCTCGAGTTCCAGCGCCCTAGAAGATATCAGTACACCATAGATGAATGCTCGATGGATCCACGAACCGTCCATTCCTATCCCTTGCCCGCTGCACGTTATCCTTGAAGAACTGCGCGACCAGCCCCGTGGTCATCTTCGCCTTCTTCGATATATTATCGCCATATTTCTCTGGCTGCTTCGGCGGCGCCTCCTCCTCCACCGGCGCGCTGCTGGCGCTGGGGACGGTTGGTGCGAGGAAGTTGTTCGAATGCTGCGGCTGCGGCTGCGGCTGCGGCTGGTTCGATGTCCCCGCCGTCTTCGGTCGTGGCTGGTTCGGCGAGGGCTGCCGAGCGAACGGGCTGCCGGAGCGCGGGGAGTTCCCGCCGAGGTTCTGGTGGGAGAATTGGTGGACGAGGCCGTTCGTGGCGTCGTTGACGTTGTATCCTGCGGCCGGACGGTAGGTTGAGGAGGGAGCTTGTTGGCTGGCTTGTTGGCTGGCTTGTTGGCCTGCGGGATGTTGACCAGCGGGATGTTGACCAGCGGGGTGTTGACCAGCGGGGTGTTGACCAGCAGGGTGTTGCTGCTGGTAGGCGGTTTGATACGGGTTGCTCATGAAGTAGTTCGCATTTCCATAGCCGTTGTTTGTTTGCTGGGCGCCCCAGACCTCCTGCTGGCCCGATTGGTTCGGATACACGGGCTGAGGGAAGGTCGAGGGGGTGGTGGGATACTGCCGCCCTGCATCGCCGGCGTAATTGTTGTTTCGGTCGTTGTTGAAGCCAAAGTTGAGCTGCAGGCGGTTTGGGGCGTCGTTGGAATTCATGGTGATGTTGCGGTGTGGGAGGCGAAGGGAGGAGGGAACAAACACCAAGACGGCGGCGGGAGGGCTGCAATTCCAGAGATTGAAACGTAGGAAGTTGCTTCTGAAGGATTAAATGAGAGCACACATGCCATTCGCAAGGGATCCAGAAAGGGAGCGGTCTAACAGAAGGGAGTGGTTGATAATTGAGGTGGGAGAAGGGGGGAGGGGGAGCAAAGAGCAGCAGAGGAGTGGAACGGTGGAAGCAACACAAGCAATGAGACTCCAATAAGAGGAGAGGAGAGACGAGACACGAGACTACAGGGGAGTGTCGCTTGCTCTACCGTCCACAACGAGCTTCCTCAAGTTCGTATACAGTAACTATCAACCCTCGATTCCTTTTTACTGTAGATAGTAGTAGATACGTTACTGTACTAAATGCTAGGTACTTCATAATGTCTTATCCGTCAATGAATACTGCAATCACTGTGCCGGCCAATACCAACCGTGGGGAATATTTCTTGCGTTAGTGGACCCATGCTCCAGTCTTCAACAGCGTCCGATGACTGGTCTCTCTCTCGCTCCTGGCAGTATCGTACGGTATCAAAAAGCGAGGCTGTAACCAGGCATAGACGGTGGAATAGATATTGAGACGTGACACTCATAACAGCACCACCCAAACCAATCAATCATCTTCTTCCCATAGCTGCCCATGCAATATACAAGAGCGCAATATAGTACAAGTACTCCCAATCACCCGAATCAACTCCTGCCTGCAACATCCCCCCAACGGACATGACGGGTGCATGTGGCTGGTATGGTATCTAAAACCGAACGACAAAAAAGCGTGTATCATCTGCTTTATAGTCATGCAGGGCATCTCTGGCGTGACATGGACGTAGCAGTGCAAGGTAGGTATCCAAGGGACGTAACATCCGAACATCCGACGGCGGTGGTGGTGAATTTACAGGAAATATTCGCCCCGCGTCCCGCGTCCCGCTGGGACGGCGCGGCGGTGATCCGGCACCGCGCTGAAGATGGTGAATTGCGGATCCAGGTCTTCCTTGAGGCTCATGATGGACGCGACGTTGCCACATCGGTAGCAGTAGTTTGGAGCGGACCAGACCGTAACGACGTCCTTGTCGGGGAAATGGTACTGGGTAGTGTCAGCAGGAGAAACACATACTTGGGGTAGACCAGACGAACCTTGTAACCCTCGTTCACAAGCTGATGCGCCCTCGCAATCAACTGCAACCCATTGACATGATTGAACTCCGTCGCCACCTTATCCCCAAATAACCACCCCGCTCCTCTCGGACTAATCGCCCACGTATCCACCTCCTCCGGATCACTCCACACGAGGTCGCAGAACGCGCCCTCGTGCGGAATCTCCTGCGCCCTCGCCACCACGCGGATCTGATCCAGCGTGCGAATCTCCGGCGACAGCCCCCCGTGCACGCATAGCACCTTCCCATCGATGACGGCCGCGAGCGCTAGGAAATCAAATACCTGACAACACGCCTTCCACACCGACGCGTTCCCGTACTTCGTCTGACACTCCTCGTAGAACCCGTAGACCTGTGTGATCTGCCGCGACTCGTGGTTGCCGCGGACGAGGGTGACACGATCGGGGTATTTGGCTTTCAGGCACATGAGCAGCGTGAACGTCTCGAGGCTGAAATACCCCCGGTCGACGAAATCGCCCAGGAAGATGTAGTTCTGCAACCCATCCCCCCCGGATCCCGCCGTATTCCCACTCTCCCCCGTCTCCCCCGACCCCAAACTCGCGTCCCTCCCCGCCCTACCCACGCTTCGACTCCGCCCCCGCTCCTCCTCTTCCTCATCTTCTTCCTCGTCCTCGCCGGGGCTCGACCCCGTATAGTTCGCATCCTGCTGATACCGCCGCTTCATCTTCCGCTTGGCGCGTGGGTCGCTGATCTGCGTCGGCGGCTCGATGTCTTCCGGGCGAATGGGCTTGCCTCGCGGGGCGGGCGACGCGGCGGTGGGGAGGGGCGCATCGTCGGGCATGCCGCCAGCGACGCGGAAGAGCTCAAGGAGGTCGTAGAATTGCCCGTGGATGTCGCCGCAGACGGTGACGGGGGTGCGGACAGGTTGGATGTTGGATTCTGGGGGGGTTAGCTGGGGGGATGGAGACGCGCGGGGGGGTGCGCTGCGCGGCGGGATGGGAAACGTACCTTCCATGAGGAACTCTTTGACTATCTCGCATAGACGCTTCATGTCGCTTTCCGGGAGGTATTTGCACTGCTTGGCTTGCTCGAGCCATTCATCGGGTCCGGCACCCTTCGATAACCGAGCGGCGCCCGGCTGGGGAACATCGCTCTCATTCGCCATGGCGAGGTATACTTCTCAATCGACGGGTAGGGTATAAGGTTCAAAAGGGCGGCCAGAAAGGGAGGGCGGTTCGTGTGACAAATGTTCGAGACAGGTGGATACTTGGGATATTACGGGGTGGCTTTGGGATGAAAAGCGCTAAAGATGCTGAGCAGACTTGGGGAAACGGCAGCGGGGCATTGCGGAGGAAAGCAAAAGGTTGAGATGGTCTAGTTTGTGGCGAGTTCTTTCACAGTAGATCCCCATCACAATACATCGAAACAAGATGTCTGAACGACATATCACAGGCCATCGAAGTGCCAGTCGTCGTGCTGGGAAAGTGGCGTAGCTCCCGATATTGTGGCGGTGCGGGGCAGCTCGGATACAGGCATCAAGGCTCCAAGGCATCAAGGCATCAAGGCATCTCACGACGTCAACTCGGACTTCCCTTCCTAATGCTCCGGATGAATTTCGTGATGAACTGCGAGATACTGATATCTTGAACTTCCACTATCACCACCCCGCTCCTCTCCTACCATCCCCACGTTCGACTCTCCTCCTAGGCGTTCGTGATTCAATGCCATACTGCTAACCATCTTAGAGGAGACCCTTGCCTTCGAGCATGTCTCCAAGCGGAAAGGGAGCACCCTCTCAAAATGGACTCTTACCAATGCCCACGGCCATTCTCCAGAAAAACGCCCCTCAGAAGCCTCCAAAACCCGCGTCGCCGAAGCTCAAGATCGTGATCCGTCGACTCGCCCCGGGACTTACTCAGGATGAGTTCGAAGCGGCCTTGGGCGGTGAGTGGAAATGCGGAGCGGGGAAGGTCGATTGGGTGTCGTATCGGCCAGGGAGTATCTCTACTGAGTACGTCCAAGAAGTTAGACGGTGTATTTGGTGCGTCGCTAATTCATGGACAGTGCTGCGAACCCCTCTCTGCCCTCTAGAGCCTATCTCCGAGTCACCGATAAGGCACATATCTTCGCCTTAAACCAACATGTCAAGGAGACACAATTCGTCGACTCGAAGAACACTACGCGCGACCCCGCCCTTATCGGACCACCCGTCCTCGAAATCGCGTTGCTGCAGAAAGTCCCATCCGGCAAGCGCAAGGTCGACCAACGCCAAGGCCTAATCGATCAAGATCCGGACTTCAAGGCCTTCCTGGAGAGCCTCACCAACCCCATCACAAAACCCGCGCCCATCGACGCCGTGGGCGAGGCGTCCACATCCAAATCCGCCGAGAAAGTCACCATCACGCCGCTGATTCAACATCTGCGTGACAAGAAGGCCGCCCAGGAAGCCGCCAAGGAAGCCGCCAAGTCCAAGAAAGGAGGGAAGCACGCGCAGCAGGACGCAAAGGCCGATAAGGCGGCCGACAAGAAGGCGGCGAAGGCGTCGAAGGAGGTGGCTGCGTCACCCAGCAGGTCCAAACGCGGAGCGAAAGCCGATAAAACGCCGGTGAGAGTCCTCACCAAGGAATCTCCGGCATCATCGAAAGCCGCCGCCGCCGCGGCTACCCAGGCACAAGGCGGAGCCACTACGGTTCCGACCGGCCCATCCGCCGAACGAAGAAGGGAGCGCGGAAATGCAAGCCTCGCAGCGAAGATCGTACAGCGTGATCTGGGCGTGCTACCGAGCCGGGGACCGCGCGGAAAAGGCGTCGTGCCAGCTCCCAGCACCCCCGGGAGCCGTGAACCGGCTGCGAAGGCCGACAGCGAGGCGTCTCCGCGCCCAGCAGCGCTTTTAGATGGCTCTTCAGCCTCGGCAGCGACCCCAGGCAGGGCGGCGGCAGGATCGGCAAAGGAGACCGGGAGACCAGCTAAAGGTCCACGCACGCGGGGTCCTCGAGGTGCGGCAAAGGCGGCCGCGAATGCCAACGCGACGATCGTCGATAAACCCAACAATATCGGCTCGACCGCACAACCCCTAACCACGCCATCTACCAAGCATTCCGCCGCACAATCCGCGCAACCCTCGCCCACGATCCTCAAAAAGACACCCACCCCCACTCCCGCCGCTCAACCAACCCCACCCCCATCCACTCCATCGACCGCACCCTCCACCTCCCGCAAATCCACCGCACCCCCACCCCTGACCACCACTACCATCACCCACGCCTTCCTCAAACACGCCAACCCCTCTCAAGGCATCACCACCGACCTCCTCACCACCGCCCTCGCCGCCCACGGCCCCGTCGTCAGCTGCGAAATCGACCGCAAGAAAGGCTACGCGTATGCGGAGTTTGCGACGAGCGAGGGGTTGATGGCCGCGGTGGCGGCGAGTCCGGTGAAGGTGGCGGAGGGGGCGGTGGAGGTGTTGGTGAGGAGGGAGAAGGGGGGAAAGGGGACGGTGGGGGGTGGCGGAGGGGCGGGACAGGGGGGGAGAGGGGGACATGGGGGGAGAGGTGGACGGGGGAGAGGGAGGTGGGGAGGGGGGAAGGGAGGGGGAGCGGGGGATGGCGGTGCCGCTCCGGTGAGTGCGGCTGGGAGAGCTGCTGGAGCGCCGCCTTGAATTCGGACACACGACAAGTCGACGTGATCATCATCCCGCGTTTGGGCATTGATGCACCCTCTGCATACCGGCGTCTACATGTGTCGAGTGTCTGTGGCTGAGCCTGCCCCGCTTGAGCATGCGTAGGCGAAGCAGACACGCTGCAGCCCTACTCCTCCGAGAATCCAGGGGCTAAGTGCGGCGCTTACAACGTCAACCGAAGCGAAACAATTCGCGCCAAGGACGCCGTTTCGTGACTGCAGGTGTAGATCCCGAGTTACGCGCTTAACCCCGCTCTCTCAAGCTTTCTACGGATATCACTGTTCACGAGCGATTCTGCTCTGTTGACCGCTCAGATACTCCAATTACAATTCAATCGCCCTAGGCTACAGAATCGCGACTCCGATGGTGAATAACCCGATGCAGATCGCTCTGCCCGCTCTAGTGAAACGCTGGGGGAGGTTTTTCATTCTGGTGCCCATTCCATGCCATGCCATGCCTCCCGTTCCTTGCCCGTTGCTAGAACACATAACGCAAACTCTGCGGCTCGCTTATCCCTCAAGCTAGGGCCCGCAACATGACTAGGGAAAATTTGAGCAAATCGATGAATACGCGGTCGTCCAGTCGTCCCAAAGTCCCAGATCCATCGCTAAATGCCAAAGTCATGCCCTTCGAAGAACCAAAACACGAAGAATAGAAGATATCATGCCGTGGCCGAATATAAAACGAATTGAAAAGCAAAACGAAACCGCTTCAATATCAAATTTGCTACACCCGGACTCCAAACATAAAGTACCAAAATAAGGTGCTGTGAACATGAACGAGGAGGTTTTCAATAGCCCCTATTTTCTTCTAAGCTGCTTAGTTAATTTCGAGTACCCCTTCGAGCTCACAAAAGGCCGTTAAGAGGCCGTTCGAAGCCTCGATCTTGCCACCAACCGTTCACCCATTCCCACCCTGCGTCGGAGCCATCCCTCCTGCCAAATACGCTGAATTTGTAACACCCAACTGCAGTTGGTCAGGTGGCATATTTGCTCGGATCTCCTTCGGATTCCTATATCCCTGATACGGCAAATTTGGCCTCGGTCCCCTCTGCTCCGCACCCGCAGATGCTGGCCCAGGAGATGATTCCGGCCCCATCACGACACCTACGCCCGGTCCAGCAGGAATGGTTACTTCCGGATGCGGAGTCGCCGCTTGTCCGCCGCCATGACTCGTGTATGGACGCTCCGGGCTGTTCGGCTCGGCGTTGTTTGGGCTCATGGTCCGGCTGCCAGTGGGCGGGAAGGTGAATGGCGGAGGCACCGACTCGTACGGGCTGGCACCGGCTGAAAGGGCATCATTTCCGGGGCTCATGTTATTGCGACCGCGGCTAGTACTACGGATTCGGTCGCGGACGCTGCGAAGCTTTTGGCCGACGGTCTCGGAGACGGAGCCACGACCACGACGATGACCCTGGGCAGGGGAGGAGGCAAGGTTAGGATCGTGGACGGCGGGAGTTCCTGTGCGTGAGCTCTGCGTGCTGGTGGAATAGACACGTGGAGAGTCGCCATAAGCAGGCGGCGAATTGTTGCTGTCTATGCCAATGTTGATGACACCTTGTGATGAAATTCCCGTGGCGGTGCTGCCCCGGAATAAAGACGGTGGAGGCGGTGGCGGTGGAGGGGAATAAAGGTGTTGCAGTTCGGGGAGGACTGGCGTGGGGGTAGGACTAGGAACTTTACCAAACTTTGGCTTGTCTACAGTGAAGACATTTTGTTCCCGAACCTGCGGTTTCTGATGTGACGCAGCAAGGGTCTCGCCAATTGAAGCGATGGGCGAAGGCATCGGTGGACTGCGCTGAGGGGACTCTGCAGAAGGTACTCTTGAATGGCCAGGATACCTCGTAGAGACTGACTCACGTCGAGCACCTAATCTCGCTGGAGAGGTTGCAGATGCTCCAAGTGATTGCTCAAGCGGAACAGATGCGGAACGCTGGATGTCGGCTTTCGTTAGTTGACCGTATGTAGTGGCCGGGAGAGTAAATAGTGGATCGGAATCCTGCTGGGCACTTGGACTTTGATTGGAAAGTTCGGGCGGAATAGCAGGCACAGAAGGGACACTATCGTTCTCGGTATTAGGACTCATGTACTTTGGGTGTTTCATGGCACTTGGAGTTGCTGGAAGCCCAATAGGGACTGACGATGTGCTCGTCCCATTCGTCTTTATTGCCCGCCGCTGGGGGGGCGCATCATTGTCCAGCGGACTGCGCCATACATCCTTCTCACTGATGGAGGATGAGGGCTCCCGGGTGTGCGATTCAGGTCCGGAAGGACTAATGTCGGTAAAGGAGCGGTTGCTCAGGGTTGGCCGAAAAAGCTCATCAGGATGGGGGATTGCAGGAGCAGAAGGTCGTCTCGCCAGTGAAAGTCGTCGCTCTTCAAGTTCTTTTGCTGCAAGCTCCCGCTTCGTCAGCGGCTTGACCTCTGTGAAAGTCGTCTCTACTCTTGGAAATGTCGGTTTTGTTGGCGCTTGAAGTGGGCGAGGGATGCGCTCGGGTGATTTCTCTGAAACTCGTGATAACACTTTCTCGCTGCGCCTGCCTCTGGATGACTCTCTTTCTCTCATGCGTTCCATGGATCGCTCTCGATGCCTTTCAAGACTCGCTTCTCGTGATGCTGAAGCTCGACTGATATTCGGGACCCTAGCATGGCGGCTCGTGCTTCTCTGTCTGTTGCGGACTTTCTCTGTATCTTCACTTTCGGCCCGCCGCCTTCGACCTTCAGTTGTGAGGGGTAATGGGCTGGATGGCGAACGGCCAGTAGATCCTTCACCCCGAAGGTGTGTCCGCCCACGGCCGTCCGTGAGTACAGGGCGTCCCATCCGCTCCATACTTTCTGAGCGGCTTGCGTCTCTATGCTGTGAGTCCCCATGCCGTGAGTCTCCATACCGTGAGTCTTCATGCCGTGAGCTTCCATGCCGTCGGCTTCTTGATCGATGCCTGTGGCCCTCGACAGATGAATTGCGATGGGATCGGGATATTGAGCGTGTCTTAGACGTTCCACCAGGGCCCTTGGAGCGACTACGGCCTCTACGAGTAGTGTTCGTCGTCTCAGAAGCAGTCGTTGGGCCAACTTTGTAGAACCTTTCTGCATCAAATGTATCTTGGGATGAATACAATGCCGCTTGATCAGGTGACATCGAGACCGGGGACGATGGCGAACGCTTGGCTGGCTTGATGTATCGAGTGCCAGATCGACCGCGAGAGTCAGAGGATTGTCGGTTGTGAACGCTAGATGTCCGATCACGCTCCTTTCCTTCCCGACTTGTCCCTCGCTTTCGACTCTCAGAACGTTGACGTGCAGCTTGGAAGTTCGCGGCTTGTATGCTATTGATGTACTGGTCGATGGATCGAACTTTGCTAGCTGCGAGGTGGCGATCGACAGATTTGGTACTTCGAGTTGTACCCTCGCTTGCACGTGTGCGATTCGTAGTGGCTTTGGAGCTGTTCGCGGTTGTAGCTGTAGTATGAGTGATCATCGAGCCCTCAGGTGAGCCAAGGGCAGGCTCCACCACAACATTCTGCTTGAGATTCAGATGCAAGTCTTCTGGTTTTCGATCCCTCGACCCATTTCGCTTTTCCTCTTTGAATCCGCTGAACGCATTCTTCGTCGGTGGCGGCAATTTGACGCGCCCACGCCCGGTACCTTCAGATACGGCCGATGCCAGAGTTCGAGGCGGCTCATAAGCAACTGGTGAGAGAATCTCTAGCTCCGATGCTCGGCCTTGAGAAGTGCTACGGGATTTCACGCGTGATGCTTCTCCTGGCAGGTCTGGTGGAGCATTGATGGCCGTTTGTGGAGTGTTCATCCTGCTTCCGTACTGAGGGGTAGCGGCGATGGGTGTCGTATCTGCATTTCGATCGACAGAACTTCTGCTTGGGAATCGCCTCCGCCGATAGTATCCGCCAGGAGTTGCGGTCGCTTGGGCCGAACCAAGAGAATGGGGGTTAATACTGCGGAAAGCATTGGGACCATTCCAGCCTGCTCCCGAGGGGGAGAGAGCACTTTCGGCAATAGGCGTCACCCCTGGTCCTCCCATTGGAGTCTTTTCATCAAGCGCGCCACCAGGGGGTTTCAAGCCGCTTTTGCCAAAGCTGGTGATGAGCTTCAGGCCCATGTTACCAGCAGTAGCTCGGCCGCTGGCAGGAGGTGATAACGGCGGGTTCCCGGCTGCGAGTCTGCTTTCCATCATTCGCGCTTGTGCGCCCTCAACCGCCTCTGTGGCGCGCGGAGAGAACCATGGTTCGGATGAATCCAAACTGGCAAGCGAAAAGCATTTGACGGAAAGCTCTGCCTTTTTTTGGACGAATAAAGACTCGCCCCACTTGCGTACTAGGTGCTTCTGTCGTTCCCAGTTTGACGGGAAAAGAAGACAAGTAAGAAGCAATGCCTCCATGTAGTACTTTCGTGAAACATAGACTTCAACAGCCTCGTCGTGCTCGCCGAATCCGAGAAGGAGAGCGACTGCGGGGTGGATATCGCCTTTGGCAAGAAGGCTTTGCACGAAAGCCTCGCCCATCTTCCTCTGTGATTCCTGCCCCATTGTACAGAGTGCGACTACCATCCAGTCAGCTGAAGACATGGCCGACGAGCCGACTAAAGATGCAGCCATGTCTGCTTCGAGGTCACCGAGCCATTTTGCAAGAATAACAGCGATAGAAGAGGCCGGCGGATGTTTCGAAACTGTACAATAAAATATAAGCGTCCAAGGAGTATCACTGTTAGAGTTATGGGCTTACTTACTCTCTTCACGGATAAGTGCGTCGACGTCGTCTGTCCAGTCAAACATGAGATCCAACACCAGGCGCCTCAAGTCATCTGGGCTGCGGTACTGATTGTCCATTGGGGCACTGCGGAATTGTGCCTCACTCATCTTGGCCTTGAAGTAAGGGAACAAATCCATAGGAGCGCTGTGTTCCTTCTCGTCGGGACCGATGGTGACTTCCTTACGAAGATGGCTCGACTTGGGAGCCGCACTCCCCGACGTAGAGTACGTCCACTGTGAGCTCTCAAGCGCACTACGAGTGGATACACTACGCAGAGAAGAGTTGGCCGATGAAAAGACGGTGGAATCGCCGGTCGAGCTATCGGACACAATACCGGGGGAGTAAGGTTTAAGCGGGCGCCTGCTCAAATTCTTACTATGTGTACGCTTTTTCGCGGCGGCCAATGATCGAAGGTGGTCACGTTCCCTGCGACCTGCAGAGGAGCGCGAGCTTTGGCTCCCTCGACTTGAGACAGGGCTGAGAGGTCCCAACCGGTCACGCATCTCGTCTTCGAGGTCGTCCAGTTGCCCCATTTCCTTGGCGATCTTCTCCAACGGGGACATGGGAGGGCCTTCTTCCTCGCTCGTGGACTCGAATTCCAATTGGACAGGAAACGTCGCAATTGTTAGTGGCGCATTGCCGTGCAGTGCCGCCTTCTGCTGTTCAATCGAATTGGGCGGTGATGGTGGGAGGTTTGCAGGGGGCTGCTGCATATTGGCAACGAGTGTCGGTTTAGTATTGGGATTAACATCATACTGCTGGATGGTAAAGTTCCGACACAAGGTGAACAATGTAGCTGTTTGCCCGAAATTGGTAATGGCGACGATACCTTCGAGAGTTGGGACAGTCTCATAGGTCACCCGTTTGGTCCGCACGTCCCAAACACAAGTTTGCCTGTATCAGTTAGCGCCGTCTCGTCTGATATACGCTGTGCCCCCCCCCCCCTTGAATACGCGCCGAGCAGGGGTTGTGCGGCCAATCAACTTACCCTTCAGAATACTGAACAATCCTCCCAAGCTTCGACCACGCAAACCAACATGGAGCAATTATCCTGTTTTCCGATCGGTTCAGGACCCGGATTACAGTTGGCGGATCTGGTGATGGTGATTTGGGGATACTCCATACGCGGAGATCTCCATCGGCTGTTTGTGATGCCAACATCTCAGATTTCTGCTTAGATGAAGATCCGTGCCATGCGAGCCCGTTTATAGGTGAGGGGGATCTCGCCGTGCTGAGGGTGTGTAGAATAGTGAATGGTTGTAATGTTACGATCAAAATTGATCCATTCATGTAACTGCATCATCGTCAGCCGCCATTCCGCAACAAAAGTCAAACCATAAACGACTAACCCAATAGAAAACGTCCGGCAATCAGGAGATGGTGCCAGCGCAGTGATCGGATCGAATATCGTCCGTGCAGACACATGTTCTGATGTTGATGGCTCGAAAAGTATCACGTTTCCTTGGTCGTTCCCTGAAAACTTGTCAGTCAACCAGTCCCTCCAGTCCTGCGATACGTCTAGAACAATAGGTAGGAAGAATGAGAAAAGAAGGACTCGTTTGAACACCAAGTCGCTGGGTAACACAAGTATTCATGAAAGCAAAAACCTGGAGTCTTTGACTGAGAACGTCCAAACGAACGGTCCGGTTATCGTATCCTTCCGATCAGTCATTCCCAAGCCGAATGACCCCAAAACAGTACATCAGATTCAAGTCGGACAATAGCCTCAGTGACCATTGGACAGTACGTGGGCGGAGTTAGACTCCCAGAAAGTCAGGGTGAGTAATCTTCTCCCCATTTGTAAATCCGTTTTATCCAGTCCAGACATTTCATGGCTCAGCGCTCTCGGAAAATAGACGTTGGTTCCATCTCTTATACCCAGTTCTAAGTTATATTGTCCATTCGGCCTACCCAATTCAAAGAAATAACGTAAACTTACCAAATGCGATATTCCCATTCCTCATCCAGCTCGCAATCCGTATCTCCTCATACGACGCGAACCGCGCCACCTCATCTCCCGTCAAAAGGTCCCACACAATGGTTGTCTGACTGGTATCATAGCTAACCACCAGTCGCCCGGCTCCCCGCTCACTAATGTTGTCCACCGAGATCCATTGAACTTCGTCGCGGTGCCTATCGAACCGACGCTCGATTGCCAGTGTGTCATGGTGAAGACATAGAATTAGATTGCGGTATGCATATAGTAAGAATGATCCTGTCGCAGCGGCTGGTTGAAAGCGAATGTCGTTCGCGGGAGTTAACGTCGGTGCAGGTGGGATGGGGTGCAATCGATTCGATCGATTCGATCGATTCGAATGGCGAGAGTCGGAGTGATCTGAGCGACGAGATCCTTGGGAGGTAGAGCGAGGATAGGGGGCGGGATAGGAGCCGGTCGACATGGCGGAAGGTTTTGGATCCGGGTTGGAGGATGGCTTGTCGAGTTCCGAGGACGGAGGTGCTTTTGGAGGTGCCATCGTCAGTGGAACGTCATATTTGTGCGTCTTTAATTACAGAGAAACCCCATGGTAGGCGACGAATGAATATTGTACAAGACCTAAACCAGACAATCCGATATTACGGATAAGGAAACACAAGCGGGGTTTGACTTTGAGGGACTGTGAGATGTATGAAGGAGAGCTGGTGTCACTGGGGAAGACAAAAAAGGATATGGGAAACCCAGCCTCTTCGCCGGTACTCACAACTACAATTCAGCGCCCAGCGAGGCCCAATGAACTGGGATGAGGTTTGAGGTGGACGCTGAGGAGGTTGTGCCCCCCCCCGACGGTGATTGTGAGCTCTGGTTCCGGCTGCAGGGCAGGTAGGTCCGAAACGCATACGCCCCCTCAAAGGGTGTAAATGGAGGGGAATTAGGAGGATATGCAAAGTGATACAAAGGCGCTGAATCAGGAGGGGTAGCGACAAACGGCGAAACAGCAAGAAAGAGATCGCAATGCATACAAGAGACGAGAAGAAGATGGGAAAGACAGCGCGAGAGGAGATGATGGTCGCAGGATGCAGAAAGCGGTTCTCAAACTCAACCTCCAGTAACCAACGTCTCCAATGGTGCAGCTTGTTGGGCGCTTAACGAGGTGCGGCAACTGGTCAACTGTGAGGCTCACGTATTCAGGGTCTGCCACCTGCGTTGCGATCAGCCAGTTGTGATGCCCATATCCTTGCCGAACAGCGGGACAAGGTCAAACTGGCCGATCAGTATGTCTAGTGCCCGAGATGGGAGTGACAGTGCGCGAATTGGGCTTGAGGAGTGCGCAATGGCGAAATGAAAGCTGGAGGGGAGAGGTTGGGGGAGCGTATGAAGAACGGAAAAGCCCAGGAGGCTTTTGAGGCGGGACATCATGAGCACCCCCCAGGGCACTAGAATGTCAGTCTTCAAACCCCAGGACAAATCCCTCTCAAGAAATCCATTAAGACGACCGTTTCTGCGGGCATTGTTTCACTGCCAGAGCGACGGAGCCGACGTGATGAGCCAGTAATAGGCGGTACGACGGTGGCATTCCTGTTGCTCTGCAGGGACCAGGAACTTCGAGGAGATGGTTGGAGTGCGAGTGGTCAGCCATCACACTTAGCCTAGCCTCCATGTAGCCAATGAGCTTGTGCTTCCATGCTTTCGGTCTCTGGAGCTCTAGCAAGCCTTGTCCCCGGTCCCCCCAACCCCCTCGACTGGAAATTTGGCCAAGGATGTGGTTTTGTTGGCTATCAAGAGTGGTGTGAGTTAGAGTGGTGTGAGTTGGAGTTAAAAAGGGCCTTGTTTCCCACGTTTTCCTGCCAGAATATCGCGTCGTGGGCTCGTGGCGCATGGCGCATGGCGCATGGCGGCGTTGTTGTCCCAAGAACCATTGATATTCAAATACCTGCCCCACCCCTCTTCACTCAGACTCGTTGACAATGGATGATTTAACTTCCGAGACACGAGGATAACAAGAGAAACACTTACTGAGGCTATCCTTGACCCTTTCGAAATAACCTGGGAAGACCAATATACGACGATATCGTCCGCATATGCGGTAGTACGGCTTTCCTAACTTGTGACAAGGTACCTGGGCATTCTGACCGCCACTACCCCGAAGTAGGAAGCAATGCATAGTCTGGAATTCCAGCAAAGACCTTGGGATCATGTTCATATGCATTTTCCATATTGTGTCTCCAAGAAACATTCTGATGGTATCCAAGTAAAGTGAAGGAGAGATGATGTTGCACAAAGGTTCGTTGAATCTCGGCTGGATAACTCTAGCCGTCTCTAGGGTATCACAAACAGAAGAAACGCCAGGCCTGCCCAAGCTCTCCATCACTCCCAACTAGTAATTCCCAACCTCACGAATTTCCAACTCCAACGCTGAATTCTACCAACAAATCCGTCGTAATGGAGAAAATTAGATGCGATTTTGGAATAACTATGAATCCTTCGAATTGCCTATCCAATAGAAGTGGCTGACCGAATCCCACGTCCGATTCCTGGCGTGAGCATAGGTGAATTAATGCAATGCCCCCCACACCAAGCAAATGCCACTTCATCAGAAGGTCTGTTACACATCAAGGACGCTCGCTCAGCGCCTGCGCATATAAGTCGTGCCCTATTCGTTCCTACAGTAGTACTCTAGCAGTACTATTATTCTAACCGCCCGCTCGTCAGCCAGCTTACAGCAGCACGTGGTGTTTCAATGTCTGGTAATAGACCTTGCTCCCCCGAGTTCCTAACAAACCGCATCTGCGACCAGCCGGTGAGGACAAGGACTCGGGAAGCGAGCATGGCGGATCAGTGGATTTGAATTGTAGCATCCTTGCCCTTGGAGCGACCCGCGGCCAGCAAGGGAACGGACCGTGATAGCGACCGAAGACCCACTGACCCACATTCCAAGCTGCCACCAGCGCCATGGCTTGATAGCACATTTTGGGAGTCGAGGGGTGACGAGAACTTGTCAATACTTCTCCGTTTTATTTCCACTCCAATGTCTTAAGTCCTCGTTATGAGAGTCATCAGATCGTCAGTCAAATGTTTCAGAAAGTCTCCAAGTCTCTAAGCGCCGTGTTTGGTCGGAAGGAGTTGTAATGTTCAACGAATGCATCGTGAATTCGTGATAGTGATGTTGGTTCTATGCGGGAGGGAGCGCTGATTGGCACTTACTAACGGGACGATGCGCCCGTTGCCCCGTTTTGCGTCGGCTACGCACAGGTCAGTGACGTGAACAGTGCTCTGCTCTGCGGCCATACCATACCTGCACAGTGGCGCAACCTTTGGTCTTTCAAATTTCGAATAAATCCTATGGAGTCGTGGGATAGACTCGAGGTGAAGTACTTGAACATGATGGTCGCCCATGCTAGTAACCAGCGGTATGGGACAGTGAGTAGGACACAATTTCATTTTCAGACAATTAGTTGGATTGTTGATTAGATTCTGCTCGAGCACAGGAGCATTGACAGCTCAAGGTGGATACATGCCACCAGCCTCTCCGCAAGAGCAGATGAGGGCCAAAGCTCTCTTCTCCATTCCCCAGGAATTCGAATCTGAGATCTCAATGTCTTATGTCTCGTCAACATTTAAGCACAAACCAGACGGCTCCACTTCAGTACAGTGCATATATCCACATCTTCCTTCAAAATCAACCATCTGGTGGATTCAAACAACCAACCTCCTCTACCTTCCAACGCACGGAAGCCGGGTCCGAAAGGCTAGTCAAAATTCTCGTGCACATGGTTCAGCCAAGGATGTGCTCAGCACATCCGCTAGGGAACCACGATTACGCAATAGCAATTCCTCGCCGTAACCATCCATTCTATGCTCATCGAAGCAGGAGATGGCCGGAATGAACTCGCGTCGCGCATTTGCAACGGCACTCTGCTTGTGCATGTTGTCGGGCTCAGCCAACTTGCTCAGGCTGATGAAGGTGTCAGGTTGCCAAGATACTGCCATGCATCGTTATGTGGCTAGCACTCGAAATCCGAACGCAATGTGTGAACAGCGCGTGAGCGCATGCATTCTAGCGACTCTCTCAAGGTGTAGAATCGCAACGCGACTCAAAGCCGGATGGTCGCGGCCACATGGGGGCTCATGGCCGCAGTGACAGTGATGTACATTTGTCATCACTCGTAAGGGGTATCATATCGTTACTTTCATCTGTCTTGATCGTTAGTCATATATTGCGCAATATGCTTTGTCACAACTTACCATTTCATAAAAGCATGTCATCACTTATTCATTAAAGGGACTCCTTGGCTTCCAGGATGGTCTCCATATTGGTCTTCGCCTTCCCAGCCTTCTTTCCGCTACTCCGTCTCCGCTTCTTCTTCTCCGGGTACGGCCTTGCGCTGGCATACAGTGGCAACAAGGGCTGCGCCACTTGCTGATGGTACTGCCGCGGTGGAGCGGGCGCCTCGGTCAGCAGCATGGGCTCCAGATCGCCGAAGAGGTCCTCGTCGCTGATGAAGGAGCTCGGTGGGTTTTCAAGGTAGGAAGGGGTCGGTGAGCCCGTGTAGGGACATGAAGATGAGAGCGTGCTGCTGGCCGGCCATGACGGGAATGCGCAGGTGAAGGTGCTATCGGAGGAGGAAGAGGTGGAGGATGTCGAGGAGGTCGAGGAGGTCGAGGAGGAAGAGCGGATAGAGGAAGGGCTGGTGGAGAAGCCGATGGTGATGGTGGTGGAGGAGGAGTTCGGTGAGGGTGAGTCGAAGAAATGCATGGTGAATGACTTTCGCGTAGGTTTGGGACGCTGGGTGGTGTTGAAAACAACCGTCACCAGGGCTGGTGACGTTGTTGATATATTCTGGTTCTGGTTCGATACGTGTTTGGGTGTGGCGTGGCCGTCGACGCGACTATGACGAGTGTGCACAGCTCAGCTGGATGGCGTGTCGTGGGGTGCGGAGGAGCCACGGAAATCAGCCGAGATCGGGGGACTGGGCTGAGCGCAAGTTGATAAAATGGTCGTGGTGATATGCGAATGTTTCCGACCACCAAGATTTGGTTTGGTTCGAATGATATGCACGACTGAAAAGTCTAACATGGACATAAACCTTTCCGTGATCAGGAAGAAAAATCGGGCGGCAAGAGGAATGTGATATCTTATATCTCAAGAGGCGGTAAAGTCGTGTGGAAGAGCGGTCTCAGACTGAGTTAGAGGCGCGGGATGACTGGTTGACGTGGGCGACGTATGAACGTTGTGCTTTCGGACGTGGGCGTGGTGGATGGACGCCCGCTTCTGCAGCTTCTGCAGCTTCTGCGGCTTGGAGATTTGAATTCGGTGTCGAACCAAAAGGGGATGGGGTGTTCGGTTTGATATGTCGTTTTTTGACTTGCTTGTTCTTGGACTCGAGTCACACAACTCACGGAACCAAATCTCAGAAGCAGACAAAGCAATTTAAAGGGGCAGATGTCGAAACGGCCGAAAGGGAGTCAGAGTGCTTTTGAAGGTCGAAAATCATTTCATCCGACACGTATTATACTATCCGTCACCTCCGTGACCCTCAGCTAGATCTCCCATCCATGGAACCAAGGCCCGAGAAGGCGCCCACGGAACGATCACACTTCGACCGAGCCAGAGAACGTGTTCCCGACGTTTCTCGTGGAGCACCGCGGTCAAATGGTACCCACCATCAAATTGCTCCGGGGCTATCCAATGACCTGTGGTTACCGGGTGTTTGCCTCGCTATTTGTGGGTGAATTGCTGGGGAGATTGCTGGGGGTGAGCAGCCTCGGGAATCCTTACGGGGGCCAAAGCACGCGGAACCGCCATCCTTTTCGGCGCCCATCCGGCAGGTCTTCTCATCACATATCTGATATTATTATCACCTGCAGTTTCGGTGTTCCAGGTGAAGAAGCAAGGACGTCGAACGGAAGGATGTGATGTGATCCCAAGGTGCCCATGGCTTTGTCTTTTCTCCGTGACAGTCTGAGCGTGACACTCAGTTTCTAATTTCTCTCCATATCGATTTTTGAAAGGGAGGATCAGTCGGTAATACAGGCGCAATCAAATGATCTAGTTTCCATTCCGATCGCGAAACCCTCTTTAGTCATGATTCATTGATCAGATCCCTTTAGCCGGTATTCACCGGAGTCCCTCCCATCCGCAACCTCTGCCGCCGCACCGCTCCCACGCCGGCTAGGATCACGGCTACTGCCTGGATCCGCGTCGCCTTGTAGCGACACATTGCGGCATTGGGTTTTGCAGCCCAACCTTCATTGTTCTCCGGACCCCGCGCCCCGAAGCCATCCAATCGCGTGTGTAACCACACCAGATCGCAAAGTAGCGGTCCCTGACCGCCCTTCATTCCGCCTCGCGATTGGAGGCATCACGAGAATGATACGGATGAGTTGTTACCAGTCGGGATGGACAAATACACCGCTTCAGACCGCCTCTTAGGGAATGTGGCCGCGATGGATCTGATAGGCGCACGTTGTCGGCTGTGTTGTTTCTCAAGCTGGGATGCGTTTGCGAATGACCGAAGGGGAACAGGTAGTTTAATATGGTAATGTGATATAGTTGTGTCTGACTCCGAAATATTCGGATGACCACGACGACTGACGACAAGTCAGCCTGCAAGGCGGGTGTAGGTCAGGTTTACGAAGGATATTGCGACGCCTCATACCTGACGAGTCGTGCTTCGTCAACCTCACAATGCAGCTGACCTTTGCTCATCAAGTATTGGTAACCTGATGTCGATGGATGCCTAGATGAGCAGGAGGGTCGCATATCCCACGCTGAAATTTATCCAGCTGCCTGATCGCGATGGTTGATGTTTTGATGTCTCATTTGGATGATCACATCAAATACCCCACGCGGGGAGGCCCGATGGGCGATGTGGGAGGTTCGATACCCCACCCCCAGCCTCTCCGACCTCCGTGTTTGATACTGGTCGCGGAGCATCTTTTGCGGAGGCTGGGGCTTTGGGCAGACAACGTTTCCGTCGCAACTCGAGTACTCTATCTTGAAACTACGTTTTACGTGTCCAAATTTGCTCGTGAAGAAGATTTTCCAGGGTTGATCTATCTCGCGCGCATCTGGAACAAGACCATACTTTCCGTTTCGAGGGTTGCCCACTCCGGCTAGCATGCAGTATCGAGGCGAGATCAACATTAGGCTCATCGGAAATTGAAGCCGACGGAGTGGAGTAGACCCGAGATGGATGTACTCATGTACATTGGACCGTCGTCGGTACATGATACATCAGTACAATTAAGCTCAGATGCATGGACAGTTGTACATCTGCACTGACGGGACTGCACGGTGTTGTTCCCGGTTTCCCCGTCTCCGCTTCGCTGGCTCATCTCTGAACGATTTGGAGTGCATACTATGCAGAAACGAAAGTTTGGTAAAATGATGCGAGTCCAGGGCTTCACTCCACGATCGATTTTTGAAACCCCTTCACGCTGGCTCCTATTTCTCCCGTCATCGACGACATCGGTCGCGACATTCGACGAGTCGCTTGGCTTCCCTAGCGCAACGGTTTCGATCTAGGCTTTACCAAGGACGAGTGTCTCCATTCCGTACTTGCCCGAATGCACCATCTTTGCGGATTCGCTCGGATTGTCCGCAGACTGCAGGGACTAGTTGAACTAACAACTTCCGCTGCGTATACCCGTATCCAGTATCACTTGGAACGGAAATTAAACGCCGAAGATATAGAATGATATTGGACTTCCCCATTTCGTCGAGATGCTGAATAGAATGATGTGTCCTTTGCGTGCTGGCACGTGGCGAGTACTAACCATGTTCGGAGGTTATTGCACTTTCATTTATAATATCCTCGCTCTGAGGCCCCTGACAAGTCCCAGCGCACAAGTCTAGCTCTTTCGCAAAGTTTGTCGACGTGTACCTCTACTAACTAGAGAGTAGAGACTAAAGTTTCTAGCAGACCACCGCGTCCGCGCTCGGCCAATCTGGGCCATGGGGGTTTCCGCAAAGATCGTGACTTGGTCCCGAGACCCGAAACGACTCATCTCCGAGGCATTGAATAACACGGCAGAAATATCGTCACTATCCATTTCCCAACTTTTGCCGAGTTTCGTGATATTGGCTTGGGACTTTCGCTGCGAACACTTACCAATACAGGTTAGACTCCAAGGAACAATCTAGAATATTACTCCCTCCAGTATTCCTCCCAACTTCCGAGGATGGTTCCTCCTAGATATTCGGTGGTATTCCGGATGTGATATTCCGGATTACCAATTTGAATTCCTTGTCGTCCTAATATTTCTGGTACGCAGAGGTCGCGGTACCAAGTAGGTACATGAGTACCGAAACCTCGCCTCGGGGCTCGGGATGTGGGACCTCAGCCCAGTGAGTCGGCAAGGGGTTGCGGTTGTGGGGTAGATCATGCTGCAACTCCACTTCATTCCACTCCAACACGTGAGTTCTGGTCTTTGGATATTGGAACCTTGCGGGAGATCCGAGCGGTCGGCTGCCGTGTGGTTTCATCATGCCTCCGAAGCGTTCGGAAATCATCCCTATCCAGCGAATTTCGTTGCAGCGTCTCACATGTCTGACGGATCCATCCGGATCCGCTGTGTTGTAGCGACGGACAATTTTCTTTGGAAAGGATGGTGTCAACTCACCATTCATCAAGCGAAAGCGCCCTAATACTTTTCTGCCGCTGTTTGCACGTGCTGCCTCGAGTTGGCAGGTCATTCTGAAATCCACATGCCCTACCCTATCACACGTGGGTTGGAGATGACGGCATTGGGGTGAATTTCGGAGTCCTTGAAACCAAGATATTTGTCAACCTCGATTGTACATACTCGATATGCAAGTCATCTGCCACAGCGTCACTAAAACATCTGGATCTTCCTGGCGGGTCAATATCGCTGCAGCTGTCGGCGAATCCGAATCATCTCCATGGATGTTTGATTGTGCTTCGTGTCATCGCCATCAGAATGTCAGCCTCAATATCGATGCATCCATGATATGCTCCAGGGATTCATAAAATGGCGGTGGCGCCGCAGGCGCCGCTGGTGCTCAAGATGCCAGTACTTAAGGTGCTGCTGGTGCTCAAGGTGCCGATACTTAAGGTGCCGATACTTAAGGTGCCGCTGGTGCTCAAGGTGCCGGTGCTTAAGGTGCTGGTGCTTAAGGTGCCGCTGGTGCTTAAGGTGCCGATGTTTAAGGTGCCGATGTTTAAGGTGCCGCTGGTGCTCAAGGTGCCGGTGCTTAAGGCCTCGCTGGTGCTCAGGGTGCCGGTGCTTAGGGTGCCGGTACTTGAGGTGCCGGTACTTAAGATGCCGGTGCTTAAGATGTCGCTGGTGCTTAAGGTGTCGCTGGTGCTCAAGGTGCCGCTGGTGCTGAAGATGCTACTGGTGCTTAAGATGCCGCTGGTGCTTAAGGTGCTACCGTATTACTGGTGCTCAAGGTGCCACTGGTGCTCAAGGTGCCGCTGGTGCTCAAGGTGCCGCTGGTGCTTAAGCTATTTTGGATTTAGCATCGCCACATCCTTCCCGGATTCCGGAAGTTGCACGGCTCCTTGGTGAACACAATAATGGAGGCTCTGACGTAGTCGATGATGCATTTGATGAAGTTCTTAGTTACATAGATAGGTAAGTATCGGAATTCACATGCCAGCAGATGATTTCAGTGGATAAGGCAGCGAAGTGGTTGAAGCCTAAATGCCCAATACTCAGATACATACATATATCAGTGTCCTCCGGGAGCCGGGAGAGGTTATGGCTTCGTAAAGTTCAGCCCAAACGGCTTGTCCATTGTAGACTGCGAGGTCCTTGAGGTTGGCAACGTGTGTGGCGATTCCATGAGCTCGTCAAGCCATTGGTTTGAAATAGCCTCGATCCGAATCCCCAGCGACCACTTCAGATATCTCTCTGGCCTTTTCCTCCGCTTGAAAATCAATCTTAGCCCATCTCTTCTGCTCACGGTGCATCCATCCACTCCATAGACCCTCCAGATCCAGCTCCGCTCTCTTCGCCTCCGTCATGACCTGCACCACCACCGTACTTCCTTGTTCGGTCTCATCGAAGCCCACGAACCCATCGTGCCGTTCAATCTCAGTCAGGTCGTTCTCCGGCTCCATATTCGTCACATCTTCCAACTCCCCGGCCTTGACACCGGGAACATAGACGCAAACCCATCCCGAGCTATTCCCCTCCTCACCCATCCCTCCCATCGCCCCTCCCATCGCATTCTCCATCAACCCTCTCCTCGCCAACGTCCTTGCCTTCTTCGCCTTCCGCTTCCCGATTCTCCGCAACTCTCCTCTACCCAGTAGACCATCCGCTCGAGCCCTCAGTTTCCATTCCGTCCGCAGCCAGCGACACAATCTCTGAGAGGACAAGTGTAGATGCGGCGTACTCCGAGCGGTCGCGATGAGCATTAATAATGAAGGGCCTAGCGTAGGCGGGTGCAGCGACTCGGGGATGGCGGTAAGTTGAGAGATGCTGGAGGTGTGTTGGCGCAGGTCGAGCAATGAGATATCCGTAAGGCCGAGGCCCTCGTTGATATGAGAAAGGAGCGGCGCGAGAAGTGGTGGAGGGTTCGAAGGAAGGTCGGGGAGTGGCGCAGAGGCGATAGGGGATGTGAGGAGCGTAGGTTGTCGGTGGGCGGGTTGTAGGTACCACGGGAGAGACGAGTCGGGAGAAGGCTCGGGGGTGTCATTGCGGCTATTATGAGAGCCTTCCGCTGGTATTTCTACGTTTTTCCGGATCGAGGTAGTGAATAGGCGACTCAATTCGCGTCGGGGAGGCGGAACGCGCTCAGTATAAGATGGAAGAAAAGGCCGGACGATGGGCGATCGGCAGCCTGTACATCGCAACGAGGATATGAGGGCTCGAGGTGCTGCCATTTTCGATATCCAATCAGGCTAAAATTTAAGCCAGAGTCTGCTAGAGTCTCACACGGTATCGTATTGGAATGGAAAAGTTGAAGATCCTAGTGTTCACGATGAAGGTTCAATCGCGTCTGCGGTCCAGTTCTGGTTCATCCCGCAAAATTTTGTGGGTCACTTTCCAACATCCGAAATATATCCGTTCCAAGGGCATCAGGTCATATCGTCAACCTCTCGGTCTTGCTCATAACATGATTTCTGTTCATCCTGAATCCTTATGTCCAAGTACATTCTTCAAGCATGAGTTGCCTGGTACGGTATACTCGGTCCAAATCACATTAGATTGCATCTATTCGCGTTGTAGAGGTGGCGAGTAGGCGTTGGAAAGCCAATTTGGACGACGTTCTGTATTGGATTCGGTCAAGACAAGAATACCTTGGGTTTGATTGTGTTCGGCAGTATCTAGGTATGGAAAGTATTCAGTACTAATTCGGGCGAAATATCCCCAATCCTATCTCCAGGATTGTCCAAGCAGCAACCTAGGCGAACGCCTTCGTAAGTTGGGTGAGGCTCTCTTCAAGCTTCCTGAACCCCTTGGGTCGTCCCATCTCCTTCAGCAGTCGATCCACTCTATCATGTCCCTTGATCTCCAACAAATCCTTACCAAGGTCCATATCATCCAGGAATTTATTGCTTGGAAACAGCTTGCGATAGACCGCAAGGACGTCATTCCAATTGAACGGCTCAGCAAAGGCAAACAGTCGCTCGCTGGTGACGTCCGGGTGAATCAAGCCTGCAATATGGGTCACAGCGGCGTCTTCCGTATTGACATATTGTTCTAGGATCCGTTAGTAGAAGAAGAACAAGCGCATGTCCAAGATGACACCTACGGGGCGGAAGGAATGCGAAGGAGTTAAGGTCTCCCTCAAAGCAGGCCTTGGCAAATCCGGCCGAAGATGGAAAGCCTTGCTTCTCCGCGTTAAATATTTCGCCAAAACAAAGTTCGGGAAGAACTAGGCAAGTCAGCTTTCGAACCTTTGACGTGTACATGATTAGAATACACACCCGTATTAAATACAAAGGGAGGCTTGTTTTCTTCCACGAACTTCCAAGCTGCTTTCTCGCTCTGAACTTTGCTCGCGGTATAGACGGCAAATGCTTTGTCGAGTCCTTGTATTTCTCCTTTATCGGCATAAATGGCTTGAACAGTCTCATCGTTATACGTGTCTGAATCAATCACCCGTCGTACGTTGGCAGTCGGTCTTCTGGCTGCTGCTGAAGAGGAGCAATGCACGAAACGCTTTACACTCGGGGTGTCGGCGGCAGATTTGAGGAACCCCAATGTTGCGGCGACGGCGAGTGGTACGACATCATCTGGATGATTTGGAGCCCAGTTCGTGACCATTGCCAGATGGATCACGCCAGCACATCCTATTGTCAACTATTGTTCAATCTCTGCCCCCTTTTCATATGCCATCTCAGATCACCTACCCTGGATTGCATCGTCAAATGCCCCCGCCACTGCAATATCAAGGACCCTCACGAGCTCGAAGCTTTCTTCTCCGTAGCTCTTGAAGAAATCCACCATCCAGGCGTTTTTCTCCACGTCACGGACTGTCCCCCGGACTTTGTATCCGTATTCCAAGAGCTGTTTTACAACATGACTTCCCAGCATGCTATTTGCCCCCGACACAAGGACGAGACTCCCCTTGGGAAGGACGGGAGTGAAGGATAGCTCTGGCATGATTCAAGAAAATACAGTAAAGAAGAGCAAGGCTGAATCGGGGATACTGTTCGTTCGACAGGAGGCAGCTCGACTTTGAGGACGATCACAAGGACTAAGATCCGAAAACATCAACATGTTGTGCGTCCCTCGCGCGGCATTTATATCTGTCCAAGGGATCTAGGTGCCCCGGGGTTGAACCACCAGGTTCGGCAGGGACTCAGCTGCTATTGATTGGTTTAACGTGTCAATGAGTTAACCAATCACGGAAACAATAGGTTTTCCGACAGAAGGAATGAGACGCTTGTATTGTGTACGAAGTAGGATTCATCGCAGGGTAGATACACCCGAGCTTATTTGAGATAAAGAACGAAGGAAGAAATCTTGCGTGATGACAATAAGTAATAACCTCTGATTTCCAACGGCTGCACTCTCGTTGGCGGGAAGTTCTTGTAGCAATGTAAAGTCTTACGTGTGCCATACCGATTTAACTGCTAGTGTGGCCAGTGGCATCTCTGGTAGGTGTCCAATAATGTGACAAAATATATGACTCAATGGAGAGCCTCAAAATAACCACACTGGGGACGTATCAAACCTGCCGGCTTCGAAGGCCTAAGCAGGAGATAATCAAAACTTCAAGATGGACTATTATTATTATTTGGTCTATTTAACGCCTGATACCATACGGCCCTATCTAGTCCATGCAGGCTGTATCGCTACTATGGAGGACAAAAAACCCCGTGGGAAAACCATTTAGAAAACCACGCTAGCGCTACGGCGGATTGCCCGCTTTAGCCTTACTTTTATCCTCAATCGTTGTTCATCGCTGGGAACCACTGCTTCCACTCTTGCAGATATCTTGCGAACCGCCTGCATTACACAGGCATACCATCCTCCTCCCTCCCCCTATTCGTCTCTAATCTCTTGGAACGGCGTGAAACCTGAACTGTCCTCCTCTTCGATCTTGCTAGCGAACTGGAATTGTAGGAGTAGGTTGCGTGCGACTATCCAGCGGGCCGCCGCTATTGCACTCGCCGGGGCGGAGAGGATCTCTAGCAAGTCTTGTGTTTGGATTTGTGCGAATAGCTATAGCCGAGCCTGTTCGTGTATTGAGCAATGGATCAGAACGTGGCGTACTCTTTGCGCAGGCCACTCACAGGCGCAACCTGGGCGTATCTCCGGAACTCTGACCTGTGCAAGCCATGCGTTGAGACCGATCACTTCAGAACGGAGGAGGAAGAGGGCGGTGGCGACGTGTTTTGGGGCTCCATCATAGTTTTAGGCGGTCCTCGCACCAGTTGCCCTTCCAGATGCTTGCCGTTTGGTTCTGGGCCTTGCGTTGCCATTCCTCCTGCTAGTTGCGATCCGCCCACTTCCCTATGGCGGATTTTATGCGCAGGGGTTGCGGTGGGGGACTCCTGCCTCCCCTACGGCGGTGTAGTTGGGCTTCTTGCCTGACCATTTGGATGATCTCCTCCGCTCGCTGGAGTCCCGTCTCCGCTTACACCGTGTGGACGTATGCGTATCGCACGCGGCCTGCCTCTTCCCCTTGCTCCTTGCACGCCCCTGTTCTGCAGCGCCCCCCAGACCCCTTCTAATTAGTGTTTCCGACGTCTTAGCCACGACTGGGTGGCTGGCCGACTTGGCGTAGTGGCCCAGAGCGCTTACTCCGACATACATTCGGAGGGGGGGACCAAGATGAACTATTAAGTCAGGCAGATCCCATCCAGTGAATACTTTCTTATTTTACCTAATTGCCATCGCCCTTCTAGGAGTCGCATCAAGGCTACAGATCACCCGCTGCATACAGTAGGAGCTAAAGGATCCACTCGTGACGATAGCTGAATGTCCCTCGCCCTGTCGACCATCGGACACGGCACGTATGTAAACAAACACAAACTATGAATTACTCCATCGGGGTTTAGCGGTGGGTATCCCAAATATTCCAACTCGCCTCCCAAGTCACAAAGCAGAGAACGGGCCCGTAACGTCCATATCGGATCCCCACAGGATTCCGAACCGTCCGACCCAATCCTCGGCTTCCTTTTTGGGCTTCCTTTCCATATGGTAACCCTATGGCCGGAGAAAGCCATTGTCACCACGTATATAAACTTATTCACCTCAACTCCAAGTACATACGGCCACATCGACCAGAAACCTGGGCATCCCGTCCGATCTGCCGTACATAAGCTGGTCCGAGGCGAAGCAGTACTATGGTGGGTGACCACATGGGAATGTTCGCTGTCGTATGTTTTTGTTTTGGGACGGTTGAGACGAGATTTGTTTGAGGGAATGAAGGAGCAGAAGTAAGTGCGTTTTATTGTGAGACGAGGGTAAGGTTGTGCGTGCAAATAGGTATCTTAAGGGGGCTTGCAGGAATTCAAAGAGACTTAACGTAGGGAATGCTTGACAGAATTGTACAATTTTGATTTGTCGACAGTATCTCCAAAAGATTGAGATATCACTGTCAATCGGCTATTGAGACTATGTCATTGAGGAAGGCACGTCGACGTCGTTTGCAATTATCGCTATCGACCCCCTTAAAGGTACTGTACGCGATTTTACACAGGAGATAGTTCAAGCGCTAAAAGGAGGAGTGGCGTGGCCTGGATAGGAGTCTTTATTCATGGGGTATCATTGATTCTCTCTACATATTTAGCGACAGGTTTGGCAACCGGAGCCACTTAAACGTCCACCCCCAAAGTTCGCTACTCAGGCGTCGGCGCCGACATGACCCCCCTCCCATACCACTCCGTGATAACCTCAAACTTGTTCCTGCTCCTTGCCAACGCATCCAAGAACATATCATGCCGATCCGCGCTCTCCTCCTGCGCCTTCCGAATTGCTCTTACGGTCGCGTTCTGCGGCGCGCACACCGGGCACTCGACCTTCTGCTCCTCCGCGTCGTCCTGGATGTTTAGGCAACGCTTATGGAACGAGTGCTTGCACATGAAGTGCACAGCGGGCAGGTCGAGCGTCCCGCCGCAGATGGAGCAGCGGGTGACTTTGAAGGTCGCGGGGTTGTTTGTTAGCTCCTCGATTTCGCCGCGCTTCGTCTCGGTGTCCGCGCGGAACGAGTGGATGAGGCGTCGGTTGCTGGTGATCTCCTGCTGTTCGCGGTCGATGGACTTGCTGAGGTATTTCTTGATCATGCCCATGGTGGCGATGCCGTTGGTGCTGAGGGTCTGGATGACTTGGAGCGGGGCCATTAGGCCGTCGTCATCGATCTTGTTTAGCACGGTTTCGAACTCGGCGCCGGCTTCGTGCATGATCGCTTCGCTAGATGTGAAGTACTGGAGCGCGGCGGGATAGAGCTGCGGCTCTTCGGGACCGTATTTTCGGAGCGCTTTGATTGCGCCGGCGGTGTCTTTGGCCCGCGTGTACGAGCGGAAGATGTCGAAATAGAGGCCTTCTTGCTCTCGGACAAGGGTACTCCCTTCTTTAAAATTTTCAAGGTCGGAAAGCAGAAGGACATTGGAGGTTTCCATGGGGATCTATAACAGGTATTAGAAAAATGGTCACTGGTCAACAATACTGAACAAACCTTCTTGTCGTCCACCAGTTCTCGGGCCTTGTCTTCCCAGGCTTTCTTATCGTCCCCTCTCAAGGAGCTCGCCTTGTGGAGGTACATCTCGAACAACGTCGTATATAGATCCACTCGGTCTTCGTCCTTGACATCGTCGCTCTTAACGCACGCCTCCAAGAAAACGACAAACTGTTCCGGGTGGTCGACGAAAGCCGGGAAAGCCGATCGTGGCTTAGGGATATCATAGTCCGCTGGGGGATCATCTGCGTTCGTCTCCACAATGTGAGCCTGGCTCACCGTGGTTTGTTGGTCGCTGGCTGAGCTAGGACTTTGGACGGTGCTAGTATTCATATAAGGGAGTGGCAGAAGAGCAGCCAGATTCTGGACAGCGGTTGTGGCAGTCGTGGCGAGACCGTAACTTGTGGGAGTGGGGTTATTGGTTACCACGACCGCATCCTTCTTGGGCTTGTACTGGCCAGTGTAATAGTCGAGGAAGAGCTTTGTAGTGTCTTGAGGACAATTCTCAAGCAAGACCGTGGCAAACCTCATGAAATTCTTGAACGCCTTCCTGAATGTCAGTCCTGAGCTCTCAAAAGAAAAAAAGGGTACCAGCTTACAGTTTCCGGCTCAAGCCGCCAGATATATGCAATTGCTTCCGCATATCGTTTTGAATCTTCTATCAAAATGTCCACGACCAGCTCATGTTCTTCGTGCTTGCGTGCAAGGTAGGCTGCTTGGTCGAAGTATCCACCCTGTCTACACATTGCGATAGCGGTATCCAAATCGAATTTCAGGTCTCCGGGAGATTTGATGAACTCCTCGAGTTTCTCAACATCTTTCAATTTTGCATAGCAGTTCAGGAGTAAGGTCGTGTGGTCGGCCGTGGCTCTGTGGTGCTCATGCAACTCCTCTAAGTAATCTATGAGGTTGTGGATCCGTTGGGTGTCCAGAAACTGTGGTTGTTAGCACGATTATGTAAAGGTTTCGGTTCGGGGAATTACCTTGCGAATCACCTGTGATGGCTCGGTGTTGTCAATCGCTTTCAGGTATTGCTGCATGGCTGTGTCGTAGTCCTGTCGCTGGTATAAATAGTCACCGTATTTGCGATATATGACATTCTGTTGGGAACGATCCACCCCTAGCTTTTGCACCAGGTTGATGGCAAGGACATAGAGGTTTCGCTGATAAAGGAGCTCTAGCTTCTGCTGCAGCGACTTCTCGTGGTACCGATAAAGCTACTGCAATTAGAAAAGGGGCATACGGAATTGACATGTTGCATACCTTTCCATCTGTTGTCAACACGAATATGTCATTCCACTCCATGAAGACGGCCTTCACTTCGGCACGTAGGGACTCCTGGTGCGCTATAAATTTCAAATCGGTATTCAAGATCGTGAAGTTTGAAGTACTGAAGAGGTCGTCTGCTGCAGTGCCACCAAACGTCCGCATTGGCGCTGACCTGGGTAGTGTATTCGACTGTGGAGGGGAGACGATGACAACATAGTCGTTATGTATGTGGACCGATTTCTTCGGGCATTCGTATGCGAACGAAGGTCCTCGACCTCTTGGACCGTAGTAGTGTATCGCATCCTCCCTCGCAACAACCAGCTCTCTTGTGTTTGGGTCCAGGGCCAGACACCCTACTCCGCATCCGGATTCGTCCAGAGTTCGTGCGGGTTGACCTTGTCCTTTCCCGGAAATCGCTAGCATCGATATTCTTGAGGTGGTGGATATACAAAGCGTGATCGCATTTCCTACGCGGAACTCAATGCCCGTGATCGGCTCCTCCGATTCGAAGACGGTTCTTTGGCTGTTTCCCAAGTCGTGGATCAGATTCCCCCGTACAACCGTCACTGCCCCATTAGCGAACCCGACCGCGAGTTGAGAGAGATCTTCGAGGGCGTCGAAAGCAGATATTGGGAACCTCTTTCCACCATTCCGTATATGTATCGTCGTCTGGCACCTTGGCGCTCCCGTCCTTTTGTCAATCTTGTCCAGAGCCCACAACTTCAGCACGGGATCGGTTGACAGATCCTCCGCAATCGTGACCAGTAATGCGGTCCCCTGGACCTGTTTCATGTGCGTTATGGCCGTGGAATCGTAGGCTTTGAATGACCGGGCAACTTTAAACGCCTGGGATAGAATGCGAACGACGCCATCGGAGCTTCCGAAGAAGACATTGTCGGATCCGGTGGTGACGCAGGTGATGCCGCCTTGCTGGAGGACTAGTAAGTGGCTGTATCACCATATGTTTAGGTCAGACATACATCAGAGAGTAAGGTCCTCTCGCTTTCCGGTAGTTTGACCTCAGAAACCTCGAAGAACTTGAAGGACTTCCACTATAAGAGCTTCGTTAGAGAGAGCGCAACGGCTTGAGGAGGAACTTGACCAACCGACGTTAGCGCCATCGTGCTCTATGACAATGCGATCGAGTAGAAGTCCGTCATCCCATAACCATCTTGACTAGGACTAAGAACGACTTGATCATTTGAAGATAATGGGGACAATAGGCTTCAATCAACATGATCCTGATTCCATAGAGCTGCTTGAGCTTGAAGCGTCGAGGTGTGGGTGATTACCTGTGTTTAGCCGTGATACAACGACACGTGTTAAACACCCCTACCGGTACAAAAACACAAGGCAACACTAGGCAACAAAAGGCAACAAAAGGCAACAACATTCATGCACAGCCTTGATGCCTCATGCCCTATGAATCATCCCTTCCCTTTCGTTCTCCGACTCTTTCCCTCTCTCTCCTTTCCTTTCATCATCAGTTCACCTTCTCCAATCCATCCCACTTCAACCACCCACTTGATTTTACTTTCTTCCATCAACTTTACTTTCCCATCCAACTAAAGAACACCGCATAACCGCGCTTTCCACTTTCCAATTTCCAACGTCCAACTTGTAATAATCAGGCTTGCCAAGCCGAATCGTCATCAACAAACGCGCCTTTAGCTTTCCCGATCGATCGACGTGTTTTACATTTCAGAAACCCCCTCCAAACCATCCAACGCTCATACCGCCGTCAATCAATCTCTTCCTCATCTTGAAGAGAAGCGTCTCATTCTTTCTACTCTCCGCCTCCCTTCGCAAGGTTTCATCTCTCAAGGCTCCGATCACGAATCAGGGAGCCAACCATCCACTTTTGCCACCATCTAATACATCGAAACACATCATCATCATCGACATCATGTCCAACCAGCTCGAGAAATCTCTTGGGGACATCCTCACCGAGAAGCGCAACCAGACTCGTCAGCGCCGACCGGTTCGCCGCGCCGCCGTCAAGGCCAAGCCCGCCCCCGTTGGCGGCGTCACGAAGAAGACCAAGGCTGCCAAAGCGGCCGAGAAGGCTATTGTCTCTCTCACTGGGTCTGCTCATGGAAGCAAGATTCTTGTGAGCAATCTCGTAAGTGGCCACTATCACACTGGTTCTACTCGGATCATCACTAACATGTCATAGCCTCGCGACGTCGAGGAGAAGCAGATCGAGGTACGTTGAATAGTGTGGATGGCGGACCCCACATTGCGGTTTTCGCAGTCGATCGAGTTTCCTTCACCTTCCTGAGGATGACACTACTGGACGTCTTATAAGCCCTCACAAAGCCCCTCTCGTGTGGAAGATCACACGCTTTAGCTCGCCTATCATAGGCATGACGCAAAGCAAAGACCATCGCCGCATTCCCCAGCCTTAGGACTCAGAAACGGGTCTCTTTCCATCGTTCGGTTGTGACATTCTGAACCATGGAAGAACTTTGGCATGGCAGTGTTGATAGGGCATGGCAATCTTGGCTTGCTGGATCATTCTCTTTATGGCACCTGCCTGGCAAGCAGTCAGCCTTGAGATGGACACAACCAAAGAGAGCGAGGCAGAGGCATGGCATGTTGGCACTCATTTGGCATTTCGGCATACGCAGCGAACCAGCAGTGAACTTCCAAGCAGCATTCCTTTGATGGCTTCGATATTTCCTATCCTCGGACGGCAATCGCTGCAAGTTTCCACATCTCACGACCGTTCCATTTCCGACCAGCTGTGAATATGGTTATGCACGATGGGAAGGCCGGTTTCCTTGACTATTCGGTCGTTGAGCAGGTCTCATGGGATGTTGATGCGGGCGTCGACCTCCTGCTCCAAAAGTTTCCAAGCTTCCTACCCTTGGTATCATGCTGTTGCGCACTTAGGGGGATTTGGGTTATATTTTAGCACTCCTTGGTTGGATGTGCTGTGGGATTTCCTTTATGTGGTTGCACGGACATTTCCTTCTGGATCTTTCTGCTAACAATCACTGCTGGCTCGCTGTACTGCTCGCTGCTTGACTTGATGCTTCTGGGTGGAGATTTTTTGGAGCGAATGAGGACCAACATACTCGATGGATTCGATGCGGATACCATCCATTCCGACGACTTGCATACCTTCGGCTAACCCGTGTTTTTCAACGTAATAGGAATTCTTTGGAAAGAAGGCTGGACCAACCAAGAGGGTTACTATCGCCTATGGCGCTGATGGCAAGAGCCGTGGCACCGCCACCATTATCTTCCGACACGAGGAGACCGCTGCCAAGGCTGCGAAGGAACTCGACGGTCTCCGCATTGACGGGAAGCCGATCAGGGTTCGTGAGGATTCGACTCGCTTGCTCTGCATCAACTAACAAGTTATAGATTGAGGTTCTCCTCTCTCCCAAGTCCATCCCATCTCCCGCTGCCCCGAAGACCCTCGCGGAGCGCGCTTCGTAAGTTCTGCCAGACCATCACATCTTAGCTGTTACTAACGTCCGTCTAGCGGAAAACCCGGCGCAAAGCCCACTCCCAAGCCCGCGACCGCCAACAAGGCTGCCAAGGGCAAGAAGACTAGCCGCGGCCGCAATGCTGGACGACCCAAGTCCAAGACGGCTGACGAGCTCGACGCCGAAATGGCCGACTACTTCGACGCCAGCGCCGACACCAACATGGCCAACGGCGCGGTCCAACCCGCCAGCGGGGGCGACACGGGCATGACCGATGAAATCATGTGAACGCACACGACACCGGATCGAACTCTACTTCCTTCGATCGAAATACCACATACACATCGGAAACCGATGGCAGGAGTTGACGGGGCATCAGAATAGGCATTGATTGATTTGATTCATCGCATTAGGGAACGAGAATGTTCGTTCGGCAGCTGGGTGCTGAGACAGACGGGATGAGGGCGGGGATCGGAACTCATATTGCGCATCTGATTGATTGTTCGTTCCAACAGATATCGGAATTCAGAGGATTCATAGTCTCAACTTGTGTTTGCTGAAATCGTGCTCCCTTCATCGCGACAACTTGCAGCTGTTTCCGGCCCCTCGTAGATCCGTATGCCCCTTCAATATGACTTGAACCGCTTCCACCCCCTTCCACAGGCAGAAGTCACTCGTCCCCTCTATCCAGACGAGCTCCTCCGATCGACCGAGTGAGATGCATGTCGCCATTCGGTCCTGGTAACCCACTCGGCCGAAGCCATCGCACCTTCGGCGCCGACGTCCCCGAAGCTAAAGCTGATGCTGATCTAAACCCTTATCTAACCGCCGCTCCTTGCAACTAACCACCTAAAGCAATAGCATCTCCAATGCGGGCCTGGAATATTCTCGAATCTCGACACGAAGAAATCCCCCCGCACCTGTAATACACAAAACCGGTTCTCAGTCAATCGGCAACGTGATCAGGGCAAGATCGACCCAATCCCACAATTCGATAGGCTGCCCAGGCGGACGGAAATGCAACGTGAACGGTACCAGCGGATGAAGAGGAGCAATGGCATTGGTTCGTCATACCATGCGCGCACAAGGCGGGGGACGGGATGTTTTGACGCGCCTGAACGCCACTCATCTGCGGGGTTGATCCTGAAGGAGGAAATGGACCGTTCATAAATGTCATCCTAATACTAATCATGATGTTTACTGGTTGCAAGGAGTGAAGGGGCACAACTGAACGGAGTAAACGCTATTATCACATCTATTGCCGGGCTTCCATCAGACCGAACGACTGCAGCCATCAATCATCACCGCCAGCAGCTACCGTAGTAATCGTGTCGACCTTTTGCTGTGACAGTAATAATAGTGGCAACTGGCCATGAGCAGTTACTAGTTACTACTTACCAGATATGAAAATAAGGGTTTCACCAGCGTAGACACTGCGTCGGTCCCACTGATTTCTCAGTCGTCGGCCGTCGCCCCTAACCTCCTCACGTCATGCCAAAACAAACGATCCTGCTAAGGGCAAAAACCCGTCCACACGCCCCGCAATAGCGGATACGGATGGAATTTCCCCTTCCCCTCTCTACTTTCTTGATTCTTGATTCTTGATCGAACATTGCTGAATTCACCACCTGATACCATTGTCTTCATCCAACCGTGAAAATGACTTCCGTCCAGCTAAAGACGCCCGCTACGGGTGAATACACCCAGCCTACCGGCCTGTACGTATACCAAGCTACACCAGGTGTCGCCACTAGCCCCCGACCCCGCAAGCAGCTTACCTACTGCCTTAGACCCCCAACTGACCGTATCCCAGCTTCATCAATAACGAGTTCGTCAAAGGCGTCGACGGCAAGACCTTCGATGTCATCAACCCGTCCGACGAATCCGTCATCTGCTCCGTGCACGAAGCCACTGAGAAAGATGTCGACATCGCCGTCAAGGCGGCGCGCGCGGCGTTCGATGGCGAATGGAGGCGCGTAACGCCCGAGCAGCGGGGAAAGTACCTTCGCAAGCTTGCGGATCTGTTCGAGGCGAACGTTGAGAAGCTCGGGGCGGTGGAGGCGCTGGATAACGGGAAGGCGTTCAGCATCGCGAAGAACGATGTGGCAGGTGGGGCAGCGTGCTTGAGATATTATGGCGGGTGGGCGGATAAGATTGAGGGGAAGGTCGTGGATACCACGCCGGATACGTTCAATTACGTGAGGAAAGAGCCGGTAAGTTTGGTTTTCATTTGGACTAATTGAGTTCGAAATTGACAGCCAGCAGATCGGTGTCTGCGGGCAAATCATCCCGTGGAACTTCCCCATCCTGATGTGGTGCTGGAAGATCGGTCCTGCTGTCGCCGCCGGCAACACGGTGATCATCAAGACCGCCGAACAGACCCCCCTCTCCGCCCTGGTCGCCGCCGAACTCATCAAGGAGGCCGGCTTCCCCCCCGGCGTCATCAACGTCATCTCCGGCTTCGGCAAGGTCGCCGGCGCCGCCATCTCCTCGCACATGGAGATCGACAAGGTCGCCTTCACCGGCTCGACGGTCGTCGGACGGCAGATCATGAAGGCCGCCGCGGACTCGAACTTGAAGAAGGTGACACTCGAGCTGGGCGGGAAGAGCCCGAACATCGTGTTCGACGACGCGGATATCGATAATGCCATCTCGTGGGTTAACTTCGGGATCTACTTCAATCACGGACAGTGTTGCTGTGCGGGATCGCGGATCTACGTGCAGGAGGGCATCTATGAGAAGTTCCTGCAGCGGTTCAAGGAGCGCGCGGCGAAGAACGTCGTGGGCGATCCGTTCCATGCGGATACCTTCCAGGGGCCGCAAGTCTCGCAGCTACAATACGACCGTATCATGAGGTAAGTTTCATAGATCCCGAAAACGGGGTGCCTGGCTAACAGCACGCAGCTACATCGAGCACGGCAAAGAATCCGGCGCCACGGTCGAAATCGGCGGTACCCGCAAGGGCGACAAAGGCTACTTCATCGAACCCACCATCTTCTCCAACGTCACCGACGACATGAAGATCGTGCAGGAGGAGATCTTCGGCCCGGTGTGCTCCATCAGCAAGTTCAAGACCAAGGCCGATGTCATCGCCCTCGGCAACAATACCACCTACGGTCTTGCCGCCGCCGTCCACACCACCAATCTGAACACCGCCATCGAGGTCGCCAACTCCCTGAAGGCCGGCACCGTCTGGGTCAACGCGTACAACATGCTGCATCATCAGCTGCCGTTCGGCGGGTATAAGGAGTCGGGCATCGGACGCGAGTTGGGCGAGGATGCGTTGGAGAATTATCTGCAGACCAAGACGGTGAGCATCCGTCTGGCCGATGCGTTGTTCGGCTAAGTTCTGAAGTCGGAAACGAGTCAAGGAAGGAAAGTATCCCTATAATCTGGATCTTCGACGAGGAGCGCTCGATAGCAAATTGCGTTGACATGAGTTGAGCCACTGTATGTACATAAGCGCAAATTGACCATGAATGAGACCACACCGTGAGGGATTAATGCTTGTGAAACCGATGCTGCAGATGTCCATCAATTACCGTAAGCGCTCTGTGTCTTGGGAGATCCGAGTCCGAAGCAGGAAATTTATGTTGACGGTGATGCAATGGCCAGGGGTCCCCATCGTAGCTCGAGGAGCCCACCGTACTGTACTCTAGTCCATAGAGGATCTAGATCGCGATAGTAGTAGAAAAACAAGAAACGATGCATGACCACCACGAACCAAATCCTATAATATCCCTATCTTCCTCAACTGTCCTCGCCGTAATCGAAATTATGTCGGCCATTTTATAGCCGTGCCCCTCTCCCATTGGCCGCCCCGAAGTCGATGTCTTTAACCCAACACGTCACGGCCAATGAGGGCGTGGATCGCGAAATCGGCGATACCCTTTTCGACGCCCCGGAACGCCGCCTGAGCGTCCAAAGCCACGTTCTGAGCTTCGACCCGTTTCCTCTACTGTCGACTGAGGCACCTCCGACGGGTCGGGAAGCGGCGTATAAAGTTCCGGTTTTTAAACGATTAGGTAGGAGGGAGTCGACGACGGATTGGAGAGGGCCTGGGACTGACGTGATGAACGATAGTGCAAGTATCAATTGCCGTGGTTGTGTGCTGGCTGGCGTCCGGTATCGTCTTTGGCTTTGCGGCATTGAAGCCGGTACTAATCGCCGAGGGCGTGTATCAAGAGCTGTGTACAGATGATGAGGGGGGTGAAACCGGTACGGGGTGCGTTGAGCAAGATATTAGGTAAGAATCTCAGGGGCAGGTCATGTCACACCACCTTCAGCGGTCGAACGCAATATCTGATGGCGACCATCAAGGTTAAACCTATTCTTCACCGTCGCCTCCGTCGCCACCAACGTCTCCGCACTCCCCATCGGCGCCATCCTCGACCGCTATGGCCGCCGCGTCCTCTACGTCGCCGGGAGCATCCTCCTGGCAGCCGGCAGCGTATTGATGGGCCTCGCCTTCGCCATTCCCGCGTTTGACGGCTACATCGTCGCGAACATCCTCCTCGCGCTTGGTGGCAGCGCGATCTTCATCCCGTCATTCCAGCTCGCGTACGCCTTCCCCAAGCACTCCGGTATCATCGTGGCGCTTGTGACCGGCAGCTTCGACGCGTCGGCGGCGGTGTTTCTGTTCTATCGGCTGGCGTACGAGGCGTCCGCGCGGGTGTTTGCGCCGGCGTATTTCTTCTTCGGGTATACGCTGGTTCCTGTGCTGATCGTGGTCCTGGAGTTCCTGGTCATGCCGCCGAAGAGCTACCATACGGGGCCGGAGCTGCGGCAGAAGATCGAGAAGGCGCAGGATTCGATGCGGGATATTCATGACTCGGACGACGAGATCGAGAGTAGGGCGGAGCTGCGGCAGGTAAGGGCGGAGCGAGCGAAGCGGAGGGAGAGGAGGGCTAGTCAGCTGGAGGAGCTGGTCGGAGTCGAGGCCGAGCGGATCGAAAAGGCCGAATATGAAAAAGAACGCCGGATCGTTAGCGAAGTTTGGGGCGTGCTCCACGGGCAGCCAGCGCATAGGCAGATGCTGTCACCATGGTTTATCGGACTCCTACTCCTCACGATGCTGCAGATGCTACGGATGAACTACTTCATCGCGACACTGGACTCCCAGTACTCGTTTTTAGTAGGCGAAGACCGAGAGCGGCAGATTGCGGTATTTTTCGACTTCGCGCTCCCGATCGGCGGCGTTGCCGCCACGCCTTTTATTGCGGTCCTCTTGAATCATCTTAGCGTGCCGGCCGTTCTTGGAGTTATTGTTGTGCTTATCACGGCTATCGGCGTCGTCAATTGTCTGCCGTTCATCTGGGCAGGTTATATCACCGTGGTTCTATTCGTCATCGCTCGGCCGTTCTATTACTCCGCCGTGTCGTAAGTAAACCCCTGACAATGACATATCCACCACTCCTCTCTCTTGAACAAAGCTGACAACTTACTCCTAGCGACTACGCCACCAAAGTCTTCGGCTTCGCCACCTTCGGCCGCATCTACGGCGCCATCATCTGCTTTTCCGGACTCATCAACTTCTCCCAATCCGGCCTGGACGCCCTGACCCTCGATCTTATGAGCGGCAATCCCACTCCGGTGAATGCCGGTATGACCATCGCTGGAGCGATCATCGGGGGCGCCTTGACGGTATTTGCGGCTGTCGAGGGTCGACATGTCCGAGAGAAGCAGATGGAGGAGGATGCGGATGCGGAGCGGCAGAGCTTGCTGCCAATCGATGAACATCGTGTGATGTACCTGTGAGATGACTGAACATGGAATGAAAGCGTGCTTGTGTGTTTGAAGCGATGGCAAAAGAGCAAGGTGTCTATTTGTTAAGGTGTCTGCATTGAAAGCTTAATAACCTGATTTTAGCGAGTTGGTTTCGATTTTGGTCTTAGCTACTCCTTGCGCCATTTGATCAAATTGATGGAGACAAAGGGGGTATCTGGAGTTAAGCGTATATGGTTCTTCATATCATGATAAATTTCTCAGCGTTCGTATAGTATCATAATATTCAGCCAGTCGATCATCCATCTTCTCAAGTCCATTTGCTTTCTATCATGAACTGTTCTATCTCAAGTTCTCATTAGCTTTCCCTTGCACCACACTCGGCCATATTCTTCAGCCGCATCTGTGATATGTTCTTAACACTAGTCGATGCAGGCATATCACTTTTCATGAGCATTCGTGGAGTGTACGTACAGGGGCTAGGTTTCGCTACACATCCTGTAGGGATGTTACACTTGGTTGGGTCGTAGAGATAGAGCGTTGTGAAATCAATCGGGAAGAGACGGCAGAAGGTGTATTCGTTCGGAGAGTTTGAGTATGATCTCGACTTTAAATACGGGCCATAGTATCTACTCACATATAATCAATGTAGCAATGTGACGTTGAATACGACGGTGCATGCTGGCGACGGTATCTCGACGTTATACTATAATTGAGTCGCGTAGGCGACAAGAAAGGCGGACTTGGGCGCTATAGGACTTTGGAAGAGTATATAAGTAGAGTTTTGAATCCCCATATAGGGATTAGATATCCGAATCGATATGAAAGCAGCGCGACCTGCACCAAGTAGATGGTTGCGGGGGAATGGTTTGGCACTATTTGACACTCGCTCCCTCAACATCTTCCTTTGAAATGTGATTCTTGGTTCCTCAAACAATTAATCCACCTTGCCGGTAGTTACAGAAGATGCTAGCTCTAAACAATGCATCGTACCAAGCCGTAGTGATGTGAGGCGTACATAGGTCCGTATTTCCGATTCTCTCCGGGCGGAAGGTAGGAGCAAACAATTGGTTATCGAATGGACAGACAAATCACTGTCACCACGAAGGGAATTTTCAAATCCCTGGCTACAAAGAGGACAGCAAGTTGTTTATGAAACCGACAAATTGATGCTACACTGCTTTCTTGCAGCCTGGATACTTCGTCTGCACAGACTTAAATCTCGTCTCCTTTCCGCCTCAGGCTCCACTTTTATTTCGTCGTCGTCTGGTTGTGGTGTTACGTTTCCTAGGCCAATATAAACTTTGTCTCCCACGAAAGCCCCTTGTGCTCATTACCATACCATGCGATTCACTAAAAAATCCAGTCTTTCATAAATCTGACATCGCTTTTAGCGCACCGTGGAAAATTCAACCGGTAGATTCTTGGTTATTAAACAGTCCGAGATGGACAGTCTCTTGCCAGCGATGGCGAACGAGATTCAATTTTACATCGCTCAGCATGAGACCAAGCGCACGGTTCCCGTCACCACCGAGGTGCTTCAGCAGGCGCTGGATTTAGATGTGAGTCTTAAACATGGACGAAAAGTAAAGATTCTGACCGAGACGTAGTACAACATGCTGACCACCCCGATTACCACGGTGGAATATCGGACGAGCGTCTTATCACGCCTCTCCGACCGACTCGCCGAGCTGGATGGGGAGAAGACTGCTGACGAAGGACTCGCTCCTTTGATCCCACCGCTCAAGCCATCCGACACCAATCTCATGCCGAATGAGCTGGTCTCGCAGCTGCTGGTCCACTCGAGCACGTGGATCGATCTGGCGTCGCCAGACCCCATCATCGCCAACGTGTCCCGGCAAGTCTTCAACCAGGAGGTCGCCTTTGCCGCCTTCTGCGGAGCCACGAATCTCGTTGTGCAGGCCCCAAAATTGCATCATGGATCGCTCCACGGGGCGGGAGTAGCGCAGTTTGCTCGAGCGGTGAAGGAGGCATTGACGATCGGGCCGTATCTGACTTTTCACATCATGTTCCCGATGACAGATGATCCAGCTACTGATTCTGGGGAGGGATTTGGTCATCTCTCGCGGTTTGCCCGGTCGAATTACGTGGAGACGGATGAGGGGGCTGGAAAGGAGGATCCGTTTGGGACATGGGATGCATGGAATATCATCAGGACGATCTGTCAATACCATGTGAGGCTGACAGTTGGTAAGATATCCGCAAACGTTTGCGCCGTTCGATGCTTTTATACGCGATGTGACTCCTGATCTGACAACCCACTAGGACTGAGTCTTCCCCGTCAACTCCCCTCCGTTCATGTCCAAACCCGCTGGTTCAGCGAACCCCTCCGCATCCTTCTGATTCCCGGGAATGCCTTCATCCACAACCGCAAAGGCCAACCCGTGCTCCCGAAACCCCACCAGAGCCTCATCAGCCGGTACATGCGGCTCCGGATCGCTCCGTGGGTCATCCTCAGCGACGTCGGTCCGCTCCCGGGGTTTGACATCCTAAGAGATGGCCTCGACGTGCCACGATCCCCGAACGACATGACCATCGATGACCCCACCCCCACTGAAGCCGCCCATCTCAGCAGCGCCTCCGCCGGCATCCGCACCAGCACCCGCGTGACTAACGACCCGACCCCCCACCTCTCCTACCTCCGCTATTTCCAACGCAACCAACCCCCCAAGCCCACCATCGAGCAATTCGGCTCCGGCTACCAAGACTACCTCCAAGTGCCCCTCCAACCCCTCACCGACAACCTCGAGAGCATCACCTACGAGGTCTTCGAAAAAGACCCCATCAAATACGAATGGTACGAGCGCGCCGTCGCCCAAGGCCTCCGCGACTGGGTCGCCCAAGGCAAATCCACCTCCGGCCCCGACAGGAAACCCCTCGTCGCCGTCGCCGGCGCCGGCCGCGGCCCGCTCGTTACCCGCGCCCTCCAAGCCAGCATTTCCACCGGCGTCCCCATCTCCCTCTGGGCCGTCGAGAAGAACCCGAACGCCTACGTCGTCCTCCAGCACCACAATGCGACGATCTGGAATGGCGCCGTTACCGTCGTGAAGACCGACATGCGCGCCTGGAAAGGCCCAACCCTCCCCGACGGCACGCACGCGCACGTCGACATTCTCATCAGCGAGCTGCTCGGCTCGTTCGCCGACAACGAGCTCTCCCCTGAGTGTCTCGACGGCGTGCAGCACGTCCTGAACCCCGTGCACGGCATTTCCATCCCGCGCAGCTACTCCGCCTACCTCACCCCCATCGCCGCGCCGAAGCTACACGCCGACATCCGCGCGCGCGAACCCACTGACCCCACCGCCCCGGAGACGCCGTACGTCGTCATGTTGCACGCGTTCGACTACCTCTCCTACACTGTCGCGAGCGAATCGAGCACGAGCACAGCAGGCGAAGGAAAACCCGCGTCGCCGTCTCCGTCACCGGAGTCACCCTCTCCTCACAACTCCCCAATCATTCCCACCGCCCCCCTCCACCCCTCCATCCAACCCACTGTCCCTCCCTGCTGGACCTTCACGCACCCGCTCCCCGCTACGCACCTCGCGCACTCCGCTCTCCGGCGCAGCGGTCTTCCCGCGGGCGGCACGGGGGGTAGCACGGGCGGGTCGGGGTGGAACGAGCATAATGCGCGGGGCAGCCGGATGACGTTCGCGGTGCCGGAACGCGGGGTGTGCCATGGGCTGGCGGCGTATTTCGAGGCGGAGCTGTATCCGGGAACGGAGCTGAGCACGCATCCGGGGACGATGGCGGCGAAGAGTGGGGAGATGGTGAGTTGGTTTCCGATGTTTTTTCCGTTGAAGGTATGTGATCTCTCTCTTTCTTTCTCCCTCGCCCTCCAATTTCCATCCGCAAACCCCGCCGATGTAGAAGTTGGGTATGGTGACCGTATGTACTTACTCAGTAAACAGACACCGATGTACCTCCCCGCCGGTTCCGAACTGCAGATTTCCATGCATCGGCAGACGGACGATCTAAAAGTGTGGTATGAATGGTTCGTGGAGGCGTTCGTGGAGGTGGGTGGGACGCGGTTACGGATAGGGACGAGCGCGTTGCATTCGAGTAAGAAGAATGGGTGCGTGTTGTAGTGTGACGTCGTGTGGCGGAGAGGATGGAGGGGAAGAGGGATTAAAATATGGGGGATGGGATGACTGCCGTGTTGTGGAAGATGAGTGTTGGTTGCTGGGTAGAAGTTCTTGGGAGTCCAGGGAGGAGATACAAGACATCTTGCCAAAGCGTTGGCTACGGTAGCGACGGCGCCAGCCACAGTTCGATATCCAATTGAAGTTGTACGCAGGGTTCGGTTCACAATCTACTACATCAGCGTTCTTCATCACAATCTACGGCACAGCATGAACACAAAAGTGAGGCAAGATTAGGTTTATTGAAATTGGCGCACTGCCCTAATCCTGCCAGCGAAAGTCCGAACTTAAAATCCGTTGTTGATCCACCGAGACCACCACCCCAAGCTGTCTCTAGACTCAATCAGAGCCGAGAACAAAACCAGAGATGCGATGAGCATCGGAAAACCTCTCTCAAATGAAGCGCAAAGTGCATGGCCACGAGTCAATCCCTCACGAGAAGGGAGACGTCAGAACCGGCCAGGGTAAGGGAGGAAGTGGTGTGGATAAAAGCAAACAGTAGTACCAGGTAGGAAACAAGGAAAGGTCTAAGAGCAGGAAACATCCTCCTCGGAAGGAAGACGAATCCGCTTAGACAATGAACCGTCCACACGCACACACATCATAAGAACTTTTGAGGAACAGGCGTGGTGCTGCATCCCCACACCAGAGACACGAGCCACCAGCCAAAGGGAGATCAGAATACGTGGATGAACAATCGTCATCCCGATGTGCGTTCAACCGGGTGGGAATACCAAGAATAACGTCGATAACCTGTCCAATCCCGAATCAAAACACATTGCCGTCGAACGCGGCGCCCGAGTTGGACAAGCGCGCCTCTGCACGGTTAAGGCGGTCGCGCAGCGAGTTGTTCTCGCTCGTCAAATCGACGACGGACTGCTCGAGGCGCGCTTTCTCCGATTCGAGATAGTTGACATGCTCGAGCTTGCGCTGGCGGGAGTCACGCGCGGCCAGGGTGTTTCGAGCGCGCTTGAGAGCCACCTTGTCGCCACCGTCGACCTCGATCGGCGGGAGCGGACCCTTTCGCCGGCGAGACTTGGTGATGCCGGACAGCGATGAGAAGCTGCCGGAGCCGACGGAGCGGTGGCGAGACTCGAGTGTGACAGGTGAGTCGGACGCGGAGCTGCTCGAACGGTTGGCGGCGGACTGGTTGCTCATGTCGCGGACCATCGGCTCGCCGAGAGGAGCGGATGGTTTATCGGTGCTGTCCGGGAAGAGCGAGAACCAGTTGTGGGCGCCCATTTCGCCCTCATCCTGGAAGATGGGCGAGGTATCATAGGTGTCCCCAACGAAGGGAGACCCGTTGATGGACGGAGACGTCAAGTTCGTGAAGGCCGCCGAGGGCGGAGCGGACGCGAGCGGATCGACGTTGAACAGGTCCTTCGGAGACACCGTTTGGGTGGAGGTGGAACCTGGAGCATTGTTGATGGCGGTGAAGCCTGCTCCGACGGTCGCATCTTCCCAGTTGAACGGGTCGGCGAGGCCGGTGTCAAAGTTGAAATCGTCTGAGATCATGGTCAGCGAGTGCGGTTGAGGATGCCGGTTACGGTAGGTAGTACCGTTCATAGCTGCGGTCGGGCGGGGCTGCGAAGCTTGATTTATATTCCCGGCACTGTTACTTGCAAACAGAGGGACAGGTGGACGAGGCGGTCGTTGGATATTAACAGACGAAGACGGAGCCGAAGAGCTGTAAAACCCTTGGTTGGCCAAGTTAAACGAAGGCGCCGACGTTGGAGCACTGGGTCGACGAGGCGGAGCTGGTGACGCTGCTGCCGGAAGATTGTCGAAGAGCACGAAGTCCTGATGCGGGAACGATTCGCTTGGGTTGGTTGCTGTAGATGGAGTATTCTGATGCCCTGAGGCTGGAGGAACTGGAGTGGGGAGCCATGGTTGCTGGTGAGAAGCCGTGGTGAACGACGTGAAGTCGAACGGTTGAATGTTAGCTAGAGGTCCCGGGGGAGTCTCTAGAGATTGAGGGGAGTGATGGTGGGTGGAGTTCCGAGATGGAGCGTGTGAAGCTATTTTGGACCTTAAAGGACGAAAATAGGGAGTGAAGGTGGAACAAGATCAAAAGACCGCCATATTGGGGGATCTTTCTTCAGTGATTGTTGTGATGATGTGGTTGTTGTTGAATATTGATGGAATGAAGAGGAGGAAAAGAAAGAGAGAAAAGTGACGGGACCTGAGGCAGCAGTTGGCATTTATCTACCAACTCGTGCCAGCGCTGATCATGTGCGAGGGTGCCGTGTGCGGGCGGCCTCTGGATGCGGTTGCCGTATTGCACTGAACGTTTCATAGAAGCCAGCCTCTGATTGGCTACATGCCCCACCCCAGAGGTGTGAGTCACATATGCGCCTGTACTTTCGATAAATCGGCTAGCGTGGGTTTATAAAGACCCACTCATATCCACATCCCCCCTGTTTGGCCCAATAGGAATAATTTCACCTAAGCCACTTTAGACGGCAAAGGGCGCACCTGCCTCAACCGCGTCGGTGGTTCACATCAGGCATCTCTTCATCACCCATCACCGCGTCAGGCTACCGCATCATCCCGACGGATTACACATCACAGGAACTGAACAGGGCGTAGAAGATAGATACCGTTTGGGCACATGGAGCCTCATGGACACCGAACAACGTTGTCGCGATCCATTCAATCAATTACGACCCCGTTCGGTGAATTCAATCAATCTCCTTCAACCTTGAATTTCCAACACTGGTACCGAATAGAGTAGATCCATCACCGCCCGCCCTGTTCCCACTTCTCAGGGTCCAGCGTAGGAGGGCCATCACCATCTCACCGAGGCTGTGTGCGGCACTATCCCTCAAAAGTCGCCGCGGTGCATCGCGAACACGAAGAAATCTTGCCTATTGGCCTATTGGGCAATATTGGCTTCAACATTCAAAACGAGCGTCCGGACGTGTGCCCATCAGTTTCTCACTGTTTCCTTAAACGGTTAACGGGACTATTCCCCGCCAATCGCATCCTTCGTTTCCTCATCAAAATTCCAAGTTACATGGCGCAAACGCTTAACACCTAAGCCCGGTTTCTTGCAGGGGAAATGGGAAATGCGGTTTCCTTTTCAGAGACACCGGAGCTCAGCAAGTCAGCATCCCACAATTCTGGAGGGGGATCCTGGAATTCCCAGCGCGCCTTAATCCTGAATTCCTGAGGCATGAGGATCGGTTGATCGTTGGAACTGGCGCTCCGACTTAGCCTCCGCTCTACATAGTAACTCTTGACGGATCACAGTAGAGGATTCGGAAGAGGGCGGGCAAACGGGCGAAAAGGAGTGAAGTTAACCAGAATGTAACACTGGGACATGCAGGTGAATAATCAGAAGGTCGAGTTTTCACCTTCGTTTGGGTCCGTCGATCTACGATCTTCATCATCGCCAGGGACGTGGGGAAACAGCCCGGAAATTTCGGCGATTCAAGCTTTCGCCAGAGAACGGAATCCTCTGGACCCACGATACGTTTGCGGCCACCCCAAATGACGCTTCTCATTCAGAGTTTCAGACGGACTGACTGGTTCGTATGAAGCAAATCAATCCTTAGAAGGACGTCTTCGTAGAGACATGACCACTACAGTCCATGAAACCCATCTCGCGCAACAACCCGATCACTAAACTGTGTCTACCCCCCTCTGAAATCTGACCGCACCTGTCCCCCTCCCTCCCCCCTCCAACCAATTAGCACCCCCAAACAGGCGGTGCAGCCGTGCAGCGCCCCATCCACCGCACGGGTGAACTCGCGACGTATCATCCAACTTGCATGGCAGCGTGCAGACTCCAGAGTGCAGGTCAGACTGCAGCCACTCCTGCAGTCTGCGTTTCATGACGGACGAGCTAGCGGGAACGGGGTTGTGTGACAGTGTGAGTCACCCATCCGGTCTGGAAGGATGAGATTGCGCTGTTGGGGGATCGGAGAGTGGAGATGATCACTGCTCAGTGCTCAGCCCTGTGAGAAGGGCTCAAGGGCAAGGGGGAGGAGATCGTCTGGTGTCGTGCCTGAGGACGTTGGAGTGTCGCATGGTGGGTTTCTTGGGACCCAACAGGAACATGGATGGGTGATATGTTCCCGTATGCAGTATTATGCTCCTCCGGAAGTAGCAGTGCAGTACTATGGAATACATTGCGCCAGCGCTGAACGGAATATGAGGTTGAAGAGCACATCTTGCACGTGACTGGGATACATCATTCCATGACGAACGCTCTCCTTACTGACGGATCGAAGTGTCAAGAACCTATCTGGGCTTGTGCGTAAGTCTAAGAATCCAATCATGAATTATTCCCTTACGCCTAAGCATAGGAGCGTAATCTACCATGGCTCCATGAACACATTTCGTACTGCGGTGAATAGTACTCCAGATCCTCTTCCTTTGCGCGTTTCAAAATCAGGAACTGTGATCGACGGGCAGTGTAGTCGGTCCGTAGCTTCAGCGACTCCGGTCCTCTTGTCTATAGATGAACCCAGTATCGTTCTCTCCCCAGACACCCAGCAGAATGATCGCGAAGCGCTTCTCCGGCTCCTTGTTCTAGCTTGTCTTCAGTGAGATCAGACTTGCTCTCGGAGGCAAAGAGGCTCAGGATCAGGGGGAACCAGAGGGTTCATACAGAGTTTAAAGGTGAGATATTAAGAAACGAGGTTAAATGTAGCGGATCGGAGAAGGAAAGGTCCATATCCACGCTCCGATACCCGGACCGCCATATACCGAGAGATATGCCGATACCTGAATATTCAAATTCATGGACGGCAAATGCCCCCGTGTAAGATGGAAACACGCTGGCATGATCAGCGTGTCACCAACCCATCCTACTGAGTAAGTTGTTTTATTCCAGGTGCATGTTGCGGAGGATACCGATAGCGGATATTGTTGCCTAGAAGTAAAATGCAGACAGACTGCCCTCGCGGGCGATAGACTCGGATGCCTGCGTCCACTGATACTTCTCTGGATCGTACTGTTCCTTTCTTTCCCAAAGCTGCGTCCTAGTCGCCCCGTCGAACAGGCTCAATGTATGAATAGAACCCAACCTGTCCAGATCAGTTCGGGTGGGGTAATACAAGCTCCTTATACCGGGTGTTGGTTTAGTTCGGTTCGTGGCGAAGGTAATAGTTGAGGCGGTGAAGCAGTCGGGAGGGGGATTTCTAGAATCCTCACACTTAAATACTTGGACCTCTCCAGTGGAGAGGTCCCCCATAAGCTGCATGGCCGATAGTCCGTGAACGTCGGCAAAAATATACCCACCGTCCTGAGAAAAAATATGGCGGGATATCTTTTGACATCCATGTCGCCTTTGAAAGGCGCTCGAAAACTATAGCCCAGCGGAAGGACACTGTCGAAGGGGTGTACTGGTAAGTCGATAGATGCCGACCGATTGTAGCCTTCTGGAAGCAATTCCCCCCAAATATGTTCGTCAGGATCACTGAGGGTGCGACAAATGCGGACAAGCATAGCGATTGACTTGAGCGTTTTGGGGTCCTCACGTCCAAGGGGATCGGTCCACCATTCCGCAGTGGATTCGCACCAGTCCTTGGCTTCCTTCAAGTAACGACTGTTTCCAAGTCCAGGTCCCGCTTTCTGGAAGAGTCACTCAGCGAAGTACTGGGCAGCTTCGGCCTTCTCCGTCAAGGACCCATCGGGGTCATCAACCACGCTTTGGAGAAGACTCTCAATTTCGTCGGTGGGATCACTGTCCTGTAAACAACGCTTTGGCGAGCGCAAGTTGAATGTTCTGGAGGCGGACTCCGCTTCCAAAGCACTCGCTAGGGTTTGAATGGGTCCGAAAATAATTCAGAGTGCGCCGCAGATGTGGGATGGCATCATCGTACTTCTTTTCCGCCATGAGATGCATGGCATATTTGTAACGCCGCTGCGCAAGTTCAACACGGATGTCTTGCCTCGGGGGAACAGTGCTGGGCGCGGTGTACCGTGTTGATGTGTAGTCGGAACCGAACGACAGCCTTGAGGCAGTGTCAGAAAGATCAGTAACAGAGGTAGAGGAAGAAATCTCGCTCATCCAGCCACTGATCCTAAGACGGGCCTGGTTGCTGAGTGGAGCGCCGTGGATGGAGGGCGAATAGTTGAGAGGACTTTCGGGGAAGGCGTCGACGATACCAGGACTTGATCTCTAGACGAAGGTCTGGACGACGGTGGGAGCACCAATCGACGAGGTTGCACTCGAGATGTGGGTCGCATAACTCGCACTGCTTACACTACTTGCGTCGCTCACACTGGCGGCTAAAGTTTGCACCACTTCTACGAGTTCTCCAGATTCTTGCCGGATAGGAGTGGACCATACCTGATCGCGTATTCTTGGGAGAGTCGTGATGCCCTGCGAAAGTGTCCGTATGCTTTCTTCTAATCAGACAATCCTGCTGCCAAGGATTTGACTCGCGAGCACATCCACATCTCTCTGAGTACGAGTAGATTGGGCTTCGGGTTTCGTCCGTGCCGTCGTAATGGATTGTCTGATGCTGTGTATACGGCCTAATTCGACCGGAATCTGCAAGGCCGTGATATATATCCCAATACGCAACCGAAGATGCCCAATCTCTTTGTCGTACTGTCGCGAAGTGTAGTACTGTCGAAGAGTTTGCAGCACCGACCTCTGCCTCCCAAGATCCTTCACAATGTTGCTGAGATTGGAATATGTCTTGATCGCATTCGACAAGAGCTCTTCCAGGCGAGATGGATCCCACCAGCGGTGAACATGGGATAAAAACTGCTGGTCTCGCAACTCGGAGTCGAAAACGATGAGAATCGAATGGAACGCCCCCAGTTCGCCAGCAAGTCCTCCCGTGGTCTCGTCAATCGTTTTAATTTCCCACAAGGCTGTCTGTAAGCCAAGCGAGCCTTCAATCAGGTGCTTGAGAAGCGAAGCCGTCGCCGCCGTAACGCCAAGGATGGAAGCTGGGTCCATGGTATTTAAATAGAGACGATGAACGTTGATCCGTAGCTGAACTTCAGAAGATCATCGTCGAGCAGTGCGGATGTTGTTGAAATTACCTGTACCCGGTGGCCAAAGTTGGGGTGAGGTTGGTCACCAATATCGCATGCAAGACTGGAAACATGCGCCTCGTATGCACAAGGCCAGCAATATCATACTTAATACCGTACCTTACCCGCTCGATGTACATCTCATCAACGCAGCCCTGTGTAGGCTTACGGTAGACATGATCGTCGGTCATGTATCATTCGCCATTTCTAGAGAAACGAAGGTCGATCAGGATATGATCGCGTCAGTATCGTGGTTTATGAAGCGGAAGAAGTCAAGATCGTGGTTGAAATCGAAGATGTTCATGTTGGAATTCTGTTGTTGGTACCTAAACACGTGATTGCTTACATCATCTCACGATGCTCCACCGAAGCTCTGTCAATTGTTGACCTCTAGCTTTCGAAGAATACCTGTATCAGATTCAAGCCTCGCGTCAATGACAAGACAAGTGTGACTTCTCACCAATCTCCCACAATGGCCACGACACCAAACAGCGGCCCCGGCCACGCAGGTACATATCCCATCCGAAGTTGCCATCCCCGTCTAACTCCCCACAGTCCAACTCAACACGCTCCCCCTCCCCCAACTCCACGCCCTCCAAAAGCAACTCAACTCCGAACTCCAACACCTCACTACCTCCTTCCAATCCCTGCGCACCGCGCAGTCCAAATTCCGCGACTGCATGGCCTCGCTCACCACCGCGCTCTCGGCCGCGAACACCGCCCCAGACACCCACAAACCCATCCTCGTCCCCATGACCGAGTCGCTGTACGTGCCGGCGACGCTGGCGAGCGTGGAGACGGTTCTGGTGGATGTGGGGACGGGATTTTTCGTGGAAAAGGACCGGGGGGAGGCGCGGGAGTTTTATGAGCGGAAGGTGGGGGAGTTAGAGGAGAGTTTAAAGAATCTGGAGGGGATTGTGGGGAGGAAGGCGGAGAATGTGAAGGCGGTGGAGGATAGTAAGTTATCGCTCTGCTTGATGTTTTGTGGTGGTGTTAAGGGTGGATGCTGACGGTTTGGGTGTAGCAATCAGAGACAAGGTCCTCGCGGAGAATGCGCAGCCGGGAGCGGAGGCAGCGAGCGCGGCATGATGGTGGATATACGGTTCGGCTTAGACGTTAGAGCAGGAGGGTATATAAGGACAGGATGGTGGACACGTGCATCATGATACCCACGGCGCAGATCCGAATGGAACGGACGATTGGCATACGGTCATGAACTTCTTTTATTCATCTCCAGTCAAAAGAGCGGAGGTATCCCTGAATTCTCCCCGACCAGCTTGCACACCGTAGCGTGGGTCATTAATGGAAGGATGATTTGAACCCCCATCAAAATCGCCGGAAAAATCAAACCCAGAACGCCAGGTCGATACCTCGTGACGCTAATTATGGTGCCCAAAAAATATCCCGAGAAACAAGAGCTGAAAAATCGCCGCGAATGCATCGGTCGTGTCGTGAGAGAGTATCCAAAAACAAAAACGGTTCGTCAAGGAATGCCCCTTTTCAACATCCATTCGTGCCCAAAACACGATTCATCATTTCCGCATCAACCTACCACTCCAATACATCAATCATCTCCCGAATCATACGAATCATCCGCATGCACGTATACTCCCCATTCTCATCTGCTGCACACTTCGAGAAGTTCCCCAGCATCTGGCTCGTCTTCTCTTTGTTCGCATGCCACATCTTCTGCCGCTTGTTGAGCCGGTCGATTACCCCAAGCAGCGTCGTCACGTCCTCGACAGTCCCGACGATCTGCGACTTCACCACATTCTTCGCGAGTGACCGCCACTCGTTCGAGGACAGCTCGATCGGGAATCGCGCGGGGCAGTCCGGCGTCCCCGTGTGCATGTGCCGCGTCCCCGGCGAGTCGTCGCCCATCTGGAACCGCTTGGTGCCGCCGGATGCCTCGACCTTGGTGGCCTCGTCGTCGATGGACGAGAGGATCTTGCGGAGATGGTCGACGGTCGAGGTGAGGAGCGTGGCCAAGGTGAACATGTTCTGCATGGCGGAACCGGGGTCTTTCGGGCAGTACTCGCACTCCATGATCTCGGCGGCGGTAGTGATGGCGGCGCGGATCTGCGGGAGGACGAAGGGGAAGGTGTGCGTGAGGGATTGGAGGTTGCTGTTGGCGAGGTAGGCGTTGGAGAGACATGCACAGGCGGGACTGAGGGTCATGCTGGTGGGGGTTGGGATCATGGTGGGGGGGCTTGCGCTGCCGGAAACGGTGGGAGGCGTGGTGGTGGCTTGACCGTTGGGGGCGTATGCAAAAGGGACGTGGGTGGGGGAGGGGTTATGGATCGGACTGGAGAGGTGAGCCAAACGGACTTTTTCGGGCGACTTTGTTATGACATACCTGGGTTGCTGTCCGTTTGCCGCATATATCATATTTTGAGGCATCGGGGGGCATGACAAAGGGGCATTGATATTATCATGGCTGGGGGGAGTCGTCGCATACTTCTCCTGTGGAACGGGTGGCGTCCACAGCTGCTGGGCTGGAGAACTATTCTGGCCAGCGTTATGCCCATTCCCCGGAGCGTTCGTATGCTGCATCGGGCCATTCGCGTGGCCGTTCGTCTGCTGACGACTCGAGTCGAACGCAAAGTCGTCTATACCAAACGACCCGAAGTCCCTCTCGCTGAAAGGAGGAATCATGTATGAATCTGACGTGGCAGGTTCGGGCATCGCATACCCATTGCTCGCAGACGCATTCGGCACGTATCCATTCTCATACAGAATCGAATCGGTATCCGGATCGTCCTCCACCTCGCCTTTTTTCCGCTTCCTCGGTCGGCCCATCCGTTTCTGAGTCGAGTACACGCAATGCATGGTTTCGATGCGGCATCGGGAGCATTGAGGACGCTCTCCGGAGCACTTCAACTTCCGGGAGCGACATTCGTCGCAAGCCAAATGTACCTTCTCTGATTTGGAATCCATGGTGTAGAGGATGAAGAAGCACCCATTCGGGGGTGAGGGAGAAGTGATGGACACACTGGACGGAGGTTGAGGATTGCGAGATCAACTGCAGGCATGAGGTGGAGGCGCGGGAACGGATCTTGGCAGCACTTGGCGCTCCATGGGTCCAGGGCACGTCTGACTGCAAATGATTAATGAACAACAAATGAATGAATCGTCAACGGCCGAAAAGCCCCAACCCCTGACCTGCATGATAGATGGTCCATGGACCGTGGCCGATGGGCGATAGCTCACTGTAAGGCGTAGCCAAGCTTTGGGCTGAAATTGAAGTGCTGACAAAGGTAAGCCTATTCCGTCCGGGACACGACACAGTCAAGGATGGTTGACCGGTCACTTGTAACTGAGGTGAAATATGTAACTGAATGGATAATTCACGGAGAACTCTCAGGAGATCAGGGGTTCAGAAGAGCCCGAGGCCCATGGAATACAACTGCCAATTATTGAGATGCTCGACAGAAGTACGTAACCCCAGCAAGTACTGTCGGTATATTAGGTATATTGTTCATTATTCGACGGCTGGTATAGATAGGAGCTAAGGTATAGGTTGCCGCTAAGTGCTAACTTAGGGAGTAGAGTAACGTATTAATTACCGCAGGTGTTGATGAGTCATGCAACAGAGTATCTAGGTAGGCGTGGTAGGCACAGTAATGTAAGGAAGGAAGGACCAAAAGGGAGGTAAAAGCATAGAATGAAGGAATGCTGACTGTTGAACCATATTTCTTTCCCGAAGGTATTCATCAAATTCAATACTTCCAGTGCGCCTCTGTAACTGTAGTCAATGCTGATACGAATGTCGAATGCAGAATGCTTGATCGATCCATCGCCAAGAAAGACCTGATCCGATCGATACTCAGGGAGTCAGGGATCGTGGATCGTGGATGATGACATAAGGCATCAACATGAGGCATCAAGCAGACTGTGTGCATGTGGAAGATAAATATCAGGCATAAAAATTATATCAGGCAGACAGGCACTAAGGCTCCATCACCTTTCACTAAATTGATACCAACGACTTCATCCAGTCCACTTCATATTTCCACCCATCAGATATCTCGTGAACTAGCACTTCCCTAGAGACGTTCACATCGTCCTACGGCCAACTTTTGGAGCTGACCTTGGTGGAGGAGTGAGATTGTTTGTGGTGTTCCATCAGCCATCCCTCTCATTGTCTCCCAATTTCTCCCCCTTCTGCGGAGAAATTGGTGCAGGCGATTGAAGGAATATAGCAGAATGCGGAGTCCACCATGAATGCCATCGATGGAACTACAAGTAGCTTCCATGTCCGATCTACCGATGGTAAATTGATATCCTCTTATACCACGCCATGGAATCCTACTGACACGAGACACAGCTCCCCCGCCCTCTCTCCTTGTCATAGTCCTCGACACCAACCCATACGCATGGTCCCTCCTCGCCGACACCCTTCCCCTCCAAAATGTCGTTGCCAACCTCCTGGTATTCATCAACGCCCACCTCGCCATCAACCACGCCAACCAAGTCGCCGTGCTCGCTAGCCATACCCACTGCGTCCAATGGCTCTACCCCCCCCCCCCTCCCCCCCTCCCCACCGATTCAACCGGCGACGTTCTCATGACCGAACCCGACCAACCTGACCCCACCCCCCACCCCCCTACCGACGACGCCAACAAATACCGCCCCTTCCGCCTCGTCGAGCAACAGATCCTCTCCAACCTCCGCTCCCTCCTCACCTCCTCCCCCCCTTCCTCCCACACCACTGCCCTCATCGCCGGAGCCCTCACCACTGCCATGACCTACATCTCCAAAGCCACCCTCCTCGCCTCCCCCGTCGCCGCCCCTACCCACACCCACACCACCTCCTCCGTCCTCCCCACCGCCGACGCCATCAACGCCCCCGCCGACGCCTCCACCGCCCACGACCCCCTCAGCTCGCGCATCCTGATCGTCAGCGTCTCCGGCGACCTCGCCGCGCAGTACATCCCCGTGATGAATACCATCTTCGCCGCCCAGCGCAACCGCGTGCCCATCGACGTGCTGAAGCTGGCAGGCGACACAGTGTTTCTGCAGCAGGCGAGCGACGCGACCGGGGGGGTGTACATCGCGCCGGGGCTGGAGGTGGGGGCAGGGAAGAAGGAGGGGGAGGATGCGGCGGTGGTGCGGGCGCAAGGGATCCTGCAGTATTTGATGATGGGGTTCTTGCCGGATGCGGCGGCGAGGAAGTGGTTGGTGCTACCCGGGGCGGAAGAGGTGGATTTCCGCGCGGCATGTTTTTGTCATCGGAAAGTGGTGGATATCGGGTGGGTGTGCTCCGTGTGTCTCAGCAGTAAGCATCTACTCTCCCCCCTCCCTTTCCCCTCTCTCACCATACCCCCATACTCACCTTCACCCCTCAGTCTTCTGCGAACCCCTCCCCGACGCCACCTGCCTCACCTGCGGCACCTACCTTGCCCTCCCCGCCAACCACAACGTCGCCCCCGCCGTCGTCCCGCGAAAGAAGAAGAAAAAGAAACGCCTGCCCGATGGCGGGACGCCGCGGCCGGGCGGCAGCACCCCAGCCGGGAGCACGCCGGGTGGCGGCACGCCGATGAGATGATACCCCCTGATGGCACGAAAAAGCGCGAGGCCATGTACGATTGATTTAAGTGAAGCGGGAGAGAGGTGGGAGAGCATTGATAGGCATTCACGGTGGCGTCTGGTGACTCCTGGTTGATGGGAGGAGCTGAATGAAATGATATAGATTGATTTTTAAACTAAGCATAGGGTTGGTTTCCGGTTTCGGAAATGAGAATGGAAGTTTTCGGATTTTGCATGAGGCGGATGAAGTCTACCTATACTACGTTTCCATTCGCTTCTTGAAATGTGTTCGGGCCCTTTCGGATATGCCATGAAAAGGCAACGCGCTCGCTAGAAGGGCAGGACAATTGAAGTGAATGGGAGAAACGGACGTAGCTCGAAGGGTATCTGAGGAAGTGACGAGGGCGAAGCTTCCCGGATGCCGATAATGCATCGCCTGTAACCCGAAAACGACCCCCTCATCCATCCCCATCGAGTCTTTTGTAGGAAAAATATGCCTGCCATGATCAGGGCCAGGAGTGCGGGATAGGAGACAATACAGGAGTCTTAGGTGTAGAGGACAGGGGCGTGGTTCCGTCAACAGCTGCGTCTATGCGTTGCCCTTCTGCCTGACTCGACTCGGGTACGCATGACCACCCGTCGCAATCTTCCCATTGCCCGGACTGCGCGACATCGTCGCCCGCGGCGCCTCGTCCCGCCCACTGTAAGACGCGACGGCGAATGAATCCGTGTTGTGCGCGTAGTAGAGATACGCGCCGTCCCGCGTCTTCTTGATGCTCAGAATGCCCAGCGCACCGGCCGATGAGCTGTTCCGCACGCTTGGATGGCCCATGAAATCCCGCTCGATCACCGCGCGCATCACGTCGTCGTCGTCCGCCGCTGCGAACGCCCCGCGCGGCCCTTTCTTCGTGCCGTGGTACAGCCGGTCTGCCCCCGCCGTCGCCACCATCGTCGTCGCCATGTGCTCGCCCGTGCCGCTCGTCACCGTCGCGACACACGTCTTGTCGTCGTCGTCTCGGTCGATCGGGATGACGGCAGCGCCTACACCGACGAGCGCGGCGGGGCCGACACGGCCGCGGTATTTCATGCCGATGCCGCCGGACGAGGCGCCGCAGGCGATGTTGCCCCATTCGTCGATGGCGATGGCGCCGACGGTGTCGGTGACATTGTCTTCGCCTCGGGAGCGACTGGGGAAGGGGGCGGCGTCGACGAGGCGGGGTGGGTCGGAATGTGTGGGTGGATCGCAGGTGCACATGTGGTCCCCGTCGACGGTCAAGCTGCTTAAGACCAGTCGATCGTCGGGAGCGGCACCGCAGGTGCAAGGCCCCGTCCGGTGATCGGGCTGATCGGTGTCGATGGCAACCCCCCCGTCCGTGCTTGGAGCAGGCGACGGGGATATTCCTTGCATACGGGATGGTTCTCGAAGCGTCCTTTCCTCGGATGCCTCCAACTGCGCTCGTAGGACAGGATCCCAGCCATGACGAGGTCGGGCGAACATTTCGGGAGGCGAGGGATCGATGAAGTTTCTTGCGCCAGCCAAGTTGGTGCTATCAGCTTGATCAGCTGCGCCGCTGTGTAGATATCCCTCCCGAAAGGTGTCGACTGGTGGGGTATGTTGTGTGCTGTTGATGAAAGCATTGCGCGAAGCCTCATTGACCTGGGCATTCCTAGGTTCTGCAGCTAGGTCCAGCCGTGTTAATGGGGACCGTCTCGCCGGATCGGATGCTCCCGACACCGCTGAGGGAGAGGGCGGAAAGGACGGCCACGAGTCACTGCTTCGGTCGGAACTCAATTTCGGGGAGAGCAGCTCATATTCACTCCGGAAGTATCCGTCGTGTTGCAACCGTTTGGTATGCTTCTTGCGCATCTCTTCACGTTCGGGATCCATGTCCCTTGTTGATTGCACCAGTGGTGATGTATATCGGTCTTTGGCGCGCGCCTTTTGCTCCGCCAGGGCCAAGTCGTGCTTCCATCTCAGCCACCGCTCCTTCGCAGCCGGTGAAATGAGAGCGTCGAAAGGCAATATGGGCATCCCGTACTCATAGGCGAAGTCGGTCGCTCCTTGTGCCACGAGAAGATTCGGAGGTACACGACGGAGGGTTAGCTGCTTGGTGCTATGTTCGAGAATAACGCGTGCGAGGGAGATGGGGTTCTTAATCTCTTTGGAATGTTAGCAAGCGCTGTCGTGATCAAGTAGAATCACTTACGCGCAACCGCGCCGACAGCACCACTGCGGCCGAAGTGATCGACGATTGACGCGTCGCATTCTACGACACCATCCATGGATAGATTGCTGCCATATCCGGCGTTCGTGATCTCTCGGTCTTCCAGAACTTTGATCGCACCTTCGATGGCTTCGACTGCCGTTGAACCGTTCTTAAGCAAGGCCATGGCGATCCTGCAGGCCCTATATCCTAGTTAGCTCGCAACTCGACTTGGATATGACAATCTGTCACCCACTCTTTGCATGTTTCTAAGTGGGCGGGCTCGTTCGTAGTGCTATGGTAACCCGCGCCGGCATGAACGAAAACCACAGGTATTTCGGGACCTTTAGGCTCCATGATGGGGGCTCGATGTCGTTTAGACATTCTTGAGAATTTCCAAGAGCCGGTGAGACTGGACCTTGGTTGATCAGACTCGGAGGCTTGGGAGAGGTGCAGAATCTGCAGAATTCTCTGGATCCTCTGCAAAAGCCAGCGATCTTTTCGAAAGGGCCAAAGGTAGCCTTTGTCCTCCAATGCTGCGTTTGGGGAGCTTGTTCAACAGTGATTGGTGTGATCTTTTAGGATGGAATGTGAAGTAGCAAAGCCTTGCCTGTCGCGAAGGAAATAGGTACCAAGGACGGACCTGATCAGGTCAGAATGAGAGTGAGTGACCGCGATGAGAGTATAATGTGATGTCCCGTCGACTAATGGCATGCTCGAAACTAATTGAAGGGTGATGGAGAGTAAGAGGAGATCATCCAGTAGAAGGAGATTGGGCTTCTCTGTTTGGGGTCCTACGGGTCATAGGCGCCGAAGCGGCAGTACTCTGATAATGGAGATAGGTCTCCGCTTAAGGTATCGTAGCAAAGGATCGAACGTAGCGAAGACTGTGACAGGACTGAGGAGAGTTAAGAAGAATACACGGTGGTGAGCGTAGGTAAGAGACAAGCTCAGTGAAAGAATAACAATTAATCGCACACAAACTATGGTCTGTTGCCGGTCGTCCTCAAAGTAGAAGATCAAAGGATAGAGAAAGAATTGAAGTGCTCAGGCTGTTACGGGAGACAGCAACGTGGACCGTGTTGCCAGATGAGAAATGAATCTGTCGAGAACAAGGCGTGAGAGAGGGATTACCGTTGATACAGACGTATAGCCAGGAGCGCTCCTCACTCTTCTCGATGTCTGTTGCCATAGGCGTCCCTTCGCCATTTTTATATATTCAATCCATCATCTCCTCCTCCCCAATTGTCATCTGGCTGTGGTCTCAACTGATATCTGCAACGACCTAAACACTTGCCGTAGTTGGACATTCTAAGTTGGACATTCCAAGTCCGTCGTCACCAATTGGCGTGCTACTCCAACATACCTATTTCTTGGCGGCGGGGCGGAACGACGCGAGTTCATTGCTCCTCGACTAGCCATACCAATTCCACCCACTGCCTACATACATTTCAAGCTTCGCAATCACTCTAAAGATCTATCGGACTTCGGCACCGCCGTAAAAACAGAGGTCGAAATGGCCAACCAAACTCCTGCCGTTGTCATGGACAAGTAAGCTTCTCCGCACCTTGCCGTACGATGTCATGGCTAATACGTGATCGTCAGCGGTACGGGTTACTCGAAGCTAGGTATGCTCTCCGCACAGAGACGAGGTTCGTCGGTCGCTGACGCTGTGAAGGATTTGCCGGAAATGATTCGCCTTCGTTTGTCTTTCCGACTGCTATCGCGACGAAGAGCGGAGCTGGTGGAGCTGGTTCGGGATCCGGGAGGCCTGCTGTCGCAAACAAGCCGTCATTCCTCACCGGAGGCGCTGGGCCAGGCTCACATCTTTCGGCGAAGCGAGGAACGGAAGATCTAGATTTCTTCATTGGCGATGAAGCGCTAGCTGCTGCGGCTGGGCCAGGTAAGGACAAGTGTTGGGAGTATTGGTGTAGGATGTCATGGCTAACAACAGTAGGATACGGCCTCCATTACCCCATCCGACATGGACAAATCGAGAATTGGGACCATATGGAACGATTCTGGTCGAACTCAATCTTTAAGTACCTTCGCGTCGAGCCCGAGGACCACTACTTCCTCCTCACCGAACCGCCTCTAAACCCGCCCGAGAACCGCGAGAACACGGCCGAAATCATGTTTGAATCGTTCAACTGTGCTGGTCTTTACATCGCTGTGCAAGCAGTACTCGCTCTCGCGGCCTCGTGGACGTCGTCGAAAGTACAGGACCGGTCTCTAACCGGTACGGTGATTGATTCCGGAGAGGGTGTCACCCACGTCATCCCGGTGGCAGAGGGTTATGTCATCGGGTCCTCCATCAAGAGCATACCAATCGCCGGTCGAGATATCACATACTTTGTTCAATCGCTACTAAGAGATCGCGGAGAGCCCGACAGCAGCCTTAAAACAGCCGAGCGGATAAAGGAGGAGTTCTGCTACGTGTGCCCCGACATCGTGAAGGAGTTCGCTCGATATGACCGAGAGCCCGACCGCTTCTGCAAATATCCCATCACCTATCCGAACGGCAAGTCGACGTCGGTCGACGTGGGATACGAGCGATTCTTAGCGCCCGAGATCTTCTTCAATCCCGAGATCTACTCCTCCGACTTCCTGACCCCGCTTCCCAACATCGTGGACACCGTGATCCAGACCAGTCCGATCGACGTGCGACGTGGACTGTACAAGAACATTGTCTTGTCCGGTGGCTCGACGCTCTACAAGGACTTCGGGCGACGACTGCAGCGAGATATCAAGCATCTCGTGGACGCGCGGATTCGGGCTTCCGAGGCGAAGAGCGGCGGCGCCAAGAGCGGTGGGTTGGATGTGCAGGTCATTACTCACAAGCGACAGAGACACGGCCCATGGTTTGGTGGAAGTCTACTCGGACAGACGCCGGAGTTCCGGAGCTACTGCCACACGAAGCAAGGTATGCCAACTTCCATCAGCGTTTTCCTGATGATGCTAACCAAGATCCAGAGTACCAAGAATACGGCCCATCAATCGTGAGAAGATTTGCACTGCTAGGCGGACCTGGTAGCACGTGATGCGTTTTCAGGCTATAGGATATCAGAAATGTTTGGGCAGCGTGCCCGGGGCCTCAGTTATGAGATCGATGAACTAAAAGGGGAGTTCGTCCGTCCGTTAGAATGCAACTCCCAGATTTTCTCGCATGAGGTATTAGGTCTACTTGTGAAAATCCCATATCAGTACCGCTTCTAACGCTCAAATGGATCTAATATGGTAGCTTGTTTCGTGACCGTAGGGCATAGGATTTGGATATCAAGTGAAGTGCTATTTGGGGTATGGAATTGGAAATCACCAAAAAATGTAAAAAAATAATAGCCCTTTTGGGAATTGAACTGGTACCTCGAGGCTTGTCCCCTAGAGGCAATTACTAAGGTTGAACTATTAGGCCCAGCCCTTGGCAAGGTTGATGAAGTACAAGTATCAGAAACCGATTGAATTATTGTTATTCTTTCCCAATTGGATTCAACATGTCTTAAACATATAGTACCTTGATTCATTCATCCGCAGTATCCTTTGCACAGATTCCCAAAGCGCCTTATTCATTCACTCCCATAGGTGAGGCAGTTTATAGTCTTTAGTAGATGTACCTAGGTAGTTACTGTATCTAAGGAAATGAATCCCACTGCTCACCGTAGTTGAGCGCACATCATCTCCTGCCATTTCTCAAAAGGGGACATCGAATCTATCCAGAATATATATATAACTATCAGCCATCAAGGAATTCAAAGCAGAGCAAGTTGCTGTTCGATTCTGATTGGTTTGAAATCAGTATAGACAACTTGCTAGCACTGAGCGCACTGAGCGCACTGAACTTTTTGCTTGTACCCCAGGTACTAGAGACCTGAACAAAACGGTGTATTCACACAAAAAACACAATGTTTGGGCTTAATATATCAGTAGCTTAGAAGCAGACAGCGTGAAAGGTTGAACAGGGACCGTATAGCAGTCTAGTAGATAGGCGGCGGGGCGAGTCAAAGCCAGGGCAGAATGGTTATAGGAATAGTTGACTATTTATAATGCCGTTCCAGGGGTAATGCCAATTAGCATCTATCATCTGCTAACTGGTATATCGTATAGTTTACTTAACTGCATCTTTGGTGGTGTAGAAACTCGAACTAGAAATGCATGAAGGCGCTCTGCAAGCTGCGTTGCCGTGGAAGATACATCCTCCAGGACATAAGTATTACTATGCTAGCTAACACGAAGTGGAAGTGAATATGGGATCTAAATTCACATATGCTGGAACTCCGCATATTTGGCGGGCTCCGTGCATGTGATGATTCGATTATCATGTGGTTTCACATTTTCGTGCATTTTGCTTGTCGAAGTGAAATGCATCGTGGCCAGCAGCCAGTTTGCATCGTAGCCTAATTCACTTTCAGGTCGATCTCTGTTTCTATAAAGATTCCTCCCTTCACCTCGAACGTAAACTCTTACTCACGACATTGCACATTCAGGATAGCATCCCATTCCATAGCACATCGTAGACGGTGATCAGCTGTCAATCCGAGTCTATATCCAACCACTCCACATATTCGAGATAGCATCCTCAACAAGCAGGGTGCTCGCTGTGATACGGAAATAGCTCAAGTGAGTATCTGACAATACAATCCCAATCCCAATCCCAAGCCTGAACCCAGAATTCCAACTTGTTCCTCTCGACACTGATTGACACTGAAGTCTTTGATCACCGACACTGACAATGAAATAGTAATCAACCACGAGAACTCTTGCCAACATCAAGAAAGATGGCTCCTAGTCGTACACTCGACACGTTTGGCCTCTCCGAGCGAGAGACTAACATCATGGCCTGTGCTTGGGTGTCGATCAAGGGTGGGAATGAACCTGACGTATGTCCCAGATCGCTGGATCCAGTTAACAGCGATAGCCCTGTCTTCAGTGAGAGTGCTTAAATACTAACTTCACGGTCTTCCTAGATCGACATGAAGAAGTTCGCCCAGCTCGCCGGCTACACCGAAGGCTCTGCTCGAAATGCGTTCGCGGCTGTCCGGAAGAAGCTTCGAGCCGTTGCCCAGTCCAAGAGCACCAATGGCGGTACGAACTCTCCTACAGCCTCGAACAACAAGGCGGGGACTGGCGTTGCTACTCCCAATGTGAAGAAGGCCACGAAGCGCACCCCATCGTCCAAGAAGCGTGCTCGGACCGCCACCCCCAGCGACCTCGACGACGACGAAGACACGCCTTCCAAGCGACCTCGTGGCGACAGATCCACCGTCGACGAGGATGCGACTCCCAAGGCTAGAGTGGTTCCGAGCATCCCTTATCTGAACCCCGACGATGAAGATTTTAGTATCTTCGGCCGGTACGATGAGAAAGTCCCGAAGTACGATGATATGGACATTTAGTCCATCGTCGAGGTATGTTTTCCGGCATCAACGGCGCAACCCTTCCTTGACTTAGGCAGAGCGAAGAGCTAATGCCATTTCAAGTTGGATTTATCCACGCCCTGGTTTGGTGAGGAGTAAATGAATTGGAATGACAGGACTTTCTGGCCTTCGATATGGCCTGCTTGCGAGAGAAGTTTCGAGACACAACCTCGATTAGCATGCTTAGAACTTAGGCAGAGAGAGCAATCAACGATTTCAGACCACAAATAACCTCTCCACCGTTGGTGATCGAGTTCCACGTATCTATCCAATCCATCGATGACTGGAAAATCCATGAAGAAGTTGTCAACCAATATTACATCGTCGCTGCGGTCGACTCTACCAACAAGCATCCCGCGGTGTTCCACACAGCTAAGTCCCGACAGTATTTGGTAGTCCTTGCTCTTTAATGGCAGCTCTGATTTCAATCGATTCTTATCTCTACACAATGAACCGACTTAGATATTTGGCGTGTGTATCAAATAAATATACAATAGTTGATGTTTGTAAAGCTATGAGGAGGGGACAAGTGGAAGTTGGGCGACATTGGCGACGACAGGTGACGTTCAACCTTTCAACGTCAACCCATGCGAAGAACCCCCGCTGATTCACCTCTAATACATTACCTTAATTACCAAAATCTAGCGATTGCCAATTTCCATCCTTTCGCCAATCCTGCACGCAACACTCTTCTTCTACTATCCTGATTGACGATTTTGGACGCGAATTGCTAGATCAGGACAAACTCAGCCAATAAACTCAGCCATGGGACTAGAGGAGCAGCAGGAGGAGAGGGAGGTCCTGGAGTCCATCTTCCCGGACGAAATTACTGGTATGATGCCTTTCAGACAACGCCTATCGTTGGGCGGGCGATAATCTTACATGAGCATAGATATCTCCGAAAACGAATTCCGCGTTTTAATAGTGCTTGATGTTGAGAGACATGAAGACGACGAAACTGAACAGCGTATGTTGCCAAACACCATCCGGAATTGAGGTGTCTCTGACACAAAATTCTAGCGGAACTACTTCTCCAGGTGACATATCCAGAAGCGTATCCCGACGAAGCACCGCGCCTCGACATCCAATCGCCACCCAATGCGCCCAAATATCCGCACTTCGACGTTCAAGAAGACAAAGAACAGCTTCTCCAAAACCTTTATCCGATCATCGAGGAAAGCATGGGGATGGCTATGATCTTCACCATAATCAGCACGCTCAAGGAGCTCGCCGAGCAATTGATATTGGACAGGCAGAAGGTCGAGGAACTGGAGCGAGAGACCGAAGCACAGAAGGTGGAAGAGGAGGAGAATCGGAAGTTCCATGGATCGGCGGTCACGAGGGAGTCGTTCATGGCGTGGAGGGCAAAGTTCAAGCAGGAGTTGGAGGAGGAGGAAAGGATACGACAGGAAGAGGCGCTTGTCGATAGCAAGGGCCGGAAGATAGCGAAGGAAGAGCCTCGCATCACTGGGAGGCAGCTGTGGGAGAGGGGTCTTGTGGGCAAGATTGATGAAGATGAAGGGGATGATGAGGTCGAGCAAATGGAGAAGCTTAAGGTCGAAGCTTAAAAGGTCCGCGATTGGGTTTCCGGAAATGTCTGGCTACCGTCGAAGATATGGCAGAGTCCAATGCTTTACGTAAGTTACTACCAACGATCATCTTTCCCTACTCAAGTCTTCATTGACAACGCTGACTCTTGGTATCCGCAGGTCACAAACGACTGGGCTTCCAACTCGGCTTCCTCTTCTCTGCGAAGGCCCGCAGCCCTTCCTTGACGTTCTCACCCTCCAGCAGCTTCGCAAAAGCGCCATGCACGGTTATCTCCGCCGCATCATCCACCGAGGCCGTCTCCCATCCCTGTCGCAAACCCGCTCGAGTGCAAATGATCGAATCTGGACTGTTCTCCGAAATCATTGTGGCGTACTTCAGCGCCGCGTCCATCACTTGATCTTGCGGCACCACCTGGTTCACGAAGCCCCATGTAAACGCTTCCTGCGAACTCATGGTCCGCCCCGTCAACGCAAACTCCGACGCCCTCTGCAAACCCACAATCCGAATCAACCGGGGCAGCACGCCCGCAAAAGGCGAGACACCCCGCTTCACCTCCGGCAACGCGAACGTCGCCTTCTCCGACGCGACGATCAAGTCGCAATTGATCGCGAACTCCGTCCCCCCTCCCGCAGCCAACCCGTTCACCGCCGCGATCACGGGCTTCTTCCCGAGCCTCCGACTGAAGGGCTTCGGACCCGGAGCGCCTAATCGCTTGGAGGAATCGCTCCCCGGGCTCATTGACGTGTTCCATTCTTTCAGGTCAGCGCCGGCGGAGAACGCTCGACCGGCGCCGGTGAGGATGGCGACGGTAAGGTTGGGTTCGGCGTCGAACCAGGTGAATACGGCCTGCATGTCGGTGGAGCCTTGGCGGCTGATGCAGTTAAGGTCTTTGGGCCGGTTCATGGTGACGAGCAGGACGCGGTCGGCGGGGAAGGATAGTTTCAGGAAGGAGAGGTTTTGTGGGGGCTCGGTGGCTAGCTTTAGAGGTGCCATTATGATGTTTGTATAGCCAAATTGCTCAATACAGCTAGTAGAGGGTTCCTATGCCTGAACAGTGTTTTCGTTGCCGGCTACTCCTTGAATTGACGTTACGATGTCAATAGACCGTCCAAAATTGGGAGCAGTCGCATTGATATTGTATATCGAATGCATGGAAGTACATTTTCTAAAGACACTACACCAATTCGCTGGTCATGAAGACCTCCACCTCCAGCTCGGTCAGTAAAAGTAACATCGGTAATTCGGCTACTGGTATCTTTACATGTTGCGAAGGCCAACATTTTTAGAGCCTGAGGCACCAATCGTTTGTGATGGGCTGCGCAGCCTGTGGACATCCAATAGACTCCCTGTCAAGATTAAATACTCAATACGACTTAGCACCTAGACAGTGATCTTAAAACACTTGGAAAAAAGTATATGTCTCGCAATCAGGTACAACAGAATTTTGGGCGCCAAATAAGGATAGGGAGAGCATAAAATCATTGCACCTCAGGGGTATCAGCCCAACTAGACTCCACTTCCAGCGCCAACTCCCGAATGTAACCCTTTCTCCAAAGAGCGTCATTGCAAGCTCGTACCTCTTCTTCCACCCTTCGAATGAGAAAGAGCAATTGTCATAGGCCCAGGCCCGGCACCCGGTATTACTTTGTCCGTCCACACTTTCACCACCCTCCCCGCCACCCGTTTCTTCCGCAGCAAGACCTCCGCCTCCGCGATTGTACATTGTCGCGAGCGCCAGCGGTTCGCAGATTCCACCAGCTTTCCCTTGGGTAACCGCCACCTGGTATGCTGCTCTAGGAAGTCGTGGATGTCATTGCAGATGGCATCGCGTAGGGATATGTAAGAGCTCTCGGACCGCATGGAGAACTTCACCGGGTATTTCTCGAGGACGCTGCGGGTGCGGCCAAGCGATACTATCTTCGCGAATCGAGGACTGTTTCCGGACGCGAGGTCTGATAATTTCTCTGCTTTGACCCAAGCTCTCGTCCCCTCGACGACCGCGAACGAAAAAGCGTCCAGGCACAAGATGTGGGTGAACGCTGTGAAGTCGGTGGCAAATACCTGTCGCGGTTTGCGAGAGGCGAATCTTGCTGAGAGGTCTTTGCCTTCGGGGCATTTGGGATGGCATAAAACGCAGGAGAGGGCGACGAGGTCGGGTTCGAAACTGGTGCAGAAGAGGCACTTGCATCGGTCCACGCAGGGCTCGGATAGGGTTTCGTATAGGGACGTAAGACCCCATCCGGCGGATTCGATTGCGTCGAAGGGGTTGCAGAGTTCGTTGTTGACCCAGAGGAGCCGCAACATCTCTGTGTATAGCTGCGCCATGATGGATGCTCCTGAGACATGATTAGCCAGGCGATGACATTCTTCGCTTGCTCACTCACTGAAGTTGGACGAATCAACGAACAGCACTGATATTGGCTTTGGAGTGCCATGATTCTTGAGGTTACGGACATTCCTAGGCGGAACGGAGACAGGTGTGTCTGATGGGGCGCGAATATGATCTATCATCCTTTTTGAGTAGGATTTGGCTTGACTTTGACTTTGAAATCGGTAGATAGTAGAGATAACTGACAGAGAGATAACTCACCGTCGACTGGGAAATGGAGAACCGGAGCTTTATGTATCTCCTTCAGGCGACCTTCCATTGAGGTGCCATATCGCAAAGACGAGAATGCAAGAGACAAAGACATGATTCTTTCGAACACTCGCAACTTACAAATGCCGACTTTGTCCGAACGATATTTTTGAACGGATGATCGCATTTTACTTCTATTGATAGGTTTCACTCTGGTCCGATGGAATAACACCGATTAAGTCCGACGAACTTTGGACTGTCCATTACGTGGATCAGCTGCAGGTATTTGTGAATAACAGGCACGATTTGCAAGATAAATCCGAGAGAAGGCATACATAGCCGCACGCGCGCAGCAGCTGGGGAAAAACCCCGAGAAGGAGAGGCGAAGGGCGATATGTCTGCAATGATATCAAATATCTGGAGGCTGGATGACGAAGACACGTCGTCCACCCGGCCCCAAGTTGGGCTATTCAGTCGCCACAGCATCGGAATTTAGCAAAGTCCGAAGACTATTCACCAGGCATGGAGTGAAAAGTTGAACATGCAAGAAATGAAACGCATGGCAGCTTGGTAATGCTGTGTGCGTTAACGCTCAACTGATGATTGGACGGCGCTGTAATGATGAAAGGGGCAATACCAAGAAACGTGGCTTGACGATGGCTTCAACAGCATCCAAATCAGTCGACATGTGAGAATGGGCAGACTTGATGGCAACGTTGGGCCGACACGTAGGAATGGAGGAGAACCATACATAGTAGAACATAGAATGAACACGATAAATGCGGTAATGAAGAATATGATATTTTTGAGCGCTGTAATTATACCGTGCCAGTTACCATACCGACAATACGATCGCTTTTCCATGAATCCCATTTTTTCTATTTCCCATCATCCCATGCCATCCAGAACGTTCGAAAAGTTGGCCTGGGTCGACTAAAAATACCCTTTTGGTATCAAGTGGACGCCATCGTCGCCGTGGCTTCAAAACAAGCTCGCTGTGGACGCACCTTAGCGCCCAGCACCAGAACCAAATCCCCGACGGTGAAGCATCGTGACGCTACCGACGCACTTAGAGTGGCGCACAGGGATGAGGATGTGTCCAGTACTGCCGGGACACGGGATTTACTGTACGGAAAGTTAGCATCTGGCCGAGCATGCGGGCGACGAAGAAACGTGGCTGGCAGCAAGAGCAAGAATGCGGCATGGGGTGAACGTGAGAAAGAGGTGAAAGGAAGGAGATTGATCCGAGAGAGCGGATTGGCGCGGAGAATTAAGGTGCATCTTCGACTCGCTGAACGCTCATCGCATGATTACATTCCCATTGTGGAAATAAACATTAATAGCGACCTAAGGTCTGTCGCGGAAATTCCGCGAAGGGGGTCGGTCGCCATAGGAGTCGCTGCTGGGTTTTACAATCGGAAGCACCAATATCGTTCGCTGCCCGCTAATCTTGAGATCCTCCATTACATATACCCATTAAATCTTGTGTGTCATTTCCTCTTTACGAGTAGCAGGTTCCGTAACCCTTCTGGCAGCCGATCGTACACCGCAAGATGCTGTTGGTGCATTGGCTATCGCGACCGCAGCAGAGACCCCATGGCGTGTTGGCGCAGGTCGTACCGACAGACGGGCCGCAGGACCCGTTCGTGGTACCCGGCTTATCTCCAGGGGTGGTTGAAGGAACTGGGTTACTTACACTAGAGCCGCAGTTGCCGAAGCCAGATTGGCAACCGGTGCCGCAGTGGTCGGTGGTGGCACCGCTAGGTTTTGGTTAATGAGGAACATTCGATGGTAGAAATAGGATCGAGAATTCAAGTAGGAGACTTACCACCAGCCGTGCTCCGAGCAGCAGTTCCCGAAGGCGGAGTTCAAACAGGTCTTCCCATTAGCTCCGCAGTTTCCGTCAGTGGAAACGTTGTCGCCGCCACCGCCACCGGTGCAAGTTCCAAATCCAGACTGGCAGCCAGCTCCGCAATGACCGGTAGTGTCACCGCTGTCGTAGTGTTAGAAAGACCATTTGGACAGGCACATCCCAAGGTTCTACTTACCAGTAGCCGTACTGAGAACAGCATGAACCAAACCCAGCGCCGGCACAAGTCGTCCCGGCACTGCCACTGCAGCTCCCATCGGTTGATGGCGGTGTGCCAGTGGGGGTGGAAGTTGGGCTTGCGGTAGGAGTGCCGCCGCAAGTACCGAAGGCAGACTGGCAGCCGGTTCCGCAATGATCGGTGGTATCACCGCTGCCATAGTATTAGCGAAGTCATTTAGACAGGTAGACCCGGAGGTTCGACATACCAGTAGCCGTACTGAGAACAGCATGAACCAAACCCAGCGCCAGCACAACTCTTTCCGTCACTGCCACCACAGCTTCCGTCGGTGGACGGCGTACCAGTGGGGGTAGACGTTGGGACAGAAGAGGAGGGGATGGAGCCACCAGAGCCGGTGCGGTACCAGTTTTGGATGGGGTCGCCCATGCACTCGCCCATCGTCACCGCTCGGAATCCTTGAGCCTGGATGTGCTCGAGCATATACACGGTCAAGTCCTCCGCACTGAGCTGGTGGATGTCATGGGCGATGGAGAGGTACTTGTTGGTGCTCGTCGGGCCGACGACGGCGTTCCCGAAGTTGTCCTTGGCATTCTGGATCAATTCCGGGGTGAGGTTGTTGTAATCGTCAGTATCGACATCGAAATAACTGATATGGTATCCGAGATCGGCCATATCCTGCTCACAGGCAGGCGTGATACACGCAGAGTACGGTGGTCGCATATAGGTTGGGAAGTAACCGACGATGTTCTGAAGGGCGATCTCGTTCCAGACTATCTGCTCCTTGCGCTTGGAAGAGGAAATCTCGTCCAAGTTCTGGTGAGACCAGGTATGGGATGCGATCTGGTGACCCTCAGCAGCCATGCGTTGGATCACGGAACCCCAGGCTGGGGTGGAGTCGATTGACCCCTTGCCAATGTTGTTGCCGGTGATGAAAAAGGTAGCCTTGGCGCCGTAGGAATTGAGAAGATTCAGGAGCGCGTCCGTGTAGATGTAAGGACCATCATCGTAAGTCAGCGCGACGGTGCCTGGAACCGTGCAGTGATAGATACCCTCGCCACCATAGACGACGTTCCCGACCTTCGTGCGAGTGACGCCGGAAGTATCAGATCCGGATGGCTTCTGATTCGCATCGCATCCTGGACCATACTCGAATTGACAGTCTGGTGCGCTGCAGTAATCGGAAGTGTTACCACACCAACCCTTTGCGAAGGTCAATTGCTATCCGAAGTTCTTGATAATTAATAACGGCTTACCTCGATCGAACAGCAGTATCCTGACGCGCAGCTTGCTCCGTTGCCGTCATCGCCGCATCGCCCGTCGGTGCCTCCGTTCTGGCGGGATTCCTTCACACCTCTTGCTTGGACATCAGAACCATACCGAACCTTGTTATGGTTGATTTCGACCGCATCTCTCCGCATCTTCATTTTCTTCATCCCCGGAGCGCCGAACAATCTTGGCCCGGGATAACCCTCATGGGCAGCGGCAATGGCCGGCAAGAGGGCCAACGACGCCGCCAAAAGATGCATCTTGGATTATTAAGTATGAAAAATTAAATATGGTATGCTCGTCAATGAGTTGCAAAAAAGCGAGAGTAAGAAGAAACGATTGACAGTCGACGTAAGCCGGCAAGTACAATATCAACGGTTAGGTCATATACAAGCGAATGTATGGAAGGTTTAAGACAAAAGGACAGTCAAGCAGATGGAACAGGAAAACACAGGTGTTTTGAGGGTTGACAACAAGCCAAGCTCATACTGGCAGGAGACCGACTTACCCGGACCGCACACGGGGTTACACTGGTCTTGGGTATCCATGGACCATGGCTTCAGAGTTCGGACCAATCTGGCAGGGAGGAATTGTTTCCATACCAGAAGGCGAGGTCTGGTAGACAGGGCTCGTTAGGTCAAAGGAGAAGCTTAAACGTTCTGGTGCCTGGTGGTGGACTGGCGATTGGGATGATACGGTTCCCCGGCTCGCTTCTGGCCAGGATAGCCCCAGATATATTTTTCGTGCGGATCCTAAAATGGACGTTTTTCCTTGGAGTGGCGTTGGCCTGGATCGCGGCCTGGTGTTAGCGTAGCTGAGGGATCAGGCCACTAGCGCTTGAAGTTTTAAAGCGAGATGAGATGTGTCACAGGTATCTCAAAAGCGCATCGTGGGAATTGTGGACGCACTACGGAACAATATGTCGATTGTCGCGTGGTATGCTGATGATCCCAGGGCCGAGACCGAGACCAATGGAGTAAAGATCTGAAGGTTGGTGATAGACTGCTTGGCAGGCCATTCATACCTTCGCACAGTGCATATATTTGAATGCAACTCCGCTGTCGTGAAACTCTCAATTCCAATAGTCCTCTCCCTATTATTTTTTCGTGGTCGACTGTCAAGGGGTTATAGAGACGACTCGTATTGGCGTTGAAGAGCCTGGGTTGAAGTCCAGCGATTAAGCAACCTGTCCCGATAACCCGAACCAATAGCACTTGGAATTGATGAAAAACAGGATTTTCCTCTCCTCAGTTTCGTTCACACTTTGCGACTCCGTAAAGCGTTACCGATCCGGACTGTATCCGGCAGTTCCGTACCATGCTGGTCGTCCAAACGTCCGTCAACTTGAGACCATCGTTAAGTTATCCACTAGCCTGCCACTAGAGTAGGTATCCCGCTGATCGTCATAAAACTTCCCGTTTCCTTTAATAGACAGGGCCAGGATGCGTCCTGATCATCATGTGGGGAAGCGTCGTCTTCCGCAGTTCCGCTCCTCTGGTGCCATAGTCCAGATTCCAGACGACTGAGATCTGTGTGAGATGAGGGGATGAGGTCCACTCACCAAGTCACCAGACATCCAAATCAAAAATATCGATTATCGACGACGACGCCGAGCTGACAGATACATCCGAAGAACTTGGCAGTGGTAGGGATTTCATGCTTGTTCGTTAGCCCCTGTTGGGCGCGATGTTGTTCCGACAAAAAAGCCAGATTTATTATTAGGTCGCGGTTCCGTACGTACAACAATCGTTGATGCTGTTAACGTATCAAATATTCGCTCTTTCGTTACATCATGCCCTCATCTCGCCAAAAAGGAGAATCCGGGTCCAGTGAATCAGAATCTAACCCTGAGGCATTAATTGAGGATGAGGTTTGCCCTGAGGTTACGCGAGTCGAAGAATTGCGAAGTCCTGGTGGTGCTTGATCTGGACTTCGGAGTTGCTCAGAGCGTGGAAGTTGGATTCCAAACTGCCGGACACCATGCACCAGAACCGTTGAAGTGTGAACAGTTACCTGGATATTGGGCAGAGGATGAGAAGGAATAGAAGCGAAACGAGTGCCCTCATATGATACAAAGTATGGAAAGCATGATTATGGTCTCTTTCTGAATGTAGGTATAGCACACTGTAGCCTTCTGTCTGTTTCTAGTCTAAGGATTCCGTCCTTATCATGTCCTTGTGTTAGGTATAATATACACGTTCCGTGATAAGCCATAGCATCGTTTGAAGTTGTAAACTCGCCCACACTTTGCTGTCCGATTTATGCGCCTCACCTACCGCATTCTCTCACGCTTCCATGCCTTTGTGGCTTTCATCTCATTTCCTCACAACCCGAAGCAACGGAGTAATCCTTGCTCTCCTGCTCAGTCCAACACGGTATGGAACTTTGCTCTTGCCAAGAGGTGACTGGGCGAGACGATCCGATGGCTTTGTGCCTTTCTCCAGAGTGTGTGCCACATTTGCTTTTCCAGGCTCGCTCTTCTTTTCTGGAGAGGTCGACTTCTCTTCATTAGTCTCAGGATCATGATGAGCAATGTTCGGAGTCTTCTCTCGCAGGGCCTGGTCATTTGCCGCTGTCGCTTCTTCTTGAATATTAGCACCTTCAGGCGGAAGGTCCAGATCCCGATGCACTTGGACATGTCCGGTCTCCGCGGGTTTTTTAGCCCTCCCGCGACCTCTCTTCTTAGGGGACTGAACGTCGACAGGAGGCGGTTGTTGAAGGATTGCTTGTGCCTCTGATTTCTCTCCCGTTCCATTTTCTGTGGTCGCCTTCTCTTGAACATCGATAGCTTCCTCGTCTTTCGCAGCGGAATCCTCAACTTTTGCTTCTGATGAGTTGAGTTGGTTTGGGTTTGGCTCAGATACCATGAGTTCCGAAGATGGGAGCATTGGTGCGCTCTTGGTCTTCCGCGTCTTCCCTCTCTTACGCTTGGGCCCCTCTAGCTGTTCTGTCTGTTGACTTGGTTTGCGTTTGTGTGTGATCTCAACATAAGCTCTCTGCTGGGCTGCTCCCTCTTCATGGTCTGCAGCGAATCGACTCTTGTGGCCCGGTCCAGATGATGCGCTCCGTGGCCCGGTTTCCTCGACCGCACCGTCCATATGATCTGAGTCATGCTGCTTTGGTGAGATAAGATGGCCGAGGGATCTTGCTTTCTTTCGAGACTTTTCTCTCTTGGCATTTTCGGGTCTTACCGAGAAATCAATCGACTCTTTGGAGACTTTGCTAGATCTCGATCGGCTAGGTCGGGGATTGTAAAGCTCTTTGGGCAGGCCGATTAATTCATCGGATGGAATGTCACCATAGCTTGAATCCGAAGCGTGAGCGGTCGGGCCGTCTATCTCGTTCTTCTTTTCGAAAGGTTCGGTCGCGGAATGGCCTGGTACATCCATATCCTGGCTTGCTTTTGCTTGAGTTGGCAAAATATTCGACTGGAACCGATCCCCGTTTGGAGGCGACACTTCAGGCTCAAAGTCTCCCAGGGTTGGTGTGTTCACAAGTACTGATCCATTCTGTGATCCACCTTGATTCATACTTCCCCATATAGCCGAGTCGAGGTTGTGATTATCGGCTTGTGATGTGAGAACCAAACCTACAGACTCCCTATCGTTGCCTGCGTTGCCTCCAATTGACCCAGCGGTGCTGGCTTGCTGTTGGGATGGAAGAGTAGGAGACTTTATGTAGCTGGACCAAGGAAAGGATGTGGAATCCGATACTCGCCGGTCTCCCAGCGTTCCAGCGTTATTAGTAGCTTCTATCCGATGATCCCCATACAGCTGCTGCTGCGTGAGTGTGCCGTTGCTCACTGTACTTGGTTGGTCAGGAAACAAGGTCATAGGCTCGTGGTTGAAGAATTGATCCCTCATAGAACCCGTAGTCTGCCATGCTCCTAAGATGCTATCGGTCGCAGGAACTGTCTGAAGAAGGTCCATAGTCGTCGGTGCCGGTTGAGGGATGTCTTCGCTCTCAGCGATTGGGTTGGTTGAGTGGTCGTCTAAAGATTGATTTCCATTCGACTTCGTCAGCCCTTTATGCCACTGCAAAACATGGGCAGGAGGGCTTCCATTTGGTGTGCCTGCGCGGTCAGATACCGGGCGATTTGTGGTAGCTTCATCAGTGCGATATTCATTGCATGCGACAGCAACCATCTCGTCGCTTTGGCCATCTAACCAGCTCATTTCGAGAAATGATTCATCGGAACCATCTCCATTATCGACAGAGCCATGCTTCGATTTTGCTATCTTCTGACGCTTCGCATCCGAGCCAGAGCGAGATGACAATCCCGTTTCTGACTCATAATTTTGACGCTTCTTACTCGCGCGAGCTGCAGTTGGTTGCTCAGTATGGCGCTTATCTGGTGCATCTTAGAATGTTAGTGACTGGCACAAGACACACATCTTGTGGAATGGAGATTGGTCGTCACGATTCATCTACGCAACGGCACATCGTGTTGTGACGAACTTACCCGATTGTTTGGCGATTGATGGCCAATTATCCCAGTCGGAGGATTCGTCCTCTGAATCGGCAATGACGTTTTTCATTATTGCGATCCCTTTCTGGCATTGGCCATTCGCACGGTGTTGATTTGTAGGCGCTCAACTGAAATGATCATGGAGTGCTTTATCGAATCTCTGGCCGACGTGGTGACGCGAAGCTTGACGCGTGATCACATGACCGTCTTAATGTCACGTGATTATGACCACCACTTCAGCTTTGTCATGATTTCAGTGATTCAATCTCTAATCCAGTTCTAAACCCAATACCTACAGCAAGTTAGACTTGTTGCTACCTATTCCTTCCTGTGCCAGAGGGCATGCTTGATAAATTGAAAGACGGTAGGGTCTGTGGCATAGCGGGTGCATGAAGTCATGGAGGCTTGAATTGGATCATCCGACACTCTCGAGTCCCATGGTTCAGCGTGGCATCCTTGACAACGAGCCGTAGTTTGGATCAATAAATATTGTATTGATGCCCAGGTTGATACTTTGATCCGAACACACTGATACGACACCATCTACAAGATCTTGAGACAGCAGTCATGGCACTGTCCAAGAATAACGACGTCATGAAGGCTGTGGAGGCGGCGCGGACGTTCATAGCGCCACTCTTGACCAGCGGTTTGTTTGTGGAAACTTGGGCCATGGATCTTGATATTGAAACTTCACAGTCAAACATGGAGCGGCGACGTCTTCGTCCCATTCGGATCTCGCGAAAGTCGTTCAGCAGCCTAATATCGATGCGGAAACTACATCGACGGACATTCCGACTGCCATTGGAATCCTGAACAGGATCCATGCTTCCATCCGGGAAGACCAAACCAAGGTTCGCGCCAAAAATGAATTACCGAGTCTCGATTCAGAGGTTGTTAAATACGTGTACTATCTGCTTGACCTCATCGTGGTATGGGGCATCTACCCGCTCATGCAGCAGCATACCAGAATTCCCTATGACAGAAGAACTAGATCTGTGCTCTTCAGTCCGTCAAGCCCCTTGCCGGCACCGGATCAAGAGATCTTTGAAGGCGCACTCCTTGCGCTCAACAAACTGGTCGAGGAGCCTACTCTCGGTATTGCATCTCTGGTAATAGACCAAGGTTTCATGGATATCGTCTCCGCAACTGCGTGGTACTCTTTTGGTGGTAATACCGAAATGAGTGAGGAGAAAATTAAGGGCTCGTTCGAGCGACTCGTAGACCGGTAGGTCTTTCCACTCCTTCAACCAGCCCAACCGCCATTGAGAACCCCCATTTCCTGCCCAGAGTTTCTCCTCTCCAATTCATCTGTTTAACTTATTATTCGAGTCTGATTTTCCTTTCGCATTGTTGGAGTCGAGTCTCTGACTCGCTATTCACTCTCGTGATCAACGATGGTTTCATTCCACAGCTGAACTTGTCATATTAAAGGTCCCCAATCTCGAGATTACTCTTCACATTCACGGCCCTCATGTCATCTCCTTTGCCGGAACTGGTGCAGGCTGAACTTGGTCGGACGCTGGCACGACTTCCACTTCGGCCAGGAGGTGTACTGCAAACAATCGAGTTCATCGCAGGCAAGCATGCTCGAGCTGGTAGTTCGACCCCTGTACAAGGGGGTCAGCCCGAAGCATTGCCTCTCCCGCTAGAGGCGCTACAAGAATGTGCGAAGCTATTCTCCGCCCTGCCAAGAGGAGAAGATTCTTCCTTTTTCTACAATACGGGACAACAGTTGATCGAACTACTCGGCGAGAAGGCAGGACCGGAGTTGAGCAAGGCTGCTGCTTTCATCATCGCACAAGGGATCCTTAACAAAAAGAGCTCAGGAGCACCAGGGGCATGGGGTTGGAACTTCTACGTCAAGCCACTGATCGAGCTTTTGAACCCTCCGCCTTATCTCACTGGCGGCACCTTAGCCGACCCTCACGTAACCGAGCACGATACCTCTCGACCTTGGGTTAAGGATAGTGACGTATGGTTTGCACTCAATCTTCTTGGAAAGCTTGTCATGGGTCGACCACATGCGAGCATCGCCGCAAGAATCATCCCTCAAGTCTTTCTTTCTTTATGGGCGATTTCCATATTTTCAAAGGTTCACGCTGTCGACCCAGCATACGAAACATTGAGCATGTCGCTTTTAAAAGCATTTTTTCTGCTCGTGCCTTCAATAGAGCACCTCAAAGTCCTCCGCTCCCGGCTCCTTTGGGATGGGCCGTTGGAATGGACCTTCGGCCCCGGCTCTCACGGGGGAGTCGAGATCAGGGGTCGAAAAGGAAATACAGACTTTCAAGATTTTATCCAGACTGTCAAGAAGGTTGACATCGCGGTCTACCAATTTATCGATATCCTATCATCAGCTAGAGTGGCGGATGAAGAGAAAGCATCCATCTACCTGGCTATCATCGAAGACTGGCTGCTTTCCCAAGATAGCAGCTCTGATAATAGCACCCAAATAGGTAGCCCGGTCGCGAAACTGGCGCAGATGAATTTACCAAGAGCGACCCTGGAGGATGAGCTCGATAAAGTGTCGGCTGAACGTCTTCTTCGGATGAAGCTCGCGCAGGCCATATTGAAAAGCCAATCGCGCCTCCTCATAGCAACACCGAAAAGAACACTGGAACTGGTGATCAGAGTCTTTCATGCCAGACTACAGGCTGCCAAGCAAAGAAACAACGGCCATAAATTTCGGGTTGAGTCCATACACGAGGGTGATAACAACAATCCTGAGGAAGACACCATCCTTGCGATCGCGCTGGAGATCTTGGATCTTGTGGTTCGGACGGGTGTTCCAGAGATAATCGAAGAATCATCGCACGAGCGGAAAGAGATATTCTCCCTCCTTCGACGATTGCTGCTTGACGTCACTCCTCCACTGAATGAAGTATTCCGCGATTCGATGATGGCCGTCCTGAGGAGGATGGAGGAACCAGGTTCGGCACTTACCGAAGTTCAGGGAATCGATGCAGATAACACACTGAAAGAACACCTACGGTTGCTCGCGGCCGCTGAGGAGTCTCTCATTGCCCAAGAACCTCCAATCCGCCGACAGGCAATACAAGATATTACTCGGCTGATTCAGTCTACATCAAAAGTCAGAAGCGCTCTTGCATTCGCCGCTATGCTCATCGATGCCATTGAAGTCGAAGAGGACGATTTTGTTTTTCAGCCAGCGATCGACGCCTTTGTTGCACTCGCGATGAAATCCGATCATATGGTTGTGTCGATGGCACTTCAAGCGTTCGACGATTACGAGGAGAAAATGGGCATTGACAGTCGCCAACGTTTGGCAGAAGCGCTGATTCGGTTAACCAAGAATAAGGCGGAGGATCGAAACGTGGCGCTGCGTATGAACTGGCAAACGTCTGCAAGGGACATGGCCAGGAAAGCAATCCAGGTCGCATCGAGACGCGGTGCAAGGAGCCGAGAGATGAATCGGCGCATACAAGATGCGGAGCAGAAACAGGAGTTGGAGTCGGAACGAAGCGAAGCTTGGGGAGGGGATGCACCCGATGCCCCGCTCATTGAGCCCGTGGACAACGAAGAAGATCGGCTTGATGCAGAGCTACTGACGAACATCATCATGGGTTGGCAAGAGACTGGAAAAAACGAGGATGTCCGGATCCGTGTTTCAGCGTTGAGCATTCTGGCCCAGCTCCTTGAAAGCGCGCTCGATCTCTTCGTGGCCGAGTATTGGGAACGGATTGAAGAGCTCACTATCTCTATCCTCTTTATGGAGCGAGGCCCCGAGAAAGCCATTCTTCGGCGAAACGCCGTCCTTATCTTCTTATCGACGCTGCTAGCCCTTGATTCTGCGCAAGAGAACGGCGACTCTCTGGATTTCGTCGCAGGGGTGATTGAGTGGACCAGGATTGAAAAGGTGCTGCTATGGGTGCTTGATATGGACGAGGATGAACTTGTGAAGGACCATGTCGGATCAGTGCTTGAAAGTCTGGAGGCATGGAGGATGAAGATGTTGCTTAATAGGAACGGCCGGGAGCAGCTTTCAGCAGCGGGCCTTAGCGACGATTTGCAAGGCCTTGATGTCAACCCGTTGAAAGATAAAGAGACGTCGAAGAAGCCTGTGATTGAGGAGATAGACTAGACTCGATATTGGTAGTTAATGCAATAAAATGAAGCTCCCGCTCCATCTTTTCGTCTACTTATAGTAGTGCATCATGCGTAGAAAGACGACACAGTTTTGTAGGCATCCTTCTTGCGTCCCGTCCCGACATGAAGTCCGATCGTCCCTGGGACCTGTTCCGCATTTGCGCAGGAATCTCCTGGCGTCCAGTTTGGACGCGCTATCTCCCACATTTGCGCAATCGGTGTATCCTCTTCTTCTTACTGTTATGAAACTCATGCAACGCTCCCGCTGTCCGCGCTTCAACCGGTCATTTCCGAATCGGCAACCTTCGCGCCCGCCCCCGATACCCATAAGACGTTGTTACACCTGCAAATCCAGTATTAGCGAACGCTGTGCATCTTTCGAGTTGTGTCTGTGTCGCCTGCGCACCTTATCAAGACCTGCCCCAGCGACCCAGTCTCTTTGCCATCGATGAATTCGACCGTGTTGTTCAGCTGGATGTTCATGTAGGAATCGATGCTGATCAGAGTGCCTCGGTACTCCGTCTGGCCCCATTTCAGTCGCACGATTATCTCCTTGCTGATGAGACCCTGCAACATCGGCCGCGGGTTGAGAGGAACGAACTGTCGACGCGGTTAGCAGGCGGGTCGACTCGATGTGGTGGGGAGAGACGAACGCTCATGATGTCAGATTCGGCGTTGGGGCTATCGCATGCGTAGACAACCGACAATGGGTTCCGATCGCAAGGACCAAAAAATTCGGAGCAGTCCAGAGGTTGATTCGGGTAGATTGCGCGTGTCGTCGTGTTGGCGGAGGTTTCAAAGTGTCGTGAATTGTTTGACCATCGTCGGGATTTTGCCAAGACCTGAGCGTGACTTCCCCGTCCTCCACCAAAAATCAACCTCCAGAATTTCCACGTCCACAGCCATCAGGGAATGGCTTTGAAAATAATCTACAACATAGACATTTGTCAAAAAGTGCAAAAAGAAATGGAGAAGCAGCGAGTCGAACACTGTACCTTCCGCAGTCACGTTTCAGATCGAATGCGAAGCGGACGCTCTACCAAATGAGCTACATCCCCGGATATATTATGATACTCGTTAGCCCAGACTAAAAGGAAGTTTCTGATTCCCCATTCTAGGAGCCCACACCAAGTCCACTGCCAGGGTTTAGATACGGTTGATGTTGGCTTGACGCTTAGGGACAATTACAGCCATCCGAGGTGGACAAATTCGACGGTTATGAGGTGTCCAGAGAGCACCCGAAAACGCTCACCCAGTCCCTGATGATTTATTCAATTTGATTTCTCATTAAGGATCTTAATTTAATGTATAATAATGTTTGCTTGAGGACCCGATTCAAATGGTGTCCCTCTATCACGTCCACCCCGCATGGATGAATTTATGGAGCTTCGGCGCTCTGGGCGAGGATTCATCAGAAAGATTTGACATGAAGGTTTTCAATGGAAACAAGAAATCAAGGTGGAAACCTGGCTCGATCGACATTTTGGCGCGCTGGCCTATTTGATTTGCAACAGCTTGGCCCCGAAGGTGATTTCCCCCCCCTTTCCGAGGTGAGATGTATCGAAGTACTTTTAGCCATATTATACGGAATGAGACGCTTGTTCGTAGCCTTGCGGCCCTTCCAAAGACACGATCAGGGTCGAATGTCCTTGACTTGCCCTCGTGATATCACAGATATCCCCAGAGCCACGAACCAAGACGCCCCAATGTTTCGTCAAGATCTGATCTTTCCCGAACTCCCTTTTGCTCTCTCAAGGCAGGAAGGTATTGGAGGTCTCGCCCATTTCCCATTAATCGATCCTGTATAACAACCAGGTCGCACTGATGGAGCATATAACCCTACTAACTCATGCACTACAGACATTGTACGTAGTAAAATACGGCCGAGGGTCATAAATGGACCCAAGGGGTGCGCAGCGTAGGGAGCAGAACCTCCCAAGTTTTAATAACATAATTACCCAGTCACAGTTTGCTGATGAAGTCCTGAACCTTTGCGGCCAATCACAGCGACTTTTGATCTGACCGTGTGCTTGATTCATTCATCTGTGTATCTTGTATCATCATTGCCCTTGGGCGAACAGAGTCAAGCACACGCGCTTATTAGTACTGGTTTCATCGGTAGCTAAACCACTTATAATGAAATAAACAGCAGATGATATACTATAACTAGTTGATTTTGATCTATCTACGCAGACTCCATTCAGGAACCTTGAGTGCCGGACGGGTTAGACCCTGTTGTAGGTATATCGATCTCACTCGCAAGTAGCAGGGACGACCTCCGAGGTGGAGAGGATGATCGGACAGGAAGTTAAACACGTCGTAGAGGCGGTGGCATGAAACCGACCGCGAATTGCTGAGGATCCTGTATAGACACATTAGCCATGCTGCGCAAGGAGTAGACGGTATGTAGTATGTACGGAGGACGCGACGTGATAGAATGCCCGCCGAGCGACATCATCGTTCCTGGCTTGAGTTGTAGCAGTTTTCTGCATGCGCAATCGCGGTAGGTCAAACGATTCTTCGAATAACACCCCTTTCAGCGACTTAACACGCGAGACAGCTACATAAGTTAATCCCGGCGCAAAGTCCCGCTTATCAGCGATGTTTAACACTGCCTTTTCAAGTGTCATTCCCTGGCTCTTGTGGATGGTGATAGCATACGCTAGAACCAATGGAAACTGGGTACGCAGGCAGGCGACAGAACCGTGAACGAAGTCTCGGCGGGACCGGAATATAGGCACGAGCTTTTCGCCGTTAACCTCCCGAAAGGATGGACCATTATAGCTATCGAACGCAACCAATAATGCCGTAGGAGGCGACTTCCGGGGATCTTCAACGTCCGCTTCCCAGGCCATGTCGCGTACATTACCCATAGTACCGTTTACCAATCCTCGTTCGGTCCAGATATTCTCGGTAAGCATGACACGGCAACCAATAGATATAGGGAGGATGTTCTGCAGGTTACCAGCTTGTTCGGTAGTGGCGCTCGCTGCATCTTTCCCCTCATTAGTTGCAATCATCAGGACAACTGGTCGGCCACTTTCGCGCATCTGTGTATGGTTGAATTGAATGACGTCTGCCTTTTTGGCGTAGACGTGAAGGGTACCTTGGAAGCTTTGGACGTCACTGGGCGAGAGGGTAGAAGCAACTCGCGTGGCAAGAAGGCGCCAGTTATCAACCGTGACATTCCCGGTTCGTAAGTCTTCGAGTGCATTTCGAAACATTGCCTCCTCAGGTCCCTGCTGACGGACAACAACGTCTAGCTCAATCGTTCGGAAGAAGCCTTGGTAGAGTCTATGGCCATGACTTTCATCGATGTTCTTTGAAATGTTGTTCTGGCCGGTAAAGAGAGGCTTCTCGCCAACAGGCGGCAGCTGGAAGAAGTCGCCAGCTAGGATAACGTTGAGGCCACCAAATGGAAGGTCACTACGATCAGGCCAAATCTCCTTGCATCGACGGTCAATCCAAGCAAGGAGTTTCAAACCAACCATTGACTTCTCGTCAATGACGATATATTGAACACCTTTGAATGCAGCCTGAATAGCCTGAGCGGCTTGCTTTGACAACTTTTCGTACTGCCTGGCCTTTGGAGTGAGGCGGAATAGAGAATGAAGGGTCCTACCCGAAATATTGTGCGCGGCCACACCGGTAGGAGCAGCTCGAATGATTGGGGAGGTAGTATGGCCTATCGCACTCGCGACAGTCTCAAGCGCCTCGGAAAGGATCATAATAAGGTACGTCTTCCCTGTCCCACCCTTACCATCGATGCTTAGCAGGAGCTGAGGCGGAGGCCGGTGCTCCTGGTAGGCGTGAAAGTGACGCATGACGAGGTCCTGGCAGAGTTTCTGTTTGCCATTTAGGCTAGCATATGTACCAGCAGCAACGGCTACTAAGTTGGCCGGAAAGTCCGCCTTCATCCGCTTCCAGAACTCGAGGTCGAGGTCGAGATAGTTACCGATCATGCCATCAAGGATATATGCACGGTCAATTTCTCGATCGCCAATACGATCAGGGTCCTCGACCTGCGCACCATCTCGACCGGGGCAAACTTGTGCAAGCTCTTGTCAGGAAGCAAGAATGTCCTCCTCCTCGGAATTGAGTGGTTTCGTACACGATGAAGGCAACGAGTGTCTGTGTAGATGATTTCAGGACTGTCGGCCGGTATAAGAACATAGACGATGCCTGGAGATGTCTTGAGGATCTTGCTTTCCTTTTCTTTACTTTTTTCTATTGACGTTGTCCGTGAGACTCGACTGCTCTATAGTGTCGAATTGTCTATACCTTACAATGCTATGTCCCACTTCCCCTAACAACCCCCTAGAATGTAGAAGCCTATATGCAGAAGCCTATATACATTCTAATCTGCTGTTTTCCTATTGAAATCGGATGTAGGATATGTCTGATGCCGTGAGACTAGTGAAAAGGTGCTCATGTAGTTAACGAGATCGCAGGTCCCAGCGACGGCGGCAACGACGAAGTCCACAGAGTTCCGAGATGAAATAACTTTTCAGCCAATCATTTTGCCAAGGATCAGAGGGACACGGAACTTTCCGGACGTTTTTGTCAGCCAATCATTTTGCCAAGTAAATTTTGGGACCAATCACAGAGGGTTTTCTACTGACCAATGAGCGTGTATCTTTTTTTTTTGGAAAAGGAGCCCCAGTTGGATTTTAAACTGCTTCGCTACGCTGCGCAATAAACTTCGAGGTACGCATTCGACTTTGCTTACTCATTTCTCCCTTAGCGTAGGACGATGCGACTGGATAAGGCCGACACCATAGTAAAGTCGCCAAAGACTCCGGCTAAACGAAAGAAAGGTATTCGAGGAACCCTTTCCGCCCATACTTAGACGTCGAGAATCCTAGAAGGGAAGCGAGAGGCCACTTGGCTAACGCTTCTTAAAGATCGGGAAGCGGCTGATCGCAAGGTCAATAAGCAAACCATGACTCGGTACCGATACTTCAAGAAACATGGAGACCGATTCGCCGCCTACTGATCACAATGTCTAATTGCGAGTATTTCTGCGGCTGTACACCTGCAAGAATCTCAAGTGACTGAAACTGGCAACTTCAACAAGTTGGCTTGGATCAAAGAAGGAAACATTCTGAAGGGGTATATCAAAACCGCCACCAGTTCGTCTGCAAACCTACCTTTTTCGCCTACCGATGTGCACATGCCATAAAGGAAATGGCTCCGGGAATTATCACACCAGAAAGCTGCAAACGGGACACGGAAATGCCTATATTGTTCCCCTGGTTCTAAATCGTACAAGCATATGGCACACTTATGCCACCACGTCAAAGAAAGCAACATCTTGAAGCACGGCATTCAGCATGGCCGGCTAAAGGCTCAAGGCGGATGGTATGATAAGGACTAACGAAGAGAGCCGGCGCCAATCCAGGCCGACAAAAAAGAGCGACAGAAGTGGCGAACCCTCATCACATATGGCCTCCAATAGCCTTTCTAACCTCTCCCAGAAGGGACATAACATCCTACGGCCACTACTCCTGGCGCCACTTACCCGTACATAACGGGAGTCCGCACATATCGGTGCCTTTCTCGAGAGATGATTCCAGAAGGGGAAGACCTTAAACCATTTGGTAGGCCAAATACGAGTACCTCCCTTGGGCGACGACTGGTGATCTAACCCCATACCCGTTGTCTGAAGCCGTGCGACGCCATGTGACGTTTGTGGAGCTAACATAGACAACCTGGAAGTGTCACACTAGGAAGTTATGAAGGGTGTCCTCGAAGGCTGGTATACTCTAGGGAACCTTGGGGATTATGTTCGTGCACTCCCGAACCCAGAGGAACAGTTATCAGGGATGGTGGAGTTTACAGATCATCTGGGAAGCGCAACTAAGGATGGTGTGCATGTGGCACTGCAGCCATTGAGGTCGACGGCAGATACTATCCGAAATGAAAGAGATGTGGTCATTTCTAATTCATTAGTACTATTACTTCAATACCGCAGAAGTGAGAAGAACGGCGAGGGGTGGAGAACGGTACGGTGGGAGTGAAGAACGGTGGGCGTGAGAAGACAGGAAGTGAGTGAACCGGAAGTTCATGTAGATGCGAGTGGAAGGCAGATGCTCTTCATGTAGGTTGTGATCAGTGATTTATGAAAGTCTTCTAGGATTTGCTTTCCTCTATCTCCTCTTCCCTGGGGCGATCTACGGCCTATGTATAGGTGTATTTATCCATAAATGCGGTTTGACATGTTAATATGTTCCTGGGAGAACTGCTTCAGCCCTCGGCTCAACGACACCCCTTTCCGTCATTCAAGGCCAACCAACTCCTTTCTCTGGGCCCTTCGCCGTAGCTCTGCAAGTAGCCGTAAGACCACGAGAGGCTGCTCAAGCAACAACCCAGAGATAAAATGCGCCATGCTCAAAAGAACCAAACCACCTACGACGTCTAGGCTGGACTCCTGTAGAAATGCATAACCAGCGGACACATCCAGTATCCAACCGCGTCCCATCTTTCAAATCCCAAGATGCCATTTCATCCGCTCGTAAACGTAGAAGCTCGTCGCCGCCATCGGAATCACCTTCACATACCCGATTCCCAGCCCAACGTAAAACCCCCTCCACCCCCTCTCCCGAAAGATCTGCGCCGCCGTCTCCGCGATCTTCAGTCGGCGCCCGTCGCCAACCACCCCGCCCACCTGCATCCGTCGCCGGATCACCTCCAGCGGATACGACACCGTCTGGCTCACGAACCCTGCAACACCCCCGCTCGCCAGCTCGGCCCAGTACTTCAACTGCGCCGGCTTGTCGGGGTCGCGCAATGACCCCTGCGAATGCAGAAGCGTGGTGTACTCCGCGATTTTCGGATGGCGCATCAGATCGGAGACGCCGTCGTGAGTGAGGAACGAGGAACCGGCGTAAGGCAACATGCCGGCGAGGGTGGCGGAGAAGCCGCGATAGAAGTTAGAGAGACCTTTCTGTGGGGAGAGCTGGGCGGTGGCGTCGGAGAGGACGTGGGCGACGTTGGCGGCGGTGGAGGAGGGATTGGGGCGGGCGTGGGCAGAGGCGGAGAGGACGGAGGAGTGGGCGGCGGGGCGGGGGTGTTCGGAGTAGATTTGGCGGATGATGGTGGTGAGGGTGGAGCGGCCGGTGCTTTTGGTTTCGAAGGCGAGGCGGACGCGGATGACTTCGAGGGGGTAGGTGACGAAGACAGAGCAGCAGCCAGCTAGGGAGCCGCTAAGGAACCGGCGGACATGGGTTTCTTGGGACTTGTTTTTGATTACGACGGCGCGGATCTGCTCGTATGCGAGGAACTTGATTCCGGCGTATGGAAATATGCGGAGGAGGGTGGCTGAGTGGCCACGGAATAGACCCCGCATGCCATCTTTACGGTTGATGTCTCTCATGGCCTCCAGTACACCATACCATGAGCCTGTGTATTTTCGGAATAGAGGATTCGAGGCTTGGAAGAGGATTTTGACTCGATCGAGGGGTCCTACGAGCGTTTTCGCCTGCCATTCCACTCTGTTAGGATCCTCACTTATACAATTCATATGTTAAAAAAGTCGCCATACCGCACATCCTGCTATACCCCCCGCAATCCCGCTCTTAACGACATAGTCCCAACTCTGTTTATTCTTTCTCTTCTCCGTTGCCGTTCCCTTGGGCACAATGGCATCGTCGTCGGTGGGACAGATGCCCGGCTCATTTCGGGGACTCCGTCTGTCGGATCTCTGGAGGCCGGGAGAGATGGAGGAAGACGATGCCGTCGTTGCTTGCTGTGAGGCAGACGACGGCATATTGAGTCGAGGGGATGGATGCAGCCGATGTGGTTCATGGAAGCCAGCGCCGGAGTTCACCTGTTGCTGGACGGCATCGGGGTTGCGGGAGAGGGAGTCGTTCATGCCCGTGCGTATTGGGGTGTGGAGATCCGTCGGATCTGGGGTCGTGTGCAACCGGGACTCTCACAGATAGTTGAACGGACGGATTGTTATCGTGCCATTGGGGAAGGATAGTTGATGGAATGGAATAATGCCAATATGTCTCCCAGAGGGTCTAGGGAAATGGAGGGGTTCGAGTTGTGCAAAAAATATGATGGTAAAACGACAACAAGGAACAGAAATCCGCACAGGCACGCGGCACGAGACACAGACGTCAACGATGTCTGGCTTGCTTGGTTGGAGAAATCGTGCAAGGGCTCACGGACTCGCGGTTTGCGCTGGTTGGAATTTCAGCCAGTAAGAAGTCACTTGTTGAAGACCTCGGGTACGGGATCGACCCGATTTCGGGATTGATACGGATATAATAATATTCCTTTGATATCCCCAGAGCCCCAGACGATGTCGGTTCAACGGAGCTTCGTATAGAAAGATAGAAGATTTCTGTGAATAAGAACGTGAACAGAGTAAATAAGAGAAATATAGATAGTAGTATAGTATTCCATACGGGTAATAATAACGTCCATTCGGGCATGCTGATAGACCACCATCCTGGCCAGAAGATCAGCGGTTAACAGCCGTGTCAGTATTCCGTGTTGTACGATCAGGTAGAACCTGACAGGATGGAATATCGGCACAGCCACAGTCATAGAATAATTTGCTGTAAACCGGACAGAGAACATTCATGCAGTCGACATCTGGAATCAAAATATCCCTCTCAAGCATTAGACTGTCCTCGGATAGAATAGAATCCGGCTCGCCTTGAGAAACTCAGGGTATCCCACCTCTAGTGCTGTCGGGAGGGCTGCAAAATGTCTGGACTGTGATCAACTTGTCTCACGTTTTTTTCTGATGTCAGATCTGACATTCTTCTCACTCAATCATTTCTCTCTTCTGAGTTTATCAAGGGGTGTTGGACAACACACAACATTCTTTAGGCTCTGGTGCTAATCCATTTGACATGAGCGAGCCTGCAATGCAGCAAAATATGGAAGAGCATGGAACTAGCCCAATTCTCTATGAGGCTGATGACCATTCTATTGCCCTCATGGACATTCCTACATCGATAGCAAAAGGTCAAGATATCTTTAGCCACCCGATCCGCAAACGCCTGTTATCAAGTGAGCCTTTACCGCGTCCGTTTCCTTCCCAAGTAGCTGGTTCGCCAGCGAAGAGGAGAAAGTTGACCGGCAACACGTCCGATCCCGATGTACATCGGGAGCTCTGGCCACGGATTGAAAAAGCAGTGCATGAAGTGCGAAAAACCCATTCGGGAGATTGGTGCCTCCCTCGGGCCATCGCATCCAAAAAGCGGAGAGCTTCGTCGAAAGGGGATGAAGATTCTCTGACTGAACCTGATCACACTTACTGGTCTACATTAAGCGGAGGAAAAGCCGAGAAGACAACATTATTCTCCGCGTCTTCTGAGTACTCCTTCGTTCTGAGGCCGTTGATAGAACCTTCTGAGGAAGCTCAACCTCAGTCATATGAGCAAATCATAGCCAATCCATCATCCAAACCCTCCCTACTCCTCCTACCCGTGGCGGATGATAAATCCGAACTGCTGAAGAGCTATTTCTCTTTAAACCCCACGCTCCCCCCGACCCCCTTCTTCGTTCCACCAAAATCCGTTGCCCTCCTCTCCACCATCCCAAACCGCCCTCTCCTATCCCACGCCACCCGCAACCACCTATCCCCTTCCCCTCGATCTGGCCAACGAAATTTCGATTTCATCCTCCTCGACCCACCATGGCCGAACGCCAGTGCCCGCCGGGCAAAATCCTACCAATCCCAGAGCAACAACAGCTCCAAGAAATCAAGAGGTAGAGGAACGTCGCATGCACCACCGCAGAGCAATCATCACATATATTGCTTAGAGTCCGTCACGTCGATCATCGACGACATCGGCTTAGAGCAGCTAATCAGCCCGAACGGCTACATCGCCGTATGGATCACCAACAAGCCCACCGTGCGCTCCGCGATCCTCGACGACGGCGGATTCTTCCACTCGCTAGGCATCCGATGGTTTGAGGAATGGGTCTGGGTCAAAATGACCGTCTCTGGAGAGTATGCCATTGCCCCACCCCCCCGAACTTCCTCGCCAGATATGAATCGAAGTTCCGATACCACAGAGGACGGCGCGTGGAGACGCCCGTATGAATGTCTTCTGATCGGCCAGGTTGTGACGGGCTCGGAAGATGCGGAGAAGGGTGGGCAGGAAGTGCGGAGGAGGACCTTACTCGCTGTGCCGGATGTGCATTCGAGGAAACCGAACCTGAAGCGCTTGGTGGAGCGCTGGTTGCTGAATGGTGCGGGGGATGGCGAGTATAATGCCATGGAGATCTTTGCGAGGAATACAACGGCGGGCTGGTGGGCTTGGGGGGATGAAGCGTTGCGGTTCAACTGGACTGGATGGTGGGAAGGGAGGGAAGATGGGATGTCAGGGGGCGGTGATAACAATGGGGAGACTGGGAGATTGATACCTTAATATTATTTGTAATAGGTTTTCGGACATCACAATTCCATTCTCCAATCGTGAGTCTAGTTTCAGCGATCGCCAAGAACTCATTCGTACAAAAGCGTCATATCATGATATATTGAGGTCTCCGTATAGCGTGCCCGTAGCTCAAATATTCATCGTCCTATGTAACGGGGTATCGTTGAAGCCAACGCTTAAATCATTCAAGTAGTAGCATTTCGCTCATCACCAACATAGTGAAAGTCCTTCGTCCAGGCAGTGAATGTCGTCCAGTGGGTATCAATCCAACCATAAAATCGTCAAAAAACAAAGTCATAACATCATTCATCAACGGCCGAAGCTCCTTCTCTTCACGAAATAGCCTCCGTCATCCAGAACATGCTGCAAAGCGGTATATGCTCGTTGATCGCGGCGTTCGAAAGGTGTATCGTAATACTGAGGAAGGACTCGTTGGCTTGCTGTATCAAACAATCGTTAGCCCTCGAACCACATAGCTACACCCATCGTAGACAATAAGTAGAACATACCGAAGTGCTCCTCCGCAAACTCCACCCTAACCCCACCCTTCCCTTCCACCCACTCCGCCACCCCAGCCAACAACCCCCTCCCTACTCCCCGCCCTCTCCACTCCTCCGCCACCGCCCAAGCACGGATCTCCCCCCTCCCAACCTTCCTCCGACGCTTCCCCCCGCCCGTCCCTTTCCCGCTGCTGCTCCCGTTCGACGCAGACGACCAGGAGTGCGCATGTCCGTGACTACTCCCCGGTCGCGAAGCCGGCGTATCCGACACCCAGCACACAACGGCGGCACCGACAACCTGGCCCCAGTGATTGGTAGACACGAAGAGCGCGTCGTCGCCAAGCCAGGCGTCGGCGGACGAGCGGAACGAGGTGGCGGCGGTGGAGTAGCCACGGGTCATCAGCCAGGCAGTGGCGACGGCGGCGGCGATCGAGAGGAGGAAAGTCGAGAAGAGCGTGGAGGCGGTGGAGCCGACGTAGTGTAGGATGTGGAGGGCGAGGAATAGGGGTAAGGAGAAAATGGTGATATTAAGAGGATGTAGAAGTAAGATTCGCGTTGCTGCGGCGCGTTGGGAGAGAATGGTAGAACCGAGCAGGGAGAGTGCGGCATCGGTGGTGGTGCTTGAGGTTGGGATATGGGGGGGGGAAACTGGTGGGTAGGATGAAGAGGCGATTCGCGTGGGGTTCAGGGGGGTCTGCAGAAAGGAGAGGCCGGCTGGGGACGAGGAGGATTTCTTGAGGGTGTGCCAGATCACATTGAGGCTTCCATGGCTGTTACGTCGCGAACCATGCCCGGAACCTGCGCTGCCGGCTCTTCGGCGACGTCGTGGTGGGTGGTTGTCGCCTGATACCGAGCTTGCGGAGGATAGAGTACCGGATGAAAGCGAGGAAGGTGAGGAGGGTAATGTCGTGGAAGACAATAAGGAGGGAGAAATATACGCTACGTCGTGGGCTAAAGCGCCGAATGGGTGGAACGGAATGCCAGTGGCTGTCGAAGATAGGAAGTCGTCATCAGGAAGACGAAGGTTCGCGGACAAAGAGGTAAGGAAGGCTGATGGTAGTAATGTTAGCCTTCTGAAAACCGTTATATGATATTGACAATCCTAGATGGTAGCTAAGATTGAGATCCTTTTAGAGTCCGGACTTAATCTCCGTGCCATATTCAGCACTCCGTCGCGATAAGATCGTGTAACTTTGTGCACCACTTTGAAGCTCTTGAAGTTCTAATAGGAGGGGTATAGCGCAACTATGACTGGAAGGGACAGACTGGGACAGTAAGAGAAGACAATCCTAACATACCTGCTGAAGTCTTAAAACCTGGAAGTAGAGGGAGCTTGTAGACGACTGGAAGCTTCAAATGATAATAGGTGGGATGTAAGTTGCGGCTCGACATTTCGATGTTACTAGGGTGCATTGACAATGACATGGGCGGGTTGCATTTGGCCGGCTCTAGACAATTGCAAGGCCGGGTCCATTGATGGCTGAAGAAGAATTCAAAAATTACAATAGTATGTCTGCGATAGAAAGAAGGAGTGAAACTCCTTTTGAGGAAAAGAAGCGAAAAGTAAACAGCGGATATAGATAATTAAAAGAAAAGACCAACTGAGCCAGCAACTTACGAGGTCGTGAAGGTTCGGAAAGGAAGCGAAGAAAGGAAACAGTCCAGGGCACGACATTATTATCTTAACTTGTCGGATAGACTCGCCTGATGTGTGCTGTTATCTCTTAACTGAGTTGCTGCATGATGCATCTGATGGATCGACCTCCTGTTGGTTCGGCCGCGAAACCACCATGCATAAAAACGCCACCAAAGTCAGACCTTGATTGGGTCTTCCAATTGGATGCACTGTATCTCCAACTTAACTCGTGACAAGAACATTATTACGGCTTTGGGAGAGACTGAGGGGACTGGGACGCGAATAATTGTGGAGGCTATGAGCAAAGATCTGTGAGCTTGCGTCGCACCATCGAGGATGTGCATTTCCAGTGAACAGACTACAGAGGGATGAAGCATCTCAGCCATCACAAGAAAAGATACAAGGAAATGGTAGTGACAGGCGACGTTTTCGATACGAAAGCTCATCAAAGTTCATAGGATATCCGTGAATGCAGAAGACGCATTGATATTGCGTGATGCAGCTTCGCCGCCATTGGATCAGATCTACTCTCGAAACAGATGTTCACTACGTCTCTGCATCCGTTACGGAGGTACATACTTAGCTGGCCTGTCCAATCCACTGCGAGTCTGACTCTTGGTCCCCTGGGAACCGCGAAACCAGTAGTCGATGATGCGGCACAAAAAGACGGGATTACGAAACACTTCAGACGGCATCCTAGCGTCCAAGCACATACCCAATCGTCGTGAACGATGCGCGTTGAAGCTATGCGGATTCACACGCTGTTTCTCAAATTCCTGGGTCGTGCCCGTCGTTTTGCTTGCGTGCGACAGGGGCTTGCGTCAGATTATCCGACTGTCATCAACCTGAGACACGGTCTAGAAGTGTGATCAGCCGCGCCGTTGCAAGAGGTTTGCGAGAGCTTGTCCGAAAACAGTGGTGGGGTGGTTGATGAATGATGACCACAAGGGAGAGTGGAAGATAAAATGGGAGTGAATAATACATACATGAACTTCGATATCTCCATCAATTTAATAGACAATGAGAACAATTAGGTTGCCTCCATCTCTCGAATGTCCAGCCATAACTGACGATGGGGCTACACCATCGAGGAACCTCGCCTCAGGCCTAGACCCCGAGCTCCCATCCAGCTGCTAGCAACGTCAAACGGCGTCATGCTCGAGGAACTTAGATATATTGCCCTACAGAATTGCCTCTACCCGATCCAGTCGGACCTCATCTACCGTACTTGGCGTGTTGTCGCAGATTGCTTAAAAGGTCGTACACCGGGTCAATGATTCTATCCATCGATATTGGGTTGGCCACGATCCTTGACCTTATGGCTGGCCCATTACCGATCTCCGGGTCGCTGGACGGCATGGGTCATATCAGTATGCTTGCCCCAATATCAAGCAATATACTATGCATGCCAACGTTTCCCTATAGGCGCCGTTATTGTGCAATTGTGTACGGAGTGGGACGGCCGTGGCCCGCCTTCGCCCGTCGCCTCTTAGGTACCGTATCGAATATATCCGTGACAGGTTGCGGATCATGCCGCACGAGCACGGGTATTTCTTGTCGATGTGGTTCGGAATTTCCGACTGTTTGCTCGCAGGGCTTTAAATGAAATATAATTGGATGACATGCGTTGAGTCCCAACAGCGGTAGAGTTGTTTGCCCGCCCGCCTGCTCTCTGCGATGCTACCGAGTACCGAGTACCGTTCTTGATTTCACGGTTGATCAGCGTGAGAATCGATCGGACATAGCAGCAGATCGATCTTCCACAGAAAGAAGAACGATGCGCTTCCATGCCCCATTGCGTACATCTCCAGTGCAAGTCTCAGGGTCTTAGAGAATGGCGGTAGAACACCAGGAGTTCGTTGGAATCGCATCCTATCCAAGGCCAAAATGCCCTGAACGATGTATTGAGGACGAATGCTACTAACGCTCAATTGAAAGACATCCAAAATAAATAGACGCAACCGTTGCATCACTTCACCTTGGCCTCCCCTAGTTCTCCACCCACCAACCCCCTCCAATCCACGCCAACCTCCCTCAACATATTTGCATGTTTCTTTGCTCTTTCCAGACAGTCCGCGTAAACCTCGCTGCTCGGATCAACGCTGTCCAGTTGCCGCGTCAAGATTTCGTTGAACTCTTCAACATGCATCTTGGCCCACCGAACGACAGCGCTGGCATGAGAGGGGGAGAAGCAGGAATGGAAGAGAGACAGGGTGTTGCGGATGAGGGTGAAGTAAATGAATGATAGGGTGTGGATGTAGAGCGGGAGGTGTCCTGTAAATGGTGACTGCCTATGGAACGGTTAGTATGGATCTAGTTGCAGATATCGGGGGAAACATACCTGGCTCGTTTCCGTATTGTCTCGCTTCTCACCCCCAAATACGCCTCTCTCGCCCTATCTTCCCACCCAATCCTCCCCAGCCACGCCGCCGTCTCCTTCGTCGTGTTCTCCCAGCTGTGCCGCTCGATCAACCGCCTGACCAACACCGCTCCCAACTTCGCCGCCCGCGCCTCCACCGCGGCACCCACTCTCTCCGCCGCGATCGCATGTCCCTTGATCCCCTTCGCCAAGCGCCGCAGTTTCTCCAGCCCTTCCACCGATTCCTCGAAATGATGCAGCGCGATTGCGATTGAGAGATCATCCAGACTCGCCTCGATCGACCGCAATGAATGCTGCGACCCCTCGATCTCGAGCATGGTGTTGATGTTGATGCCAAGACTCAGTGTGCCGGACCCTTCGGAGCCTTGGAACCACATCTCGGCCTCTCGACGCCCGAGCAGCCCGCCCATCATCTCCCGCGCCGCGAGGAAATTTGTCTCCGCGTCGCTGGTCGCGCCGGGGCCTTGAATCCGCTGGCGCTCGGCGTTTTCCGTCTCGGTCGCCTTCCGCAGGTCCTCGGCCGTCTTGCGGAACGTGGCGAGGAGCGTTGCCTTCTCCGCATCGCCGGCGCCGGTCGCGTATGTGAACGAGTCGGCTCCCACCCGGATATTGATCGCGCTGGCTGGTGCCCCTCCGGTGCCCCCGCGCATCGATATATCGGCGAGCGACACGTCGCGGAGTGGCCAGCAATACCGCGCAATATGCTGTGCCTGCGACTGCGGGCCTTGCTTTTGCTTTTGCTCGCTCAACTGCGACGGGTCCGGTCGTTTCTTCTCGATCGCGATGAGGAGATGGTCGTTGAGGAGGATAATATGAACTCTGCGCTTCGACTTCCAGGTTGCGGCGTTTAATTCGACCCATTTCCCGGACTCGTAGACGATATGTCGGCCGGAGACGGCCGGGAGATATTTCTGGCTGCCTTCTACGCGCTTCCAGAGGGTTTGGAGATGGGTGTTCCACATGGCTTCGAGGTTGGCGACGGAGGATCGATGGGATTGCTTTCGTGAGACGACTGAGTCTTGAGGGGTGTTACCAGCGGCAACGGAGGTGGCTTGCATGGTGCTGGTGAGGTCGGAGATGAGGCCACGGAGGGAACGCATTTCCCCTTTAACGCCCTCAGCTTCTTTTGAAATCTTGATGAATTGGGTACGGTTTTGGAAGACGTTGTGTTGTAGATCGGTGGAGGTGCGGTTCTTGACTTTTAGGAGCTCCTGCTTGAATGCTTGAATATCCGACGCGGACGCTTTTTGGAGGGTCATAGCAACAACTGTACCGTCATGTTCAGCCTTTTGATCCATATTACTTGGAGATTGTAACACCTACACTTCTCTGGCCGGAATCCGGGGTCGCGTAATGCCTTCGCATCTACCTTCAGGCGCTTCTCATCCCCAATGCTCTCCACGCCAACGGGCCCATCTCGACTGGCATACTTGTCCGCTAGCTGTGGTAAAGCTGGCACCATTGGATGTGCACTTCCACTGAAATCCGGCGCCTGGGCAAATCTTGTGGAATACCTCCTTTTGACCATCTCTGCTGTTCGATCTGCTGTTCGCTGCTGCGGTCGATGGGCTGGACCATCTGGACCCGGCGGACGACCACTCGCGGCTGACGGCCGTCTTGACGACTCTGACGGCCGCCTGGAAGATTCCGACGGCCGCCTTGACGACTCCGACGGTCGCCTTGAAGATTCCGAAGGGGGAACATTGATAGTCGTCGTGCTGGATGTAGCTGAAGGGTGTTTCTGAACGGGTTGCGGAATCGCTTGCGGAGCGGAGATCTTGGGTCGATTGTTGCGGCCATTCCTGGATCGGAGGGATATGCTCGCCTTGTCACGGCCGGACATGATTATGGTTGTTGGAGCAGATTATACTGCACTGGTATTGCTGTAGTCATATAATCCTCAGATTTGATACACGTCTATCCAGCTCATTAGTACGTGTTGTCATTGATGTCTGGTTCTCCAGAGCAGCTCCGAGCTTCGTGACGTTCAGTGAAGGGGGTCAATGGACCAATGAGCGAGCTCGAAAATAAACCGCCGCAGTTTAACCGTTGTCTCCCAAAATTTCAAGTGATCAATTCGCTCCTCGATTTGATAAAGATTTGATAAAGTACCAACCAACTCCATCTCTCCACCGTTCTCCTCCAAAGATATTTTCTCCATTACAACGCCACACAACCATCATCTAGCAGGGTTCACCAATCAACATGTCTTCCTCCACATATCTCCGGTCCAGCGCCGTCGTCGCCCTCACCGTGGGCACCGCCGTCAGCGGGCTGGTGCTATACGCCGCCTACTTCGACCACAAGCGACGCAGCGATCCGGAGTTCCGAAAACAGTTGAAGCGACAAGCGAAGAACCAAGAGCGCGCGGCTAAAGAACAGGCGGAAGTGGAGGAGCAGAGCAGACGGAGGATGATCAAGGCCGCCGTGGCGTTGGCGAAGGAGGAAGGGTTCCCACGAGCGGACCCCGATGAGATGGAGAAGTATTTCATGGAGGAGATCCAGAAGGGCGAGATCATGAGCAAAGATGGTAGGGTTCACTTCCCCGTTGGCCTATTCGTACTATGGGTTCGTACTGATTGTTGCAGCTGAGGATCCGATTGAACCCGCATTATGCTTCTACAAAGCTCTGAAAGTCTACCCCAGGACCACTGACCTCATCGATATCTACAATAAGACTGTACCAAAGGTTGGTTCATTCCGGCCCAGCAACTTGATTCAAGGACCGTGACTAATTCATAATCAGCATATCCTGGATGTTCTAGCACTCATGATCGCGGAGGACTCGGACCTGAGTTTAAGCAACGAGGACTTGCTCCGAGATCCTGCCCCTGGTACCGATTAAGGTAGTCGAATACGGCTTGAGATTGGATCGATATATCAACCCCTTCGGTCCCATATCCCTTGACCGTCCTTCAGGCCCTTCTGGTCCGGCCCTCATTAGGAAGCGATTCACTGGACCTGGCCTTCCTCGCCATCCCAACCCCTACTTCACGGCGTCCCTGTATTATAAAATTTGGTCTGGTGCTTCTCTCGGATGGATCTCGCGTCGCATAGAATGGGCTACGGCAGAGCCCTGGTGGTACCGGGAAACACGGCTTTCGATTGGTTTCGTGGGTTCTTGTATAGATAACGTAGGATGACAGGAGGATACCCGTCTCCGATATTGTAGTTTGATAGGCCGGCCCGCAATGTTGATTTGTTTAATTCATGGAATTGGATTGTAATATTCCGTGTCGTGCGGACAGTTGGCTTCCTACTTGCTAATTGTCTACTGCTGGAACGAGGCAGTATCTGAAGGAAGAAATTGATGGCCCTGAAGCATACCCCCATGGCGTCGAGAACTCTCAACTGTTGCCTGCTTTCGCCTCCTATTACTTTTCTTAAAGATATAGAGTTCTTTATTCCTTTTAATTTAGGGAGCCGATACGATTCTCCGTTTTAGTAGGTTAGGGGTGCACGTCGAAGGCGAAGGGCGATCAATTTCTTCCACCTTGGATGTAGGGTATTTCTGCTATAAGATATAAGGAGAGTAGCTTCCCATGTATTCTTCTGTGTGAAGCTCATCGGTAGTTCCATAACCCAGCATGGGCCTCAAAGCAGATGTTTCTGTTATGGCATGAAAGCGATGCCGTCATATGTAAACCCCCTCTCCTGCCAGACGTCCATTGCAGCTGAAGCACCTAGTACATTCTCGGGCCCTACCCACCACTCAGGAGATTCCTTGTCGATGGAATTCTGTCTTCCGTCTAGTCTACCCTTATGCCTGGAGATTCCCTTGTCCGGTGCGAGACTAGAAGGATTATCGTGGCAAAAACGTACGGATCCAGTGGTGGATCGATAGCACTGAAGCTCCATAGACCATAACCCACTCGAAAAGGTCCTCGAAACTCGAGCCGAGCCAAGCTACGAGCCCAAGACACAGAGGATGGAACTCCGATTGTCGTCATGGACAATCGTGGGTTTCAACTTTTGAACGAGGCCGTCTTTCTCATCTTTAGATGTTGTCGAACGACGAGCTCGCCATTGACTAGTTTCCAACCAATATGTCGAGATGATGAGAAGCTCCGAAGCTTGGTGGTGATATTGTACGAGTGGAATTAGGGTTAACTCTCCTTGCCACACTACAAGTCGTGTCGTGTGGAGAGGGGGAGAGGGTGTCGGCGCTGGATCGGGTCGATGAAACACTGAAGTCCAACAATATGGTATGGCAAGGTTGCTGAAGTTGCTGCAATGCTGAGGCGTGTAGTGTGGGCTAGATGGACCAGCCAGCGGGTTTCGTGGGCCGGCTCCGAGCAGTGGAACCGGCAACAGAAAACTGATCCGGCATCCGCGTTGCGTTGTTCTTTTTAATCTCCAGGACTGTCGATGACGTGAAGTGATTCGACAACTGGTCAATTTCGGAGCGAACTTCCTCTGAATCGCGTGGCTGCTGGCCATCCGTCTCCTCTTGCAACTCGATGGCTTCCATCGTCTCTTCTTCTTCGTCTTCTTCCTCTTCTGCTCGTTCGTCATCACCACTATCCTCTTCCTCATTGGAGACATGGCCATCTCCGTCAACACCCATATCTTTCATATATGCTTCCAATTCTTTAGCCATCTTCTTGCTGAACCCACTGGCCTCCACAGAAATATCCAATCGTGGTATTTTGGTATCTTTGCCCACGTCCTTGATAGCATCTGCAAAGAATGGTCCACGCTCATCACTGATGAAATTATATCGACGCTCGAAGTAACGTTTGATGCATGCCACATCGCGATCGAAGTAGTACTCAGCATTTGAATGATCGATGGAGACCATTTGAGGGAAATCAATGACGACCGGACGGACAGTAACAACTTCCTCAGGCTGCTCATCATCCCGACTGAGGCCTGCCGCGCTGGTAGGTTCTTGTGGTGTGTCCCCTGACAAAGTAGTCTCTCGCACTTCCTCGAGCAAAATGTTGAACTCGTTGAAATCGCAATGAATTAGTCCATACCTGGCTAGTCGCAGGAGAATAGAAATGATGTCGGCGTATAATGCGGCGGGATCCGCGACCTTTGCCACTTGCCTCATTGGATATCCGTCGATTTCACTCATGACAACGGTATGTCGACTTTGGCCAAGCGGTTCCGGGACAGGGAAATTGTTTTCATAGAGAGCTTTCATGAACATATGCTCCTTGACAGCAGCAAGGCGTGACATGTACATCCAAGAGCCGGCAGATCGCCCTCTTAAATAATCTCGGGTCTGCTTCACTTGTCGAAATGAAATGCGCCCTAGTCGGTGGATCTTTAGGATGATACGGGTGCCCCCAGGGGTACAAGCGGCATAGATATCTGACTCTTTGCCGACTCCGACTCTGGTACCAACGCTGTAGATAGTGTCGTGCTTCCGGTGGGCATTGAGTGCGAGGTAGTCCAGCCCGCCATAGGTAAGCCTGTATCCGTCATATCTTGCGTTCTTGACCCTGCCGATCAAGCCTACTTTGGCGAGATTTGCTATGCTTCTGTTGACGCCGCTGCCACCACGAAGCCCGGAAATTTGGCCTATCAGGGGAGTTGGCACAACTTCGTGGTTTCTGCTTCCCATTTCGACCTGTTGAGGCTTAATATATGGCATTCTGGGCTCGAAGGGGTAGTTTACTTACTGCGGTCAGGACCCTCCAATCCTCAGAGTTGAGGTATCTCATTGCTTTTGTATCTAACTTCATCTTGAAAGAAATGTGATTTCACAACTTGAATGGGTCTTTGTAATTTCACCAATCCTCATCGTCAAAGTCATATCGAGTGCGGAACTGAAGTTCTTGTATCGCGATAATTTCTGTGGGGACGTGAGGTTTGGGTGGTCTGTGCATATTGTATGAGGCTGCAAGGCTACAAGGCTCCATGCCGGGGGCGACTCAAGCAGCTTTCATCAGCAACACGCAGCGCGACAAGAGCCTCCAGTCCACATCTCAAACATTCATTCTGCTCCATTGCTCTCCATCTCCCACAACCCATATTGTAGCTCAACTCAAATCCCATACAGAGAGAGCTACCTATCTGTTGTTCTGTGCTTGAATCCGCTGATATCTGACCCATACCACATCCCCGAATATGCCGCCATCGAAGGATGAAGAGAAGCCTCAAGCGGCCGACAAGGGCAAAGGCAAGGTCGAGGAAGGCAAGGACACTCAACCTGGAGTTGAGGCGGAGAAAGATACCAAGGACAAAGATGATCTCAATCTGCCAGCCGGTATGTGCCTGTGTGAGCTACCGAAAGGCCTGACTAACATCATACTTCAGAGGAGCTGAGTGAGGAAGACCAGAAGCTCAAAGAGGAGCTGGAGATGCTTGTGGAAAGAATACAGGTTGGTCCATAGTTGATAGCAGAAGCAGGAAGCTAATCAAATACCAGGAATCTGACACGAGCCTATACATACCGGCTGTGGACGCCATCAAGAACTTCATCAAGACCTCAACATCATCCATGACCGCCGTACCAAAACCCCTAAAGTTCCTCCGACCGCACTATGAGAGCTTGGAAAAGGCGTATGAAGGTTGGGCGGACGGAGAAGCCAAATCATCCCTGGCGGACATGCTCTCAGTATTGGGAATGACCCATACAGACGAGGATAGGCGAGAGACCTTGAAATACCGGTTACTTTGTCCATCAAAAGATCTGGGTTCCTGGGGACACGAATACATGCGACATCTTGCGCTGGAAATCGGGCAGGAATACCAAAGCAGACTGAACGAGGAACAGGCAACGGAGGATTTGACGGACCTTGCGTTGACTTTGGTTCCATTCTGTCTCAAGCACAATGCAGAGGCAGATGCTGTGGACATCCTCAGCGATATGGAGATGATTGAACAGATCACACAGTACTTGGACAAGGATACCTATTCGAGAGTATGCCTCTACATGGTCAGGTACGTTTATTCACCTGGATTCATGGCCTCTACTCACGTATGACAGCATGGTTCCATTACTTACGTATCCGGACAACGATCGATTCTTGAGAACGGCATACTCGATTTACCGGGAGTACAAACAATTCACGCAAGCCATTGTACTCGCAATCCGCCTCAACGACCGCAACCTCATCGAAGAAGCATTCAACTCGACACAAGACCGGTCGATTCGACGACAAATGGCCTTCTTGGTTGCCAGACAACGGATTCAATTGGATCTTCCAGAGGGTGAGGACGATGATCCGGAGCTAGCTGACTGTTTGAACAACACGAAGCTACCGGAACATTTCAAGGCTCTCGGGAAAGAACTCAACATCCTTGACCCCAAGACTCCCGACGATATCTACAAAACGCATCTTGAGAGCTCAAGGACAGCAGGCTTGACTAATACGGACTCGGCGAGACATAACCTGGCTGGTGCCTTTGTGAATGCGTTTGTCAATGCTGGATTTGGAGAAGACAAGCTGCTTCTCGGACAAGATAGCAAGACGAACTGGGTTTACAAGACTAAAGATGAGGGCATGATGTCCACAGCGGCCTCTATGGGCCTACTGATGCAATGGGATGTTGAGACTGGCCTGGACAAGATCGACCCGTACACATATGTTCCCGAGGACTATGTCAAAGCCGGTTCTGCTCTTGCTACCGGCATCATCAACTCCGGTGTGCGAATGGAGTCCGACCCTGCTATTGCCCTTCTCAACGAGAATGCCGTGAGTTCCAAGAACGTCAACATCCGCGTGGCCTCCATCATGGGGCTTGGACTCGCATACGCAGGATCGAACAAGCAAGAGCTTCTCGACATTCTGCTCCCTCAAATCACCGACACCGATTGCGACATGCAAATCTCCGCCATGACCGCCCTTGCTCTGGGTCTCGTCTTCGTCGGATCTGCACAGAGCGACATCAGTGAAGCCATCATTCAGACGTTCCTTGACGATGACAGGCAGCCTCAACTCAAGGACAAGTGGACACGGTTCATGGCCCTGGGACTTGCGCTTCTCTATTTTGGTCAGCAGGAGGAGGTCGATGTCATTCTCGAGACCCTCAAGGCTATTGACCATCCGATGTCGAAGCCAAGCTCGGTGTTGGCGGAAGTCTGTGCCTGGGCCGGCACCGGAGCGGTATTGAAGTTGCAGCAGCTTCTGCACATCTGCAATGAGCCCATCGAAGACGAGAGCGAAGAAAAGAAGGGCGATGAGCTTCTCCAGGCGTATGCCGTCATCGGTCTCTCGCTTGTTGCCATGGGCGAAGACATTGGCCAGGATATGGTCTTGCGCCAATTCGCGCATCTCATGCATTACGGCGAAGCCAATATCCGCAAAGCCGTGCCCCTTGCTATGGGTCTCATCAGCCCCAGCAACCCGCAGATGAAGGTCTACGATACACTTTCTCGATACAGCCACGACAATGACAACGACGTCGCGATCAACGCCATCTTCGCCATGGGCCTGTCGGGCGCCGGAACCAACAACGCTCGCCTCGCCCAACTCCTCCGCCAGCTAGCCAGCTACTACCACCGCGATGCCAACGCGCTATTCATGGTCCGCATCGCCCAGGGACTGGTGCACATGGGCAAGGGCACCCTCTCCGTGAGCCCGTTCCACACAGACCGCCAAGTCCTCTCCCGCGTCGGCGCCGCCAGCCTGCTCACCGTGCTCGTCTCGCTCATCGACGCGAAGCAGTTCATCCTCGCCGACTCGCATTGGCTGCTGTACTTCCTTGTCGCCGCCATCCATCCGCGCTTCTTGATCACCCTCGACGAGGAGCTGAAGCCGGTGACCGTCAACGTGCGCGTGGGCCAGGCGGTAGATATCGTGGGGCAGGCTGGGCGACCGAAGACGATCACCGGATGGCAGACACAGAGCACGCCGGTGCTGCTGGCCTATGGTGAGCGGGCGGAGTTGGAGGATGAGCAGTATATCAATCTCAGCAGTACGCTGGAGAACGTGGTCATTCTACGAAAGGTAAGGCTTCCTACCGATGCGATTTACTAGTTCGACAAGCTGACTGAAGTACAGAACCCCGAGTGGCAGGAGTAGTGAACGAAAGGAAGGCTCGCTTTCCTTCTATTTCGGCTTATCGTTAGAATAGACGATTTGTAGCATTGGAACTCCGGCGTTGTCGATAGTTGATATACCACGCTGCACCTTACAATAATCGAGCGCTTTCTTCACCAAAAAAATCTCTCCTGTGTCGTCCGCGCCGTGGTCCAATTCCGTTGAGGTAGTTGTAATAATTCTATGGCACATCTATCAATGGCTGTCCTTTCTGGCAATACTGAACGATAACGTCGACCAATTTCTTCAGGGCTTCTTTTTGGACGAAGACATCCGCGTGATCGAAATGGTCGAACCAGACTACCTCCAGCCCACTCCCGGTCAGATAGGTGTTTCTCCAGTCCGTATTTTTGTCTCGCGCCAGGTATTTCCCGACCGCGGGAGCATTCACGATGATATCCTCACCCGCCAAGGATACGGTGACGTCCATCCCGGCCACGTCTTCCGTCCACAGGATGTTCTCCGTCCAGAAGAATCGTCGATGCAGGGTATGCGCCACTCCCATGTCCTTCGCGGCGAAGTAGTACAGCACGTATTCGTTCGTGAGCGTGGGTTTGCGCACCACGACATTATAGGCAACGTCCGGCAGATGGAGGAGGAACACCACCGGATCAATGAGCAGCATCGGTCCCACCCTCGCCGCCATCTTCGGCGATTTGAGCAGTTGCGACGTGATCACCGTGCCGTAGGAGTTCGCTACGAGGACAAACTTCGACCAGCCGTGAGAATCGAGGATGGCCTGGACCTCTTTGGCAAGGTCGTCACGCGAGAGCTTCGCGGTGGTGATTCGAGCGCTTATCGGCATGATCTCCAACGCGATGATGCCGACCTGGCCTTCAACGCCCACGCCATAGTCCGCACGAGCTATGCCGCCAAGGAAATCGACGTACGGATATAGACCAATGCCCATCCCATGAATGAAAACGACAGGCAGTCGAGTTTTCGAGGTGTGGGGTCTATACCAGTAGGATATGCTTTGCGCTTCTGATCGGCGGCGAGCAAAGAGGGAGAAAACACGAAAGGGGAAGGTCAGGGGGAGGCGGCGTAGAGGAACGCGGTAAAAGCGGAACCCGGAAAACAGCAGTCGGACGCCCACGATGGCGTCGAGGAAGCCGATGAGCTACAGCCTGGTCAGTGTTCGCTCGAATATTCCGAGGGGTATGTACACTCACAATGTACCAGAACAGTGGGCGATTGAGCATCTCCACATCGTCCAGCGTCAATCTCAAGCTCTTAGCCTTGCCCCGTCCCGGGGCGAGTTTCCTCCCCAGTTTCTTCTCCACCCCATCGCAGTACTTCTCCAGCTCCTCCTCGTGCACGCCATCCGGCTTGTCCGCATTCCAGAATGCCCAGAGTAGGAACTCCTTCACATTCTCGCGTTTGATTTCATCCAGGTCGCCATTCCGGAACCACTTTCGCAGATACTGGTCAGGGTTTTCGATGGTGTCCATGCATCGGTTGAAGAGCACCTCGCGGTTCGCGGTGGACATATCTTCGGGGTGGCGGGCGGCGCGTTGGAGGTAGATGCTGAAGGGAAGGTAGACGAACAGGTAGAAGGCGGTCTCGAGAAAGGCATAGCTGGCGAGGGACTGTAGGGCAGGGCCTTGAGGGAAATGGTAGAAGGAGTATGAACAATATAGGATGCTGAGAGGGGTGATGGCTCGGAGCGCGAGAATGGATGTTCGAACCAGGACATGCTGGGCAGAGCTGGGCAGTTTATGCCATATGAATGACATGATGTCGAGGATGGAGAAGGAAATTCGGTTTAAAGGAACATTCTCTTATCTAAGGAATGTAGTTGACGGTGGCGAGGGATCTTAAGAGAAGCGGTCAAGTATTGGTACATAAGGTATCAGAGGCAATCGATGCCGCTAAGGGCAGAATATTTTGGAAGTAACGATTCATCGTATACTATACGAATAAACCTGATATCGCAACAGGCGCCAGCATAAAAACAGTGGTGACTGGTGAGTGTCGAGCCTTACCTGTATGGTACGGAGCCGGAGGTGATCTGTGTTCCTCTCATCGCAAGAGATATCGAGAAGGGTCAAGGATGAACGGAGGTGTTTTGATGTTTCCACATGTTGTGAGGTCATAGGGTGCTCTTAGTCAGCCGGTCATTACCACAATTCAGCATGTGATCATCCAACTCATTCTTGTCAACGCGTCCTCAACAATAATGACAATAGTAAACCTCCTCGTATTGTTCGATCCTCAAGGACTCGGAGATTTTGACTTACCAATATCGGGCGCCTAACTTAGTCTTTGTTTATTAGAGTGTCTGAGCATCCAATCGGTGCATTCACGCTTATCTTCGAGGTATACTTGCATGCAATACCTGTTGAGTGGTGACTCCACGGAGAGTAAGAGAACCCCATAATTAAACGTGTCGTTGTGGATTCCACGGTGGCGGCCCAGGCGGGTAAATACGTCACCCTTTCACTTATGTGTCTATAGTTTGCAGTTTACACACTGTCTATGAAGTTGTACATGTGTTCTTACCGCTTTCCGTTAATACCTCAAGTCATTTTCAATTACTGTACATACCTACAAAGGAACCAGCTCATTCCTTTCAGTATTGCCAGTCCTTGTGCACCGTGGCCAGGGGGCAATCGAGAGGCTTTTACCACTGTCCCGTTGAGCTCTCTGTCCGGCCCTGATCAAGTTGAACTACGAGTACCGCAATAGTCAACTAGCAACAAGCTTCTCAAATGTCACAGCGGGCGAATAATCAACCTATACTAGCAGCGCCAGCTATCGATCAATACGGTACTGTTCCCATTCTGGCCGAGAAGCTACCTTAATGGGCTACTTCGTGGCTATAGCCAAATGTCAATCAGGCTCAACTGCATTTGGAGACTGCCGGGTGTACCAGAACGATAGCTCAGTTCCTACAATACTCGGATGGAACAGTAATGAAGAGCGATGCCGACGGAAAGGTTCTCCATCGTACCAGACTCGCCATACCGCATCGCCAAATATTTGGAATAGCACATATTTGAGCCGCAAGCGTACTATGAACAACATAGTTGGACAATGACATGCATTGGGACTTTTTGAGTGGTTTGTACCTGAGTTACAGCGGGCCAGATTCCGTATCGTAACATCCGTCATCACGCTGGTGGTACATCATCTTTTCTGGCCAGGGGTAGTTCTTTTACTTCGTCCCCTTTCGCTAAGTCGCATGATTACGGTATCCGATATTCAAAGCAAACTCCCTCAATCTCGCGACCTAATGCCGCAGGCCACTCTTCATGCAATTGAAGCATGCATATAAGGTCAATTAAGTATCAGTATTTGCCTCAAAGCCCTGGCAAGTTCTCAATCGACCATCTCATTTCTTCCATGCAGAAGCTCCACAGGAATATATCAAGACATGCAGTCTTTCCTGCCCCTGCCCATAGCTGGTCTCCAAACCATGCGTTCATGGCCCAAACTCCGGTATCTAATGGTGTCTCTGCTCCTCGTGGCCGCATTCGATTTCAGCCGGGTCCATGCTGCAGCGGCAGCTGTGCTCGCCAGACGCCAGACTCTTCCCCATTGTCCTGTCGGGGACTGCGAGCCCCCGCATAGCGCCGAAGGAAAATATCCGCAGGCCGGGATTTTTGTGACCATGCCGAACGCGTCGGGTATGGGCTACTTCCACGAGGGGTTCTCCTACCATTACCCGATTAATAACCTCGAAGCGATTTGCCAAACCACGCCCGAATGGATGCGAGCGAGCGCCATCATGACGCCGTCCACGTTCTACAACAACATTCCGGTCTGGGGGAAGAACTGCCGATACACTCAAACCGTGGAGAACTTCAACGGGGCCGGGGATAACGAAGTCATTGGCTCCCTGGACTGTCCGGGGTGGGACCTCGCGACCTGTTTCAAAAATCATGCGGACGCGGTTTCGTGCGCAGCCAGTAGCATGGTAAGTTCCTGTGCTCGCTCCATGTCCTGCGAACTAAAGGTGTAATACAGGCTCTGCTAATCTATTGCCACTGGGAATAACCAGAGCAGGGGATAATGGCGTGGAAGCGGTCTTCTACTGAATCTCTACACGTCTAATTAACAGTCGTCTACATATTGAGAAACATGTCACTGAAGCTCGGTGCGTTTAATACGCTCCCTGAATTACTACGCAGATCAATCCAAAAAAAATTCTTCCTTCATAATCAGCGCTGCAGTACCATATCAATTTTGCCATTCAACTGGTCCGATGCCAGGATATTCCCCTATCCTACGTCCAATGACTATCCATGTGATATGACTAAACGTGCATCTCCCGTACATATCCCGTCCTGACTGTTTGGCACTGCCTTTCTGACTTTTGAACGGCGTCCAAATCCGTACCCTTTTTTTAAGCCTCCCCCTCATAGCAGTCCACCTTCTCCCTAACACACCTCGCTACCGCATCCCCCACCGAGTCCTCCCCCGCCAACAAATCCAACCACCCTCCGGGATACTCACTATCCAACACCTCCGCCACCACCTCTGCCACCTTCTGGCGACTCACCCCTCCCCGCGCCTTAATCTTCCCCAAGCTCACCCCATTCGTCGCATCCCCATCCGTCAGTGCCCCCGGCCTCAAACCGATCCCCGCAAAATCCGCTCCTCGCGTCTTGCGTGCTGCGATCAGCGCCTCGTCAGCGGCCAGCTTGGCGATGTGGTAGGCTTTTAGGGCGCCTTCGTTGACGGCTTGAGCGGCGGCCCACTCCGAGTCGGACCACCAGGGGGCGCGGTTGCGGCGGGATCCGATGTAGGAAATGTTTAGGAACTTCTTGACGGAGGGGGTGGCGGCGGCGGCGGTGGAGAAAGCTGATGCGGCGACGTTGTCGATGGCGTGGGTGCGGGATGGACCGCCGGAACCGCCGGCGCCTAGAATCGTATTAAGTAGTGGCACAATGTAACGTGTTTATCCAAGAATCAAGCCATTGGATGGTGAAGTCTACTCACCAGCACTCCACACGATCCAGTCAGGATTCACTTTCTTGATGATGGCCGACGCGTCTGCCTCGGAGCCGACATCCTCGACGCTGGAAATCAGGACGTCCAGCTTCCCCGGTTGGTTTTCTCCCAACTTGAGGATGGTGGGTTCTTGCTCTTGGCTTCGGATCATGGAGGTCACGCTCCAGGACCGTTGGAGGAGTAAGGGAGTGAGCAGCTGGGCCACTTTTCCGTGGCCGCCGATGAGAAGGATGCGGTGCGACATGGTTGCTGGAATTGGTGATCACGGAAAGGTTTGAGGGCTTCGAATTGGATCAGTTGAGGTTATAGTAGAATAATGTTTGTATTCATCCGACTTTATAGCATGAGTGGGCTTACCAATCTAATAGGGTTCTGCTGATCTTTATTATTGTTTTCCTGATCGGTCCGATAGTCACATCATTCAAACGGAAGTACAGCCCCGGTTAGCAGCCCGCCCTGCCCCGCATACTCACCCCGGCTAGTAGGTGTGACGTCAATCAGCCCTGCCAGTGACGAGAGCTCAATCCCCTAACTAATCTTACTTTATCTAATTTGCTACGTACGTCTCGGTTCATGTTGGCTTTAATAAATACGTTTTTGGTGTCTGCGTTGAACCCCCCTCACTTGACTCGCTCAGTCAGGAAATATTTTATGGATTCCCTATTCATATTATTAAATCTTGTGTAGGCCATTGGGCATACATACAGTCCAAAACCCCCCAATACCGTTCCGGAGCGTGCTACTCATATAATCCCAAATGCCCGCTATATCAATGTCATTCCTAGACGCCACATGGGTACCTCCCATGGCCATTCGTAAATATCATCAAAAGTCCCGGATCTCTAAGCCCAAGCGCCAACCAAGCTCATCCCAAACGCGCCGAAAAACACCAGAACACATGCCCATACGCGTCGCTTACCCCGGAGCACGCGCCAGCTCTCGTCGCTGAGGAAGTCCTCGGAAAGGAGCTCGACCAGCGATGCGTAGACGAGAAGGCCGGCGGATATGGCGTTCATGATCCCGACTAGGAGGAGGCCGACTTCCGAGTCGGGGTCGTAGAGCGTGTGGGTTGCGAGACCGATCGCTTGACCGATTGGGGTACTGTTTGGGGCTTAGAATGTGGTGTAGTGAATAATCGCGTGGTATAACTTACGTGCAGCCATACGCCAAGGCCATGAGCCACGGCTTGCCCGTATTCTTTGGCCATGATAGAGAGGCGATGCGTGAGCCGAGCGCGAGGCCTTCAAAGGTTTCTGCAGCACTAAGTTAGTTTATGTCTTATACGCCTCTGGGGAGGATACTAACGATGAAACGTGATCGCAATCAGCAGAATCACGAATTCGTTTCCACGAGACACGCTGAGCGCCATCCCAATGAAAACGCTGTGAAATAAAATGCCCACTTCCAAAAGCACGCATTGTAGAATCCCCTTCCTGTTTTTCTGCTCGTCCGTAAGGGACAGGCCTGGCACACTGCTTTTGGAGCTCTCCAGGTCGAGTTTTTCCTTGGGTTCGGTGGTTTCAATCGCCGGCTGACCGATGTCAATCTGGTCTAACGTCTCGTTCTCCTCCCCCAGCTGCGTGAGCCGCCGACTGAAGCTGTTCCTCCGGCCAATGAGCGGGCCTTTGACCCGCACCGGAGAAGTCCAGCCGTGTCTCGATTCAAGTCTCGGAGATAACGTTTCCTCTGAGGGTTCCGCTTCCCGGTTTGCGTTCGATGGCTGGCGGACGATGGCCTCCATGCGCTGGTCTCCACTGCACATGTGCTGAGCAGGACTGAACACCATTTCGATGATCGTGACGAAGAACACCGCAGCCAAGGCGATGGCGCCGGGCATGGCGGGGTAATCGTTCGTCCAGAAGCCGGAGAGACATGGGTCGCCTAAGAGGATGAAACCCGTCGGGAGCAGATGCACGAACGCCGTCGCGAGAAGGACTCCGGTGCCGAAATGACGGGCGCAGAAGAGAAAGGTAGGGGGGATTCGAAGGCGTGGGAACTTCATCGCCAGCATAGGGAACGCGCATGCGGATCCAGAAACGAAGAGGATGATGAAGACGGCGCCGACGTGGAGGGGAAGATTGTAATCGACCCGATTTCCACCTCCGCTTGCGCAGGTCCCTCTCTTCCTCAAAGGGGCAATATTCCATTCCCCTTTAGGGCCATGGACTCCTATAGCTCGGTCAGTTCGTGTTCTACTTCTCTCAAACTCGAGGGTCTTACCAAATATCCTACCAAATTTATCGGAGAACCTGGTAGATTGAGGGGTATCCTGACCAGTCATATGGAAAATGGCCGCAACATTAAATAATAAGGAAATGAATAGTAGATTTCGAGTCTGCCAGAATGCGGAGAGCCGGTTCTGCAATACATCAGAGATAGATTTTCTACCCCCACGGCTAGCACCGCTGGAGATTTTCTCATCTCCGTTTGGAAGATCCGTTTGATAGTGCCCGTGCTTTTTGGAGTAGAAACGGTCGTTTGGCGAGGAGTCAATAAGTTCTGTCACCCTATTCACGCGTCCCATCGCCCATCCACCCAGGATCGCTCCTGTTCGACCTTGCGATGAATTGGCGAACGGCGTTCCTGTCGTCCCTAAACCACGCAAACGATCATCTTCCACATCTGACATGTCATGGTCCCAAAACCCCCTCGCATTGGCAACGTCGCCGAAATCTTCACGGGTGGTGAGATCGGCGGCGAGGTGCGGGGGGCTCTGATTCCAGCCGGGATGGAGGATAGTGTCGTCGGTTCTCGAAGGACAATTCATGTTGACGTGTGGGAAAATGAGCTGGATCGTTACATGGAAGGACAAGAAGGGATGAATTGAACCATGGGATGAATTGAACCATGGGATGAATATCACCTCCGCATTTAGGGGAAGGTTACCTTGGGTCTTATGTGGCGGAGATGTGGGCTATATATAATCGACAGGGTTCCTGGTTCCATGACATGCGTGACAGTAAAATTTCCACAGGACTCATAGATTACCTCATGGCCGCCCAATCGTCAGGTCCGACATCACCCGGGCGTTGGGGCTTGGCAAGATTCAGGACTTTACTGACGGTTTGGAGTTTGTGTGCTTACTATCCGATGGTCCAACAACATCTCTGACATAGGACGTATAATTCATCAAACTATCTGTGAAAGCTGGAAGGAGTAGATTGAAAGGACGGAGAGTGATGTGATTGTTGCCAACAAATATACTGATCTGTCTCGTATTCAGTCATCAATACGACGCTATGCTGTTAGGGGTATTAATAAATGTTGTTTTATTGGTTGGATTTGTATTTACGATACAGCCATCAACCACTCGCTCAATCCTCATCAATCCCCACCTTCCAGGCCATAATTACCTCACCCCTAAATCGCGTCCCTGGGCTCATGTTTCTCGTACAGATATTCTGAGGCTCTTCAATTGATAAAGTACCTTTAAAAGCCTCATTATCGGGTGTATATAGCCACATAAACCTGAACTAAACGATGAAAACGGAGCAAGTCCATCCATGTCGCGAGAGCAAGACCTACGAAAGCTGCTTCTGACCCTGCAAAATTGGCTGCTTCTCCTCTCTGGGCTTTGGTGGTGACTCTGATGTAAGCATAGAAGGAGAGTTTCTCGTTGAGTGTAACCCAAGAATTTTGGCTTCCTTTGGGCAGTGACCGTTTGGCCGGCGAAAGTGAGGTCCACGGACTCCTGAGTGGCCTTCTTCCTGCGCCTCGTGAAGTATGAATTACATCTTATCTGATTCGGCCTTGCGTTAGTCCTGCGTGTTGGTTATTATGGACTGCTGATTCGGCTCTGTTAACGGTGATCGATGTCTTCCGGTCGAGACAGAATTAGAGGACCTAAATATAGACGATCTGGGATTTCTCTGTTTCCAGGCCGGCGGTGACGTCCGGTATTACCCGCTGTATCTTTGGCATCGAAGCTGACCCTAGAATGGAATTTCTTGTTTCTAGGCTCTACGTGTAGCTTCGATCATGGTCTGCGGTGCTTCTGGGGCGAAATGTTGTTCCCAGGTCCTATAATGGACTTTGGGGAGGAGGCCATGTTGATCATCAAGGTACCAGATCCTTTCCGCGATAACTATGCCTCAAGGGTGTTCCCAAGGGTAGGCTTTGGCGGAACGTAACGAGTCGAATTGCTTGTGGTTCAAATTGATACCATGGGGGAGTGAGTTGCAAGTCTTATGGCCTGACGAGAGGATAAATACCGGTATGTAGTGTAACGAAGACAGCACACGCGAGGTTATACAAGGGAGCCGAGCACTAGTCAATATTAATATAGGCTGTAACCATGCAGATCTCCCTGCTTAGAACTGTGACAGAGACCATTTCCCGAGGGTACACCAGTCACCACTTGTACGATCACAAGGCTGAATGGCCAAACAACCGTCCTGACTGCTATGACTAGTCGGGCAACGTAAATGATCTATAGATATCCGATCATTATTTAAATAGTTAGGTTATAGTTAGTTAACTAATGGATAGTTAACTAGTTAGTTATTAAAACTATTATTCTTCGTTTATCTTTCCTCTTTCTCGTGTGATGTGCCTTCTCGCACTGATCTGACTAAACCGGATCAACTCCAGATCTTCCGGTCTGAACAGTATATAAGGACAGGGTCCCAGGTCGTCACTTCGTAGCAGCAGATATAAACAAGCCAATTCTAGAGACTGGGGAGCTTCTCGGGGTCCGAAGATATTGGGAGATGCTGCCCAAGGAGCAGCATCGCCGAAGCCGTTATCAGGACTGTTCGCAAGGATATGGCCCTATTAGATAATGACCGGAATTATTGATGATGTATCTCCAGACCCCAATTGGTGGAGACGCTCCAGAAATTAGAACGGTAAGCTGGTGAAGATGCAGACAGGTTTAGTATTTCCTAGAGTGAACTCCGAATCAGTTTATATCCTCAAAGGCTTCGGCTTCTAATACATACGGCCACATTAACCTAAATCGATGGCATTAGGGATGATAGATAATGATTAAGGAGGAGCGTTGCAAATAGTTCTACCATTCCTATTAATTCTGATAATCAAATTTGATTCCAGTTCTACAACGTCGTCGTCACCAAGACAAAATGGATCGCGCCAGAAGATCAAGAAGAGTTGCTGTTGTCAGCGCAAGGGAATGCCGAACTGATCTTGCCAGTTTCATACGCGAGTATGATCTGCTGGACGACTCCATACGTGCCGCCGATAGTCAGGAATAGAGCAAATGCCGCCATCAAGATGTGCACTCCAAATTGCGCCTTGTGGATGATGGTGCCCTTTCGATAATCGCCATAGTCGTAAAGCCAAAGCATCGCCGGGAAACCCGTTGCCAAGGGCGCAAAGCACAAGCTGCCCGCAAGACCGACAATGTAGTCGAAGATTGGGATACCCGAGGCGATCAGGAAGCTAATGATGGAGAGCCCCAGCGTACAGCCCATCCACACCCCCCAGTGAACAAAGGTGTTCCTCTGTAGATGGTCTGTGTTGCGAAGAATTCGAACGAATATATACTTCGCAGCAACGTGGACGTACAGCGCCGCACTGATTAAAAGTCCGAACAAACCGACACCGAAAGCCACCTTTTTCAGGACAGGGCCGGCACTGCCCAGAGACGGCGACGCAACCCATTGACCGCACCACCGATATACGACCAGGCTAAAAGCTAGGTATGAGGAGACGACAAAGATCATGCATACCAACAAAGCCTTGTTGAAGTCCTTAGGTCGCTTCATTTCTGAAATGACCGGAAGGAATGCAGGTGGCGCTGCGCTGGTACCGAAGATCGTAGCCGCTGCGGTAATGCCGGCAGCGAAGGTAGGATGTGCGATGGCATGATACCCCAACTCGAAGTCTCCTGTCTGTGGTGCAGCTGCAGGGCGGTCCAGAGTCGTCACTCCAACACTATAGATTCGTTAGGGCCAGTGGTCGTGTCTCCATATTGCTTGAGCCGTTCACTTACACAACGATGAAGATCGCAATAAATATGGAGAAGAATCCGGCCCAGGTAAGCCAGGCAAACTTTTCGAACTTGCGCACACTCGCAGCGGCTGCGATAGCAATTGTTGCAACGACCAAAAAGTAGTTGGTACAGATAGCATGGTTCGAAAGTGCGTTCAGTGCGACGGACACGCCCAAGACTCCAGTGGCAGCGGAGACGACGAACGACAGGAGGAAGATACCGCCGATGATCTCTCTGAGAACTTTACCGCCGATGAGCTGAGCCATGTCTGCAACGCTATGGCATCCAGGATGAATATTCCGAAACTCGCCCAGTAAGAACCCACAGTAGGAATTCAAGGACACAAATCCTATGATACAAATGGCCCCGGGAGCTGCGCCAAGAGTATACAAAGCAGACGGAATGCTCAAGACACCGGTTGCGAAGATCACTGCGAGAAGACGTTGTCAGCATCTGCTTCCTTAGAGCAGCAACACAGGAGTCGACTCGACGTCTACCACTCACTTTTTGTGAATATCATTGCTGCGTGAATCCACGAGACCGTTCGAAAATCGACGGCTCCCTCCTCCTTCTTGAACACCTCGAAATTGTCTGTAGCAGCCTCATCTTTAACGACTCCCTCATAACTTTCTACCGTAACAGACTTCATATCGATGGAACGCTTCTCACCCGACATATTGGTAGGAAACAGATGGGAAAACAAGTAGAAATACTGATTAACAAACCGCTCGAGGCTAGTGGGCCTACGCCATGCGCTTTATATGTCGAGGCCTAATCACGAAGACCAGATACATGTCGTCGGGACAGCGTTGTGCCTACGGAATAGATTCCGAGGATATTCAAGGATCATGGACCCATTTGGGGTATGTTAGAACCGGTTTGGAGTTATCTCAGTTGATGCTCAGACGTTATCTAAGATGGTGAGTGGTCAGATAGGGGGCTGGGGGCCCCTGCTAAGGCCACGCCACGTTACCTGAGTTTATCTACGACTGATAACGACTGACTGAGGTAAACTTAAACTATTTAGGTGGATTTCTGTTTGAAGATGAATTGATCTTTGACTCGATAAATACCTTAACTTTTAAAATGAAAACCCCTCGTGAAAAGCTGATTGATTACGGAGATATAGGCTATATGTAGAGCTTGTACGATGGTATTCGGGAGCCTAATTTATGGGCGCTGGCTTAGGCTCCTACGTACTGATTTGGCAGCCTGAGCGCCTAGGATTAAACTCGTATTATCTTCGGCGGTACAGATTGCCTGGGCGCCTAAGAGCCTAGGATAGGCTATACTTAAGGGTATGGAATCCATAAATTTCTTCGGAGTCCCCACACTCTATGTTCAATGTCGACGCAAGCGCGGACATACTGAACCCTGTAGCTGCGGAGATCCCGCACTCTATGTTGACGCAAGTGGGGACATACTCTACTATCAGGCTTGGGTTATCTTGCCAACCCTCAACCCTGACCCTCACTAATTATGCGAACAGCACATCTAGGCAATACCAAACTCCACTTCTGCTGCACCTATACCGTAGCGCCGCTACCAATGTGATTGGACGCAGATGGAGCCCATCTTCGGTAGATATTCAGCACCGGATGCAAAATGTGCATATGCTTATGCATTACTATTCCTAAATCTCGTGATAAGGTTTTACTTACAGCCGTCTCTCTCTTTACTTCTTTGCAAGCATTGCACCAGGAGCTGCGGGCATGAGTGTTCCCGGCGGAGGAGGATTCCGCTTCTTGAATTCGTCCGACATCTGCTCCATGGTAACAAACTCGACCCCTTCGTGCTTCTTGAAATGCTCAATGAGTCTGCGATTGCGATTGCGATGTCAGATTGCTAGAATGCTTGGTTGTGTTCTCTGGTGCGGTAATGAATAACGTACCTCTCATGCATAGCAATGACGTGGGGCCGGCCAGACACATCAGGGTGGATCGATATGGGGAAGATGAACTCGTCGTACTCGCGGTAAAAGTAGTCGAAATGATCTCGCCAAATATCTTCGACGTCTCGAGCATTGACGAAGCCGTGGCTGTTGGGCGAGGCTTTGATAAACATCATTGGGGGGAGATCATCGATGTACCAGTTCCCAGGAATCTCTACAAGGCCAGTCTCCTGGCCTTTGACCAATGGCTTCATCCATTCCTCGGCCTTCTTGGAGTAGTCAATCTTGGTCCAGGAATCTCCAGTGCGAAGGTAATAAGCCTGACAGTCATGATGGCTCAAGCTGTGATCGTACTCGATACCATATGAGAGTAGTAGCTCGGCCCCCTCTTTGCTTGTTTCCCACCTAAAATAGTCTGGTCAGTGGCTGCGGTGCGGCGGTGGACTGAAACAAGACGCACCACGGCGCCACGCTTCCTCGGGGAGGCTTTCCGGCAAAATCCGTCAGCATTCGATACGTCTTATCCAGCACTGCTCGCTGTTGCTCGATAGTCATGTCCTTGGGGTTCTCATGGCTATATCCATGCAGTCCAATCTCGTGACCGGCGTCTCGAACCGCCGCCATCTCCTCCGGAAAGGTCTCCAAACTGTGCCCAGGAATGAACCACGTCGTCAGAATGTTATACTTTGCAAACATCCTAAGCAGACGCTCCGTGCCCACAGTTCCGGCAAAGATTCCTCGACTTATGTCGTTTGTGCTGTCCTCTCCCCCGTACGAGCCCAGCCATCCCGCAACCGCATCAACATCGACACCGTACGAGATGAGAACTCGCTTCTTCCCCATTGCGAATGACCTGGTTCGATACAGCTGAGACAATATATTCCGAAAGAATACGTAAAGCAATCGGTGTTGAGGTCAGCCCAAAGGGCAGAATGGGGAACTGTAGATATATTTTGCTGGGCCAGAAACTCTACGGAGGCCCCGCAGATAGCATTTCCCCCCATCGTCATTCCATGACACTAATGGCAGGTTTGCAGGTGATGGCTCGGTTAGTGAGTGCAGGATAATTGGATCTCTGGCTAGTCAAGCTGGTAGTAGGCAGACGCAAAACTTATCTACTACCCAATGGGACTCCAACCCGTTGCCGGGCTCTGTGATTCCCTTGCCAACACCTGGAGAGTTCACTGCACGGTTGGGTGGAGTAGTAGTGGGCTGAAGAATGGCGCGAAACCCTGGACGTTCCAGGGTATCTCATATCACACCTCTTTGCAGCATATCCGATAAAGGGCGTTTCGCTCCCGAAATGTATTGGTAATATGGATAAGTATGTAAGAATTACTATTGCACGCGGCTTTGCTTGGTACAATGTTCTAAAGAAAACCCCAGATCTGATCTTCCCATCTACAGTATTGTCCTGACCCTCTTGGGCCTGAAAATACCGTTTATCTAACTTAGTTAGTTAGTTGACGTTAGTAGTTGGGGTTGTTTGGGGAGGATCTTATGGGGTTCTCCAAACTTTAGGCCATGAGGGGCCGCTAGGGGCAGAACCAAAGCACGTTGACGTACCCAGTCAATACTCAACAGGATCTCAATTATTTTGAGATGCCATTGAGATACCGTAGCGAGATAAAAATTATACTATCCTATCGAGCATCGCGTTGATAGCCTCTTCAAATTCCTGCCAGATCCTATCCATAAGGAAAGATTCACCACGTTCAGCAGCAAAGCGCCGATGACTAGGAGGCTACTATGTAATGAGGCTTACTCTATCGCTAGATCCACCATTCAGAGGCTGAGAAATCGAGACGTCTGCCAGCTAGTCGGCCTATCAACCACATACACTTCCGACGGCCACACACTTCCGACGGAACATGTCGGTCTTCTTCAATTCTCCCTTAGAGTATGTGAAGATAAGAATCGAATCTACAGAGCTTGAATGCTTACCTCACGTAGCACTAGCCTAATAGCGATCGAAAAGCCCAAGTTGCTTCTAGCATCAATTAGCATCAATGATGGCATAACTCTAGAAGAGTCCGGAGACTATCGCCAGCTGTTTTAGCTGCCGTTCATGATTGTGCAGAGAAGATCCGTCGGCTGTCAGATTACCAAAGGCCCTCCGACTCGCCAGAATACCCTCGAGGAAATATTTACCGTCCGTCAGATAAGGAAAATGTCCTCAGACATGCCTAGGCCCAAGTATTCCACATCAGAGGCAACCCAAGCGGTGGACCGCTGAAGGGAAAGTCCGTTTGCCTGAAAGACTGCATCGTAGTAGCGGGAGTGCTGCAGTTCTTTGGAACCAACGCGTTTGCTCCATGGACTCCGCAAAGGGATGCGATCGTTATCACGCGAGCATTGGACACGGGTGCAGAGGTAGTAGGCACTGCTACTTGCGAGAACTTCGGTAATTCGACTTGGTCCTTTACAAGCGCCCAGCGCGTCGTAGAGAATCCCCTTGCAGAAGGCTATTCTTCTGGTGGCAGCACCTCCGGCGGCGCAGCCTTGGTCGGGGCAGGTCATGTTCACATTGCGATTGGTGCAGACTAAGGTGGGAGTATCGGAATTCCAGCGGCATTCTGTGGTTGTACGTCAATGCTGCAAATTGAAGCAGAGACCTTTGGCTAACAAACTTGCCAGATGTTGGACTAAACCAACGCTTGGCTTGGTTCCCTACACCGGCATCACGAGCGGCGATGTAGTCAACGACTATGCCCGACCGATCGCAAGGACAGTATTGGAAGTAGCATCATGTTGGAGCGCTTAGCGGATAGGATAAGCTTGATGACCGTATACTCGGAGCACCGCCTCGTGGCTCGGCCTCCTTTACCGAGTCTCTACGCCCTACGTTGAGCGGCGCCACAGGCTTCATGGTTGGGATACTGGTGGAAGGATTCGAGCACCAGCTGGTTGGTCCCCCAATCAAGGACCTCGTCATGCGCGCTGCACGCAGGTTCGAGACGCTCGGAGCCATCGTCGAGCAGGTCTCGGTACCGTGCCATATGGAGGGGCCGGCTGTTTGGGCGATTCAGCAACACATCCCAGGAGCCTTTAACCTTTTGGGGCTTCAGCACGGGCGAAGGGGTTTGTATCCTACGGAATTTGAAGAAGCGCGCCTCCCTTGGACTAATGCCAGCTTCCAGCGGCTATTTCCCGCAACGATGAATACGATGATCAACGGACTGTACCTGGCGAAGAACTTTCCTGGTCTCTACGCAAAGACCCTTAACCTAGCGCAGCTGCTCACAGACTCGTATGAGAAGCTTTTCAAGACGTACGATATGGTTGTCATGCCCACGACGCCGTGCGTCGCGCCGAAGCATGTGGACGGGAGACAAGGGGAATCGCCCCTGAAGGCTTTGAAGCCTAGCGTAGGCCTTTCCATCAACACTGCAATCTTCAACATTACGGGACATCCGGCCATGACCATTCCCATCGGCTCCTTGCCAGCAAAGGACAACCATGCGATCCAGCCGCCTGTTGGGATGCAATTGGTGAGTGGACTGTGGCAGTAGCAAAAGATTCTTGATGCCGGCCATGCATGGCAATCCACATTTGACTGGAGAAATATCAATGCTGAGATGCATCGATTCCAAGACCGCATACGAGGCTTTGCTTGCTGCCGGGTAGCATCCTGTCGAAGCTGCAACTGCGCGTGAATATTGATAGTTAGCACGTCGCTTATGCGGCAAAGCCCAAATGCCCAATACCAATGAACATCGACGTGTATCACCCAAGAATTGTCGCCAATTCAGGTCAGAGTTCGGCTGAGCGAAGAATGTCCACAGCTCTGCTACTTATCAGTTGTCAGGCGGCACTCCGGATATGCCAGCGGGGTTTGCACTGTGGAGGGGGTCATGGGACCTGCGTCCCAGCCACTGCATACATATAGTTCTCCCTATCCACAGACACCTAGCTGGAACATCAGCAAATGCAACTCTTATCTCAACTCTCAATATTTACCTGTCGAAAGCGTTTTCTGCTTCTGACGTTCAGGCGTTCGGTAATAGTGTAGAACGTTTATTTAGTTTCCATATTCTAAAATGACCTCTTACCTTGGCTTTTCTGCGGATCATCATGTGCATTATTAGTTCAATCTGGTCGTTTTGCTGCTGGAGCTGCTAGGATTTGGGGTGATTTGGCTGATCGGACTCCGTATAGTACAGGTAGCAGCATTCAATTGACTCCCTGGGCACGTCTAGCTTTAGCGAAGTGCCCAATCAGGCGGTTGCATATATTGTTACATTGCTTGGCGTACAACTCGCAAAAAAACTGCCAAATTTGAGTAACGACTTTTGCAATCGAATATTTCGAACGTTTTCTAATTTAATAAAAATAATATCATTAAATCCGCCAAGTTCCAAGCTATTGAACGATATTATTTTTATTATAATTAGTTCTTGTGGTAAGCGGCAATTAAGGAAACTTGATATTGGTAGATTTTGGTAGGTTTTGGTGGTTTTGGATTGCAAAAGTCGTTATTACTCAAATTTGGCAGTTTTTTTGCCAGTTGCACGCCAAGCAATGTAACAATATATGCAACCGCCTGATGCATACCTCTGATCGAGACATGGAAAATCTTGCAGCTACTGCCAACGCCATTTCAAGCGTACAGAACACCTGACGAGGCATCTTAGAATACGTCAGTGATAATAATTAAATCCATGAACATGCCACATTCATTCCAATCAATATTGTTCTCTCCTATCTCTATCAGTTCGGCTGATGTCTTTCTGCAGATACCAAGGAAAGACCGTTTGAATGCGATTGTGGAACCACCTTCTCTCGCCGTGACCTCCTTACTCAGCATCGGCGGATCTATAAACATGGGAACGACGAAGTATCATCACTTGGAAGAGCCCGGCGTGGACCGGCTGTCGACGTCCCCGTCAGCGACGGGTTTCGTGCAGAAGATGGGTTCGTAGCGCAGTCTTCTTGAAGTTTCTAAACTTTATGGACGGGGTGAGCCTTCCCACCCGCTGGTCTCCTAGTCCTGGCACTGATTCGGATGCCGCTGGCAGTGTTCGCGACTCCCAGGGTACAGATATGCTCGATGCCAATGGTATTGGTACTCCATTCAGCACTTGGCTGCCCTCTGCTCCCGCAGAGAATGAAGCAATCAGCACTTTCAACGCAGCAAATTCAATCGTCTTTTCGAGCTAGAGACGCGAAGAAACGAGCTTTGGGCCGCAGGTTCGTTCCTTGATCCGCCCGTACAAGTTCTCTCCGAGAGAAGATGTGCCATCTGCACGATATGGCCCGTGGGCTCCGCTCGACACCATCAAGACTTTACCGATCTTGGTTGGGTACGCCACCTGGAAATTCGTCGACTTGCTCCAGCAATCATTTGCCCTTAGACAGTCGCTCGTTCATTGCCTTCGCGACATTGGTCTTGCGGCGGAGAATCACTAGCCCGCGAGCCCCGGTTTTAACGGTTTAACATGGGAACAGTGGATAGAGCAAGAATCTGCGCGACGCCCAAATCTGACTGAGTTCTGCTACATAAACATGCATAGCATAGCTTACGATGTTCGCCTGATGCTATGGTGTAGCAAGATGCACTTGCGACTGCCATGTTCCACTGATCGATGGCAAACTCGAAGTGCCGCTCAATGGGCCAGTCTCTAGCGCCACCCACCCCCTCTCTTCCCCCTCACACAATGCGTAAATGCATGTGGTCGGCAGAAGAACGGCACACCCTTGTGGAACTCCAGCGGAGGAACAAAACCGTCAACACGCATCTGAAACCGCGCCTCACATCCACAGGTATCAAGCTCGCGCTAGGCAGGGGGCGTATAGTCACCTCTCACATACGACAGAATACGAAGATACGCAATGCCAATTCAAGCTTTTGTTTCAGATATCGAAGAGAGAAGGATATTACTTTCTCAACGCTTCTACGTGACGTGCAAACCTCCGGTAATGAGCATCTCACTACCAGTCATGTACGCGCTGGCGTCGCTTAGCAGGTAAACCGCAGCCCCTTTCAAGTCGGTGCGGTCCCCCATCCGTTTCATGGCTGGCGCGTTTACAAACACCTCGCCTACATCCTTCCTTTGCTCGAGAAGGGCCATACTCATATCCGTCAAGATGTATCTACTGACGATTAGCGACTGTGGGCCAACGGTTATACCAGAAAGAGAACTTACCCTGGGGAGATACTATTCACCCTTACACCCATACTTGCCAGCTCCGATCCAAGCTGATGCGTCAGACCAAGGACTGCACCCTTGCTCGAAGAGTAATCGCTCGTCAGCTGGAGTTTGGGGGCTTCATGTGCAGAGACGGAGGCAATGTGGACAACCGATCCAGCGCCTGACGTTGGAGCTGCACTTCGCCTCCCCTGCTTCACCATCTGTCTCGCAGCCAACTGAGTTGCAAAGTAGGTGCCGAAGACGTTGATCTTGAAGGTGCGCTCCACGTCTTTCGGATCTCGATCTAAGAAGGCCTGGTCGGGGCATACGCCTGCCGCCGTGATACTGAAAGCCTGGTCAGCTTGACGCTTTATTGAGACCTGACATCCCATACAGGCCGTCTATTCGTCCAAAATCCTCGACAATCTTATCAAAGGTTGCCTGCAGTTTCTCATAATCGGTCACATCTGATCTGAAAAAAGAAGACATGTTAGCATGCCTCTGGGACTATGGCGTGCTGATCTTTTTGAGAACGCACTGATAGAACTCAGCCTTGCATATTTCTTGCAGTTTTTTGTAATGCTCGTGGGGTTGCGGCGCCGCATCGATGATCGCAACGGATCCCCCAGCTTCTGCAACGGCAAACCCAAGAGCCAGTCCAATCCCCCTAGCACCGCCCGTGATTATGACAACGCGGTCCTTTAGAGAGAAGAGGTCGAAAACATTGTTATGGAGATATGAATCTGCGTTTCTTGGGACGGCAGTTTCGGATTTGGCAGCCATTTCGAACGACTGTGACTCGCGGATATGAGACCCCGGTTTCCTTGAGAGATGACACTAGTTGAGAGAGTGGAAGGCCGCGATGGCTAATTTGATAACACAGGAAACGAGGTGGGATGACTGCACAGAGAACCCCCAAAAGAAGATTGAATCCAGAGCATCCGCCAACAAGTCAGCTTATATACGGTCCATCCTATGGCGCCTTTCGCTGATAAACGGCCCACCCAGGCAAGTGTCCCAATCATTGCTACACCAAAAATGACCAAAGTTAGCCCAAAAAGATTCTCGTGATATGATAGATTGGGGACGGAGAAGTGTGAGGAGGTAGCAGGTCTAGCGCATCAGGGGGTACGCTGCGGGGCCAGTGCGGGGCCTCCGTTCAGAGGGAGACCCCTCCTGGTCCCAGTACGGTAATGCTCTCACTAGGATGAATCGTGGCGCCTGAAGTCTGGCGTTGCGGCGCTTCTTGATGCTCCAGTCGTGTTTAAATTCAATATGGTAAGGGAAAACCGTAAGTGGCCTAGTCGAAGACTCCCTGGAAAGCAGAACAAATATTGACGTTGACAAGCATGCAGCCACAATCATCCGTCCTCAAGAAGTTCTCACTTCGTAACAGATCTATCGTCATTACGGGTGCTGGTCGAGGGTTGGGCTTGAGCTTCGCGAGGGCAGAGCTCGGTGCGAATATCATAGCCATTGATATTCATGATAAACCAGACGAGGAGTTCCACTATCTCTCGAGCTATGGTGTGAAAACAGCCTATTCCAAGTGAGTTAGGTGCAGTTTGCTGCCCGTGTTTCGCGACTTGTCCTTACAATGCCTACTAGGTGCGACATTCGAGATTATGCAACGCTGAAGGCGCACCCTATAAGTTCAACGGTTCAACTTCAACCCCTGCCTTCCTGTGCACCCACCAACCATCTTTTGGACCACCGCCATCCAAGACGCGTTAAAACCCCCCAGACACGCGTTATTTATATAATAAATTTTATTTCCTAATATGGCATCTCACAATGAACGGATATCAGGTGCCTTACGTGCTTTTGCTGATGGCGAGGCTAACTCAATTCGAGATGCCGCCCGGCTCTTTGAAGTTAGCGAATCTACCCTACGCCTTCGCCTAAAAGGCTCTGCTTCACGGTCTATCGCCCAACAGGGCAATCAACGCCTTACACCGGATCAAGAGACCTGTTTAACAGACTGGATCCTTGAGTCGGATGCTCAAGGATTTCCCCCTACCCACGCCCGTGTACGGGAAATGGCTGCGCGAGTCCTTGACCTCCAGGCCGACCAGAGCCCCTTTGGGAAGAATTGGATTCCTCGCTTCCTTCACCGAAATCCACGCGTCAAAGCCTGCTTAGGCAAGAATTTAGATGCTGTTCGCCACCATGCCGCAATGGAGGAAAACATTCGACGGTTTTACGACCATTTTCACAAGGCGGTGGTCGAGCACGATGTCCACCCCGACGATACGTATAATATGGATGAAGTGGGCATAGGATTAGGGATAGGATCCAATTCTGTGGTTATCGCAGACTCCCAGAAGGCGGTCGCCACCTTGGTGGGCCAGGAAAATAGGGAATGGATCTCCGTAATCGAAACGGTGTCCGCGACAGGGCGGGCGCTTAGCCCAGCCGTGATCCAGAAAGGAGCTTCTATCCAGAGCTCCTGGTTCCCGTCAGACGCGCCAAATTGGTTTTACGACGTGTCACCGAACGGATGGACCTCGAATAACATCGCTGTGAAGTGGCTGCGCGAGCTATTCCTCAAGGAAACCGCGACGGAGGGGGAATATAGGATTTTGGTGCTTGACGGGCACGGCAGCCATGTCACGGTGGGTTTCCTCTATTTATGCAAGATAAGTAAGGTGGTGGTGATCTTCCTACCTGCCCATACCTCCCACATCTTACAGCCACTGGATCTCGCCTGTTTCTCACCACTGAGGCGGTTCGACAAGACCCTTCTTCGCAACGCGGCCTATATCGCCGAGGCCCTACCAATTAAACGGAGGAAGTTCGTCTCATTGTACGCAAAAGCCCGTGAAAACCGGCTCTGTAGCCGTACGATTCGATCAGGCTGGAGAGCTGCAGGCATGGTTCCATTTGACGTTGAAAAGGGCCTCCAGAACCGGTTCGTTAACTGGTCGGTCCCCCCGCCGCCGCCATCACTTTTAGCACCCGCATCGCCGCTCGCACCAGCTACCGGAACGCGTCATACGACTCCTTTTTCCACGCCTGTCAAGCCTAAACAGGTTTACAGTGCTCTGAAGGTAATATCGAAGCATAGTCGCGTCGCGAAAGGCACGAAGAGGGTTCTTGGCAAGGCGGCTAAGGCAATCAGACTGCTTCAGTCCCGCCAGGCGTTATCCGATGCCAAAATCGCGAGTTTGGAGACACACCTTGAGGCAGTTTTAGCACCTAAAAGGAAAAAGAAGCTTCAGATAGACCTGAATGATCGATTCGCACGCATTAGGGAGATCAAGGCTGCTCAGGACCAGGCCGGTGGTTGCGGAGGAAGATTACCAACGTAAAAACACGGAAACTGATCTGGAAAAAAGGTCGAAGGAGATTACTGTAGGGGATTTTACGTCTTGCTTAGTAGAATTTCAAATTTAATCCGTTTTGGGGGAGAAATAGAGCGTGGAAGAGGTTTGCTGGAAATGGTGGAAGTGCGCAGCTTGTCGGTTGCGCAGGAAGGCAGGGGTCGAACTTAGTCGTCTCCAAACACAATCTGAGTGACAAAGCATCGCAGCAGCAGCTATTATAGTAGATAATCCATTCATGGAACACACCGTAGACGACATGAACGCCTCGTTCGCCGTCAATGTAAGTCCTCTTTTCAGCAATGAGATGACCTTTCTCATTGACTGGTGGGCAGGTGAACGGAATGCTCTCGACGGTACAAATCTGCGCCGAACATATGATTAAGCAAAAAACTGGAGGCAATGTCATCTGTATATCCTCGACGGCGGGACACAAAGCGGTATTTCCTCGGACTGCCACAGCATACGTCTGCTCCAAGCCTGCGGTTCTTTGTCTGATCCGACAGGCTGCTGCAGAGATGGCACAGTATAAAATTCGCGTGAACAGTATCAGCCCTGGGCACGATGCATCCATCTTCGGGGAACGTTCTGCACTAATACCGACATAGGCCATTTTTAACGAAGATGTTGTGATCGGTAATAGCGAGTGACCATACGCTAGAGGAGTATTTCACCGAGGCAATGCATTGAAACGATTGACGGTGCCAGAGGAGCTGGACGGAGCAGTAGGATACTTGATGAGCGATGCTAGCAGTTTGGTGACGGGCAACAAACTTCAATATCGATGGCGGATCCGGCTGCCATCGAGAGCTGAATACTCTTGTTCGCGATAATTAGCCGTTCCGGAAAAGGTTTTAGTTGGAGTTCGATGTCCCGAGTACTCCTGACTCCTGACCAGTCTCCAATCGATCCCCACTAATTACCCCACATGTGGCTTGGGGGAGTGCCTACTGTGCATTACCATTTACCATTTACCAAGGTCTGGCTTGAGGAGAAACACTAATTAGTTAAGGTGCCTAAGTTAACTAACTTAGTTAGCCTTAGTTAACCACCTTGGGCCAATTGACTTCTAAATACGTATCTTGGTGATTACCGAGATTGCTTCTCCTAGGGATGTGATTGTACCACCATGCTATCCAGCGAATAGGCAACATAACTCTGCGCTACACATACCAGCTCACGGGAATGGCCAAGAGACAAACTTTCGTCGTAAAAAGATGCCAGCAGCACCGGTATGGTCTGTTCCATTCAATCCTTCCAGCCAACACTGATCACAAGTGGTGATAGGAAGAGCCTGTCCGCAAAGCATTCCAATGCGATATATGTGGGGTGAAATTGACGCGCCAGACGCATCTCCAGCGGCACCGACAACTTCATTCACGGTACGTCTCCGATGCTTCACTCGATCCATTACTGATTTTTCTTGACAGTGGAGCTGGTCGGACGGAGGGCTTCCAATGTAAACCATGCGGGAAGCTTTTCAGCCGAAAGGACATACTTTTGCGTCATGACCGGTTGGTTCACGGCATCACACTGCCGAATATACGGAAAACTTCATGCCAGAATTGCATTCGACGGAAGCTAAAGTGTTCACGGTCACCGCCTTGCGATTCTTGCGTCACTAGAGGCACGGAATGCATTTTCCAGAATCTGTCGAGCAATGTCAACGTAAATGTGGCAGAATCTGCGCATCATTCTTCAGAAAGTACCCGGAACGATGCATCTGCTTCGCCCAGAGCGACCCACTACAGTCCAGAAAGCTTGATCCAAGCGTCCATGTCTTCATCCCGACCATCTCGTGACGATGGAAGCATCGATGCCCAGCAACCGGAGTTCCCTCTCAATGACATCCAGCACCCACCTCCTAATCCAACGAGACTGAACAGAGGCTTATATGGTCTCAATCTTCCTCCTGATTCTTCACCACTCGGGGACATTCAGCAATCTGAGCCGACACGAATCGACTTGCAAGACAATAGCTCCTTGATAGACCAATTAGACGATCCAAGAAGCATATCTGACTTGGATCTCGCCAACCTCGACTGGGACCTTTGTGCTCCCTGGGGAATAGATTGGCTTGGATTCGATCAACAGGGCTCTGCGCTCCCACCCGCAATGCTTGCTCAACAGACTGTTTTCGGCCAATCGATGGATGCACCAACAGCAACAGCTTTCGCGGAAGCTGCGCGCTTAGCTTCCCCGGAATTTTCTCCGTTGCCATGGTTTTCAGGCGCTCCCGTTCCTCCGACCCCTGGTCAAGTGAACAGGCATCACACTGTGAATCAGCCAACAGTTCCTAGGCGAAGGCTTAGCCAGTGCTCTTCGGTTGCGAGTACAACACTCGCGAGCAGTATCAGCAGCGTCCTCTCCAAACCGTATCTGCCGTCAGATATTGATTCACCGGAACATAGCGCCGCGGCCCACCATCTCGAAAAGATGGTCACCATTTACTTTGCGGAGTTCTATCCTGGGTTACCGGTCATGCACCAGGCGACATGGAACATTGCGAAATGTCCCACACACCTCATAGCTGCCTTAGCATGTCTTGGGTCTACAAAGTATCATAGGAAGAAGGGGCTGGACGCGGAGTCAAGCATGCTGGCCGAGATATGTTTTCGGCATTTGAACGAAGCGGTATACTCCATCGACTTTGCGTGCTACCTGGAATCTTACTGACTAGAAGTGGAATCGCAGTATGCACGCGGACCTGCCGACTATCAGAACATCGAGTTCGCAGCTGCATCCTTGTATCATCAAGTCTACTGCTTGGGTGTCGCCGTTCCGTCACTCCATGAGCGCGCCGACAACTTCCGCGGAATCCTGGTGCAAGCTCTTAGGAGAACCGGCGTGTACCGCTCCATAAACATCGCCGATCCATGGAGCTTAAAGGTCCCTTCCATTGAAGACCTCGACCCCAAAGATGCTGCAAAACTCGAGTTTGCATGGCATCAGTGGCGGGCTGCTGAGATGGCAAAGAGACTCGCGTGGAGTGTTTTCGAATATGACAACAGTCTCTCGACTCTGACGACCAAGCGAGGCGTGGTGAGCTTGCAAGAACTTCCAGACAGGCTGCCCTGCGATGAGAGCCTTTGGGAGGCGCAATCTGCCGTAGCATGGGCGTCCATGGCGTCCCTAACAGGACATTCACTTCAAGGAGCTCCTTTTCGGCCGCTCCTTCGTGAAATCTTGAACGGAAAAGCGATTTCTGACAATGTGCCATCATGGTGGAAGCGCTGTTGCGCTCAAACCATCGCTCGACTTTTCTGGAATCTGAAGGAGATGGACAACTCCATCTTAAACCTTTACGCCCTGAATTCGTTCACAGAGTCTCAGAAACCTCTCAGGAAATATCTGTTCCAGAGTCTGAAATTGCTGCATGATTCTGCAGTAAGACCGTCCCGACCTCAAGACCTTGTTCATGTCAAGTAAGTGCCCAAACTGTGACTGAATTGACTGGTACCTAACACAATCAGCATTACTTGCCTTATTTATCATCATGCGAACTTGTACAGCCAACAAGAAATGATGGAAATGATCATACTTATCTGCCAGAACGGGACGAGCCCAAACGACATGGAGCTGGATATGGCAAAGACCAGGCTGCAAATGGTCCTCGCTAGTGATCCTGTCCATGCGAGACGACTCGTATACCATGCGGCATCCATCATTGCAATTTCTAGAGAATGCACAGTCAACACCCCATGCGAGATAATGAGGGTTTTTGACGCTTATGCATATGTTCTTGCATTCGTCAAGTTCGGCCCAGAAAAGAGGAAGACGCGTAGTTCAATCAGGGAATCCTGCGCTGTCAATCTCAGCACTCCCGCCACGGCTAGTGGCACTTTGGCCAATGAAGCTAGCGAAAGTGAAGACTCCGTCCGGCTCGACCGTATCCCATGGTCTCGTACAGTTGCTCAGCAGAATGCAGTTGTCCTCTGGATCAACAAGAACTGTGGCTATCCTTCCATTGACGACGCACACGATATTTACGAAGATGGCAGCTACGCAAAACTCAAGGCCATTGCCCTTCAGGCTATCGAAAACTTGAGCGTGTGGGATTTATCACGTAGATTCTACAGCACTATAGAGAGTTTAAACTAGGCTAAATAGTTCTAGTCACTTTGGCTTTGAACAGCGCATGCTCAGATTCAATGTCTTTGCTCGTATGTGGTCGCTGGACACCATCTTGTTAGAGCAGTGGATGGCTCAACGTCCAATGGTGCGGGGTCCGAGCTGGATGAAGTGGATGAAAAGGGGTACGGGTGGTCTACGTAACTCTGGTTTCAAATGTCTGGCACTCTCTATGAGAGATTAAGAAGCTTACCTTACTCCAAGGCACGGTAGACATTGGACAAGGATAGAGAGTCGGAACTTGGACCCAAGCATACATTTGCAGGAGAGGAAATAGTGCCGTAGAACCCGTAGTACTATTGTGCGGGTCTGAGAGGGAACTTCGGCGTAGTCTCCGTCCCCGCTACACTCTCAGACATCCATCAAGAGCATGTCCCGCAACCCTTCATCAGTCATCCTGTCTCCACGTACATGGAAGTTGTCTCTTGTGCTGCTAGAGTAGAACCTCATAGTTGCGGGGTCAAAGAAAGAGAAGGGCGTGTCCGGTTGCCTCCAAAGGGGCCAAGCTTCCTTGCATTGTGATGAGCAATGGCTTTGGCGCGATAAAATATATGGGCATGTTGCCTTTCACCGAGCGGTTTCCGGCCGAGCTTCCCGTCACGGTGCTGCTTTACAACAATCGAAATCTTGGTGCGAGCGATGGAGAGCCTCGACAGGAGGTCATTCCTGCTCATCAAATCGCCGACTACAGTGACGCAATCACCTATGCTCAGCTACGACCAGACGTTGATGAGAAGAAGATAGTAGTCTGGGGCACGAGCTACAGTGCCGTTCATGTTCTCACGGTTGCAGCCGTTGATCGAAGAGTGAAGGCGGTGATCAGCCAGGTATGCAGGGTACTGTCCGAGTATGTAGCACAGCTAATTAATATGCATCAGTTCCCTGTCACAGATGGATAGACCAACTTCCATAGGATGACCAGAAACGATTTGGTGAAGAACATAGAAGCCCTATTCGACAAGGGTGAGTCGGTTTCAAAATATCATTCCGGTATAAGTCTCTGACAAGACACAGATCGACAAGGACATGTTAGAGGCGAACCAGCAATGACGATAAAGAACGTATCCAACCAATCCGAGGAGGAACTTTGCAATCTTCCGACTCCAGATAGTTACGAGTATGTGACTTCAGGGATAAAAAAGTACCCCACAGTAAGGAACGAAATCACAGTTAAGAGGTAAGTGACCAAACAATCGAGTTAGCCCGCGTCCACTAATGCCAGAATTTTAGCATCGAAGCCTTCTGAGCATACAATGCGTCGGGCTACATCCATCACATCTCTCCCACGCCATTGCTGATGTGCGTTGCGGACAAGGATGAGCTTACACCTACCGATATTGCCATCGAATCCTACTCGCGTACACGGGAGCCCAAGGACATCTATATCTTCCCTGGCGGTCATTACGACGGTTATTAGGGGGAACCATTCGAGAAAGTCATCGCTTGCCAGATTGAGTTCTGGAAGAAGCAATTTTTGGTGTAATTTGAGTAACAGCTCCAGAGTCCCATCTCTTACTGGCCCCTGGCGAATTGTAACAAGAATTCCGCGAAACATATGGCTGTATATGCCAGCTATATTGCGGCATATATCGGTAAGGTTGTTACTGGCGAACTCTTTGGGTGTCTACGTCTCGTCCCCTGAGAAGCAGCTTGCAGACACGAAGGATGTTTGTGGCGGTTAAGTCAACGGACCCAGTTTCCGTGCACCCCCACCACAACTCCAATAGGACACAAAGACGAATGGATTTTGCGGAATGTAACCACCACCATATATTTTTCTATAGCTGTAATTGAAATTGTGGATAGAGTGACTTAAACATTGCCTTCTGCAATTATCAAGACGTTTCCTCCGGGTTAATTTGAAGGCGTTTTGCAGCCTTTTGTTCTGTTGATCGTTTTGGCGTGTCAATCAATCACGGAAACAATAGGATACCTGTTCAGAGGCAGTGAGATGCTTGTATTCGGTCAGAAGTACATAGTTTACCTTGACGGGTATATATACCCAGGCTTATGTAATCTTATGTAATCTACAAGGGGCGGTGACTAAGTAATAGCCGCGGAGTTCCGACATGTTCCCTCTCCCCTAGCTGCCTCCTGAGCCGCAACAATCTGGTCAATCTGAACAAATCGTTCGTTCAGATTGGGCTGAACCCGTTTCCTTTTCTTGCTAGCAAGCCCTCCTAAGTCTGAAATTGTATTTTCAGCCCTTTGAAGTTCGGCTTTGAGTCGGGCGGTTTCCGTGTTCTTCTCTGCCAGTGCCTTTGCGACCTTCCCCTGAAACCTCCTGAAATCCCGGCCCCCCATTTCGTCTAATTTGGCATCGTATATATCTTTGAGGCCTTTGGGCGTACGGAATACATAAGTATACTGCGGCTCTGGAGTCACATGACGTTGTATTTGATGGTTCTCGTTTAATTGGGTGCTATTTAATACTTTGTCTGGGTTGAACGGAACCGTTCCAGTTCCACGGAAGCTGGCACGAATATTGTACGAATTCAAAGCTTCTTTTCGGGATTTAGAGTATATATATATAAAATTATGCTTTTTTACAGGTGCGGAATCATCTAATGATGCTAATTGGGAGAGCTCTTTATGATATTTGGACTTTAGGGGCGAGAAACACGCGACGTCAAGGGGCTGGAGGAGGTAGGAACAATGGGGGGGCAAAAACAACAAAGAATACGCGGTTGTCCTTGACCAACTTCATGAACTCGACCGTGGCGTGGGAGCCGTGCCCATCGCATATTAATAGGCGGCATTCCTGCGCGCCGTTCGCTGCCGGGGAGTTCATGGGCTTGCTTTCTGGCAAAAACTTCTTCTTGAGCCACTGAGGACACGGGAGATAACTTCTGAAGTTTCTTCGAACTATTTTGGTGGGAATCGTTGCCGTTGAGTCTGTCCCGGAGTGTAGATCTCTTGATACCGTACGCATCCGCACATTTATTCAGCGAGTCAAATTCTTGGCCATGAAAAGCATTAATAGCTTGTTGGACTGCCTCTTCATTAATACGAGGCATCCTGATAATATTAGATGGTGTTGTTGAATTTATTTCATTGATCAAAAGCGATCTAAGTATCTACGTATTATCTCAAGGGGTGCACGGAATCTAGGTTGCATGGAAAGTGGGTCCGTTGACTTATTCGATATATGATAGTTCTCTAGCGCCCGGATCTGCGAGAGGTATTTATTGAGAGGCGTGCGAGGATGGATTCGGGCGACCGCGTCGACGCGTGACCAAAGGGTTTGTTGGAAGCAACCATCATCGTCTGGTTAGAGTAGGTGATGCATATTGTGATTCATTCCTAACCGGGACTAGCCTATGTATGTATATAGCTCGTTCTCCTCATCATTCCTGAGATAGATTCCGGCTCCTCACTTAATGAAGACCTGGAATATTCAACTTCAACAAGGTTCTAGATGTGCCCAAATGGAGCTGATGGAGGCCCGTAAACAGGTTCTCGGAATCAGTACCAATGGGGATCGATAACGTCAAGAGGCACCATGTAGAATGGCATCACGCATGCGTTTGTCGAGGAATTTAAGAGCGTCGAGGATAGAGATTACTACGTCAATAATGATCCGGCCCATAGCAAATTCAAGGAGACGCTTGGGCAGGTTTTTGAAAAGGCGCAAGTCATTGGTTTTACTGACAGGACATTTACTTAAGCTGTAATAGGATGGACGGTGTTCTGTAGCATGACAAAACACCAATAGACTTAGAGGTATTCGCTGGATAGTACGGTATCTGAACCACATATTTAGAAATCGATCTCAGGATCCTGGCTATTGTGAATACGGACAATACAACATATCTCCATAGGAGTGCGTACTGTCCAATACCTTGCCTCGATATGAAGTAGTGGTTTTTTCGAGGTAAAATCGGCCGTGTCTTCGCCTATCACCGATCTCCGTTCCTTAACCGCTTCCTCGCAACCCAAAACTGCACCTTATATCCATTTATGTTCAGTGCCCTCTCATTCGACCCATATATTGCCGACATCGACCTCACCTTTTTCCCTGACAACGTGACCTCGCCGCACCTCGGACTCGTCTCAATAAACTCAAATCCCAATGCCTCCGACAACAAGATGATTTCATCCAGGGACAGTTGCACAAACGGCCCACTCCCGTACAGCAGCGGACCCGAGTTGATCCAGTAGCCGCCCGGTCGCAAGGTGCGGTGGATCGTCTCGAGGTAGCTCATCAGATTGCGTGCCGTATCGATGAAGAAGTGTGTGACGATGGCATCGTAGTCGCTGTGTCCGGTCTGAAATTCGGTGGTGAAGTCGCCTTCGACGAGGACGACGGACGAAGTGTTGAGGGGTCGGTCGGGGAAGGATACAGCGCGCTGCATGTCGGCGGAAGTAGCGTGATGTGACCAGGAGTCAATGAAAGGATGGAAGGTGAAGGGTGAGAGGTCCTCCTCCGTTTCGAGGACGCGATAAGCGACATTCATATACATGGACCATTCGTTGATGGTTACGTCGAACCCTAGTCATAGCATTAGCAATGCGGGCTGACATGGATTTTTAGTCGCGAACATCAATAGTGTCGCCACCTCCAGCAGCCCATAGTGGAGAAGGAAACTCACCTCCAAGGGCCGCAATATCGTAACCCAGCCGTCCAAGCCCAGCGCCGGGGATCAGTACCCGCTGGTGTTTCCCTGGCTCTGCAGCTCGCTGTGGAAATAAGGTTCCCAGTGTTCGGAGAATACATGGAAACGTAGCCTTTCGCTCATGCTCGCCGTCGCTCGCCCAGTCACGAACGAAGTGTTTCAGCGCCTGCGAGACACTCGTTCGATCTGCCTTCCGTTTATTCGTGTCCGCGTCTTTGATAAACTGGTCCAACTCGATCTGCTTGACTTCGTAGAACCGTAGGGCATTCTGCACAATCATGTCGCACAGATTCTGGTTCTTCCGGATTAGCTGTTCGGTGGCTTCGAGCTTCTTTGAGTAATAAACTACATGCTCAAGCATCTAGCGTAGGGTGAGCCCGATGAGTGAGCGTCCAGTTTACGTTGTTGTATTGTTCTGACGTACTGCCTTCTGTGGTATAGAAACATGCTTGTATAAGGTTTTCCATCGCCGGAGTTCGACTCCGTTTTGCTCTTGATAGCGTGAGAAGCCATAGATGGCGTCAAGAAGGCGATATCGTGGGTGATGCGAGTTCCATCTACCTCTCTGGCGCTCCAGCCGGCTGCGCAAGCGAACTTTCTCCTCGCGCTGGCGCGGGGAACTTTGTTTCTTTGGCGGCTTTTGAACGGTCACAGACGTGATATGGTATGCCACGAGATTGCCGAAAAGGGCCTGCTGTCCCTGCTTTGCGCATGCTCGATCAACGTCCACTAGATCCCAACTTGACATAAAGGGATGTCGAATCCAGGAGATCCGTGTAAGTAAAATAGCAAATGGGCAACGTACCGCGATCTCATTTAGCGTTAGCTCAGGCTGTTCTTTGGCTAGACAGAGCGATCCATCCAGAGTAACCGCAAAAGTCGAATAAATGACGATAGATAGGCTCAAGATGAAGAGCAGCAGATGTGCCATGACATGAATATAATAAACACTGTACAGAGAGAAACTTAACAAACTTCTGGTATGCCGTCCTCAGTCAGTTCCATTACATATATCCTGGGCTTCCTGGCTATGCAGGCCTACACAGTATGAAAATGTTCTTTTACGTGGCGCACCATTGTGCAAGCTGTAGACGGTTTGTGGTAATACCTTGATGGCGAGTGAGTGAGTGAGTGAGTAATTGATGCCAGTCTCTGCGGGCGATGCAGTGGAATACCTTGATGGCGAGAACTGAGAGACGAAGAGAAATACTAGCCGAGAAGCTCTGAAGCAGTGAAGCACTGAAGCAGTGAAGCTGGAGAGCTCGAGCTTGGGCCACCCATGCGATCTTCCCTGCTTGACTATGGTACTTGACTGCTGGTTCGTCTTCGTATCAAAGTGATTTGTCCTGGAGTCCAGTTCTAGAAAATACACAGCTCATTAAATGGACTTAAGAGTTCGACACTGAGGTTCTACTTAATGGAATCGATCCGACTGAGTGTTAATATCATTATGAAATAAATCCGATATCGCGTGTGGGGTGCTACGAGTCGCGTATCCAGAAGTAGAGCAATGCAGAATCCCACGCTCTTTTCCTAGTCCAGAACGCCCGGCTACTTGGCAATAGGACTCATCGTGACGATAGGTCACCCCTTTATACCTTGATGGCGAACTGCTCTTGATTACTTATACTTATTCTTTGGAGCCGGTGCATACATACGTACTTTGACCGTAAAGACGTCGCGAGTATCATATTTCGACTGATATCCGCCGATCTTCTCGAACTTGGGCACACGTGAAGCTTACAACTGCTTGTTTACTATCAATATGCGCTTGTCCGCTGTCCTCCTTTCCGCTCTCTGCAGCTTTGTCACTGCCCTCGCACAGGACCCTGGGCCATCTCCCACTGAGTCTTTCGGTTGCGCCCCGCATGGTGACCACTGGTAAGCTGCCATTGCAAACCACTTACTTTATAACTCATGTTCACAACTCTTCCTAGGCACTGCGAGGGGCCCGCTGCGCCCCCCACGTCCGCCGCCTCCGTCGTCTCTCCTGGACCATCCCCGACCGAGTCGGTTGGGTGCGTCCCGCATGATGACCACTGGTAGGTTTCACTGCCGGGCGCGTCTTCTATTCGTCCATGTTAAGGTCTTCAGGGACTGCGAGGGTCCGGTTTCGCACCCCACCACCAGCGTTCCCGTGAGCGTGACGGTCTCCAGTGCCGAGTCAGCGATCGTTTTTACATCGAGCTCCGCTGTTGGCGCTATGCCCTCCTCCCACGGCGAGGACCACGCTTCAGGGACGGGTGCACCGCACCCAAGTCCGACGGCATCCTATGGCTGTGAGCCGCACGGCGATCACTGGCATTGTGATGGTGCACGGTCAACGACCGGTGGTATGGCGCCTGGCACAATTCGAGTGTCCGCGACTCGCACCTCGTCCTCCCTGGCTACGTTTACTGGCGCAGCTGTGAAGATGGAAGGGGCTGTCGCCAATATGGTGGCCGGGGGTTTTGGGTTGATCATCTATGGCATGCTTTGAAATGGTCGCAAGGCCATATTAAGCGACGTACTGGCTGTTTTAGATGATTTCTGTGGTATATAATATGGACATGCATTCCAGATTATACAGCAAACAAAGTACATGCGCGAAATAGTTGTAGAAACGCGATTTGAAGGAAATTGTGTATGAAGGCAGTTGTCAATAATTGCCTTCATGTTTGTGGAATTTCACAGTGGCGCCGCATTGTCTCTCTAAAACTAAAATACGCAAATATTGAGCATCGCATACGCGTGAGCTCGATGCCAAAGCGCAATTACGCCACAGATGCTCACTTTCGCTAATCGCTCGTCACTAGCAGGTGTATAAAATGTAAACAATTGGATTGGCTTTAACAGTTCCCTTCGAAAGCGACGACGAACATCTGGGGTCTGGACACTTTGCAAGCGGAGGAATGACATGATAGCCCTTGAGAGTCTCTGCCACTCACTTCAATAGGTCAATATGAGGGATTTGAATTGACAGCATCATATCCTCTGGTTAAGACTGTAAATTATTTCTCGGACTAGAAATTAAAAGGAGTGACAGCAGTTGGATTAGTCCCATGCATTCATTGAGTGTAAAACTTGGTGAAAGGTTATTGATGAGGCTGGAAATAAAGATAGGGCTGTGATAGACTAAAGTAGATATGTACGTTTCCGGACATTTAGCCAAGGATGCTAAGAAGTATTGGCAAGAGAGCAGCAGCAAGGACTGCATTCAGGGAGTGGCCTGTAATACTGGCAGCGCCTGGTCGGGATCGTGACGCCTAATGCGGCTTTCTCAGCGGTGTTTAAGCCTCCGCTGCCTCCGGCTTCGGGAGCAGCGGTGGAGGAAGGAGATGAATTCGATGGCAATGAGCTGGAACCGGTGGGCGAGGAAGTGTTCGCAGTCACTGATGAAGTGGTGATTGGCCGAGTTATGGCGAACTGGCTGGAATAGTTGACTGGGTCGCCTTGGTTGATCGTGAGGGCATAGTCGTTTGCGGGTTCAAGATCAAGAGCTGGGACCCAGCTGAATGATCCGCCAGTTGCGGTACCTGGTTATGGTATCAGCACACAACATATCGAACCGAGTGTCGTTTGAGGATCTTGGTTTGGTCCTGGACAACGTACTTGTGATTATATGAACGACGTTTCCTTTGGTGAGGCCTATCGTGACAGGCTAAATCGTCAGTCGATGTATTCAGACAAGAGCGCAATTGTCACCGTACCGATTGCTGATTTGGAGAGTCATATGTGATAAGCGTCGTCTCGCCAGCTCTTGCGCCCTGCGCTGGATAACATGTGGTCCGAAGGGGCTCAACGTTTTGAGAGCAGACCAATTGAACATAAATAAGAACGAAAAGTACAGTCTGTAGCACTAAGTTATAACAAACTCTCGCCATTCTCTTGAAGCCAGGCTGTGAAACCGCGAAGATTTTCCATCATGAGAAACAGTAGCAGCGCTCCGCAGGCGCGGGCGTGCTCTGGAATAAAAGGGTTAAGAGTTACTGCACGTATGGACTAAGCACGGATTTAATAAACCCTCATTGCCATCCTTCGAGTCGGATCTTGCCATACTTAGCCTTAGGGAGGATATACCGCAAGGGTGGTTGCGTGTTCTGTGCAACATTTGCAGTGTCTGGCAGGGTCCTATAACTTCTGTTGGCGGTGTCCTTAACTTGATCACCTTCCATGCAAGGCGTATTTTTCGCTCTCGGTTCTTCTGAAACCGGCTCCCTGGACTTTGGAGACTCCGTACCTTCAAAAGACGAGACAAACAACGCTAGGATTCAAGGCAGAAATGCATTAACTGCATGGCTTCTTGAACGTTGAGAAAGGAAAATAGAGACATTTGGTTGACAGCATGCTCCAACTTCGACCTGGAAGATGTCGCCTGTCGTATCTCGATGATGGAGTTTCTGGCAACTTGAGGATGCAATTGCTGTCGCGCTTTCGAAGTCCAGCATTTACTTTAATATTGCAGATTAAAGTCGTGGTATTCTTCGTTCGGAGAGAATACATGAGAGGATGCGTGGTACGCATGTGTTCAGACAGCGCAACCTGTCTATCCAGCCTATGCGACATATCTTTCTCGCACCAATCAAGGCAACTCACTCACCGGCCCTCTTGCTTTCCCGTCTCTTCCACTGTCCTGTGCGGCTAACTCCCACGCGACGACCTCTCGTCCATCCAATATATCATGCTCTTTCGCAGTTCCATCCAATTCTGGCTTCTCAGTATACGGTTCAGCCACCGCAGACTTTCGTTTTGCAGCTCTCCGTCGACCGAAAAAGAAGGCGGCAGCGATGAGGATAATCACGGCGATGGGTACAGTGATGCCAATGGCGACTTTCTCGCCGATTGACAGACCGGTTTTGCCAGCTGTGTCGGATGAAGGGGATGATGTCTCTCCGGTTGGTGAAGAAGATGGTACGGATGACGACGTCGAGGATGGCAAATTAGTCGGTCCGTCAGAAGTGACTATCCCATTCTCCGTTTTTCTCAGCAGTGGGAACGGGTCCGACCAATTCAGTAACCCTAGGGCGGAGTTGCTTATGGATTGGCTGAACGTCAGGTAGTAATCGGGTCCTGCTACCAGAGAGGTGGATGGAGTCCAATCGAAGGAGCCGTCCGTCCCGCTCCCTATCATGACAAACAAGATCAGCGGATAAGTCCTCGCGTGGGAAAGGAAGAAGAAAGTTCCGCAAGCGCTGACCACGCGCTGCCCGATTGAATGAACTGCGTACTTACCGACGGTTGCGTTGAACGAACCATCCCAGAAGAGCTCGATCTTCACGGGCTAAATTTGAAGATATATGAGCGCTTTCTCAATCATATACAGGACACATCGAATTTTGGGGTTCACATACATCGTTTGTTGGTGCCTCATATTCGAGGGTGGTTTTCTCACCGAGAACCGCACCATCCGATGGATACGCTTTAATGATGATTCTGTTCGTTACTGCTGTTTGAGACGAGACGGATTGGATTAGAACAGCAATGAACAAAACATGAACGGTAGAGAATATTCGACGGAAGCCTGCCATTTTGGAGATGCGACACGGTAAGGACTGTTTTCACGACACGCACATTGTAGCGAGAGGGCAGAGAGAAAGATTGCGACAGATATCCATCTAGTTAGCTCACTACAACTTAATAGTTAGCCTTGTTGATTGTTCGTATTGCAAAACCTTTGGTTTGAATAGTTTGGTGCTCGTGCAGCGTTTACTGAGGGGTGCTTGTCCCTAACTGAGTTAACTCCTCATATCTGGGGCTCTAGTAGGGGTGTTGGATACTAACTACCATACCTGTAGGTAATTACCTTTCGGACTTCTCGGGAACAGTATCTTTGTACGGGGTACCTCGCAGTGGATGGAAAATGGCAAACCTTATATCCTTCGATCGAGTTCATACATCATCGGCATCCTCGGAATTTCGGACATGTACGGTATTAGGCGCTCTCTGATGGGCAGTCTATTACAACGCGCACTCATCCATATCCGAAGGAAGAGAACAAAGGTATCCATTCATCGAAGCCTATCGACATACTAACACAATTGCGAACCCTCTATTCCGCTTATCTCAAGCGAGCGTAAATCGTGATCCCATATCTCAAAATCACATCATTCATGCATGACTGACCATTTCCAACTCCGAATGCCTTTCCGCCCCGGCGCACTGCAGAGGTATCATGGCGAGGAATGATAGGTTGACGCAAGGAACGGAATGAATGAACACCGTATCGCCGGACGTAGGCCTCCTCAAATTCAATTGACTTTGAAAATATGCCTCTGGAGACGGTGGAGTGATAGGTGAAAGGACAGAAGAAACCGGCGAGAACGTCCGGCGACTCAAATCGCCACCAACGAATTCCAACACCTCGCCGCAAGGTTCACATTCATCTCGAAGATTCCCTCTTCTGTCCCAACCCACAACCGCACCCCATTCCTCCTATCCGCATCCCTCTCCTTCTCCTCCTTTCCATCCATCTCTCGATCTTCCACCTCTCCATTCACCATCTTCCCCCTCCTACCCACGCCACCCTTCCCAACCGACTCACTCCGCGCCCCGCTCTCCCTCCGCTATCTGCTCAACCCGCCCCATACTCTCATAATCTTCACTCCACGCCAACCCCACGATCCTCAACCCCGCTACACTTCCCCTGGTACTCTGCCGTATATGCCCACTCATCCTCGGAATAAACATATTAGGCGGCACGGACGCCACGACGCCCATTAACCGCCCATCACCCATCAGCCTGCCATCACCTAAAATTCAGGGGTCCGTCGCCTAGGATTCGCGGGCTGTCGCCCATGACTCGAGGGCCGGGATAGATGGTGGGGCGCCCTTCGGGGAGGGGGAGGCGGTCGAGGCTGGTCGTGGCGGAGGGCGCTGGCTTGGGCGCGGCGGGAGCGGGGGGGGAAGGGAAGCGGTTGCGTGGGTTGCGTGGGCGGGAGGTGGTTGTGAGTGGGGCGGGGGGGAGGGGAGGAGGTGGAAGAGATGAGGTGAGGGGCGGGGGGAGGGGCGATTTGGATTGAGGTGGCGCCGGAAGAGCGGGGAGGGGGTGGAGTGTTGTTATTTTTGGTGCCGTTGGAAGTGGGACCATTAGGAGAGAAGGTGTCGGATTGGATGTGTGGGTTGGTTCGCCGTTCGATGTGCCCAGTTCGTCCCGGCGGGCCGCTTCGTAGTCGTTCCAGGCAGGGTCGAAGGGTGCGGCGGGAGGAAGGTCCCTCGGTGGGCGTTCCGGATGACCGTTCAGGGGAGTTGTCGTCTAGACCTGCGCGGGCGCGGAAGGCAGCAATAGCAAGACGCATGCGACGGGCAGAGTCTTCATCGTCTCGAGATCGGTCTTGTGGAGGCCGATCATTGTCGCGCGAACGGATTTCCAGGAGCCATGTCATTAGGAGAGGATTCCATTCCGTGCCGTCGTCGAGCCTTTGACACCAGGCTTGCGTGGGATTACCACCGCGAGGAGATAGAAACAAGGGTTACGAAGCGCCTCTCCGCCCTGTCGGCTCTGGCCTCTTCAACGTGGGGAACGGGGACCATCAACCTACGACAGGGCAATGGTCGTCCCCCAGATGCTCTATGGCTGCTCGGCATGGCACGCCCCTGGCGGTGGTCGAGGCAACGCTATGGTACCTGCGATCAAGAGGATACAGAGACGAGCAGCCCAATCCATCACTGGAGCCTTCCGCACAACGGCCGGTGCAGCGGTCGATATAGAAGCACATCTGCTCCCTGCACAACTGCAACTCGGACAAACAGCATTAGAAGCCACAATGCGCATCATAACCACCCCGCTGTACGACGACATGACCGCACCTGAGGACAACAACGGCGTCCCAGGGAGGACCTGCCGAAGATACAACGCGCAGGGCCCCTTGACCAACTCTAGAGCATCTTAGAGCGTAAGTACAAAGTTTCGCTCGAGCGACTCGAGAAACGCCTAACGCACGTCGTCCCGCCGTGGTGGACACCACCAGTCATCAATATCAACGAATCCGCTGAAGAAGCGATCAAGGACCACGATACCACAGAGCCAGGAACGATACGCATCTACACAGACGGAAGCTGCATTAGCGGCCCCGTCGGTGCAGCCGCAGTAGCACCCACGCTCCAGTTAAGTGGCATCCACATGAGGCAGACGGAATACATGGGCACATCCACCACGTCCACGGTATACGCGGCTGAACTCAGGGGAGTGGTGTTAGCATTGCAAATGATGCTCGATATCCATACGACTGTCATCACCCCCGGCAAGTGCACCATATTCGCCGACAACCAGGCGGCCATCCAAGCCATACGGAACCTCAAGCACTGGTCGGGTCAGTATATCCTAGCCGAGGCCATACAAGCACTCGACGCGCTCCATAGCCACGGGTGGGATGTGCATTTCCGATGGATCCCGGCACATGTCGGAGTACCAGGCAATGAATTAGCAGATCAAGCCGCAAAGGAAGCCGCGGGCTTCAACTCGGACGTGCCAACACGGCCCCAACCTCCGCCGGCTCCAGACTCTCTACGGACCTTAATAGCCACCTCAAAATCTTCCATCCGTCAAACGATGAGAAGCGAATGGGCGAGATCGTGGGAAACGACCAAGCATGGTAGAGAGCTCTTCAAGCTCGGAGTCCGGCCTGGGAAAGCGACGCTCGACACACGCATTGGAACCCACAGAGCAATCAGTTCAGTGGTCACTCAGATGCGCACGGGCAAGATCAGCCTCCCGGCGTATCTCCACGCCATCAACAGGGCCGATACCGACCAATGCCAGTGCGGTCACGGGCCGCAAACGGTGCGGCACATTCTCCTTGAATGCTGAAACTGGACCGACGAACGAGACCGAATGTGGTCAGGCAGGCAACCATGCGTAGACATCAAGCGCATTCTCTGTAGCTCGTCAATGGCAGTGCAAGCAGCGAAGATGATCCTCAGGGCAGGGCTCCTGGAGCAATTCCGGGCAGTCTATCCACAGTACTCAAATACACAGCGTAGACGAGCGATAATTTGTAAACAGAAGCAGAGGAGGAGCAGGAAAGGTCTGACAAGTACATAGACACAGAACAGCTAGAAAGACTATTAGTAGAGAGGTTACCGTACTTAGGCGGAAGAAGAAGCAGCTCTGACCAGGAACGGCTTGATTTCTGAAAGCGAAGGGCAGGAACACCTGTACTTATAGTTGAACGCTGCATACCAGCCGCTAGGGCGCAAGATATTAGATAGGCCACGCCGTAGCGGCTAAAGCAAGGACGAAAGACTGCAAGAGTTTGTCGGACAATTTTTCTGCCATTACCCACAGTCCCATTGAAACTGTTACAGCCTCTATCAGCCAGATTGGCCATAGAATAATAAGCCAACTAAGAGCGGAGATCCAGCTTCAGCGTTATACTATGCTTCATTTGGGGGCTTGATACATGCAGTGGAGCGGCTGCTGGCGCACAGCGCCGACGTGAACGTGCAAGACGGACAGTACGGCACGGCGCTTGCAAGCCGCCAGCGATAGAGGCCACGAGAAGGTGGCCGAGCGGCTACTGGCGCACGGTGCCGATATAGACGTGGAAGGCGGATCGTACGGCACAGTGCTGCAAACCGCCAGTGATAGAGGCCATGAGAAGGTGGTCGAGCTACTACTGGCCGATGACGCTAAATGAGAAGGCCGTCCGAAGCTCTTTACAATATCTGAACATTTATCATCTTAAGCAGTCGTAGCCCGCTTTTGGCGCAAGAGTCTATTAGAAGTACTAGTGAGCGAAGGCAAATCGTAGATAATCTACTGCAGTGACGTTAGTATACTTCTATACATAAGTGAAGGGCGGACGTTACGTTTGCAACCTCCCAGACTGGCCCTATAATTAGTTTACCACTAGGGTTTACGAGTGTCCATTGGTTTTGAGTGTGCTGGTTTTCGCTTCTTTTGGGTACAAAGACTGCTTCGTCTCCTTCCTACATGAGAGCTCTCCAGAGTATCAGGACGGTTGACACTCGAGTAACGTATTAGGCCTCCTCAGATCCTTGATCTCCCAACACAACCCTGGAGACCGATGAGTCCGAGATATAGGTCAGGAGAAAGGCACGACATATATCCTGAGCAAAAGTTACCTCTTCTGGTGAAGAGCTGAAAAGGAATAACCAGGTATCGTCCGGGTCGCGGTGTAGGACATCGCGAACGTATCTAGAGGATATGAGTATAGGTCATAAGCATGATAAATCCAAGTGTTCCGTACTCTTTGAAAAGCCTCATGGCGTAGCCGCGCTTGTACGAAGTTCTGTCCGACACTGGGACCGTAACGTCGAGGGGAATGCTCTGGAAACCAGCCAGAAGCTCCTTTGCCTCCTATTCTCTAGCTTCGCCCTTTCTAATAAAGCGTCATAGCGCCATTGTTAAGACGTTTCTTTGAATAGACGTAGAGAACTTTTGTTGTTTGGAGCGTTGATAGCGTCGACTACCGCCGAACCGATGAAACTAGAACTGAATGAGAGGACTGTAGACTGTGAAAAAGACTGACTGAGCGCGAGACCGGAAAACTAAGGAGAAACAGCTTCTTTACAATCCTTACCATGGCTGCAGAGAGAGTATTTTCGACGGACCCTCGTCTTTTGGCGGTATTGACCCTCTGATTTCGGCCTCGTTTATACTGCTGGGAGACCATAGGGGAACTCCCATTGCTGTATGTTTTTGTTTTGTTTTGTTGAATTTTGCAGATTGCTAGGTTGATATTGTGAAAAGCTTCACATAACGCTACATACGGCCACATCAACCTGAATATAGGGCATCCCGTCCGCTCTGCCGTACTCAAGCAGGTTAGAGATAGAATAGTACTACGGTGGGTGACCACGTGGGAACTCCTATTGCTGTATGTTTTTATTTTTGACCATTGTAGCAAGCTTTTAGTGGGCGGAATGAATCTACGGCTCGTTTATGTTGCGAAAAGCTTCAATCGCTAGTACGTACATACGGCCACATTACGGGTTCAACCTGAACAACGCCTTTTGCTAGTACTGTTCTCTGGGAGGCTTCCTCGTCACTACCATTATTAAGAACATGATAATCAACTCTCTCGGAGCGAAGACGGCGCTTCCCAACTCCCAAGAGACATGGATGAGTCATCCATATTATTGAGAAAGGAGTTGCAACATATTGATATGCTTTGTATCTCTTGGAGCTCAAATCTTCCAGACCGTGTTGGGGTAAACAAAAGTCGCGACTGCTGGGCATTCATTCATTGGCTCGGCTTTCGCCGAATAAGTCTTGGCATTATTCGCAATTATTCACGAATAATACGAATAAAGCGTCTCAAAATTTAGTCGAATACGAATAATCATTCCAATGGAGAAGTCGAATACGAATAGCCAAAATCCTTTAGGGCTGGACACGAATAAGGATTTTGGCTATTCGTATTCGACTTTTCCCTGGGAACGATTATTCGTATTCGACTAAATTTCGAGACGTTTTATTCGTATTATTCGCGAATATTCGTAAATAATGCCAAGACTTATTCGGCAAAAGCCGAGCCAATGAATGAATGCCCAGCAGTCGCGACTTTTGTTTACCCAACATGCTCCAACTAGAGGATTTGAGCTCTAAGAGATACAAAGCATATCAATATGTTGCAACTTCTTTCTTAATATGGATGACTTATCCATGTCTCTTGGGAAGCGCCGTCTTCGCTCCGAGAGAGTT